TTTTTACTTGGATCTTAAATGTAATATGGATGAAAATGTTGATTATGATACTCATAGGGAATTGGTTAGAGATTATGAGAAAAGGGAAAAAAATAATACAGTCTTAGATCCATCTTTATTAAAAGGTTTCAAAGGTGCTATATTAATTGAATTTTTTGATATTTCAACATTATTAAGGAAATTTGATCGTCATTTATTATTAAACTATCCTATTGAACTTTTTTGGCATACTAGAACAAGACTCAGATATTTCAAAATTTTCACTAGAATGTTTGAAACTTCAGGTGATAGATTAAAAAAAATCAATCTACTTTTTGAAACTGGAAAAGAACCTAATAATAGATTGGATCAACATTATGCAGTATCAAACATTCCACAGGGTATACCTTCCAATATATTACATATCCCAGTTGTTGAAACACTTCATCTTGATAAACTTGAAGGTTATTCAATCCCAGATATTAAAACGAGCTTGCCTGATTTAGAAACAATCCAGATTGTTTTTGATGATCAACTTTATCATGATCGTGAACTTGAGCTCAAAGATGAATATTATGAACCTACTACCATATTAGGCTGTTTGGAACATCGTAATGAAAAATCTAAATTAGATGAATTTTTTAAAACCAGTAAAGGGGAATCCATAGATTTTTTGAAGAATTTCCAATTAAAATATTTCCATAATAAAAAATCTAAATTATTTGATAATTTACAACTATCAAATCTTGCAAGTTTGTTTATTGACTCTTCGACCATTCATTCAATCAAAAATTTGGATTTACCAAATCTTAAGATCTTAAATATTAAGAAATCTGCAATTTATGAAATTTCAAATTTGGAATTAAATTCATTAACAGGTCTTACAATAGACCTTTCATCACCTCATTATACTTTAGAAAATGAGCAAATGAGGCAAATTAATGTAACAGTTCAAAATATAAAATCATCAACCTTGCAAGACTTCAACCTTACTAGCTCATTTAAAATTAAGAAAATCTCCAACTTGGAGTTCCCATCTTTAACTTTTTTGGAAATTCATTCCACTACATTTTCTTATTCACATTTAGATAAATTTGGTAATATCTTAAAACCTTGTGATAAACTTGAAGCAATTATCCTCACCAACACCATAGAAATTCTAAAATTTCAAATGACATTTCCAAACGTTATTACTCTTTCAATTACAAATACTAATGAACTTGGTGAATTTGATATTATTAATATTGACTCATCATTCCCTCAATTAGAAGATATAATTATAGAGGGCATACCAGTTGATAATTTATATCCATTGTTTAACAGCACTTCAACTTTGCAAACAATATATATCTCATCATGTCCAAATTTTAATGTTGCCAAAATTGGACCACAAAATTCATTAGGTTCTCTAATGTTAAAAAATATGAAATCAATAACTGGGTTTAATGGGATTTGTTTACCCGTATTAACAGAATTAATATTGGAAACCAGTGGGGAAAATCATCTCATCATAGAAAATTGTTCATTCCAAATTTTAAAAACATTGATGATTGATACAAAAGTTATTTTCTATATGACTTATGAAGAATCATTAACATTCTTAAATAATGAAATTCCACAACTTCAAAAGTTAATCATATCAGGTTATAAAATAACAAACCATTTTTCAACAACCCCATATCCTTTATTAGAACATCTCAAAATTGATAGACTCAAATCCATAGAAATTTCACCAAGTGCATCCCTAAAGTCAATAAACCTTTCCCAAAACTGCACCACAATGAATATAAACAAGAGTAATGAACTACCTAATCTACAAGAATATAAAGAACCTAAGAAGAATGAAATTTTGGAAACCGTAACTAAGAGAAGAAAAGTTGATCAAGAAGATTTTGCTAATTTACTTAATTATGTGAAAAATGAGAAGGGTGTTGATTTGTTTCAATTTTTACCAAATTTCAATATGGATGGATGATTGTTTCAAAACCATTAATGTCCCTATAATATTAATAGCTATAATATATTGCATCACCATCATTTGATAAATTAGTTTTTTAGCTAGAATAACATGGTATCCATCACGAGTTAATTCGCGTATTACGTTAAGACTTAATTTACGCGTGATCTGCACTACACGTATCTCTCGACTCATCAGTTACACGGGACAAGTCTCGAGATGTATTGATTTTGAACGTTTAAGGACTCGTTAGATAAGCTTATATCTATTCTCATGTCTTTAGAGAAAGTGAAGAATTAAATTGCAGAAGCTCTGAAATCGAAGCAATGCTTACGTAAGATCTGGTGATCCAGAGGAAATATCGCGGTGCAAATATAATAATGATACTAGGTTTTACTGAGTCTTACCTCTTGAGGTTTTGGTCCAGTTCATATTTAATGGGATCCATCAACTCAACTCCGCCTAGAAAGGAACCCAATAGCTTTTTCATTTTTCCACCAAGCTAGTTTAAAACTGAATATATTGTTATGGACTTCACTGAATTGCCCACAGAAATCCATTCTTTAATATTCAAACAATTATACCCATCAGATTTCCTAAACATTATTGAAAATATTTTGGAATGGAGACATTTAATAACCTCGGATAACTTCAAAATAGTTACTAATGATGTCCCAAAACTTCAATTGAAATATGGTCTTGCTGATGATTATTACTTGGATTATAATTGTAATTTTGATGAAGAAAAAGCTTATGATCTTGACTATGATTATGAAAAAGATATTGAAGATTATGAAAAAAATGAAAAAAATAATACAGTTTTAAATGAAAACTTATTATTGGGTTTCAAAGGTGCAATTTTAATTGAAATATATGTTACTTGGACATGTATGTTAAAAAAGTTTGATGAAAATTTATTATTACATGATCCTATTGAACTCATTTGGCATGGATCAGGTGTTAATTCAAGTGTTTTCACACATATGTTCGAAAAATCAGGTGATAGATTAAAGAAAATCCATGTACTTGTTGGAACTCAAAATGAATCTTTTGGTAAATTATGTAAAAGAGGTGAGAAAACTAAAGAAATTGAAGATGCTAAAAAATCAGAGGATGCTAAAGATACGGAAACACAGGGAACTGGTTGTAATATTCAAAATGATGATGATAATAATGATGATACTGATGAGCATGACGATGATGATGAAGAAGATGATGATGATGATGAAAAGGATGGAAGCTCTATATCAGAATTTCCAATAAAATTACCTTCCACGATGTTACATATTCCCGGTGTGAAATCACTTAATTTAAATAAACTTGAAGGGTATTCAATCCCATATATTCAAACTATTATGCCAGATCTTGATAGAATTAATATCTGCTTTGATGGAAAACTTTACTATGATAGTGAACTTGATGAAGGTCCTTATGAACCTGATACCATATTGGGATGTTTGGAAAATTGGCGTGAAAAATCCAAACTTGGTGAATTCTTTGAAACAAGTATGGGGAAACCTATAGATTTTCTGAAAACTTTTCAATTGAAATATTTCCATAATAAAAAATTCAAGTTTGAAAAATTACAATTATCAAATCTTGAGAAGTTGGTTATTGATTCTTCAACAATTCATTCAATACAGAACTTGAATTTACCAAATCTTAAAACCTTGAAGGTTGAAAAATCTGCAATTTATCAAATATCAAATTTGAAATTAAATTCTTTGCAAGAGCTTTCAATAGATCTTAAAACACCACATTATTCTTTAGAAAAAGAACAAAAGAAACAAGTACACTTCACAATTCAAAATATAAAGTCACAAAGTTTGAGAAATTTTAATCTTGTTAGTTCTTTTAAAATTAAGAAAATCTCAAAACTTGATTTCCCATCATTACAAACTTTGGCAATTAAATCAACTAATGATTCTAATCAGTCTTTTGAAACTATTACAAACTCATCATTTCCCCAATTGGAGAATGTAATTATTGAAAATATTCCACTTGATAATTTATACCCATTATTCCAAAACACTTTGAATTTGAAGAGTATGAATATAACATCATGTCCAGTTTTTAACCTTATAGAAATTGGATCTCAAAATTCATTAAAATCATTAATTTTAAAACATGTGAAATCTATACAAGGTTTCACTGGTATTTCATTACCTACATTACAAACCATGGAATTACAAACAACAGGTGAAACTCCTCTCACTATGGAAAATTGTTCATTTGAAAACTTAAAATCATTAAGGATTGATACACACTTTATTTTCGTTGCAACTTATGATTCAACTTTATCATTTTTAAATAATGATATCCCACAGCTTCAAAAATTATTCATATCAGGTTATGAAATAACAAATCATTTCACAACAACACCATACCCAGCTTTAGAAAGCTTAACAATTGATAGAATTGAATCCATAGAGATTTCTCCAAGTGAAACATTGAATACTCTAGATCTTTCAGAAAATTTTACCACACTAAATTTAACCAAGAGTGATGAATTACCTAATTTAAAAGAATATAAAGAAGCTAGTATAATGGACAAGTTAAGAAAACATTTCAAAAAAGCAAAAGTTGATTTTAATCAAGATGCACAATATGATTTACTTAAATATATGATTACAAAGGAGTCGGGTATTAATCTTCTCAAGTTTTTACCTGATAAACATAGGTAGTATTGATTGTTCAATATATATTTGCACTTGTGGAATATCTAATGGATATATATAATAAATTATATAAATCACTATGCATTTGATAGAAAAGTTGTAATTAAAATAACATTATTATACGGTGTTCCCAATATAATGGAATCGATTAAACTTGTTTCTGTGGTAACGATTTTTTAAAATCTATTACTGTTTTCGCGTATCATTTTAAACTTTTACGCGTCTGTCCTTACCGAGTATTTATTGGAAAAAGTTTGTACTACTATGATTCAATTGGACTAATTTTGACTCTTGGATTCGTAAATATATTACAATTGTGATTTCTAGCTATAGAATTGGAGGTTTTAATTGCTCTTTTTCCATTATTAAATCACATAATGAGTTTCTTGAGTCTCCCTTGTGAGATTCAGTTACGGATTTTCAAAGATGTTTTCCCATCAGACCTGGTGATGATATGGCATGAAGTACCTGAATTAAGACATATAATTACCCCTGATACACTTCAAATTGTTACAAATCATATTCCTTATGAAGATGATGACATATATACTCCGTTACCAGAATATTTACAAAAGGCTGCGGACAAACTTCATAAATACAGAAATAGAAAGTATAAGTTACCTGAAGATTTCTATATTCCTTATAAATGTGAGCTATATGAGACAGTTGATTCTGATGATGATTTTGATGAATTTAGGCAAAGGTTAACAGATGCTTTAAATCCAATTTTTTTGAAATATTTTGAAGGATCATTATTAGTTGAAATTTATCATAATGGTTGGGATTCAGAATTGAAATATATTGATAAATGCATATTGAAACATGACCCGGTTGAAGTGTTTATTGATACACCAATGTTAACGAAAAAGTTTCATGAACACATGTTGAAACAAGGTGGTGATAGATTGAAACGTGTTACTTTCAATGATTTAGATCCTCCTTTGAATTCGCTTCCTCCTCCAAATACACCACCAAATCTATTTCGCACAACGGGTATTAAAGATATTTATTTGAGTGAGTTCAATGGGTATACTTTCTCTGAGATGTATGACTTCGCTCCAGATTTAAAATCACTACACATAAAATTTAAAGATAAGCATGTTCATGGTGATGAATGTGAATGGGGTTATAGACGCGAGAATTGTTACGTTAGAACTAAATTTGGTTTGATAGAAAATGAACTGCCGCATGAAAACTCGGTTTTGACTAGATTTTTCTCCACAGAAGTTGGTATTAATCCATCTGGGTGTATGCAAAATTTAAAATTTCTTAAATTGAAACATTTCCATAATAAGAATTATAAATTTGGGAACTTTGATTTACCAAATCTTGAACAATTGAAAATTGAATCATGTACACTAAATTCAATACAGAATATGGACTTACCAAAGCTAGTGGGTTTTAAGATTGAAAGGGTAGCATTGTTCGAAATTTCAAATCTCAAATTGAATTCATTGCAGAGCTTTTTTCCCCGTGTTTCATCACCACATTTATCTATGGAAGAACGTCAAAAGAGTACTTTTAAGTTAACTTTACAAAACATAGAATCACACAAATTGAGAGAACTAGTTATAAGATGTTCATTCAAGATTGAAAAACTATCAAACTTAACATTTCCATTATTGAAAAGTTTTACTTTAGCACCACCATTAGAAGAAAAATCACCTTTTGCTTATGATAATCATGAAGAAAAATCACCTTTTGTTTATCATCATCGTGAAGAGTTTGGTGAAGCTCTCAAAGGCTGTGAATATCTTTATGAGATGACTTTAGTAAACTGCATGGAGATTTTGAGACCACAAACTAATTTTCCTAATGTTACTAATTTATCAATTACAAACCAGCAAGAACCAGATATCTCATCCGAAGAGAGAGCCATTAATGCAACATTTCCCAAATTACACGAATTACGCTTGGTGAAAGTGTCACTTCATAGAAATTTTAAAAATTTGTTGGAAGAGTCACCCAAATTGGAAGAACTTGAATTGACTACATGTTCTGGAATTGATGTTAAAACTTTGAACACACACCCAGGATTGAAAAACTTACGCATAAAAGATCCTATCCACTTGTATCCGTGGCAAAATATATCACTTCCTAATCTTGAAGTGTTAAATATAGTTGCTTATAGTGGGGATGACTTAGTTATTGAAAATTGTTCATTTGAAAGTCTCACACATGTGGAAGTTAAATCCAATGATGATATGGCGTATGATGGAAAATTAACTTTTGTTGGGAATAACATTCCTATACTTGACACTGTAACTTTACATGGATATAAGATTGAACATCAAATATCTACTGAACCGTATCCAAAATTGAAAAAGATTGCTGCGAATAGGATTATGCATTCGTTGAAAGTTGTGTCAAGTGAACTCTTGAGGACAATAGACTTAACAAGAAATTTTGAAGATATTAATGTGGAATTAAGTGACAATTTACCAGGTTTAAAGTTCTTTAAAAAACCAACATTGACACAAGCTCAAGCACAAAAACGAAGAAAGGGTGGTTATAGAAGGAGACAAAAGACAGTTTGAAGCAATTTAAATAAAAATATCTTAATTAAACATTGTATTATTTATAATACTATTCGATCGGAAATGGTTTATTCTACCAAACAGTTCTTAATAAACATGATTCAAGAACTTTTTAGTTTTGTATTTCTGGCGTATAAATTATATTATCTTACTGTCCGTAACAAATAATAATCATCTCCATGGAAACGGAGAAAACAAATCATTACCTACTATTTTTTCGTATAATTTTAAATCTAATCATGCAGAATCTTACCTGATTTCTAACCAACAAAGCACCATATTGATAATTGTGAGCTTCGAAGCTGACCGGCTGCTCGTGGTACTCAAAACATCACACAATAATAAATACTTATCAATCTGGAATGGGGTTTGAAATATTACCTTTTGAAGTTCAGGCCTCTATATTCAAAGAACTTCTTCCATCAGACCTGGTGAAGATCTGGCATGATGTACCAGAAATGAAGCAATTCATTACCTCTGGGATGCTTAAAATTGTTACGACTTCTGTCAATGAAATGAAGCTGAAATATGATTTCCCAGATGAGTTTTATTTTCAATATGAATGTGAATCTGATTCCGATGAACAAAGAAATCAGGCTGATCTAGAATTCCAACAAACCTTTAAAGGTTTCAATGGTTCCATTTTAGTTGAGAATCTTAATAAAAGAAATTACAGGGCTCATGGACTCAATGTGGAACTATTTAAACCATATATTCATGAAATAACCTGGTACTGTGAAGATAAATATCATGGTAAAGTCGCCACATTCGAAGATATAATTGAAAACTCTGGAGGTAATCTCAAGCAGTTAACAGTCGAAAATACAGGAGGTGATAATTTCGTGCTTGATGTGCTCCCTAGTTCTACTTCATCACGGAAGGTTCTCCAATATAGTGGAGTTAAAAGGGCAGAGATTAATGATTTCAAGGGACATACACTTTCAGAAATATCCACACTTATTCCAGATTTAGAGAAATTAAGCATAGAATCCAAATATTGGTACACAGACACCATTTCAAATTATAAAATAAAACAAGGTCATTCTCCTTTCCCAGAAATAGATGAACATTCAGTGACCTCATTTAATCGTTTAAAAGAACTTAAAATCGATGGTTACCATAATGATAGTTATAAAATTTCAAACCTATATTTACCAAACCTACAACAATTTACACTCAGAGATTGCTTCATTCATTCTATCAAAAATTTAAAAGCTCCAAACTTGAAACGTTTTGGTATTCATCGATCGGCATTATTTGAGATTTCAGATCTTGAGCTACATTCATTAAATGCACTCTCTATTAATTTAAGATCCAAACAAGAGCCTACTACGGGGAACCCTTATGCGTACCAGTTTATTTTACAAGATATAAAGTCAAATAGCTTAAAAGAATTTTCCTTAAACAGTTCAACTACTATTTCAAAGATATCAGGTTTATATACCCCGGCCTTAAAGAGTGCAACTATTGTTTGTTTCACAGGACTTTCTTCTTCCCCAGGTGCGTATTTAGATTGTGAAGAAAATTCTGGACTATTCAATGACTGTGATAATATTGAATATTTACGTCTTTCAGGCTGTACAGGTATATTGAAACATCATAAAGAGTATCAAAGTGTTAAAACATTATACATTTCTGGTGCAGGTTACTATGAAAATGATGAACGCATACGCTTTGATGATTTCATAGTGAGGTCAACGTTCCCAAATTTGGAAAATTTAGAAATGTATAATTTGGTGCTAGATGAGCATGAAATAACAAAGCAGATTCTCACACAACCATCCCAATTGAATAAATTGGAACTTATGAATTGTACCGGGTTCAAAATTGATCAACTTTCACATCATGAAAACTTGAAGTCATTATTGATTGAAAACCGTTCATTTGAGCCTTTCCAGAATATCAATATGCCGAGTTTGACAGAATTAGAGATTGGTTTTACTGAAAGTGACTTTGTAATGGAGGATTGCACTTTTAAAAATATCCAAAGTTTGTCTATCAGTTTAGGTTACAACTATTCAGAGCCTGGGACAACAACATTTATGAACAATATTTTACCAAAACTTGAAACCCTAACATTAGGGGATCATAAAGTTATGAATCACATAACCACTAAACCATATCCTGCTCTTAGAAATCTTACTATTGATCATGCTTACTCATTAGAAATTACGCCAAGTGAAACGTTGACTAACTTGAATCTCTCAAGGAATTCTATGGTAATGGATCTGGATATTGGTGAGTATGAAGATTTGCCAAATCTGGACTACTATGTGGAGCCACGAGGATATTCATTCTTTAGATAATTCTCCAGTGGTTAAGTATGTTGAATTAAATGAAACCTTTAAAACACCAAGAATTCAAGAGAAAGTCATAGACTGGCTAATGAAAATTGAAAATTATGATACTGAGTCTGCACTTGGATAAACGGTTTAATTAACTAAATCATTTATTTAAATTTGATTGTAATATAACTCTATTATCTCGGTATCAAAGAATTCTGGTATTACGTAGATTGAGAAATAAAGTTCAACATGTTGTGTGTAAATCTATAGTAATTGTTTTCAAAGGAACTAATTTAGCCATATTATTACAGCGCGTACAGCTTGCGCCGGTATTTGTAAAGTTATAAGTCAATGAACAATGTAATATTTTGGTCGAACAATTTAAAATCCGTAGTTTTAGAAGTTGGGTATTTTTCATGGAATCTGGAGTCCTGGCCTTATATATTCGTATAATATTATTAAGTTACACTGTCCGTAACACATAATGTGCTTATATATTTGTGCTCTTAACAAATGTTATTTGTAGTTGTGGTGTTGTAGTCTTATAATCATTAATCATTAACATTATACCCCCTATCAACTTATACTTAAAGTGTTACGACGTGGGCATTGGAGAGTTACATCAATTAGGTCAAAGTTTCAACGCACAAATACTTGGTCATCTATAGTTAATTTCAATATGGGATTTGAAATATTACCTTTTGAAGTTCAGGTTTCTATATTCAAACAACTTCTTCCATCAGAGCTGGTAAAACTCTGGCATGATGTACCAGAAATGAAGCAGTTTATCACCCCTGGGATCCTTAGAATTGTTACAACTTCTGTCAATGAAATGAAGCTAAAATATGATTTCCCAAATGAGTTTTACTTCCAATATGAATGTAATTCTGACTCTGAGGAGCATAAAAATCTGGCTCATCTTGAGTTTCAACATAACTTTAAAGGTTTTTATGGCTCTATTTTAATTGAATTTTTTAGGGAAAGAAGCTCTACTGCCCATGGACTCAATGTCGAGCTATTTAAGCCATATATTTTTGAAATAATCTGGAACTGTGAAGATCATTTATATCATGATGGAGTCGCTACATTTGAAGATATTATTGAAAAAGCTGGGAATAACCTCAAGCTGATAACAGTCAAATATACGGGATATGATGACTTTATTATTGATAAGCTCCCTGATTCTATTCTAACACAGGAGATTCTACAATATAGTGATATTGGAAAGGTGGCAATTCAAAACTTCAACGGGCATATACTTTCAGAGATGTTCACACTCATTCCAGATTTGGAGAGACTAAACATGGAATCCGCATCGTATGGAGACAACATCTTAGGTGATGATCTGAACATAAATGATTTTATATTCCCAGAAATAGATGTACATCCATTGGCATCATTTAATCGTTTGAAAGAAATTGAGATTGGTAACTACCTTAATAATCGTTACGAACTTTCAAATTTATATTTTCCAAACCTGCAAAAGTTTACACTCAAACATTGCTCCATTCATTCTATCGAGAATTTAAAAGCTCCAAAGTTGAAAATCTTTGAAATTCAATGGTCTGCAATATTTATAATCTCATGTCTTGAGTTACATTCTTTAGATGTGCTTTCCATTCATTTAATAGCTAGAAAACAATCCACAACCGGAGATTCTCATTCTTACGAATTTATAATGGAATACATAAAGTCCAAAAGCTTAAAAGATTTCAACTTGACAGGCTCAGCTATTATTGGAATAGTACAAAACTTATATTTTCCGGCTCTAGAGAGTGCTAGTATTATAAGTTCATCCAAATATGAGGGTTATTTTGGTACTGACAATGTTGAACCATTTATAAACTGTGATAATCTTGAATATTTACGACTTTCAGGTTGTACAAACATATTGAAACTGCCGAGGGAGTATCAAAGTGTTAAAACTTTATATCTTTCGGGTACTTACTATAACGATGATAAAAGTTCTGAAGCTTTTACGCCGGTGAGAACATCGTTCCCAAATTTGGAAAATTTAAAAATGAAAAATTTGGAACTAGATGAACATGATATAACAGAGCAGATCCTCACACAACCATCCAAATTGAACAAATTGGAACTTAAGAATTGTCCTGGGTTCAAAATCGATCAAATTTTACATCATGAAAACTTGAAGTCATTATTAATTCAAAATTATTCATTTGAACCTTTCCAGAATATCACTATACCGAGTTTGATAGAATTCGAGATCCATTTTACTGAAAGTGAATTCATCATGGAAAATTGCACCTTTGAAAAGCTCGAATATCTGGCTATTAATTTAGGATCTAAGTTTTCAGATCCTGGAACAATAAAATTTGTGGAAAATCTTCTGCCGAAACTTGAAATACTCAAATTGGAGGATCATAAAGTTACAAATCACATATCTACTAAATCATATCCCCTTCTTGAACAGCTTGCTATTGATCATATTGACTCATTAGAAATTGTACCAAGTGATTCATTGAATACCTTAGATCTTTCAAAGAATCATTTAAAGATGGATCTGGATTTTAATGAAGATGATTTTCCAAACCTGGAATATTATGATGAGCCACAAGGATAATTTGGATTTCTTAGATAAATTTGGAGCTTTCAAAGTCTTAAAAATTGAACTTTTAAAGCAATTTAACCTGAATCAAAGAGCTGAAGAAAAGGTTGAGCCACAAACTGGATAATGAAAAGTCACTTGGATAAACAATATGAACAGCTATATAATATTATCATATTTTTTATTCTTTTGATATCAGCCAATTTTGGTATTTCAGAGTCATCTTACTACATTTTGTAAACCAAATGTGTATAAACTTATGTTCAAACTTCAAACGTACTGAAGTGATGATTCATAAATGCTTACTCTTTTAAAACCTGATTTGGAAATTTCTAGTTACCCCGGTAACCTGAAAATTACACAACGTAGTTTTTATACTCATGAATAATACCTATCAACAAACCAAAACATGTACGTATCAATTAACTTCAGGCTAACACACAAGGCTTTTAGGTACAATCCTGAGTACCTACCTTCATTGGACCTCATAACTTATACACAATTGAAAATTCAGCATTAAATAATGAAGCTACAAGAATTTCCCAAAGAGATTCAATCATTGATATTTAAACATTTATACCCAACTGATCTTGTGAAGATATGGCATGAGATCCCTGAGCTTAGATATCTTATCACACCTGATACACTCAAAATTGTCACAGACTCCAAATATGAAATAAGTAACTTAAAGTATTCTTTTCCAGATGACTTTTATGCTATAGAGCCTATTAATCCAAAATATATTGGTCGCAGTTTCAGAATATGGAAGGGGCTAGAAGTTGGTGAAGAGGAAGAACTTGAAAGAGATCCAACTGATTATGAATTATTTGACATTAGTAAATTTGAAAATTTTAAAGGGGCAATCTTATTGGAACATTTCTATGGTGGGTCAGAATATCATTATAGATATTTTGGTTTATACTATATGTTGAAGAATAATCCACTTGAAGTGATTTACCATTGTGATGCACTGAGTGAGGATTTGATTGAATCTTTAGAATTTTCTGGTAAAAAAGCTGGTCCTAATTTAAAATCAATATCTTGGATTGATCCTTATAATATAAAAGGCTCCTCGTTCATTCCTTCTATAAAGTTACCACCAGGATTATTTCAAGTTCCCGGTGTTAAAGAGACTACTGTATATTATGATAAATCTTCTGATGATCACTATTTCGCAAAATTACTTGATACTGCTCCAGAATTGGAGAAAATTACGGTTAAATGTGAAAAGGACTTATATGAAGAAAGATTTATTTATCCTAGTAATTATAATCCCTTTAAGCATACTGGTGGCTATAATTATAACCCATGGTGGTCAAGTGATAGTGAAGATGATGACGGAGTTGTTACAGTAGAAGAATCAACCAAATATTTCTTCACTCAATTTTTGGATACAAAATTAGCTCCTTTAGGCTCATTAGATTTTTTGAAACATTTGAAGATTACAAGTTTTAAAAATGAGAAAGTTAACTTTGAAAAATGGACAAATTTACCAAACCTTGAAACATTAGAAATATTTAATTGTACAATTCATTCAATAAGTCACTTGGATTTACCAAATTTAAAAACTTTAGAAATCGTTGAAACTGCCTTACTTGAACTTTCAAATCTTAAACTAGATTCTTTAGAAACATTTATCACTCATTTGGTACCATGTCCACATATTGAAGTTGATATGGAGGGTGGTGAATATCAAGATGAAGAAGATGAATTTCCCTTCACTATGAAAAATATCGAATTCAATAGATTAGAGAAGTTGGACTTCGATTGTGAGTTGAAAGTTGAGGAGTTATCAAACTTATCATTCCCAATGGCAAAATCTATTAGATTGAATTGTTATCCATTCTACCAACCATTCACATATTCACATCCTGAGGATGCTGGTGAAGTGCTTAAGTTTTCTGATAATGTTGAAAGTCTGGAACTTATAAATTGTTCAGAAGTTTTGACTAATACTGGCTCTTTCTCAAATGTTACAAATCTGAAGATTACAAACATTACAAAACCTGATGACTACTTTGAACCTACAATTGATACTTCATTTCCGAAGTTAAATACATTATTTGTGAAAAACATATCATTTGGTAATTTAAATTTGTTGCTGAATAAGACTTCAGAATTTCAAGATATTCAAATCATTGATACTCCAGGCTTTAAGGCTGAACAAATATCATTACAAAAGCAATTGAAGTCGCTATTTGTTCAATCACGGAGTTTGGGTTCATTTGATGAGTTAGAATTACCATCTTTAGAGAGTTTAAAACTAATTTACGATGGTGATAAAGAAATTGTGGTGCAAGAATGTTCATTCGACAATCTTAAATCTTTAACTATTAAAAATGGTGAATATAGATCATATACAGGACAATTAGTTTTCCGTGGAAATGATGCACCAAAACTTGAAACTTTGAAATTATCAGGCTTAAGAATTATGAATTCTATCTCTACAGATGAATTTCCTTTACTTAAAAGTGTTGTTATTGATAGAATTGAATCTTTGGAAATCTCATCAAGTGAAATATTAGAGATGATTGATCTTTCCAAGAATTTTAATGATATGAAATTAGAAATGAATGGAAGTTTCCCCAATTTAAAAGAGTATAAGGAAGCTAAAAAGCATAAACAATTAGAAAGTCCAAAAAAGAAAATAAGACAAGGTCGTTGGAATCAATGGGTTCGTGAACAATAAATATGAAGTAGAAAAAAAAAGATGTGGAAAACTACTAATTTTGTATTTGAATATGTGAATAATATATGAATGAAGTTGTATGTACAAGAATATTTTTTTTTGGTAAAGTTAACTCATTGAAATCTCTTTGCATGTTCCAATTTAGCTTTAGTAGGATCCACTTTTGGTTTCTTTTTAAACATTACAAATAATGCGATTGAACTTGCAAAACTTAACCCATACCAAGTGACTAAATATTGTAAATGATTATTTCTTAAATCAATACTTGCAGGACGACCAACTGGAACACCAGCATTTATTAATTGCCATTGAGTAAACTCTTGTAAATGATTATAAGGTAATGATTTTAAGATTGTTTCTTCATGAGTATGAGCTTTACGCCATATTTTCCACCAAGGTTTTGATTCTTTAACTGTTATGGTTTCAATTGGATGATCTTTTAAATCTATTAAAGCTTGAGCATGTATTGGTGCACATCCTGTAGCTTCAGTCATTTCATCAACGTTAATAACATGCCAAACTCTTGATTCTTCATCTAATTTATCATAAAGTAATGCAGATCTATCTTCTGCAGTTTTTTTCAAAATTAATTCAACACGAACCTCATGCATTGGAAGTGATAAATGTTGTAATTTTCTTCTTGGTGGTAAGATTTTATCATCTTTAACAAATCCACGTTCAATTAATATAGTATCACCACCATCACTTCTTATAAAAGGTGTGAAAACTGAATAACCTTTTTCACCAAATTTAACTTTTGGGCCAACGAAAACTTCTCTAGAATGATCATAATGACCAGTAACATAATATTTTCTATATTGTAAATCTTCAACATCTTGAGGTTCAACATGTTTTGGTAATGGAATTGGTTCATAAGTTAATCTATCTTCACTTGTTGCAATTAAATTATTCTTCCATTTCAATCTTCTTAATTGCCATGTCCCCAGATAAAAAGATACAACAGGCATAGCTAATAACAAAATAAATAAAAATGAACGGAAAATTGATGGTTTTGGTTTCTCTTCTTTTGATTTAACAGGATTCCAATCAAATGATGAATAAACCTTGGTACGAATCTGGAATCTTTGTGCCATGATTTGATGAGATTGTAACGCATTAGCGCGCGCAAAAGCCTGAGGCCGTATCAAACGAGCACCAAGAGGTCTCATCATGATCTTTGAAAACATCTTTTGATGAGTATCTCAAACTTATAACTGAGATATGGAAATTGATTATGTATAAGCAAAAAAATCAACGGGTATAAAACAAAAAAATCAAAAAATCGCGGGATTTGAACTTTATAAAACAGATTCGCGCAATTTCGAAGATAATACGAACATCAACAGAATTTTTCTATCAAAACATTTCATTAACAAATACACAAATTACATTATAAATAGCATAAATAAATATAAACAGGATAATCTCAACGTTTTTCCAAGTCAATGTTATGAATTTCATCAGTGGAAGAACCTTCATGATGTTTTTCATCAGGTCTAGAATTACTCAAAATACCAGCATTTGAACCATATCCATTATGACCTTGACCTTGATCACTTGTTGAAGCATTCTCTATAAATTCAACCTCTTGTTTCATAACATCAATATCACCAGCATCATTAACATGAACATTATTGATCCCACTAGTATCAGGACATAATTGAGCACCTCTTCTACCAATTAAATACCATGGTAAATTAAATAAATCTTCCATGGATTCTAATGAACGTCCACTAATTTCTGGAAGGAAGAACCAACACCAAAATAACCCAATAATTAACACACCAACAAAGAAATAAAAAGTACCATATTTATTCATTGATATCAACATTGTTGGAACAGCTTTTGTATTACCATATTGATTTGCAAAATGGAATGCCATAATTAATGCAGTACCAAAATTACGAACTCTTAATGGGAACATTTCAGAATTAATTAAATATTGAATTGAATTCCAACCCATTGTCCAACCAACACCATTTAGATATAACATGGCTAAAGCACCAACACCAGCTTGTTTTTGTGAATGAGTTGGAGTATAAGAATCTTCAGTAACATTTGGAACTATAGCTAAATAAGTTGCAAAATAAATTGTTGATAATAATTGAATTATTAATCCAATATAAAGAGATTTTCTTCTACCAAGGAAATCAATAACGAAAAATGCACAAAAATAAGCTGATGAAAATTTTACAACACCTAAAACAGCAGTCATTAATAATTTCTTAGTACCGGTATAACCAACCATTGCAGTTAATTCTGGCATATAAATTGTCACAGCATTTGCACCTGACCATTGTCCAAGGATTTGAGCACCAAGACCTAAGAATAATCTATATCTAATTGATTTAACAAGGAATAATTCTTTGAAAACTGTAAATTTTGAAGTTTTACCAGCTTCCTCTTTTTCAACCATCAATTGTTCTTGAATATCAGAAATTTCACTAATAATATAAGGATGATTTGGACTTAATTTTCTAATTTTGGATAAATTTTGATAAGCTTTTTCAATTTTATCAACTTTAACTAACCAACGTGGTGATTCATTACATAGTAAAGAACCCAAGAATAATAATCCACCAAGAACAATTTTTAAAGAAGTTGGTATTATCCATTGTTTTGAAGATTCTGATGAAACATGTAAAGCAGTACCATAATTTGCAAAATAAGCAATCATAATACCAAAATAAACTGCACCAGCAAAGATACAATTACAAAGACCTCTTATAGATTTTGGAGAAATTTCACTTAAATAAGTTGGACCAATAACTGTTGTTTGACCAATAAATAAACCTTCAATTAATCTACCAGCATATAATTGACCCACTGATTTTGAAGTGATTTGAATAATACCTGCAATAATCCAACCAATACAAACAATTTGTAAAGTTCTTATACGACCAAATTTATCAACTAAATACATTGCTAAAAGACAACCACCAATTGAACCTAATTGAACCATTGAAGTTATATTTGATTTTAAATTTGCTAAAGCATCTGCTGATTTTGTTGGATCTTTTAAACCAAATTGATGTTGAAATGATTTTTGTGCCACTGAACCTGATACATTACCTTCATCATAACCACGAGCACAACCTAAGACACCAAATACAAAAACTGATAAGTATAAAGTTGTATTGAAAATTTCTGGTGGTGAACCATCAGAATTAAAGAATTTTTTCCTAAATGAGAATTTCTCTTTTAGTTTAGATTGTTGTATTTCACCTGTTTGCTTTTCATTCTGTTTATTTTGATGAATGATATGTTGTTTGTATGTACTAGATTGTGTAGACATGTTAAAGCACTTGATACGAAACGATATAAGTCTACAATGAAAAAGCTCAAAAAATGGCAACAATAAATATATTTATATAAACTTTTGTTTTGAAAATGGAGAGCTACACCACTTTCATATTCCAACAAAACTTTATCTTAATCAAATTTGATATAGGAACGGCTAAATACTGCAAAAACAGGTAGTCCTCAATAATAGGAAGGCATAGACTTGTTCATCCTGAAATGTCCATATTCCCTCTTACTAAAAAAAGTTAACCGTTAACCCTCTTTTACATCAAAAAAAAAGACTAATTTTACAATGATGATATAATTGATTGTTTCATGAAGTTATAAATATCTGGAGTATCATGATTCCGACGGGTTTTCACGGTAGGTATAATACTAGAAAAAGAAAGGATATATAGTATAAAGATAACTAGAGCAAACATTATATATCTAGTAGTGTATAGCGTAGATTATAAGCCATCATACATAGGTTTGTTGAGTTATTTTGGTTATGTTAAGCTGGTATTCGTATTTTATTACGTATTTCTCAAATTTAGGATTTTTGCAGGTGGCCCGTAAAATTTCAGATGATTGACAACTGCAGCGCTTCTCCACGAAGAAATTTACTATGAATGACTAGAAAAAATGCAGTGGGAAATAGTTTTAGTGGAAGATACAATGATATCCCGTTGAAATGGTATCAGAGTTGATGACATGGAGTTATGGAGTCATGGTGATGGAGTGTTCAGATTGTGCTAAGTGTTGTACTTTATGATTCTTATTGTCTTTACCGTTGCCCAGTTTGCCCAGATTACAAAAGCTTAGCAACTCATCGGAAGTGTGTACACACTTCCTCTATAAGTTTAGTAGGTATGAACTTTAGCACTTGCTGCTTATAAATGGGGTATCAATAAGTGATTAACCATGTATGGAAACTCTGAGATCTGTGTGGATTACAATGTGTTTTACCGGTTGGTTCATTGGTTCATTGGTGGGCACTGGGTAATTAGTAATTTGCTAAATGTCTGATTGTCTGATTAGCGGCGCGCTCTCCCCATTCGTATTTACTTGTGGAGGGCATCGGTGAATCAAGGATTGACTACAAGCTGTTGTACGGTTCATGTTGAAAGTTCAGAAGTAGATTGAGATTAGAGATAGCCTAGATAGACTGTGTACTTGTCCGCTCTTTTGTGGTTTGAGATCGCTGAAATACTGGTTATTAGTATACTATAGTACCCTTGAATGTTAAGTAATTATTATAAGATAATTGCTTTTGTGTCATGAATAATTTTTAATTGTCAAAATTTATTTTGTGATATCCACAATCATAAATTATACTTCTACCCATTGGATCTATTTTCAAACTTGAATTTACATAAATATTATCCACTAGACTAATTTCAAAATGTTCATTTTGTACTCATAATTTATAAGGGCCTTGTCGTTAATTATAGTTTATGTTTCTACCTCAATTTGAGGTGCCAATTTGCTATATTCGTGAGAACTAATTATTATAATTATAAACAGCAGATTATATACATATATTGTTGATCTGATTTTTATTATAATATTGCACATGTTAAAACATTCTAAATTATAGATGTTGAAATCAAGATTGGATATTAGCTGAAAATATTCATACTTTAACTAGACATATCTCATTCAATATACATATAATTTCATTTTTAAACTAAATTATATTGAATTGTAGTATAAATTTTTTTCCGATTAAGTCGATCACCATTAATCAGTCTCTACGTTAAATAACATCTATATTGGCTTACTGTTATAATAAAATTTTGGGGTTTTGTTTGACTAAAAGTGAAATTAAATATTGTATATTATCCACGCCTAAGATAGACTGTGTAGTTATCCGCTCAGATGTGTTTTCAGATTGTATTCATAAGTGCATCGTGTTGTGTGTTGTTACTTTGAAATTTGCTTTTGTGTCAATAATATTCTAAAAATTGTGAACTCTTGGATCTTCAAATTTTAATTCTTATAAGAGTTGATTGTATTAATTAATATAAATATAAGGTGATTGAATACAAAACAGTACGTGGATCTGTAACATGATTGACACAGCATGATATTCATCAATATATATATATCAAGTTTTTTGATAAAATATTAACCATTCTTCTATTCTTTGGTTTTTTTTTGTGCTTAATGCTTAAATCACAGGCTGCTATATAATCTAGTATTGTACATTAATTGATGTACACTTTATTATAATACGTGTTGAAATATTAATTCAAATCATATAAGTTGAATTCATGGTTGGAAATTAGTTAAAGATAATAATTTGACTATACAAATCTGATTCAATATACATATAATTTTATCTTTAAATTTAAATTGTAGTTTAGTATACACTTATATGGTAATTACCTCAATGTTTTATGATTTTTAATTATCCGCTGAGTTAAATCATATCTATAATAGCTCATTATCATCGGTTCGTTCAGATCGAACTTGATTCTAGTACAATTATGGTATAATATTATCCGAAGTTTCATCTACATATAACCGCTGTATAATTAAGCTATCTATTTATGATTTAAAAGTGATTTGTTGTTATTCATAATTAGCCGCCCATATTATACTATGATTCATACTTGATACATTTGGTTTTGTGTAACTTCAAATTAATTGAAACAATTATATAAAAATTTCAACTAATATTTGAAAAGCTAATTTTGAAATCTCATTGTTACAATAATTTTCAGTAGTATAAGCATGCTTTAAAGTATAACACAGTTTATTTTTTGGTCAAAACAAAGTAACGTCCGAAAATATTGGTCCTTGTTTTATCAGTTAATTCCATTATGTATTCAGTAATTGATGTTATTGGAAATATCTGTTGGTTTTGAATTGGTGATCAACTAATTTAAGCATTTCAGGTTGATACCAATAAACATATTCACATATATTATAAAGAGATATTCTGTTGTTATCATATCCGCCACGGAATATATACTTGAATAATATGTTTTATCAATTTTAATCTTGATAATTTGTAGCGGCCATTATAAAAACAATAGACATACTTAATAATAGAAGTAGCTGCTAAAATCATATTTCCGAATGTCATATTCATATTTCCGAGATGAAGTTTTGAGGTCAAAATATTAAAACTAAATTATATGTCTATCCACAAGCGTTTTTAAAGAAAGTTAAAGTAAATTAATAATCCTGAGCTTCTGGATATTACTCTGATAGTAAAATTAGGACATAAATAAGAGTTTGAATTAATTTTCATAAATTTCAGTATAAAGATTATCAAATTTTAATCTTAAAAGTTATGATCAATAAAATTTTGAAATGTTTTTGAAAAACTGAAAATTTAGCCTAATTTATTGTTTTCAAGCGTTTCTCTGACTGTTTGGACCTTATTGTTAGTAAAAATACTAAATTTCATTGACTATGCATAGCTTTATTGATAAATTTGCAGATTCCAGTAGTAGCTCGCAGTTACCGGGCCCCGGATATAATTTAAGTTACTCATAAGCTGGCTATTTGGACTCTGTACTTTGAAAGTCGGAACGCTACGCTCGCTGCGCCTATTTCAATAATGATTGAATAGATAGGGTATATTAATATACAGTGTAGGTAGCTGAATTTTAAATCAGATAACAAAATGTATGTTCTTTCTTCAACTAATCATCATCGTTATACCGGTCAGTTTACTTTGTATACGCGACGAATCAGCTCTTTATTTATTCTACGATAAGCACATAAAGCTGAAAACGTATTAAGAATTATTAATTATTAAGATATTAAAGATCTATAAAAAGTAGGTTATATACATATAATTCATGGCCTGATTGAATTTCTTTATGATTGATTATTTGATGCACTTTCATTTGTAGTGATCTTTTCAATAGACCCAGCAACATTGTTTTGTTCAGGTTCTTCTCCTTCAGCTTCCTTTTCTTCTCTAGTCTTTGCAACATCATCAGCTTTTGGAACTTTATTATTTGAAAAAAATATAATGAAAATAAATCCAACACATGCAACTGCAGTAGCTGTTATGAAAACATTTTTCAAACTATCAGTAATTGTATTAAAGACAATTTCTTGAGAATCAAATGGTAAATTTTTAATAAGTGCAGGACTTGAAATTATTTTGGCAGCTTGTGATGAATCAATACCTTTTATGGCACCTTTCATAATTTGTTTTCTAATTTTATTTTTAAATGAAGCATTGAAAATAGCTTGTGATAAATCAGCTCCTAAGGCACCACCAAAAGCTCTACTAAAATTCATCAAAGACGAAGTTAAAATTGTACCACCAGCTTCTTTTGGTGCATTCAATTGAGATGACATCATACAAGTTTGCATCCCAATACCAACATAAGCACCTGGTAAGATCAAAAGACCAATCATTTTACCATTTGAAGCATCAGCTTTTAAAAGTGTTAAACAACCAACACCAACACAACCGAAAATACCACCAACAATAGCATATGGTTTTATAATTCTTGTGGTTTTAATTAAGATACCTGTACCAATAACGAAAATAATTGTTGGTATAATCATTGGTAGTAAGTGAACACCTGTATCAAATGCATCATAACCACGAACAACTTGGAAATAAGTTGAAATAAAAGTTGCAATACCCATAAAACAATAGAAGTTTAAAAATAGTGCAAAAATTGGAATAGTAACATATGGATTCTTAATAACAAACCATGGAATAATTGGTGCTTTTGAAAATTTGAAATTCCAAACGAGGAATAAAATCATTAAAATACCACCAATTATAAACATTGCAATTACAGCACCTGAATTCCATGAATATTCAACACCACCAAAAGTTAATGCTAATAAAAAGATAACAATACCTGCAGTCATTAGGAAAGTACCAACATAATCTAAAGCTTTTAATTTTTCCTTCCATGTACCTTTAGCTTTTGGTGGATTGAAAAACCAAAATAATAAAGCACCCGCTACACCACCAATAGGTAAATTAATATAAAAACACCATCTCCAAGTTGAATGTTGAGTGAAAGCACCACCAATTAATGGACCTGCAATAGTGGAAATTGCAAAAGCTAAACCTAAAATTGAAAAAATTGTTGATCTTTGATGAATTGGTGCAACTTCTGTAGCTACAATAAATGTTAAAGTTTGAATACCACCACCTCCAATACCTGCAAGAATTCTACCACCAATAAGAACATTCATATTTGGAGCCAATGCACACATCAAAGAACCTGCTTCAAATAATACTAAAGCTGTCATTAAAGAATATTTTCTACCCCATGTTATAGCAATACGACCCCATGTAGCTGCAAACACACACATGGTAAGCATATAACCTGAACTAACCCAACCAATTTTTTCATAAGCATGAAATTTATTACCAACAGTTTCTAAGATTGTAATGACAATGGTTTGATCTAAACCTATAAGGAATAATGTAGCAAAGCATGATAAAAGACATAAATATAATGGTGCACCATGTAAATATTGATCATAAGTTGTTGTACCGTCTCCCGCATTACTTTCATAAAATTTTTCTTTAACTTTTTGTAACTTTGTTTGATCTGTTGTTGTTTGATTCTCTATATCATTTACGGACATCTTGAGATTGATTGTGGCTTGATTGAACTGATGTGAACCATATTCAACATTTTCTTCACTTCATTTATGAAACTGGGTTTTATCGTTGTATTTATATTAACCATATAAATTGTTGATCTTATTAATGAAGATAAATTTTATTTTCTATGTCAAATTTTATCGGCCGACGTAAATAACGTAAATAAAGCGCATTTTAGACGGGTTTATAAATCTTTACACGTAAGTTATCGTGCGAAATGTGTCCTCGACCATTATTCAGCGATTACATCAGCGCCATTTCAAGTTCAAGTTCATCATGTTGATTTGTTAGTTGTATTTATTTGTTTCAGTGTTATTTCACTTTAGGTAAAACTTTGACTATAACTGTGATTCTAAGCCAAATTCAGATTAACAATATGGGTGAATAATATGTCACTTCTTTGGACACTGGCGCTTATATAATTAGATGCATACCCTCATGTATTTGTTGTTATAGGTCATGGGTGTTGAATGTGTCAATTCTTTCAAGGGTGATGCGTTTTGACAAAAGTTATCAATAAATCTGACAAAGCCAAAAGTTACAACTCAGAATAAGAATCTGGTAAATGGCCATGTGATGCTCATAATGATATTAATGGAAGATCAAAGAAACAAACATGGAAAGGTGGCTGGGAAGATGGTTCTTGTGAATGAATATGCTTATGATCTTTGATGTTATTCATTCACTTGATAAATAATTGTATATAGAATAAATATAACAAATAAAACATGAACATCGGAAAACTACAAGTTAATTCAAATTTATTAAAGAAATTATTAATGATCAAATGGGAAATCAGATTACACTATAACCAGAAAGGCTTTAATAATTGATTCCATTTGATCTTGTATATTGCTGTAAACAAAATTATAATGCTTCAACATCAAATGTTTTTGAAGAGAGATCGAATGATGAACTCTCAAGCACTACCATATTGGTCAGCTTACCTTTCAGCAGTAAGCGTTTTCACACCATTGGTGACACAGTTATTAAATATCATGGAAAGTGTAAAAGAAAACGTTGCAACAATGCTGAAATGGATATATAAATTAGTAATTAAGATTTTTAAGGATCCTTTGTCGTATTTATACAGGAGAAATTAACATGGCGGCTAATTTAATAAATTCTATATATATTTATAAAGTAATTTGAACTATTTCCCAATTCTAATCCCGGGATAATGTTTATAAATCCCCATTTTTGTAAACCACGTCGACGTCAGCTTCATGATTTTAATTAATCGCCACTTTTTTGTTGATCCAAACTTTTACAAAGATGCTTTTTACACATTCAACGAGCTGATAAATTCTCTGATATAGTCATGTTCAAAAAAGTTTGTGGTTAAGTTCATATATATCACATAAGATTATACTTGTTTACTATATTGACAATAATCTCTTTTCTATGATCTTGGAATTCGAATACAATTCTATCTATGTGTTATATATTATACTTGATATCTATATAATTAGTTTTGACATTTTGGTATTTGAAATACTTGAGATGGAAGAAATTTATATCATTATAGTATCATAATACACATATAATGATGAATCTCTTTTTATATAATTTTAAACATGTATGTGATTGTGAATTTGGATTTTGGATTTACTTTAATGTAAATTGTATGATATAGTTTGATACGCTTGATAAATACTTGTATATATAATTCATGAATATAGAAAGACTACAATTTAACTCGAGTAATCTAATGAAAACATTAATGATCAAAAGGGAAATCAACTTAATCTAAAGAGGAATGTCGATTAGCTTTAATGATTGATTACATTTGATCTTGTATATTGCTGTAAACACAAACACTTCAACATCATATGTTCTTAATCATGAAACTATGATTTGTGCAGCTGTATAACTTGGTATGACACGGAATATGGTAGAATTGCTTCCCCAATCGAGGATATTCAACGAAGAGGATCACATTTGGATTATATTCTCAGTATATTTGAGAGTCAAAGGTTCTATTTTTTCAAATAACTCTTAAATAAGTACAAGATCGAGATTTTTATAGGATCTGTTCCATATTTATATACAAAAATTAACAGGCCGCCGGCGGTTAATTTAACAAACCGCAAACTTAAATATCTTTTAGAAATGACCATAATCATGTACAGATAATTCAAGTAAATCAGCCTCAAATTTAGTTTATAAAAATATCAAACGCTAGATTTGTACATTCTCGATATGATCTAATGATTTCATTCATGAACTATAATTCCTTATAGGTAGATATATAGCTCACTATATTTGTAATTGTAGTATAAGTGATCATTAAATTCCCAAGTACTCCCGGGATATAATAAATTAAAGTTTAATACGTTCCCCTTTTTGTGTAATTTCTTAATATAAATCAAATTCAAATCGCCTTGATTTCTAATTAAAATTCTTCTCTACTATTATATAAACAGTTATTGATGATTTAATGAAAACTCTCCTGATTCTGCTTTTGAACAAATGAGACTGAAATCTCTATGTGAATCAATAGTGAACCTGACGTCTGTGGGTTCAATTTTTGTGGTTCTGTACCTTAAGAATTGATTGATGTATGATCTCAAACTTATTTATTACAAATGATATACTTGTTAGCTATAAGAGTCTCTTTCATGTGATCTTGATATGGATCTAGTTTGATCCTATATGCTTTACATACTTGATGATTTTTGACATTGTGGTATTTCAATTATTTGAGATGGAGGAAATCTATATCAGAATACACATAATGATAAATCTCCTTTTTAATCAATATTATAAACAACATGTAGAGATTATTTAACTCTAAATTTCTTGTCTGATATAGGTTTATTATACCTTTGTTATCAAATTATAAATCAGCTTTTGATAATGTGTCACTTTGATAATCGACACTCTTTATTACACTTTACATCTTTTGTATAAGATGGTGATTATATATCTGTCTAGTAAGTTACCAGACTAATATCGATCAACTAAATGGAGTACTACAAGTTAAATCAAGGTATTTGAAGAAATCATTAATAATCAAATGATCTATCAATTAACAGAAACTTTGAATAGCTGTATAGTTGATTTCATTTAATCTTGTATATTTTTGCCAACACAATTATATACTTCAACATCATATAACATTAATTCGATAAATTGAGTTAATGTAACTCAGGCTAAGGATATTCAATATGATTGTGTTGTTGTCAATAATAACTTAAAATGTGTCAATTAAGTCATTTGTGAAAGAGATCATAATTCTATTAAAAACCAAGAAGAATTCAAATTACAAAACTCCTGCTGACAGGTTATAAAAGCTGTTATAATATAGTATTCATGCAGTCCACAATTTTCATTATGATTACAACCGCAACGATCAATATTTGCTATAAAGATTCCAAGACTGTTCTAAAAGAAAGTTATCAATAAGTTTGTGGATTTTGTATCGTATTTATATATCTAGAGAAATTAATACAGCGGCTAATTTAACAAATTCTATTTGTGTTTCTAGTAATTATTGAATCATTTCTCAAGGAATCCCGGGATTTCGATTTAAATTAATTAAGATAGATTCTGTCTTTGTGTTCTTTTATTGCAACATTTTATTGTAACAATCGTGTTGTTTCTTACATCTCTTAATTTCATTGCAAAAAATAATAAAATTGTTGACACTGCATGGTTTGATACTATACCTTCATTGAATAAACTATTGAACAACATTATGTGAATAATCTATGCAATTGGAGCTTAATTTTTTGATGTTATACGAGCTGTCCACTTTCAAATATTGTATAAAATGATACAAGTTTTGATCAGTATCTCTTTTATATTTATAAATTTTGAAATGTTTGAGTATAGTTTTATCCATGTGTTTTATATGCTTGATATTGATGCTTCTTGAAATATTGAGCTATTGTTTGAGGTTGAAGAACTTTATATCACAATACACATAATGATAATTCTCCTTTTATTTAAATCAAAATTGAAGATGTAGTACTTGTAGCTTTGAATTGGGTGTATTTGAATGTATTGTATGATATAGTTTGATACACCTATATCAAATTATAATTTTTTTTGGAAGCGCTACTTTAACCGTAGACAACTAGGATTAAACCTAAATACACCCTTTGTGAAATAATGTTAACATTATCCAGTGATAATTATTCCAAAACTTTGAATTCTTTAGCCACAACAAATCAACCAGCTCAGTTATTTAACCAAAATAATTAAACAAATAACACATATGAAGTTTATCTAAACGATCTAATATCTTTCGTAGACCGGTACCAAAGAATTCAACTCATCAATACGATATTACGATCGATAATCAAGATGATAATATGCTTCTTTCAAACCTTCTTTCATCCGAAACTTCATGTCAAAAGCTCAACGTTAATAAATTTTAGTGTTGTTTACATATGGAACAATAGGAAAAATTGGAGGATCGGAAAAAACTTCACATATAACAACACAGTTTTTGGAACAATATAAGTTACTACCTAAAGCTAGTGCCACATAATTTAATCAAAGATGGTGTTTAATACACTGGATATCAACTTATCTAATGATAACAAAGGAATCCATAATTTTATTCCGTTGTTCGCTTATAGATCTAATTAATTTATCCATACGTGAAACGTTAAAGCAGATTTAAAGGTTGCACGCAATTCCGATAGTAATTTTATGTCAAAATTTTTTTTTGCAAGCCGTTTCAGAAGACGCGTTTAAAAAAAGAATTTGTATATAATTTACGGCGTTTAAATCATGGCTTATTGCTTATATAGCCATAACAAGTTAAACCCACAAGCTTTTATAGGTTGAATGAAGTAATAGGTAAATAGGCTATAGTTGTAGAACCAATCAAAGTGATATCACCTTATTCAAATGTTGTTTGTTGTTTGTGTGGTTTAATTTGCTTGTGGTGTAGCTTTGATAGCGCAATTTAGATCGATCCGAATACTAACGGTAGGCATTTGCTCAACAAAAGAATATCTCCACTGAGGAGATTGTGATGGAGTATTAGCTTAGGAAAAGAATAGAAGTTGTTGATACCTATGAGTCACTGGAGATTAGGAATAAACGTTGATATTAATACCAGCTTACCCAATACCATGAACCATACCTTTTGATCCTAATGTCCATCTCGATAGTGTCAAATTCACAGCTTCTTCAACGGAGTCAATCGAAGTGGTTGTTGAAATTCCGTTGTTCGGAAAAGTGAAAAGTACTGGGAAATTGGAAATAGAGGGGAGCGCTGCTGAGCTGCCAGTCGTGTAGCACTTCTCTTTTCGGCCACCCGGGTGGATCCGTTTGAGCAGAGAACCAGAAGTTAATTGGGGTTTTCATTCAAGTTTAAAAAAAATCCGAGTTTAAAAAAATACTTCCCGTACCAATTCTTCGCGAACTTTTTTTCAAACTTGGACCAGGTTGAAACTTTCAAAGTGGCGACGTCTAATTTTTTTTTTGAGACGTCGCCACGTTGAAAAAACGTTGAAAAAAGGTCAATAAAACGGCGAACATCCAGCTAAAATTAAAAAAAATACTACAGTATAGAATTTCAGAAATTTATCTTGTAGATAATTGATTTTCAGTCAAAATTGACCCGTTTTTAGTTGTCTAATATGACTTTAAAACTGGGACCTTGTGTTCACTCAACTACAAGATTTATCGATCGTTAAAAGTTTAAATTTCTTTGCGTGGCTTTATCAAATTTGGATTTTTTTTAAACTCCATTTTTTTTAAACTTGAATGAAAACCTCAAATTAAATAGAGAAGATTAAATGGTGACAAGTTGATGGTAGTAATATGACACTACTATATCCAATCACCAGTGTCTATGTAGTTGAATAATCACAGTGTTTAGTGCTTACTTAGGATCCACCTTTAGCCTATTGTTCCCCAGATCACCAACTTTCCACCCGTAAATTGTATGAGCATCTCTGTTAAAATTGCACTCTCTTAAACTTCAATTCCAACACCGGAACAATTTGGATAAACTATACGCATTGATACGCGAAACATTGATCTAAAACTTCATCGAAAAGAGAATAATTTTACACCACACAAAGTTATGATAAATAAAGAACTTTTGCTACATATTTGCACTTTTTGTAGAAAAAACTTACCCATGCTCTATCCTGTTTGTTCCATGATTACTCAATAGATTTAATCGTACTCGAGATCGGACATTTCAATTCAATATTCATTGTTATCATTATAGCATCCTTCCATCCATATATATACACTTGAATATTCCCTTTTAATAAAAAATATCATACATACAAAGATGTTGAGTTCTAAATCAATTCATCAAATTTCAAAAAGATCATTATACAAAATGACTATATCACAACCTCAATCAAGATCTTATACTTCTCCAACAAAGCAAAATAAAGCAACTGCTTCTGTTACATTAGATAATACAATGGGTCATCATCCTCATACCAATGAAATTAAAAAACCAATTGGTCTTGATGCTAAATTACAATTCAATACTCCAAAAAAGACAAGATTAACAGTTGAAGGTCCTATTGAATGTTCTCTTAATGGTTTCCAATTATTAAATTCTCCTTTATTCAACAAAGGTTCTGCATTTACTTTAGAAGAAAGAGCTGCTTTTGGTCTTGAAGGTCTTTTACCAGCCCAAGTTAATACATTAGATGAACAAGTTGAAAGAGCTTATAAACAATTATCATATTTGAAAACTCCATTAGCCAAGAATGATTTTTGTACTTCAATGAGAATTCAAAATAAAGTTTTATTTTATGAATTAGTTAGAAGACATATTAGAGAATTAGTTCCAATCATTTATACTCCAACTGAAGGTGATGCTATTGCTGCTTATTCTCATCGTTTTAGAAAACCTGAAGGTTGTTTCTTAGATATCACTGATCCAGATTCAATTGATCGTCGTCTTGCTAACTTCGGTGAAGATAAAGATGTTGATTATATCGTTGTTAGTGATGGTGAAGGTATCTTGGGTATTGGTGATCAAGGTGTTGGTGGTGTTAGAATTGCAATTTCTAAATTAGCTTTACAAACTCTTTGTGGTGGTGTTCACCCTGGTAGAGTTATTCCAGTTTGTTTAGATGTTGGTACAAATAATAAAAAATTAGCAACTGATGATTTATATATGGGTAATAGATTCCCAAGAATTAGAGGTGAAGAATATGATCAATTTTTAGATAAATTTATTCAAGCTGTTAAAAAAAGATTCCCAAGTGCAACTTTACATTTTGAAGATTTTGGTGTCACTACAGGTCGTCCATTATTACAAAGATATAGAAATCAATTGGCTTGTTTTAATGATGATATTCAAGGTACTGGTGCTGTTGTTATGGCTTCATTAAGTGCCGCATTGAAAAACACTGATAGAGATTTATTAGATTCTCAAATTTTAATTTATGGTGCAGGTTCAGCTGGGTTAGGTATTGCTGATCAAATTACAAATCATATGGTTACAAAAGGTTTAACTGTGGAACAAGCTAAGGCAAGAATTCATTTAATGGATGTTCGTGGGTTAATTTTGGATAATATGGCTGAATCTTCAACTCCTGATCAACATTCATATTCAGATCCTGCTAAAGATTGGGAAGGTTATGATACAAAATCTTTATTAAAAGTTGTTTCTGAAATTAAACCAACTTGTTTAATTGGTTGTTCTACTCAAGCTGGTGCTTTTACAAAACAAGTTATCCAAGAAATGTATAAACATAATCCAAGACCAATTGTTTTCCCATTATCAAATCCAACAAGATTACATGAAGCTTTCCCAGTTGATATTATGGAATGGACTGATAATAATGCTATGATTGCTACTGGTTCTCCATTTAAACCAGTTGATGGTTATGTTATTTCAGAAAATAACAATTGTTTTGCATTCCCAGGTATTGGTCTTGGTTCAGTTTTATCTCGTGCTAAAATTATTAGTGATACAATGATTTCCGCAGCTGTTGATCAATTAGCTGATTTATCACCATTACCAAAAGATCCAAAAGCTGGTTTATTACCACCATTAGAAGTTATTAATGATACAAGTGCAAAAGTTGCTGCAGCTGTTATTTTACAAGCTTTAAAAGAAGGTAATGCAAAAATTGAAGATGAAATTCAACCAGGTAAAGATGAATATGTTAAAGTTCCAAGAGATTTTGATTCTTGTGTTGAATGGGTTAGATCTCAAATGTGGAAACCTGAATATAGACCAATGATTAAAGTTGAACATAGAGAAGATATTCATACTCATCAATATTAAGTTTCATATTAATCTGTCTTTAATTCAATAATATTTTGTGTTCATACTCATTGTGTTTTTCTTTTTTGTTTTTCAGGGAGTTTCCTTTGGTTTTTTCATTCATATTCTGCATTTATATCATTTGATTTAATTTAATTTTCTACGTTGTTTTGAGTCGTTTGTTTTTATCATTAAATTTAAAAGTACATTTTTTAATAATTATAGATTGATATATAGTTATACAATCAATTTCAAGTTAATATATATAATTAATATCAAAAATTCATCATGATGAAAGTATTTGTTGATTGTAGTTTAAAGTATGCTAGTGAATCCACTGATATTAGTTCATTCGTTTATTATACGAGACCTAATTCTGAATATCACTGACTATATAAAGGACCATCATGGTTATAATAACTACATGATAATTATACCGCAAAAATTGGCAGCCACTATCATGAAATCTGGGCCACCATCTATTTAATATACTTCATGGCCTTCTTTTATATTTGTATACCAGGTGAACTTTTTATCTTGTGATTTAATTGTCTAGACTTTATAGTATATTTTTCACTTTTTCGTAAATTTGTGCAATTCTGTCCCAATTTGGTAATTTACGTCTCTGACGTTCCTGCATTTTAACATTTTACCCTTTATTACCCATTACAGTAATCGTATTCACGAAAATAACGAAATTAAAACGCGTAAAATTCTATTTTTGTTCAGGGCCCTTTTTTACCCAACTCGGCTGTTCGAAGATGTTGAAATTGGATCTTTTGTTGAAAATGTATAAACAAAATAATTGAAATTTAAACTTGATTTGAACCAATTTTTATATAATTTGAAGTCTCTAAGTGTTTGAAATTGATCATTAGATTATAAAGAGGTATCATGAATGAGGTCAAGAAGATTACTAAGTTGGTTAATAAGAATAGAACAATTAAATTAACGTTATATGCATTATTCATAATTACAATAACTTATCAATTTTATTCATCAATTTTCCAAATATCAAATGAAAATAATAGATTTTTCAATAAATTAATATATAACAACTCTCCTAAAAAATTAAATGATAAACCTGATTCATTATTTGCCATTTCTAAAAATCCAATACCAAATAATCTACCCAATGATGCTACATTAAGACAACAATTACATTACCAATTCCCATATGATCCAAATCAACCATTCCCAAAAATCATATGGCAAACTTGGAAAGTTCCATTAACTTCTGCTGATTTTAAATCAAGTTTTAGAAGATATACAATTCAATGGAAAGAACAAAATCCAGATTATTTATATAATGTTATACCAGATTCTGCAGCTCATGAATTAATTAATAATCTTTATCAAACAATACCAAAAATTATTCATGCTTATAATATATTACCAAAGACTATCCTCAAGGCTGATTTTTTCCGTTATTTAATTTTATTCGCTCGTGGTGGTGTTTATTCAGATATAGATACAGTTGGATTAAAACCAATTGATTCATGGGTTTCACAAAATAATACAATTTTTGATAAAGTAAACAATGCAGGTGTTGTTATTGGTATTGAAGCTGATCCAGATCGTCCAGATTGGAATGATTATTATGCAAGACGTATACAATTTTGTCAATGGACTATACAAGCAAAACAAGGTCATCCAATGTTGGGTGAATTAATTGCTAAAATTACAGAAATTACATTAGCTAAGGAGAAAGATGGTTCATTAAATAAAATTAAAGGTAAAGATGCTGGTGATGATATTATGAATTGGACAGGTCCTGGTATTTTCACAGATGAAGTTTTCAAATATTTAAATGAAGTTATTTCATTAGATCAATCTGTATCAATTATAAATAAAACACCAGAAAATGAATATAATAAAGGTTTAAACATTTTCCAAGATGGTGTTGATTGGAAATTTTTCACATTAACTAAAAAGCCAATTGTTCTTGATGATGTTCTTGTATTACCAATTACAGGTTTTAGCCCAGGTGTTGGACATATGGGTTCTAAATCAATTACTCATGAATCTGCTTATGTTAGACATATGTTTGAAGGTAGTTGGAAACCAGAAAATGAAAAACATATAGGTGAAGGTAAGAAAGAGAAGAAAGATAAATGATTAGTGTTTGATTTATGATATGATAAAAATTTAATGAATAGAAATAATAAAGTTTGAATTTTGTAGTTTTACGTAGGTTTAATAAAATGTCCAGAATTGGGGGTTATAATTAATAAAATTATATAATTAAACTTATAAACAAAATGATTGAATGAATACATGATAAAATTGAATAGAGAAAAGACATAAAAACCAAATTGAAATATTGCCCTGTACATCAAACAAAAGAAACAACAACAACTAAGAATGAAATAAAATTATGAACTAATATAATTTATGAAATTATAAAATTGTACAACTTGATTTCTTCTTTTTCTTTTTAGGTTGTGATTGATTACCATTAGTACCATTTGAAACTTTACCTAAAGGTTTTGGATTAACTTTTTGTCTTGAACCATTATTATTTGATACATTTATTGAAGAGTTTTTATGCTGTATTGGGGTTTGTTGTATTGATTGTGAAGATGAAGTAGTTCTTTGAGTTTGATTTCTTGGACTTTGTGAGTTTAATACACCATTTTGTGGAGTATTTGGATTTGTATTGGAATTATTATTAAGTTCTTGTTCTTTTGATTGAGCTTCTAATGATTCATTTCTCATTATTTGTCTAACAACATCAATAAATGATTCATCAACATTAGTTTTATGCATTGCACTTGTTTCATAAAATGGTACTCTACCCCAATTTTCACTAATCTTGATACCATCAGCTGGTTGTAAAACTCTATCTTCAACTAAATCACATTTATTACCAATAAGTACCATTGGAACATTTGTTGAATCTTTAATTCTTAAGACTTGTTCTCTTAAAGCTAATAATTCTTGTAATGAACTTTCATCATTAACACTATAAACTAATAAAAACCCTTTACCAGATTTAATATATAATTCTCTCATTGCAGTAAATTGTGCAACACCTGCAGTATCCAAGATTTCTAAATCACAAGCACGACCATCAACTTCAATTTGCTTTCTATAAGAATCTTCAATTGTTGGATCATAACTATCAATATAAACACCTTGAACAAATTGTACGGTTAATGAAGATTTACCAACACCACCGGCACCAAGGACAACAATTTTATAATCTAGCATAATTGTTAGTATTGGGATCTTTTTAAATGGACTAATCTATGTGTCAAAATGAATATCTTATGAACAAAGGGTTCTAGAGTTCCAAGGGTTTAAACTTGTTTCTGATATAGTCGTATGCTGTATAACTGAAATATTGACCAAAAAAAAAGTTTATTCAAATTTTCAAGACACTAGATCCGGGAATCAAGAATCAAGAATCAAACCTCAAAGAATGCTCTTTCCTTAGTTTCATTTTAGTTCATAATATTCAAAACTAAATTACATACCTCTCATATTAATAAAATTAGTAATAAAATATATGAACTAATGATAAACGTCTCACGTTTTTACTTTTGAAAGAATGAGCTTAATTAAACAGACTAAGGATGTTAAACTTATGGAATATGATATACTTGATGTATGACTTTCTAATGAATATCACAATATCAGATATATGCCAATTTGTGTGGGATTGAAGACTTGAAAGTTATAATGTGGAATGTATAGCCAATCAATATATAGCCAGATCTATGAAAAAAACGATTGATATGAAATGAAATGCAAACCAACTTGTTATGAGATGCTCTTTGAACGACTAAGGCAGTATAAGATTATGTGACTGGAGAAAGTATATAAGAACTTGTGAGTATAAATGGTGTTTCTTGTTTTATTCGAGATTTTAAATTTAAATTTCATTTTTTTCGTTATCCACAAAACTTTTCATTACCGTTTTAGGCAATTTGCAGATCTAAAACGTATACTGGGAATTGAAGAAGAAGATGAACATGGGTTTAAAGTAGTCATAAATTAGGTGTAAACAGCTTAAAACATAGTATAGCATTGTGTTTCAGTACCATATTGTATATTTCTGAAAAAACCGCAGCTTCATACCCAAATTTCTCATTATTTCCCATTTTTTCAGTTCCTGATGAGACGCGTTTTGTACTGAATTTTAAAGATCTCGATTTAAATTTTAGTTAACGCCTCAAAATATGCACTAAAATTACGAATTTGGCCATGGAATACTACTGGTGAAATACTAGTGGTTATCAAGCTGATGATAGGCTGGTCTTGTGGGGAGTGTGTGGGCTGGAATGCTCTCCGTTGATGAGATGTTCAGCAGTGTAGTCCTTAGTTTGAACAGGGCTCTACATCATTATGGGTCAGTGAAATATGTACAAGTTTATATTATTTACAAGTTTATAATCTATTGTGTCAAGGATCTGTGGATCTTAGCAATGGCTGTTCTGACTGAACTTTGACTAGCCTTCCATTCAGTTTCAACAACTTTCCAATCAACACTCTTCATGATTTCACCAATGTTTTTAGCTTTACCTTCGGATTGTAAACCTTTAATTAAATCAGTAACTTTAGTTTCAATTTCTTCAATTGAAGCAACTGGTAATTGATCAATATAAGATTTAATGATTTCAATTTCTTTTAATTCCTTTTCGACTAAATCATCTCTTTTATTATCTTGGTATTCTTTAACTGATTCATTTCTTTGGTTAATGAATTTATTATATAATTCAAAAAGTAAAAATTCATTATGATTTGCTGGCTTAGTATCGATTTCCTTGTTCTTGATACCAGACATCAAACCTCTGATAGTGTCTTTCCTTGGAAAATGTTGTTAGTCTACATCCTCTTTTTCTTCCCACAAGATCATTATTATTACTCACTTTAATGTATCTTTGGCCAACATGGCTTTCTTTAAATCGGTCTTTAACAAAGCCAAAGCATCCTTATAAACACTTGATGATTGGAATCTCACAAATTGTAAAGAACTAGCTCTGACTGGTCTAATAACTCTTGAAAACATGATAGAAAGTTGAGTCAATCAAGTAAAATATCAATCAAATTATCTTAAAAAGTGTCAAATTGTATGGGAAATTTCGGTTCTTTAACTTCGAAATTTCTTTGGCAGTAAAAAAATTAAAATTCGCGGTTTTTTTATTGACATACAAATTTATACACCAAGATTCAAATTAGTGGCAGGCATTTACTACTTTATATAAGAGATTGTGCGCTGTTCAATGGGGGTATTGGTGATGGTAGTACTGGTGCTATAATTATTGCTTAGAATTGAGCGAATTGTGCTCAAAATTTGACGGTCTGAGGGTGTTTTGTTGTGTCCTGGTGCTTATCATAAAGTTATTTTACAAAACACAAAAACCACAAAGAGGAAAAAAGTATCATATATCTGAGGTGATGAAATTTAAGCTATTGATAACCTGTCACTATGGATCACTTTGACTAATACGTGAATTCAGCTCCTACCAATTGCATATCTCTTTGCTAGCTTAAATCATGCTTGATTTCACAAGTTTACCAGATGAATTAATAATTAAAATTTTATATCAACTTGATTCTTCAGATTTATTAAATTTATTTAGAATTAAGGCACTAGATCCAATTTGGTCAAATTTGATTGTTGTTAATGATGATTATAATTTTAAAGAAATTGAAGATTTTAATTTGAAGAATATTGGTGGTAAGAATGGATTTTATCAACATGGAGTGGATAGAAGGTTAAGAATTCCTCATGGGGTATTGACAACTGATTGGTGTTCCCATAAAAATTTGAAATATCAATTTAAACCACTGTTGGTTCTTTTGGTGGTTAATGATTTAACTCGTATTGTTTATTGGGTTAGAACAATGATTTATTTGTTCACACTAGGTCAATCAACTCTGTTTATTATTCATTGGAATGATCATACTTGTGCCTCCAAGGTTGAAGAGATTGAAAATGATAGTAATGATAGTGATTATAGTTATCAATTAAGACATCATAAAACTCATACACTTTATACAGATCGATTATTTGAAATTTTAAAAATTTTCCAAGATAAACTGAAGATATTATCAATTTATGCTGAAAGTGTTTTCGATTTAAGAGTACAATCAACTCAGTTTTTAAATCTTGTTGATAGAATTAATTTTCCCAATGTTGATTGTTTATCATTCTCTCAAAGTTATTGGAATCCAGAACGTGAGGAAGAATGTAATAAATTAACTACACCACATTTTATAACTCCAGCTTTAAAAGATTTATACATTCAAGATTGTTTTAGATCAATAGATTTAAATAACTTCAATCCACCAGAATCAATAATGTTTAGTTCGGGTACTTCAATTAAACCATCAAATTTAATATCAAATGATTATTTATTCCTGAAACTAAAGAAATTATTTTTAAATAATGTTAAAAATGCAATTAAAAAATGTTCATTCCCAGTTCTTGAAGAATTACATGTTTGTTCCACAATTTCTAATCAAATCTTAACAATGGAAGATTTAAATGCACCTGAATTAATAACTTTACAAATTGAAAGTAATTACCTGAATTTACATTTACATAATTGTGAATTCCCAAAATTATTTAATCTTCACATCGAAATTAATGGTCAATTATGTTTATTAGATAATTATATACCAAATGTGGAAAATCTTACTATAGGTGGTTGTGATGAAACTGAAATTGAAAGTTTCAAAATTGAAAGAAAAGCTGCATTTACAGGATGTATTCTAGAAAAATATAAACCAAGACTTTTCCAAGCTGGTAATAATTCTCCATTATTAGCTGATGAAAAATATTCATTCCCTAAGCTAAGAAGCTTAAACTTAAAATCAAATTTATGTCAATTTAGAATTTTAAAACAAATTGATTTGGAATTGTTGAATAATTTGAAAATTACACAGGTTTTAAATCAAAGTCTTTCATCACTTAATTCTTTCAAATTTAATGGGTTGAAAAGTTTACATATTGATTCTATCTTGCATGAAAATGGGTTTGATGCTACAATTAATTTAAATGCACCTAATTTAGAAACATTATATATACAATATGGTGAACGGTATGATATTTTACAATCAGGGAAACAAGTTTATGCAATGAATTTATTTGATAATATAACTGAATGTTTTCCTCAATTGAAACATTTATATTATGATGGTCCATTTTTATATTCCAAAGGGCTAATTAATAAGCCTATTCAATTGTTCAAGAATTTCAATTTATTAAAATTAGAAAGTTTAATATTAGATTTCCATACAGAGGAAATTTTCTTTGCAATTGAAGGGAATCATAGAATTTCAAAAGTTTTTCATATAATTTTTGAAAATTGTAACTTACCTTTGATTGAATCATTAATGATTCGTGCTCCAAAAAATATTAAATTGGAAACTTCATTGCCATTAGAAATTTCTTCCCCCAAATTGGAAAATCTTTGTTTGAATAATGCCTTTTTAGATGATTATATTCCAGTTACTATTGATTCACTGGGGAAAATTAAATATTTAAAGAATTTAAGTATTGCACATATCCAATAAGTGTGTTTATTTTTCGAGTATACAATCATTACATTACAAATTTTATGTTCTTTTTGTACTTTCTTTTTCTAAATATTCTGTCCATAAAGAAACAAAACTTTCTCTCGAAGCTCTTTTTGCACTTGAATTATTTTGAATTAATCCAGCTTGAACTTTTTTATCTTCATCCCAATTTAAGAAATTTGAAATTAATTGTAAAACTTCAAATTTTTTAGTATCACCTCTTGGAATTTGTAAGAATGAAATTAAAAGATTTGTAATTAATTCTCTATCAACTGTTTCTGAGCTACTATTTCTCTTGATCAATTGTAATGCTTTAGTTAAATGTTCATTCAATATAACAGCTTCATGTCTTAATTTCCCAATTTGTAATTGTTTTTCTTTTAATTCTTGTTCTAATTTATTTGATTTATTTGAAGATTCTGTTAATTTTTCATTTTCTTGAGTTAATTCATGAAATGAAGTTTGTGTGGTTAATAATTTATCTTCTAATTGTTTATATGCTAATTGATGAGATTCTAATTGAGATTGTGCGTTTTCATTAGATTTTTTTAAATTTTCAGTTAATTCTTGAACCTTGGAATCTTTTGAATTGATTATTGATTGGAATTCTTCAATTTGTGTTTTCAAATCTTTTACTTGATCATTTAAATCATTAATTTCATTATTTAATGAAGAATTTATTAATTTATCATTTTCTAACGTTATTAAATATTCTTCATTTGTTTGTTTTAAAGTTTCAATTTCATGAGTGAATTTATTATATGATGATGATATTTGTGATTGTTCATTATTCCATTCATTTTCCCTTGATTCATATTCTTTACGTAAATTTGTAAGATCTTGACTGAGACGATCACATTCAGAATTAAGATCTATACTTTCTTCTTTTAATAATTTTAAATTTTTTTCTAATTCTGATTTTTCATGTGATAAAGTTTCTGTTTTATTTTTAAGAGTCATGTTTTGTTTTTCATATTCTGATAATTGTTCTTGAGTTTGTTCTAATTCAACTTGTGCTTCTTTCATTTTACTAAATACAGATTTCATTGAACCTAACCTACTTAATAAAGCTTCATATTGTGCCTCGACTTTTGATTTGGATTCTTCAGTTTCTTGAAGTTTTGTTTTCAGTTGTTCTAATTCTTCGTTACTTGATGGTGATTGTGTAGTTGGCTCAGTAGTTTCAACTTTAGGTTTATCTTGTAATTCTTGTTCCTTTTCAGATAATTGTAATGTTAATTGTTGAATCTTTTCCTCTAGTTCTTTGATTTTATCTTGATCTTCAGCATTATTTGAGGCATTACCATTACTCAAACTTGAATCTACCACTTCAGATTGTATCTCCTCTTGTTTGGTACCATTTTCCATGGTTTCACTTTCATCTTTATTGTTTTCCACTGATTCAACAGCTTCAGATTCTAAACTTTTATCTTCCTCCACCACAGATTCCACAGGTTTAGCAGGTTCTGCTGGTTTTTGTTGGTTGTTCGAAGCGTTCCCGCTCTTCTTCTTGTTGTTCTTCTTTGCCATCGTGCCAATACCTCTTAATTCTTTGGGTCCTCTACCTTAAATCTTTTCAAAATACCTGTTCAACCTCTGTTTCTGCTTATGTGGTATTAAAGATCAAATCGTCCACCATACAAACAATTCGCGAGCTTTGGATTTTTTTTTTTTTGGCGCGCGCAATTCAAAATTTAACTTTAAACGCGTTTGAACACTACGATTTGAAGCAGTTTGAAGGGTCTTAAAGAGGTCAATTAGAAGGATTTCATACAAGATGGTGGATATCAGAGACTTCTTTGGGAACAAGAAAGGTGGTTCTGCGAAGAGTACACCAAAAGTGAGTTCTTAACGGTGGATTTTTGAGTATTCCAGTGTTCATTTTATACTAACAGATTAATGTCCCATAGAAACAAGCAGCTCCAAAAACTACAAAGCAGACTCCTGCTAAAAGATCCAAGACAATTGCCATCTCAGATGATGATGAAGATGATATCGTTGAAGTCAGCAAACCGAAAAGAGCTAAAACTGAAGGTTCTGCTCCTACAAAATCTGAACATTTCACAAAGAAGGAATCAAAAGCTCCATCAACAGCACCAGCACCAGTTAAAAGTACACCAAAAGAAGCTTCAAAACCAAAGAAAAAATCAAATGATGATGATTTTGTTGTTAGTGATGATGATTTCATAGATCTGGATGATGAAGATGATGATTTCTTTGCCGAAGAATTGAAAGAATTGGATAATTTACCAAAAGATAGAACATCAACAAGAACAAATACCACAGTAGAGGATAAACCAACACCACCTCCACCAGCAAAATCAACAAAAGCGGCTCCTCAAACTAAGGCCAAACCAGCTCCAAAACCAAGTCCCAAAAAGAAATCACCAGCGCCTGCCAAATCATCAGTTAAATCTTCAAGTGGCGGTGGTGATGTTACTGCATTAGATGTTCTTGCTAAAATTACAGATGCTGATTTACCAGAAGATATCCCAACAGGTGAAGGATTCAATTATCATGCTTTTAAAGCTCGTCAAAATGATTTACCAGTTCAAACAGGTGCTTTTGAGATTCCAGAAGGTGCACCAAATTGTTTAACTGGATTAACAATTGTTTTCACTGGTGTATTACCAAATATCCCAAGAGATGATGCTGAAGGTATTGCTAAAAAATATGGTGCTAAAGTTACTAAATCAATTTCATCTAAAACTACTGTTGTTGTCTTGGGTGAAGAAGCTGGTCCAAGTAAAGTGAGGAAGATTAAACAACTGAAAATTAAAGCTATAACAGAAGAAGGTTTTATTCAATTAATTAAAGGTATGCCAGAAGAAGGTGGTGATGGTGCTGAAGCTGAAAAGGCAAGAGCTAGAAGAGAAGAAGAAGAAAGAAAAGCTATTGAAGAATCTCAAAGAATGCAAGAAGAAGAAGAAGCTGCAGCTAAAAAAAGAGATGCAGCAATTAAAAAAGCTCAAAATTCAGGTAATTATGCAAATAGTTCTAAACTGAAGACAGATTCTGAAAAATTATGGACAGTTAGATATGCACCAACAAATATTTCACAAATTTGTGGTAATAAAAGTTCTGTTCAAAAATTACAAAGTTGGTTAGAAAGTTGGCCATCAAAATTTGGTAATAGAAAACCTCAAAAGGGTGAAAGTGAATTAAGAGCTGTCTTGATTCATGGTCCACCAGGAATTGGTAAAACAACTGCAGCACATCTTGTTGCTAAATCATTAGGTTATGATGTTTTGGAGAAGAATGCATCAGATGTTCGTTCTAAAGGTTTGCTTAATAGTGGTGTTGGTAATATTTTAAATAATACTTCAGTTATGGGTTATTTCAATCCAGAAGCTCATGCTACAGCTGAAAATGGAGCAAAATTTTGTTTAATTATGGATGAAGTTGATGGTATGTCTGGTGGTGATAGAGGTGGTGTTGGACAATTAGCTTCATATTGTCGTACAACTCAAGTTCCAATGATTTTAATTTGTAATGATAAATCATTACCTAAAATGAGACCATTTGATAGAGTTACTATAGATTTACCATTTAGAAGACCATCAGCAAGAGAAATGAAATCAAGATTAATGACTATTGCATTAAGAGAAAAAATTAAATTAGATCCAAATATTATTGATCAATTAGTTCAAGCTACAAGTAATGATATTAGACAAATTATTAATTTATTATCAACGGTTTCAAGTACACAAAAGACTATAAATTCAGAAAATTCCAAAGATATAAGTGAAGCTTGGAAGAAAAACATTGCATTAAAACCATTTGATATTATTCCAAGATTATTAAGTGGACAAAATTATTCAAAAGTTTCACAAGTTCCATTATTTAAAAAAATGGAATATTATTTTGATGATCATGCATTTGTACCATTAATGTTACAAGAAAATTATTTAAATTCTAAACCAGTTAATGGTAATACCAAGACAAAACATTTAGAATTAGTTGCCAAAGCTGCAGATTCTATATCACAAGGTGATTTAGTTGATAAAAAAATTCATAGTGCAGAACAACAATGGAGTCTTATGCCATTACATGCTATTATGTCCACAGTTAGACCAGCTTCATTTGTTGCAGGACAAGTAGGTGGACGTATAAATTTTACTGGTTGGTTAGGACAAAATTCCAAGACTGGTAAATATACTAGATTATTAACAGAATTACAATATCGTTCCAGGTTACGTACATCAACGGATCAAACTGAATTTAGATTAGAATATATTCCATTATTAGCCAAAAAATTATTAGATCCTTTAGTTTCACAAGGTGCAGATGGTATTGAAGAAACAATTTCCATATTAGATCATTATTACCTAAGTAAAACAGATTGGGATTTCCTCTTAGAATTCCCAATTGGTGAAGATTCCACAGCTGCTAAATTGAAGAAAGTTGCTACTGCTACCAAATCCAAATTTACTAGAAAATATAACTCAACTTCACATCCAATGTCAATTTATAAACCTGGATTATCTACTGGAGTCAATGGTAAAACCAAGAAGGAGAAACCAGATCTAGATGAAGCACCAGAAGACGATCCAGAACCGGAAGAAGACCTCATAGATGAGTAAATAATATACAAATAAAAGTAACCTATCCAACTCTCAATAATCGTAAGATCAAACGTATACAAAATCATAAAATCAATGGAAATTTCCTGTCTTTATATGCAAAATTTCAAAGCCCGCTTAGTCAGAAACTTTTTTTTTTTTTTTTTTTTTTTAATTTTGCGTTTTCAAAAAATCAAAATGGAATTTTTTAATCAAAACAAAGAAAATGAAATAAAATTGAATACTTTTATATAAAACAACAGGGAATTCAACCAATTTCAACCAATTCAATCTCAATTTTATTGTTAGATTATAGGTAATTCAGGTCCACTGCTCTTTTCGTTGCAATTGCTGGTTTTGAGAAGGCGTTTGAAAGCAAAAGTTTCGGGTCTTTGGTGGCACTATTTGATATCTATACTATCTATCCCCTTTCGTTATTAGAGAACACGCGTGGTAACGCTAAAACAAACAACAATAAAAAGAGATCTTAATTGAATCAGTGTCTGTTCAACTATCCATCGGGAAGGAAGTTGAATAATAAATTAGAGGCTACTATCCTTTTTCAATATCAAATCAGATCAATCAATATTAATTTTATGAACCATAATATCATACAACACAGATAAACATAATTATAATCAACATATCAAAACAAGAGTTCACTCACATATAATGTCAGCACCTCCATTATTACGTCCTCCTGGAAGTAAGAACTCCAAATCTCCAATGTTTAAACTACCCACATTATCAATAAATAATGCACCACCAAAACTGACTATTGATACAACATCAAATGATCCATCATTTAACCCAAATAATGTTCCAAATAATGGATTTGAAAATAATTCATCTGCATCGTCATTATTATCAACAACTAATAGATTATCAACTTTAGATATAACGGAAAATCATTCCACTGCTACACCATCAACAACTACATCAGAAGTTAGTACTGGAGTTTTCAGTGCTGATATTATAAAAGAAATTGATTCAACTTCAAGACATTCACATAAACAATCGGATTCTCAATCTTCAATTTCTTCAATGGGTATACCAATAAATTATAAAGATTCATTATCAACAGCATCAACCACAACATCATCAACCACAAATGCACCATCATCATCAATAGTACCAACACCAAATACTCATACTCATGAATCTAATGATCTTGGTGAATCAACATTAACTCAAAGTCAATTAGAATCAATATCATCATATAAAGATGTTAATGATCTTGATGAAGAAGAATGGAAAATTGTTAGTAAAAAAGGTGAAATTATTGAATTAGGTGTATTAGGTGAAGGTGCAGGTGGTAGTGTTAGTCGATGTAAATTAAAGAATGGTTCTACAATATTTGCATTAAAATATATTATAACTGATCCAAATCCTGAAACTCAAAAACAAATCTTGAGAGAATTACAATTTAATAAAAGTTGTAAAAGTCCTTATATTGTTAAATATTATGGTATGTTTTTAAAAGAAGAAATTGCATCTATATGTATTGCAATGGAATATATGGGTGGTAGATCATTAGATTCCATATATAAAAAAGTTCGTGAACGTGGTGGTCGTATTGGTGAAAAAGTTTTGGGTAAAATTGCAGAAAGTGTATTAAAAGGATTATCATATTTACATGAACATCGTATTATACATAGAGATATTAAACCACAAAATATTTTATTAGATTCAGATGGCAATATTAAATTATGTGATTTTGGTGTTAGTGGAGAAGTTGTTAATTCATTAGCTACTACATTTACTGGAACAAGTTATTATATGGCACCTGAACGTATCCAGGGGCATCCATATTCTGTAACAAGTGATATTTGGTCATTAGGTTTGACATTATTAGAAGTTGCAATGGGTAAATTTCCTATTGAATTAGAAAATGGTAGTGATGATTTTGCAAATGTTTCACCAATTGAAGTTTTAACTTTAATTATGACATTTACACCAAAATTAAATGATGAATTAGATATTAAATGGTCTGAAGCATTTAGATCATTTATAAATTATTCATTAAGGAAAAATTCAAATGAAAGACCAAGTCCAAGACAAATGTTATCACATCCTTGGGTTTTAGGACAAAGTAAAAAAACTGTTAATATGGGGAAATTTGTTAAACAATGTTGGGATGATATTTAATTCTGAATAAGAAAAAAAACTAGATAATTAAGAATATGGGGGTTTATATAAGGTTAATATATAAAAGGATCATGGGAAATATTTAATGTAGGTCTACGATGTTGTTTTAGCAATCATAAGAAAAGTATTAATTATAATATATAAAAAAAACTTGATACCAAATCAGAAACATATAAAATAAAGAAGTAATATCACACCTTTATTTTCTTTTTAATTCATTATAATGTCAAATCATAACGTGAAAATCACCTCAAAAATTATAATTGAGGTTTAGTAACTGGCCATTGATAATTACCATTATTAAAAATATAACCATGTCTTTGTAAAAATTCATGTAATTCTTTTGGACCTCTTGAACCATAAGGATATTTAATTGGTTCAGGAGAATCTTCATGTTCTAAATGTTGTAATAAAGGAGTAAATAATTTCCAACTAACATCTAATTCATCATCTCTAACAAAATTTGAATGATCTGCATGTAAAGCATCTCTAATTAATGATTCATAAGCTTCTGGAATCCAAAATTCACTATATCTATTTTTATAAGTTAAATCTAAATCAGTTAATGAAGTTGAAGTTGATAAACCTGGTTGTTTAGCATTTAATTTAACATATACGGCTTCATTTGGTTGAATTCTAATAACTAATTCATTTGGTGGGATTTGATCAAAAATACCTGATGCAACTGGTTTATATTGAATACGAACTTCAACTTTACCATCATTTAATGCCTTACCAGCTCTCAAGACAATTGGAACACCTTCCCATCTTTCATTATGAATTTCAAAAGGTAAAGCAGCATAAGTAACAGCTTTTGAACCTGGTTTAACAGTTTCATCATCTAAATAACCAGGTTTAGAACCATCTTCAGATTTATCATATTGACCAATAATAATATCTTTTAAATTAATTTCACCAAATGCTTTTAAAACTTTAACTTTTTCATCACGAACAGATTCTGGATCAAATGAAACTGGACGTTCCATTGTTAATAAAGTTAAAACTTGTAAAAGATGGTTTTGCATAACATCTCTAATGATACCAATATCATCGAAATAACCACCTCTACCTTCAGTACCAAATGGTTCTTTAAAAGAAACTTGAATTGATTGAATACTATCTTTATTCCATGAAGCATTTAAAATTTGATTACCAAATCTTAGGACTAATAAATTTTTAACCAATTCTTTACCTAAATAATGATCAATTCTATATAATTCATCTTCTGTGAATAAAGGAGCTAATTGTTCTTGTAATTCTCTTGAAGATTTTAAATCATGACCAAATGGTTTTTCAACAATAACTCTTGTTAAACCATTTTTAGCATAAACATGTTCTTTAATTTGTTTACCAACATCAACAAATACAGATGGTGGTAAAGCTAAGTAGAATAAACGATGAGGAGTTTCAACTTTTCTTTCAGATTCAAATTTTTCAATAGCTTGATTTAAAGATTGGAAACCTTCAGGAGAATCATAAGGACCTGAAATATATTCAATTAATTCCAAAAATGGATCAATTTTAGATTTGGATTCTTCAGTTGGAGTTTTCAAAAATGGTTTAATACGATCTTTTAATTCATCAGTTGATAATTTTGATCTTGCAAATCCATAAATTTTAGTAGTTGATGAAAGATAACCTTCTCTGAAAAGACCAAATAAAGCTGGGAAAGTTTTCTTTTTAGCTAAATCACCAGAAGCACCAAAGACGGTGATTGCAGTGTTTTCTTTAAATTCAACAGAACTCATTATTTATAATCTATTATATCTTGTTATATCTTTTGATTGCTGTTCAAGGTGGCTAATCTCTAATATCAACTTTTATTTCTTTCCAATTGAGACTAAGATAACTAGATCAAATCAATCACTTCAATTCCTAGTAGACAGAGACTTGAATAGAGCTTTAATCAATTGATACTAATTAATACTAAAAGAATTAACTTTATGGATCAATTCAAAGTTATATAAACTTTCACTTTAACAAAACGGAGGCATCCAATCCGCTTATATAAAATTTAAAAATCTTTAAAAAATTGACGGAAATCGGCTGTCATTTGCTGATGTGTCAGTATTAACTATGGGACGATGATTAATTGGGTGTGCAATAAATTACAAAGGAGATTGAAGATGGAAGGACTAGTCATGTCAATAGAAGCACTATTCATGTCAATAATGTTACTAGTAATGTCACCAGTATCACCATCTTGTTCAGTGGTACGTTTGTTGTGTACTGTGTTGTTTAATACCCAGTGGTTATATGGCTCTCTCGGATATCCGTTAGTTAATCACAACGGCTATCGCTACTACAAAGAGATAAACGAAGAGCAAAAGACGAACGAAGGACTAACTTCGGGTATCAATATTGCAGATTTGAACATCAACTAGATCAATTGGAATACCAGTATTCTTGTCAAGACTCAATTGTACAGCTCCAATGATCACTATTACCAATTGAATTATTTGATCACGTTTAATTGCATGTTGATAATCATTTATAATCGAAGACGTCTCGAAGAAATCAATCCATTACAAATCACGGAGTTATAGGGATTAAATGGGATATATAGATATGTACCATTAGTTTTAATATACCCAGATAAGCTACAAAGAGTAACCCCCATTCCTCAAGTGCTCGTTGTTATTCTTATTTGAATATCCTTTGTAATAATAGCTGTATACCGTTGTGGTTTATAGTGTATTGATATCTAGCTCTACAATGGTTTTGAAAGTAAATTAAATACCTATTAAAAGTCATTGAAACTCTCCAGAGTATTAGAAAAGATCTAAAATCATGGAAGAAGTGTACAATTCTTATATAGTGTAAAAGCATATGCGTAAGGATTCACAACATTTATCTCATTAATGATCCATTACATTTCAAACAAGTTGACTCAAACATTACCAAACGTCACTGGATAACAAAACGAACATTAAGAAAATTCAACCTTTTCATTCACAAAAGTATACCAATGATAAACTTTCTTTTATGCTAGAAAAATACCCTATATTTCAAAAACAAAGCTGAAAATCTAAAAAACGGAATGTTGTACAAACTTACGCTGTTTAGACAAAGGTTCAAAAAACTAAAAAAAGTATTTGAATATTCCAAACCAACAACAAATCATTAAGATTGATTCGATTTTTGAATTCTAGCGCGCGCGAAAAATATATTTTTACCCGGCCTACTTATTTACCACTTCCTCGGATTTTACCCGAATTGAGAGATCCGGCCACTTTATTTTTGTGTCAAACTACTTATACATAAAGCTTTCTTTTTTAGTTTAATTTTTAGTAAAGTTAAGGCTAATTTCAAGGGATAAAAGTTGAATATTCAACCCAGTGGTATTCCGGACTATCAACTAAACATGTCGTCTGATTCATCTGGATGCAGTACACCATCCTCTGAGGATATCAATACAAACTCATCTAATAATGACAATCCACAAGAGAGAAGATATATACATTACCCCCGTGAATATCACTATTACAGAGACAACAATTCAGAACACTTTCATTACAACTATAGCACATCCCAAAACACACCTACTGGCAGTTTCCCTTTTGTTCATGTTCCCCCAATGCCTCCCATTCCTCCTATACCTCCTATACCACCAATTCATCATCATCATCATCTTCAGCAGAACAACAATAACAATAACAATAATAGCAACTACAACAGCGACATCAACAACTATATGTGCACATTCGATCTTTATGGGAACAACTCCAACTTCAATTGCGATGACACATATGTTAATTGCACTTTCAATTATTATGGAGGCAATGGTTGCAGCTATTCTCAACATCATGGTCAGAATAACTCCCGTTTCAATTGTGACAGAACGTATGACACATGTACTTTCAATAATCATGGTCAAAACAATTCAAACTTCAATTGTGACAACAAATATGATAGATGTACTTTCAATTATTTCAATAATGCTACTGACAGTAACTCGTGTTTCAATTGTGATGAAAAATATAATGAGTGCACATTCAATTACTACGTGAATGGTTATAACAAAGAAGATTATACAACTAGCAGCTGTCCATTACATCATGCTCAGAATAACTCTAACTTTAATTGTGACAATAGATATAAAAAATGCACCTACAATTATTACGGAGACAATAATCACAAAAAATCAAAGCACGCAACAAAAAGCAGTCCTTCTACTCAAAACTCAGCTAAACATGATAAATCCACTTCAAAAGATAATGGGAGCAATGGAAGTCATAAAGAACCAGAGAACGAAAATGATTGGATTGACGAGGAAGTTTTCAATCGTGATTTAATCCTAACCGGGGCCTTTATTATGTGTGCTACTTGTCCTTTATTTCTAAAACAGATTAAAACAGGGGTTTGTTATGTTTTGTTATCTTGTCTTATCATATGGGCACAATATGTATATTTAATCAGAAGTGATCAGTTAGTGAGACTGAGGATGTTGATGATTTCAACACAGATTTTTATTTTCATTCTATTCATTGTTTCTCGTTTTAATATTGAAGAGGTTTTGACAAGCAATATAATTTATGATCTGTTATATAGCTGTGTACCCTTTATAAATAATTATTAAGGAAACACTCAAATAGTTCTTTTTCTATCCAACACTTTTTGATTCTTACTATTCTATCTCGTATAAAAGTTTATATAATTGACGCCCATTCGAACCCGGGTCTCGGAAGTTTAAAATCACGATGGTTGTTTCCAATTTTCTTCAACTTGTTATGATATCACTAAGGCTTCCAAAATGGAATTGTACTCATTAAACATATAAAGTTTGAACATTCATCAATTTCAACTCTAATGTTCATATATATTAGCCACTAATCCAATGATGAATTTCATAGACAATTCAATTGCATGTACGGGATGTCGTATGAGACGTAAAAAATGTGATAAAGGGAAACCAATATGTTCTGGTTGTATTGCATTAGATGTCCCAAAAGAACTTTGTATTTATCCAGAAGAAAGAACTCAATATAGAGGAAAACAACCAAGAGAATATATTAAAGGATTGAGAAACCAGAATAAAATATTGCTAAAAGAACAATTAATTCATAAACATAAATTTCAAGATTGTTTTTTAAAAAATTTCCAATTTGAAAATTATGTTCATTTACCTGTTCAAAATAAATCTAATGTGGATTTTATATTGAGAGATCCTGAACAAGATGAATCTATTAATTGGGGGCATGCTGGTATGCTAAGTTATCATGCTTTACTTCAAAGTGAACCTTTGATATACAAAGCTAATAATAAATTGAATCAATTCATTCAAATGGAAAAAATACATTATTTCCAAAATAAACCAAAATCTGAAATTGATATTCAATATAATACCAAATTAAATTCAATAAGAAATAAAGTTACGGAAATGTGTCTGGGATTGAAAGAAGTTGATGAATCGGTTCTTTATGAAGTTTTATATGCAGCTGCAGATTTCTTGCCAAATTATACTACTGTTAAATCATTATTTATGAAATATTTCGAATATAATTCACAAAGAGCTCTGGGATTTGATGAAGAAAAAGCCTTCCAGGATTTTAATTCATTATTTAAACAAGGTCCTCAAGGTGAATTAGAACTGATTTTGAAACCAACAGATTCTGTGGCAATTTATTATAATAAATTAGCTATAACTTTGGTTATTATTTCATATCCAATCTTATTTCAATATTATTCATTACCTAACACAAAAATAACAATAAATGAAATAACCACTGAGTTGAAAAATTATAATCCGATTTCATTATTCGCATATATTGAAATTTTGGTTTTCACAGCTTCATGTTTCCAAAACCCTAAACATGAAAAAATCTTATGTACACCAACAATTTTACAAGCTATTTCACAAATTAGATATTTTGAATTTTATTTCCCTCATGGGAAGGCAGATGAAGAAGATACAAGTTTTAATTCATCATTAGTTGCCAAAATTGAATGTACTTTTTTAAAATCAATGGAATTGAATAAAAATATTGATCAAGTTTTTTCAATGTTACCTTCACCAACTATAGATAATTTGAAAACATTATATCTTTATATGTTAATTGTGGATTTAAGAGAAAGCTTTGATCTTGGATTACCATCAAAATTCAAATATAAAGAATTGATTAAATATCAATTCAATAACCCGGAAAGAACAAATCTTATGAATTGTTTAATTATGTGTTTTAGAGTTGTGGAAAGATTCCATAAATTTGAAACTTTGTTCACGTTGGAAAATCCTTGTGATACAATTGAAATGGATTTTATTTATGAATTACAAGTTATTTTACAAATTGAATTTCCCAAGTTGAGTGAATTGATTATAGAATTTCAGAAATTAGATCTACTCACATTGACAGCATCAGATTTATTAACTTTTACCAATAAATTTCAAATGATTTTTTGTATTTATACAATGATTATCACATTATATTCAATATGCATAAGGAAAACTAACCAATTTGATCATGGAAATCATGCCAGTTTGAACAAATATAAAATCTTAAGCTTGAAATATTCATTCTTATTAAACCATGCTACTGTGGAGATTTTAAAAACTTTCCAAAGAATTATAAATTCCAAGAAATGTGAATCTTTGGACCCAATTGAACCTTTCATAAGATTTTCAAATTATTTAAGATTTAGTATGAAAAGAACTGGTGTGATAATTATTGCTAGAATGTTTGAATTTTCTCCATTCACAGAAGATGATGTATTATCGAAAATTGATCAAGATTATTCATGGTTTAATAAATTGAATTTTAATCAAATTGAAATATTACAAAAAGCAACAACAGGACCACATTTCAAAATTGAAGATTTGGAAGATATACGAATTGATAGAACTCCTGATGAATTATTTATGAAATTTAAATATTTTCTAGATTATAAATATCTAACACTGAGTGTTTTCAAAATTATGAATGAAATTGGTGAATCATTAATCAATACAAGATATGATTTACAATATATAATTCAAAATAATTATATATATTCAAGGATGTGCAAGTTGACAATTTTTCTAATAAATATGATGGGGTTTAATAATGAATTGTGGGTTACTTCTAGTACAAAGAGTGACAATGGGTTATATAAATATACTCCAATTAATCAAAATGATGAATCAAAATATGAGTTTTATATACCGGAATTGATCCATGATTCTTCATGGGGTAGGAAAAGTTATGATGAATGGTTTGGAAATGAGAAGTAACTGAAAACAATGAATTATAGAATAATGAAGTAATGAATAGATGGTTAATTATAAATTTATCGAAGAATTTATAAATTTGTATTGATGTATGATTGATTAAATTTTGATCGCGATTGTATCTTTTATACCGCAGAATCGGACCGTATGAAAATTATATGGGACATAATTAGAACAATAATAAACAATTTTGATTCTATACTATTGACAAGAAAAGATAACAAGTAAAATTAGTTGAAGTATAGCATATCTTTGGTCAACTGCAGCTATAGAAACATCATACTGCTTTACTTCCTGCTTTCAACTCATTCAAATGGAGGAATTATTGATTGAAATATAGCTATCATAAACAATGCCCAAGACAAAAGATTATCAAAGTCCATGTATCAGTTGTAAATTAAGAAGAACTAGGTGTGATAGGAAATCTCCCATATGTTCAAGTTGTGCAAGCATAAATTTACCACAAGAACTATGTCATTATAAAGATTTCAAGATTAATTTAAAAGATAAGAATTCAAAAGAGACTTTAAATATCTTGAAACAGGAGAATGAAGAATTGAAAAAAGAATTGGAAGAATTGAAGAATGAAACTACTAAAAAAGTTCAAATATCCACAAGTTTCAAATTACATCATGGTTCTTCATCATGGGCATCTCCATTAACTTCCCAACCACAATTTGAAAATGTTGTTGATGATATAATACCCAAGATTAAAAATGAATTAAATAATCAAACTGAAATTCGTAAAATGATGATGAATTTATTGGAAACAAATGAATCAATCAATTTAATTAAAGAAAGAATAAATAGATTGAAAATTGGGCTAGATACATTAGAGGATTATTCATTATTAGAAGATTCAATTAAAGTTATTGAAAAAGCATTACCAAATTATGAATATATCACCAAATCATTTAAGAATTTTTTCAAATTTGGTACAAGTTATGGAACATTCATGAATATCAATTATGATTCATTCTGGTTGAAATATTATAAACTTTTCTCGGAAGACACCAAGACTGGATTTATTCAGATTAATTCATCATTAAAATTCCCACGGGACCTTGATCAAGTGACATTCTTAGTTCTATTCTTAGCATTCTTGATATATATTATATTTGCACATCTTCATCATACAAAAAATCCATTAGATAAATCAGATATCAAAACCAATCCAATAATCTTGACAGAATATTGTAAAATTTTATCAAATGTCTTGATATTATACATAAATTTTGAACCAAATCATGAAAATCTAAACAAGATTTTAAATTTGGATCATCTTCAAGGGATTGTACAAATTAATGTATTTGATACCTTCTCCACGGGGAATAAATTTAGTGAATTAATTGCAAATCCTAAAGGTGCTGGAGGGATTTTAAATAATTGGAAAGTTATTAATATTGCCAAAATGATGAAATTAAATGAAGATATTGATCTTGTTTATGCTCATAAGGATGCTGAATATAGACAAGGTTTGAAACAAATTTGGTATTATCTTAGCTTTGTCAATTTAGCATTTTCTTTAGAAGTTGGTATGATGGGTAAAATTAAACCAGAAGAGATTAGGTTATATTCAAGTTTAAGTGATAATAATTTACCAAGATCTTTGAAAATTTTAAATAAAGTTTGTTATGATTTTGAATTTATTGAAATTAATTCAATTAATTTCCAAGAGATTCATGATTTTTTCATTTATCCAATTCATAATTTAATGGAATTGGAATTTACACCTTTGATTGGTAAAATTAATCAATTGAATGGATATGATTTAAATAACCCTGAGGAATGTTATGGGTTTAGAGAAATTGCATCAGAATTCTCGATTCATATTTTGGCCATAAATGCTCTGACCTCAATATATTCATTCTGTGAAAGGAAATCCAAGTTGGAATCAAATGAATTGGGTGTACAAAAATATAAATTATTAAAATTGAAAACAATGATTTTATTAATTAATATTGGATCATTAATTTTCCAAAGTTATCAAAGATTTATGAATCATCCAGACGCATATTCTTATTCGCCATTATTAACTTTATTACATTTATATATTAGAATTAGAAGAACTTTTAGAAGAGTTGGTATTAGTATCTCATCACAAGTTTTCCAAAATTTGAAAAAATTGAAAAGAGATGAGATTGATGAAATCTTAACAATGAATGATGAAGAGATGAACAGATTGGTTGATAATATAATAGAAGAAACTGGTTATGATTATGATGAGCTAAATGTTGAAGATTTAGAAAATTGGTCAATTGAAGGAAATTCTATTGAGATGGAAAGGAAATTTCAAATTTTAAATGATGATGAATATCTATTGATTTCAATAATTATGAATCTTCAAAAAGTTTTCAAATCATTTGAAACACCAAATTATAATTTAGAATTTTTCAAAAATAATACAACATTTAGATTTTTCTTTAAAATAACAAGAACTTTGTTAATTCTAATACATAAAGTGAATTCAAATGATACCCAAAAACAAGTTGAACCAACTAGTCGTGAAAGACAAAAATCCAGAGAATTAGAATTCAACTTTGGTGAATTTTTCCAAAAGGCATTTGAAACTACACAATATGGATTTATTGATCCCGTGGAGATTCAAAAAGAGTATGATTCATCAATGAATATGAAACTTGATGATAAAGTTAATGGATATTGTAAAACTTTTGATTAATAGGTATGAACTGAGATCACTTTATAAACTATATTGAGTTATGCGTCGAATTTATGTACGTCTGTTATGATAAACTCTAAAGAATGATATGATTATGAGTTAGTCTTTATTGATGTACTATTTTTTGATTTAAACTGATAAATTCATGTATACTAGGTTAAGATAACCATAACATTATAAAGATCCCTAGATATTGAGCAAGTTACAACAGTTTACTTAATTTGGTCCAGCTTGTAGTTATATAATTCAGGCAAAGAAAACAGGGTCATCAAGTAAGCTGGCAAGCTGATCATATGGATCATACGATTCAACAGCTTTTTTCAATCTATTGTCACCAATAGCAGCAATAACTGGTTGATCAAAGTAAACTTCATTAGAATCATCTCTACCATAAAACAGAGTATCATAAATATGTTCGATACTTTCTTGAAACCCGTTCAAATCTACCCTATAATACTTTGGGGCTTCAGCATTATAATCATTTTTTTCATTTTCGATCCTAGTAGCCTCTTCTTCAAAGAGTTCATTTGTTTTTTTGTAACTAGGATGATTGTATTTCCCAGATGTATCAAAGAAATTGATGAAAGTGAGCAGCTCATAATTTTTATCTTTCAAAACAATTCTTTCAAGCTCTTCATAGCTAGTGATTAATGTAGACATATTGTATCAGCTAAAATTGACGTTGTTGTTGCTGTTGTTGTTAATTGAAAATTTTATGCTTTATAGATGGACCCTTATATATACAGATATGATCAAAGTATAAGAAATCTTCCAGTTTATATAAAACTATATAAAATTGATACCTTAATCCTTAATCCTTGTTCAAAGATCATTGGGAGCAAGTCACGTCACTGCGTAGATGAATGTTGAGTTGAGATGTTGAGATCATTGGAATGTAAATCCTTTACTTAATGGATTTGCGCTATCAACAAGAAGTACGTAATAAATTGCAAACAGATAATTTGAGGTTTCAAAAGGAATGTGGTTAATAAAAAGGTTGGTATTTAAATCACGATCGTACTTCAAAGCTCATTAATTCTGGTTAAAATATAAGCGTGGAGTCGTTATCGTTGGCGGACTTATACAATTGACACTATTATATAATATATGTAATTGTCATACTTAATCATACACTGAGAATTGAAATATATTGAGAGATCATCAGTTAGGGATCAGGTATATATACTTATATTAGTATTATAAATTGTATACCAATTGATGTGAACTAAATTTTGCATGTTAAGACTAGTAAGGAGTTGTTGCTGAGCTCTAATATTTCACGTATATATAATATAAGCTCATCAGCTATCTTCTAGTCAGTTGCACAATTGACATATTGACATTCACTGCATCTATAATAATCCACCAGATCCCATTAAGTTATTGATATTGGTATATACTAATATTCGAGCGATAGAATCACAGCTTGGGCCTTTTAAAGATTTCAACATCTAGATTCTACAAATATTTATGCTTGAATTTGAGCGGTGCTATTCTTAGACAAATTATGAGCAAATATTATACAGTGAGTTGTCCCACACGACAATAATTATAAGACAACGATTTAAATTGAAACCCCGGTACTGCAGCTAATAATAGGACTCCTAAAGTCCTATACTAGCTGTATCGTAAGTATAGGTGTTTATTTCGCTGAGTTTGTCACTTTTGTATCTATCTTGTGATGTCGTGAAGATTCTATTTATCCATGATTGCTTAATACGCTTATATCATACCTTAGATATCACAAGATAAATACAAGTACATATTTAAGCTTAACACAGCTGTACAACTGCGGAGACTGGTGGTCTGTATTCTGAAATTTGAAGCTTAACAAATCAAGAAATAGTAGGCTGAATCTGCACAGAGTGTTAAATGTTGTGTTGAAATTTTAGATTCATCTATTCATGGTGGTACAAAATGTCCGAGTCAATACTGGTCAATGGTCAAATATGGTCAAATATGGTCCAAAGAAAGACAAGGACACCGTGTAAGTGAGTGGTGAAGTGGTTAGCAACGACATACTTCAACAACTGGGTATATACAATTTTCTCGTCTTTTCTCCCTTGATCATACGATATCTGTGTAAAATATCTGTATATAAACTCAATTCGAGTGGTGTCAATGGAAATACGTGGCCTTTGACTTGGAATCCCGCTAAAACAAAGCACAGACCTCCGTTGAGCTAGCAAATAACTGGCCTGTAACGCTCTTTTCCATCTAAAAGAATCTGCCCATCAATCTCATTAATAAATCCCTCTAAAACCCTTCAAAACCCTTGAAAACTGCCTCCATTCCACTCGTTTCTGCACCGTCCATTACTTTGACAAGCCCGCGAATCCTTTCAAATTTGACCTCGCATCAACAAAATAACAACTTTGACATTTCAACATCAGAAATCAGAACCATAACGCAGCTACACCTCTTCTCAACTACTTTGCAATCTGAAAAATAGATACACACCATGTCACAGGCAGCGATGAATGCAGTCTGTATAGGCTGTCGTCTTAGAAGGAAGCGTTGTGATAGGAAAAGACCCATATGTACGAGTTGTTTGGAATTAAATATAAGTGATGATCTATGTATCTATCCAGATACCAAATTACAATTAGCTTCAAAAGATTCCAAAATCACTCTGGATATGCTTAGAAATAAGAATAAAGATTTGAAAAAAGAATATGAATTATTACAAAATTTATCTCCAAATCAAATTAAATTATTATCTTCAAATTTAAATGATAATCATTTAACCCATAAAATACCTCCATATCAACAAGAAATCTTACAACATTTACATCCAAATCATGCACAACCCATTCAAGATGATAATAAACCACATCAACTTCAAGAAAATTCACAATATCCAAAACAATCATCTCCAAACAATGAATTATTAACTACAATAAAATTTGAAAAAAATATTCATCTACATATAGGTTCATTATCTTGGGAAACTTTATTCCGTTCAGAAAAAGATACTTATAAACTATGTATGCAATTTGATGAATTATTGGACCTAATCAAAACGCGACATGATAAAATGTCTAAAAACTTCACTTTAGAAATGGATACAGATTCAAGATTTCAACAATTAAAACAATTATTACTTAGTATGCTGATTGGTAAGATTCCCTTGAATTCCGTTTACTCGACAATGGATGAATTATTAGAAATTATTGCAAATAGATTACCACCATATGATATGGTTATGACTCTTGTTGATAGATTTTTCATAATGATTAGAATTCAACAAAATGTAATGTTGGAAGTTAATGAAGATGCTATATATGAAACTATAGGTCAATGTTTCTCTAAAGGTCCTAATGGTAGGGTTCAAATAAATGTTAAATTCCCTGAAGAATGGGTTAAAATACCTGGTATTTCATTAGTCTTGGGTATTGTGGCACAAATGCTTTTCCAAGTTAATCAATTACTTAATCCAATAACTTCAGCAAACCATCTTTTAATTTTAGATTCTATTCAATTGTTATTAGTTGCTTTTAGTATTTTTAGAAGATTTGATATAAGGTATAGAGATATTATGATCCCGGAAGTTGCTATTCAATTTTTACAAGCTTTTATATTTTTCAGTGGATTTGATACTTATAACCCACTTGGTCGTGAACATGAACGCTCGGATAAAACTGGTGAAAATTTGATATTGGTATGGAGAATGATTACATATGCAAGAGCTGCATATTTAAATAAAGATATTGATGTTGTTTACAAGCAAAAAACTAAAGAATATAGAAGATCTTTGAAAAGTATATGGTATTGGTTAGCATTTTTGGATGTTTCGGAATCAATAGAATTTGGTACCAAAACTAAGATTCAACGTGAAGAATTATTCTATTATTCAGATCATTCAAATGAATATACAAGATCGATAACTTTATTAAATGAATTGATTTATGATTATCAACAATTAGAAAACTTGGATGATCCATTAGAATTTATCAATAAAACTGAGTTTATATTAATACCCAAGGCAAACCAGGCTTTGAACCAATTTCCTAATAGTGTTAACGATGATTTAACAACATTACATCATATGGATTTTGATAATTTATCACTTGTTCATAAATTCATGTCCACGGTGCAAACTTTCTCAATAAGATTAACAACATATGCATTGATTCATACATATTATTATCAATGTTATAAAAGATTAGAACTTACAAATTCAGAAAATGAATTCTTAAGGAAAAGATATTATTTATTATCAATGAAATATGGTTTATTAGTTTTTGAATTAATACCTGCAATTTTTTCTGCTTATAAAAGATTATGGGGTCATGAACATAGTTCCACGTTTGGTTCCTTGGGAACAATTATTTCAATTTTCAATACGATGAAATCTGCATTTAGAAGAGTTACTATATTTGTTGGTGGTCGAATTTTTGAGAATTTACCAATACAGGATAGATCAATAGCTATTTTAAAACTTTTCCAAATGGATAATGTTGATGATAAAACCCTTTTGAATGATTTAATTCGTCATGAAAATCAGGTTAATAATTCACAATTACAATTTTTCCAAATTTATGATTTAGAAGATCCTCAAATTGATTTACAAAATGATTTATTATTTAAAAAATTTGAAATTTTATTAGATTATAAATTTGTTATGTTGACTTGTTCTAGGACCATGTGTGATCTTGTTGATTATTTAAAAAATTCAGTTTACAACTTAAATTTTGTTTCTCTAAATAGAGCATTCTTCATTGCAATTAAGATTCTTTCATTTTTTTTAAGAATTCATCATAGTCAAACTTTTAAAGGTATTTTCCATGAAACTTTTGGAATTAAAGAATCTGAATTAAATTTGAAAGTTCTTTATGAACGTGCTATTCATTCAAAGGGGAATTTTGATATTGAAGATTTTTTTTAAAGCTCCAAATGGTTCAAAATGATAACTTTATATAAATAAAACTGGAGAAAGAACGATAAAGACAGCTCTCCCTATAAGATAACACATGTATATATATTGTTTTTTAGAATTGATTTTTTAATGACTGTTATGATTTTTGATATATTGTTACTACATTTGTATATGAAACTTGTAGAACATTATTTCATCAATTAGAAAGCGTATTGGCTCGCTCTTTTCACAGTAAATATACCCACCACCAACTATCGAAGTATCCCATAACCTCATAATCACTCTTCATTCACGTTATGAGCATAAACTATCAAATGTCACCCATTTCCAATCTTGTAACTAGAAAAGTCCGTGAATTTCCATCTTGATCAAGCGTATACCGTTTCTGTCCGAACCAATTTACTTTTTCTGGTTAAAGCCATTCAAAATTAACCAGAAAAATCAAAATCAAATCAATTTGCGGTAACAAAACAACCAAAATAACACGTTATAACTTATTAAACCAGGAAAGCATAGATCATTCGTTGAACTGCTCCAATTGGATATACACTCAGAGCTTAAGTCCTGTGTTGCATCATCGGGACACTAGTATGGTATTAGGTTTTTAGTGCTGGTGTTTTTTCATTTCAATTGTTAGCGTTTATTAGATTCGGCTGTTTCAACCGTCAATTTCAAAAATCATCAATATTCATATACCATTTAACTCAACCATTTCATAATGTCAACTGAAATCCAGTTGAAAATGGCAACGTGTATTGCGTGTCGGATGAGGAGGAAGAAATGTGATAGAAAGATGCCCATATGTTCAAGTTGTGAAGAATTAAATATCCCAAAAGAATTATGTGTTTGTCCTGATACTAAATTGGGGTTAAAATCTAAAAATTCAAAAGTAACTAGAGATACATTAATAAAATATAATAATAACCTAAGAGAAGAACAAAAATATCTGGAATCAATAATAAAAGGTGAACCTATAGCTCCAGATGCTCGTATGAAATTAAGTCAAATCTTGAATAATGATTCTAAACATAAAAAACATGAAAGAAATTTATTCCTTACTCAAAAAACTGAAAATGGTTATTTTGGATCTTCAAGTTGGAGAGCGACTTTGGGGACTACACCACCAGGGGTTCAATTCATTGCAGAGATTAATAAAGTACTACGACAAGCTAAGATTGATCATGAATTAAAGAAAAATGGTACACTAGATGAACAATCCCCATTCCCACATTTAAATTCATTTAGAGCTAAAGTAACTGAAGCCGCCTTAGGTCTCAGTAATCATAATCTTCATGAATTAACTATTCAATTATTAAGAGAATTGGAAACACATTTACCACCATTTGATCAAACATTAGATCTCATCAAAAGATATTTTTTTATCAATCAAATGAGAAAAGTTTGTTTCATTGTATTAGATGAAACTGAATTTTATAAATATTTCAACAAGACCATTTCAAAATCATCAATAAATGGTAATGTTCAATTCAATGTTGAACTTCCTGGTGAAGAGGATAAAATTCCATTTATTTTCTTATTCACTACAATGATGACAATGATGGTTTTCCAATTAAATCAAACTTATACACATGCAAATACTTTCAATCATATGTTGATTCATGAACTCGCTGATATTTTATATCATCTATCACTATTAATGATTAAAAGTATTCAAGATTCACCAACAGTTATTGTTCAATATGAACAATTTGATTTCAAACTTTCCATTCAAATAATACAAGGGCTTATTCATTATAATGTCTTTGATAGATACTTACCACATGGTAGACTTGTTGAACTTGAGGATGATACAATGGGCCATTCATTAGCTGCTAAAAGAATCCTTACATTGATGAAAGGTATGAATTTAAATACAAATATTGATAAGACTTTCAAACATTTTTCCAAAAGTTATAGAGAATCTTTACAAAGTCTTTGGATATTTATGGGGTATTTGGATTGTACTGAATCATTTGAAAGTGGTACAAAACCAAAACTTTTCCCTCATGAGTTATTAAATAAGATGGATCCTACAAGAGAAAAATATCGGAAATCAATTTATGTTTTCAATAATACCTTGGAGTTATTGAGTAGAAATGAATTTGAAGATCCAATGAAAGTTGTTGAATTGATTAAAACTAAATTAGTTCCAGATATTAAACAAGTATTGGATTTATATTTTCTACCAATTGGTGAAACTATGGAATTTTTGGAAAGTTTTGATATGGATGATTTGACTAATAGGCAAAAGTTTTTTGAACTAACAGAAACTTATTCACTTCAAATAACATTATTATCTTTTTTACAAACATTATACAATATTTGTTACAAGAGATTAGAAGAAGGACATAGATTTTCTGCATTGCATAAACAATATGGGCTTTTGACATTAAAATATGGACTATTAGTTTTCTATTCCGTTCCAGCTTTTTTAAAATGTTTACAAAGAGTTTCAACTCATAAAAATAGTATTGTTTTCGGGATATTACCAGCTTTTTTCGGAACTTTCCCACATATTAGATTGGCATTTAGAAGATCAATGTATTTTGTTGGTGCAAGAGTTTTTGATAATTTCCCAGTTGATAAAAGAACTTTATTTGAAAGTATTTATCAAAAACATGAAAAAAGTGATGAAGAGTTAATGAGAGAAATTCTGGCAAGACAAAATTTCCAACATTTTTATACATTTAAAGATTTAGAAGATTTTAAGATTGATGATGATCAAAGTCAAGTGTTGAATAAATTTACATCATTGAATAATTATACTTATCTAATTTTATCAATGGGCAAAGCATTTGTGGAATTACAAAATTGTCTGAAAACTCAATATGTTAATCTAAGCTTTGTTCGTTTAAGTCCAACTTTTTTTAAAACAATGAAAATTTGCAGTGTATTCTTAAATAATGCATTCTCAAATAGTGAACCACAATTACAAGTTTTAAACCCAAATCCAACTCCCAGTTTTCAATCAGTACCACCATTACCATTTAACCATGGAGGGTTACATCATGATCCATTTTATCCAAATAATCAACAACATCAACAAATTTTCGCACAACCACCTCCACCTCCACCACCATTACAACAATTTCAATTACCAATCCCACAATTAGGAAATCTTCAACATCAACAACAACAGCAACAACCATTACAACATACACCACTTCCCCCACCTCCTCAAGTACCAACTCCTAATTTCAATCAAGGATTTGAGCAACCTTTACACCCACAAGTTCATCAACAAATTCCAAATCTTCAGGTTCCACCTCCACCTCCAATGATACTCCAACTTCAACCAAATCAATCACAATTCAATCATCCATATCTTCCAATACCCAGTGAAGCAGCTCAACCACCACCTCCACCTCCACATATCCCATCATCAAATTCATTCAATATGCCACCTCCACCAACTCCAGGTTCAATTGGACAATATTGGAGATCAGATTCAGAACAAAATAGTTTTTCAACTGCACCAACAACTACACCAGCAACTTCTCAATCTACAACAACCATTACAAATGGTATACCAGAGATCATGGATTTTGAAAGTTTTTTCAATACACCAGGTTTATATCATTCAGGTAATTTGGATGAATTTTTATCATTTATACCACGTCCTCCTACGTATTAAGAAGGCAATTTAATTATTTCAATTCTACAAAAACTTATATAGATAGCTAATATAAATAGCTAATGCATTATTTTAAATGATTCGTATTGCGTACAGCACTATGCCTGAGTGGTTCTTACTTGATAAATTACTAATCTAGAATTGAAGATGGAACTCGGATTGGTCAAACCAAATACAACATTTGTAAATCGATATTTTATACACACAATTTATATATTAACTATTAAATAACTGAATCACTAACCAGCTTTTGAGTATACCCATTGGTCTTTCAGATATTAATCTTATATGTTACTTTCAAGCCAATTGATATAATTCAACTTTTTCAATAACAAACTCTTATTTCCTTGATCAATAAGGTATCATTAGTAGATTATATCTATAAATATTCACATTCGAGTTCCGCTTTCAACGAGCTATAATTCATGGGAGCATACTTTTCCCCTTCAGGTAACATTTTACCCTGATCAAAATCAATAATCCAAAATTTCTTGTCTGTTTCATCAAATCCAACATTTCTTTGTGCTATATCATTATGGTCAATCCCAATCTTTCGCAATTTATTGAATTCTTTCAAGCCTTGTTTGAAATGTTCCTTTTTTGATGGTTTGTTTTGGATACAATCAACATAGCTCTCTATGATAAATGGCCCATTATATCCATAACTTGATAACATCCCAAAACTTAACAAACTTGGTACGTTTATTTTTTTGTTATTATTAGTCACTGAATCATTATGATCTTGAATACGATTCATTATCTTCAATTCATTCCAAAATAATCCATTATAAATATATTTCTGATAATATTGTTTAAAATCTAGTTCTTCATAATTATATTTCCAATCAAATTTTTTATCAAAATAAATCTGTGACCATCCAATATCATAAATTTTCAAAACAACAAATTCATCATTTGATTCTTTATTAGTTAATATATCTAGTTTTTCAATTTCAGCTTTTTTACATAATAATATAACAGATGGATTGGCAGCATCATCACCACCATATTTTGGAGTTGATAAAACTTTTACATAAGGTAGTTCAAATAAACAATGGAAAATTTTGAAATCATTAACTAAAGGATCAGCTGAAGTAACATCTGGTGAAGCAGGTAAACCTCTCAACTGAGAGGAAGAGCCTGCAACTGGATCTGAATCTGATAAGTGATCATCTTTAAACTCATTACTCATAATTTCTTCAAATAAATCCATCTTAATCTTTTGAACTTGTTTTGGGGTTTTAGATACTTTAGGTAAAAGTTCTTTAACATCACCTGAATTTATGAAAAGATTTCTAGAAATAATTAACATAATCATTTGAAATGAGAACTTATCCTTAAATTTCAAATCCCCTGAACAATTAATTATAGATTCAAATGTATTATCTAAAACAAGATACCGAAATGGTATTCCAACCATGACATCATTGTTCTGTTTTATATTTTTTATGTTTTTATAACCATTTTTTTCATAATGTAACATGATTGTTTGATTATGATCAGCAATAAAGCAAAAATTCACATTACATAAGATCATTTGTAAAATAGCTTCATTATAAATCTTTTGATTTTGAATGGACATTTCAGATTTATCAATCTCTTCAATTAAATTTTTAATACTACCAGGTAACTTGATTTCAATTGGGTATGATTTAATTGATTCTGATGAATTGTTAATTTGAACAGTAATATTTGGAGATATCATTTGACCAATTAACTGTATTAAATTATGATTTTGAGACTTGAATTCATTAGGTATTTCATATTTAACTATTCCATTATAAGCGTATCTATATTCACCATTTCCATAAGCAAAATCACATATTCTCATTAAAGGGTATAACATTGAGTCCACGAATAATTTCTGAATATTTCTTTCGTGTGCAATAGCATCAATTCTTGTAATTGGTTTATTTGAAACGTCATTACAATCATTAAATTCAGTAACTTCATCCATTGTAGAGGATATACGATATATAATAGAAGACAATTTCATTCGTAATACATCTCTATCCAATTCATCAAGTTTGTTTTTCAACTTATCAAGTAATTCATTTTCACATTTAATAAATTTTTCTCTCAAAATTTCATCATTAAATTTTGTACATGAATTTTGTTTTGGTATCATATCTTTGAAACTTCTAATGAAATTAGACTCATTTGTATCAACATTTTTCAAGTTATCGTCATGAAATTCGATTAATTTATCACTTTTAATAATGAAAACAAGTTTAACAAAATGTATAATATCAATTTTAAACTCCCCACGGTATAATCCTGATGCGATACAATCTGTTAAAATATACTTAATGAACCCACAGAAATTTATTTTAATATTTTCAATAGTTTCTTCATCAAAACCTTTGTAAAAATTTCTTAGATCTATATCGATTGAGGATTTAATCATTTCTGGTTCAATATTCTGCATTAGTTTTTCCCTATTATCTGATACAAATTGATACATGAGGAAGTCTTTATCAAATTTTTGTGAAGACGTATCATAGAATTTTTGATCAATTTGCTCATCATAAGAATTCGAAACTTTTCTTCTTTTAACTTTATCATCATCAACTTTATGACCCGTAATTTGCTTCTCTTTGATTCGTTCTAATTTCTTACTTTCAACAGAATCCAGATATTTTGATCTATTTGACCGGAAATTATCCAGCCTTTTATCTCTAGCTGATTTTCTTTTACGTCCCATGATTAGTTTTGATTTTTGTTCCAAGTATACAAATTACAACATGTTTGATAATTTTATCAATTTAAATGAGTACTGATTATTCTCGATTATAAAGATGTTACGTAATCAGAAAATCTCATTCAGACGTACGCAATTTTTTTTTTGCTTATTGATTATTTTCAGCGTAGCTACTAGCTTCATAATTTATAATAAATATACCAAACTTTTTCGTTTGCGGCAAGGATCTCTGATATTGGTGGATTTGTCTGGTTAATGTTGTCGAACCTGGATTTATGATGGGCATGAAATATTTCGTTATGACCTTAGTTTATGTCAAGCTATCAATTATTTGACAAAAGTTTATACTCGTTCTTAATGTTAGATGTTATACGTGTTATTGAATTAACCTTATCACTCTACCAAAACAGATGCTTATCAGACCATGATAAACTTTGAAGTATATTCATTTTGAAATATAGATGATTACTAGAAGTCTCTTGTCATTTGGAAATATCTTGAATATATGAAACATTTAATCTTTTATTGATACATTTATACTACACTTGTACTTCATGAATATCTCTTTTAATGTGATCTAAATATTCATAGTACTAATGATCTGTTGTACCGAAGCTCATGATATTTAATATGTAGTACTAGTAATAGAGCCTGTCAAATATATATGATTATATAATCGCGGGTAAATCAAAGAAAAAAATAAGCTTTCAATTTATCCAATACTAATCATGAACAAAAACAAGCTCAAAAAGGTTTATAGCTCAACGGCTTTACTCACGAGTCACATGGTGTACGAGAATGAATACGGTGCTTTCTGATAAACAGTCTCTATGTATGGCGTTAATTATCGGTCTTCTTTAAGATCATCAGGCAAAATACTTGAAGATCGTATGGCATTTAAGCATTTAAGTGATAATTGATCCACAATTCGTGATTGAAATTTGACAGCTTCTTTCCCAGTTTAGTTATCCATGGCTCGTTTAAAAGGCATTTAAGTGGTTATAATCTCGTACTTTAGCGACCAGACAACTGTGTGCATTTCGGTATACGTTGTACTTTATTGAATAAAAATTTTGAATGGAATAGTGGGTACTGGTATACTTTTTAATGTGGCGCTTTTTGACGGCCATTTTAATTAACCACAGCTTAATTGGGATTCAGAACATCAAACATAAACCCTATGATATATGATATTGCTGCTTTCCCACAATGTGGATGATTTGCACATCTTGATGATATATAAAGCTGATTTCCTGTTGATAATGGATCATTGTCTTTGTTAGACATAAGCTTTTGAATGAACACTGGGCAATAAGCTTAACATGGGGTTAAGAGAGAAGCTGAAAGATTATACTTCAAGCTCAAAAGAGTTGAATGATTCCAAGGAAGCCAAGACTAGTGCTGTCTCGTTATATGAGGTTGATACTGATCAAGATTCTAATGAAAAAGGTTTGAAAAAATCTAATATCAACGAAGACGTTGTCGAAATTGATAGTGATGATTTCTCATTTGTTGAAGGTGATATCAACTTATTAAGTAATTCTCCATACCCTGAAGTTAGAGCAAATGTTAGTATAGAGGATGATCCATCAATAGTGATTAATCATTGGAGAACATGGTTTTTAACTACATTATTTGTTATTGTTTTCTCTGCTGTTAATATGTTTTTCTCATTAAGATATCCAAGTTTGACAATTAACTACCTTGTTGCTCAAGTTATTGTATACCCAATTGGGAAGTTTCTTGCTAGAGTATTACCAGATATTAGATTCAAGAAATATCCATGGTTTAATTTAAATCCAGGTCCTTATACTATAAAAGAACATGGAGTCTTGACCATTTGTGTTGCATTAGCAGGTTCAAATAATTATGCAATGGGTATAGTTGTTTCACAAACTAAATTTTTTGGGAAAGAATTTGGTATTGGTTATGAAGTTTTATTAAATTGGACTACACAATGTTTAGGTTATGGATTAGCAGGTTTAACAAGAAAATTTATTGTTGATCCTCCAAGTATGATTTGGCCTCAAACATTAATATCTGTTGCAATGTTTGAAGCATTACATTCTTCTAAGATTGATAAAACTGTGGTTAATGGATGGAAAATCTCAAGATATTCATTTTTTCTTGTTGTATTAATTGTTAATTTTGTTTGGTATTGGTTCCCAGGTTTTATTTTCAAAGCTTTAAGTTATTTCAATTTTATATTATGGGGCTCTAAAACTAGAAATAATTTTGTTGTTAATTTCATATTTGGTGTTTCTGGTGGTATTGGTGCAATTCCATTAACTTTTGATTATACACAAGTTTCACAAGCTATGAATAATGTCTTTGCAACACCTTATTGGGTTTCAACTAATGTTTATGCATCTGTTTTCATTTTCTTCATAGTTATTTTACCAATTTTATATTTTACAAATGCATGGGATTCAAAATATTTACCAATAATGTCAACATCAACATTTGATAATAAACAAAAAAAATATGATGTTAACAGTATCATGGGTGATAATTTTATAATTGATTATCAAAAATATAAAGAATATTCACCATTATTTGTTCCATTTTCATATTTATTAAGTTATGCATTAAATTTTGCCGCTGTTATTAGTTTATTCTTCCATTGTGGTTATTATCATTGGTCTGATATTTGGGCAAAATTCAAAGATTCAAGGGCTGGTGGTGAAGATATTCATAGAAGATTATATTCCAAATATAAAGAAGTACCAAATTGGTGGTATGCTTCTTTATTTATATTGTTCTTAGGTCTTTCATTCTTAACTACAAGTTATTATGATACTGGATTACCAGCTTGGGGGTTAGTTGTTGCTATCTTGATTAGTGTTGTTACATTCTTACCACAAGGTCTTTTAGAAGGTACTAGTAACTTAGAAGTTGGATTAAATATCATTACTGAAATGGTTGGTGGTTATATCTTACCATATCGTCCATTGGCTAACCTGTTGATTAAAGTTTATGGATTTATTGTCATGAGACAAGGTTTAAATTTATCAAGAGATTTAAAATTAGGTCTTTATTTGAAAATTGCACCAAGAATCTTGTTTTTCATTCAAATTTATAGTACTTTATTAGCTGGTGTTACTCAAGTTTTGGTTTATAGATGGATGAAATCCAATGTTGATGATCTTTGTTCAACTTCACAAAGTGATGGATTTATTTGTGCAGGAGGACGTACTTTAACAAATGCAGCAATTATTTGGTCAATTCCACAATTTTTATTTACACCAGGTAAGAAATATTCACCATTATTATTATTTTTCATTATTGGACCAGTTATTACAACAATTTTTTATTTATTACACAAGAAATTCCCAAAATATAGTGTTTTCAGAAAATTCAATGGACCAATTTTCTTTGTTGGACCAGGTAATATCCCACCAGCAACACCATATAATTATGGGTGCTTCTTTGTTGTTTCATCAATAATCTATTGGATTAGATCCAAATGGCCTAAATGGGATGCCAAATATAGATTTGTGCTTGGTGCTGGTGTTGAAACTGGTGTTGCCATTGCTACTGTTATAATTTTCCTTTGTGTTCAATATCCAACTGGTGGGAAATTCAATTGGTGGGGGAATACTGTTTATAAGAACACATTAGATTATGAAGGAAAGCCATATTATACTTTAAAAGAAGGCGAGACTTTTGGTGAAACCAAATGGTGGTGAATAGTGAAGAGTTATACTTGTTCATATCATATCATATTAATATCATCGACTATTTTATCAAAATAGTCTAATTAAGCTTAATTATAACTGTAGATTAGCTGCTATCCGATCCGGTTTTTAGCGCAGCCGCTCTTTCTAGAATTCTTCCCATCGGAAATGTGTATTTACAGTGGTGAATTGTAATTTGTAATATGTTCCTATGAGTCGTATCTAGTCAAGTTTACGACCACTAAACCCTAAATTGTACACTAGTTGATTGGGAACTGGGAATACTCAGTACTTACTGGCTATTCACTCACTCAAGATCTCAGCCAGTTAACCAGAAGTTAGCACCATCTGTGTTCGGATGCTTAACTGTTCCGGCTCCCGAGATCCTGGAATCACTTCACACTACCTAAATTCTGTCCCCTGCCTAGCTAGTAGCTGCCTATCTGCCTAGCCGCCTAGCTCCCTATCTCCAATGGAACTCCAAAGACTTCAGTCTTCCTCCCTAGAAACCGTTAAACCCTGCCCGCAACAATCATTGACATGAAAATCTGCTAGAAATGTAAAAAATTAAATTTCCGTCACTACAAAGTTTACAATATGGAATTTTAATTTTAATTGATACTTCCTATTAATAATTGTTAGTGATTCATTAAATGTTAACCGTCATTACCAAAGCTAATATCCCAATACGATGAAACCGACGGCGTGTATAGGGTGTCGTCTCAGAAGAAGACGCTGTGACAGGAAAACCCCCATCTGCTCCAGTTGCAGCGAGCTCAAGATCCCAGTGGAGTTGTGTATCTATAAAGACCTTCATTCAAATAAAAAGACAAGCAGTGGGAAAGATGTACTAGAAGAAGTAATTGCTGAAAAGATACAACTGACTCGTGAGAAGTTCAAATGGAAAAGGCTTCTAGAGGCTCAATTACAAAAACAAACCATTTCAAATCATTATAGATATGATATGAAAGCGCATAGCAACACCAATAAAGTTGAATATAATCATGATGATGGAATATTACTGAATAAAGATTCTATAAATTGGAATGGTCTAAATATAGATTCAAAAGAACCTAAACCCACTAATATATGTGGATCATTATCTTGGGGTTCATTAATGGCTGTTGAACCAAATATGAAATCCATGTTATCTAAAATTGATGAAGTTATAATTAATGAAAAACAACATATAAAAAATGCTCGTGATATTGTGGAAGCTCCTGCAAAAGGTAATTACTTAGTAACAAAGATTAAAGAAAATTTATATTTGCATACTTTATTTGGTGAGACTGTTTTCAAATATGATATGTTGATTGATAGTTTATTTAGGGATATTGAATCAAATTTACCTAATGAAAAGGCAATACGGCATATTATATCACATCAATGTAAAGTAAGTCCTTTGGAACTTGTTGGTTGGATGGGGACAGATGAAGATATAGTATTAGAGAAACTTAATTCAGTCATATCATTTAATAAAAAAAATGGTTCTGCAAAAATTCATATAAATTCATTTGAAGATCCAACAAAAATTGCAAATTTAACATATGTACTATCATTTTTAATTTTACCTGCATATTATAAAGAGCAATTATCATCAACAAAGAGAGAATTAAATGAATTCTTAATGGCTGAATATACTGAATTATTAACATACATTTTCAATAGAATTTCACCAGTTGATGGAAACTCTTTACATATTTTCCCTCAATTAACTCTTGAAAGATTACAAAGTTGGTTATACATGATTTTTTTCTTTAAATTTACACCAAGTGGAAGAACAAATGATAATGATAATCCATTAGATATAACAATGAGTAAAACTTATGTTATAAACCTTTGTCGAGTTATGGGATTAAATACAAACATTGATGAAACTTTTTCTCATCTTAGTGTTCAATATAGGAAATCAATGAAATCATTTTGGCATTTATTACAATATATTGATGCTATGGAAGTTTTACAAACTGGGTTACCTCCAACAATTAAACCTTCGGAAATTATTAGATATGATGATTTATCAAATGTTGTATCTGAAACTACTTTAGTATTGAATAGAATCCTTTATAATTATAATACAATGGATTTTGGACAAATTAAAGATCCTGAAATATTCATAAAGATTATTGAGAATGAATTCATCAAAGATATTGAAGTATTACTGCAAACAGAATATGGTTCATTAGAAGAAGAATTAAACATTTTGAAATTTATTGATTTAGATGATCCACAATGTTCAAAAGATTTATTAAATTATTCCGCAAGATTTACTCAAAGATTCCATATATATACATTGATGCAAACACTTTATTATTTTTGTTACAAAAAATTAGAATCATTTGATAAATATTCTAAAAGAAGAATAAAATTTGGTATTTTAAGTATGAAATATTCTTCATTAATAATTTATTTATTACGTGAATCTTTTAATATTTGGAGTACACATATCAAACATCCAAAAAGTTATGAACGTGGTGTATCAGAATGTGCAATGGGTTGTTATCCTCATGTAAATGTTAGTGTTCGTACAGTGTTTGCATGTGCTGGTGGGAGATTATTTCAAGGTTTACCAATTGATGATGCATCAGTAATGAAAAATTTTATAATGGGTAAAAAAATTAATGAAGAACAATTATTAAATGAAATTTCATTACAAGATGAATTTAAAATTTTATTTTCTTTAAAAGATTTAGAAGATTTAGAAATTGATCATGATGATTTAAAATTATTTGAAAAATTTTCTATATTGGCAAATCATAAATATATTATTTTTAGTTTTAGTAAAATGATTAGTGAAATTTCCACAAAGTTTTTCCAAGATGATTCAAACAAAACAGTGGGGAGATTAAATGTTGTGTTTTTTTACTTGTTAAAGATTACAAGTTTTTTCTTAAATTCTTCATTTACAAGTGATGGTAAACCAATTGAAAATGAACATTTTTATATTGGTTTTAAAGATCCATTGAAAAAAAATACAGGTATTAATAATTCAATAAAGAATTCAGAATTTACATTTGGTCAATTATTTGAAGAAACTTTAAATACATCATCAACAAATTTTGATTTTCAAGATTTTTTCAATTTTACAAATTTTAATGGATTTGAATCAAATGAAATTGATGATTTTTTATTAAATTGTGATACTGATTTTAAGTTTTAACCATATAACATGTACTTTAATAATTAATGAATCATGAGTTTATATCTATCCATGTATTAACCTCTATCATTGACGTCCCAGATTCAATCTAGCAAAACTTGTATTTTCTAATTTTTCAATTTCAACACCTTCAAGATCCCCATCAATACAATCTAATACTTCATTTTTAGTACTTAATTTCTTTAATTTTGGTAAATTTATTTTCAATTTAATATTATTTGTTACTAATTTACCAAATTTATTAAAGAATCCCATGTTTAATATTTTCAAATCTGGGAAATTTGAAGTTGTAAATTCATAATTCTGTTCTTCTGGGTGAACTTTTAATTGGATGTATAATTCTTCAAGTCCTTTAAATGGTACATTATTTAATAAAACGTTATTAAAAGATTCTAAATTCTTTAAATTTAAGATTCTCAAGTTTGGTGCATCAAGTTTGAAAGGTTGTAATTCAAATAAATCATCTTGTGATACATAAAATGTACCTAATTTAACTTCTTTCAATTTTGGGAATGAAAAATATTCAAGTTTTGGGAATGTTGATAATGTACTACTGAAAACATAAAGTAGTCTCAAGTTTGATAGATCTATGTGGCTAAGGATGTATAATGGACCATTTGGAACATTTGATGATGATATGTATAATTCTTCCAAGTTGGGGGTTTGTAAATCTTGAATTACTAAAATTGAATCAAAAACTCGTTCAGTTGTTGAACCTCTTATTGTTATATCTAATATTTTCAAGTTTGGTAATGATATATTTGATAATGAAATTGAATTCCCAGATATTTTAAGTTTTGAAAGGTTTGGTAATGTAACTTTAGGATGATTTATTGAATTTCTAACATCACTTGTGAATACAGAATCTAATTCTAATGTTTTCAAATTTTGAAATCTTTGGAAAAGTTCAAGACTTGTACCACTTTCAATCCCAATTCCAATTAATGAATTTAAATTAGGTATATATGAATATTTCAGGAAATTTGATAAAGTTGGAAATCTTGGTAATTGATCATTAACATTCGTTATACCATCTATTGATGTAACACTTGATGAAATGATCTTAAAAGGGAACCGCTGATTTGCATAGACATATAATTGTGGTAGATGATCAATACTATCGAAATGATATGTGTGACCCATTAACAGTAAAGCCTCTGGAGCAAATCCATCGCCCAATAATGTATTAAGACCTTGATCTGAATCACCAAAGTATAAAGTTCTACTAACTTGACTTAACTTGGAGGGGATAAACGTTCTTGGATCAAATATGATAGCTCTTGATATTGTAGCAGCATTGGAATTCATATAAATGACATCAATTTTCTGTGAAGGTTTAGATTTTAAATCTGTAATAAGTGAAATATATTCAGCTAATACAGCATTCAGTTCAACACTATGATATTCAAATATGAAATATTGGAATTTTTCAAAAGTTTTCCTCCAATGATTATGGAATTCTAATGAGTTTCTGATTTGTAATTGGATGAAATCTTTAGAGATGGTTTGGAATAATGAGCTTTGTTGTGAAGAATCTGACACTATTAAAACAATAGATTTGACCAAAAGCTGGAGTTTCTTGCATACACTTGCCAATCTGATGAATTCAAAGACATCATCGAGTTCACTTGTGATCTGGAGCAAAACCTCTGTGGGCAAGTCTGTGAGAATCATTTTTGTATTAGCCTTCGAGTCTCCTTTCAATCTCCTTAAGCTCGTGAAATTGGAAGAAGTGAACAGTTCTTTCAAAGGAATTTGGATTTGTGACATTGATATATAAAATCACCCGCGACGGACATTATAATTGCATATTTGATCTCGTGAGAAAAGATACCGGTGGGAGTCCAGTGGGAGTCCAGAGGGAGTAGAAGGAGGTTTTATCAAAGACTAGTACCTCTTTATATCCTACTTTCTGCCTACGATTGAGCCTACCTTAGGTTCCCTTGAATTCTGCTTAACTATGGGAGAGATGGTTACGAGCACCGCGCCAATTTGATGAAGACAATACAAAACTGATTTCTTAAAGCTTCTATTCAGTCAAAAGAACAGCTCATTGAAGACTCGCTCATTTACAAGTACAACACAATGTCCACCGTCTCAGTGATTTACCAGCTGAAGACTATCAAGGTCAAGGCTACACCAGGGACCCCTGTCAGTGAGATCTTGGAAAAGGCAACTTCTCATTTCATATTGGACGCCACCAGATTTGGTTTATTGTATGTGTCAATTTGATATCAATGCTATGATTTGGCTTGTTTTTACTGACCATCTTACATTCTTTTAGTCACAATAATAAAGAATTATCAACTGCTCTTCCTTTTAGATTGCTTAACTTACCACCAGGTGCTAAATTGAACTTACAATTATCCAAAACAAAGAAAAATGTTGATATCACAATCAAAATTCAATTCATTAATAGTCCATTTGAGAAAACTTCAATTGTACAAAATATAAATAATCAAAAAACACTTGATGAACTTATCGATCAGATTCAATCATCAGCTGGTTTAGACATATATGGCTCTAAAAAAACATTGAAATTTCAAAGTATATCTAAAATAATCAATCAAGATGATTTTAATAAAACTTCATTGGCATCTTTTGGTGCTGAAAATAATGCATCTATAAGATTAGTATTTGAAAATACAAATAAAGTTACACCAACAGTTACTAAACCAAATCAACAACCAATTCCAAAAGTTGAGACTAAATCTGAACCAAAAAGTTCATCAAAAGAGTCATCAAAGCCAATTGAACAACCAAAACCTACGTCGATTCCAGAAGTACAGAAGCCAGTGGAACCTGTCAAATATGAAGAATTAAAACCATTAGAAACAAATGAAATATCATCGGTATCAAATCCATTTCCAACCCCAACTCAAGATTCAGATGTCGAAATCAAAGATGCATACCCAACACCAACACCAATTCAACAAGAAGCTTCAAAATCCAACACACCTGAACCAATTCCTAAACATATTTATGTCTATAAACCATCAGAATCACCATTACCTCAACAAGAACCAGATGATGAAGAATATGATTTAACAGTATCACATGCACGTCAATATCAACAAATTTTATCACAAAAGGCAAATGAATCATACAAGACCAAAAGATTACGTCAAGAATCAAAAGAAGCTAATAAGAAAAAAATCACAAATATTGAAATAAGAATTAAATTTCCTGATGAAAGTAATTTACAGGTTAATTTTACACCACAAGAAACTAATTCTGATTTATATAAAATTGTTGGTGATACATTAATTAATAATGATGAATTTTCATTACATATCCCATATCCACCTGCATTAATTGAAAATAATTCTCAAAAATTACTTGTAAATTTCCAATCAAGAAATTTATTACTTTTCAAAACAAAACTTCAAAAATCAGGTCCATATTTAAAACCAGAATATTTAGCAAAAGCCAAAAGTTTAAAAGAAGCTGAAGAAATTAAATTAGAAATTGAAAGAAAGAATTCTAAAAATGAACAAGATGAATCAATTGATTCTTCAAAAATTTCAAATGGTGTATTACCAAAAAGCAAAACTTTTGGATTTGGGAATTCTTCTAAAAATTCAAATTCTGAAAAGGATAAAAAAGTTCCAAAATGGTTTAAATTTGGTAAGAAATAATTGAATTTACAATATATATAAGGATAAACTATAAATGTTTTATTTCATATATAACTCATATGTAGAAAATGAATCCATCATAGACTAATTATAAAACAGGTTTTTCAAAGGTATGGATTATATGTATCAACCCATACATTTCATTCTCAAATGTTTCAATTTCAAAATAACACAAACAATAATCTGCCCAAGCAATTTTCCAATGTTCAAATCATATACCAAGATAAAACCAGCAATAATCAATTGTATCAAACAAAATATTATTGACCTCAGTGTGAAAAAATCTAATTTGTGAGATTTAATTTTATTTCTTATCATAGTTGGTAAAGCATTCTCACGAACCTTTTCTTTGATAACCGAAAGGAATAACCAAATCAAAATATAACTGAAGCCTTGTTGCTTATTATTATGCCAAAATATAAGTAAAGGACAACCAAAAAGAAGAATTACTGAAATAGCATCTCCTAGTCTACATTCCAGTCTAAATTTTTCTGCTTTAGCATCATCTTTAATAATTGTTGTATCGACATTTTTTTCATAGTTATAAATATTATAAGTAGGCCGATTGCCGTAGTTGATGAAGATGTTGCCATGATTGTAAAAATGATAAATATTGAATGGTCTTTGATTCTGTTGAAAATGATGGGAACCGGGAGGTGGATACGCCATTTTATTAATTTGAACCAACGAATATAATTACTTTGACAGTGAAGTTAATAGAAGTTGATGTGAAACCACTCAAAACCTTTTACTTATGCTGCAAAATGTTCTTTAAATCAGTAAGTTTTAACGTCAATCATATTTAGTATCCTAAATTCTAATATAATTAAATAAAGTTTGACACAATTACGGATGTGACCAGACGAATTCGGGTGAGCAAATTATTATAATATATTATAACTAAGGTAATAAGCTTAGTAGATGTGCGTTTCTTACTACGGGAAAGCCAAAAACGTATATGTTGTAGCCCGCCAACAATTTTGCCCGTCAACACCAGATGTTCGTGGGCAACGACCCACCAACAATGAATGTTCGTAGGCACAACCCACCAACATTTTAGAGTTCGTGGGCACCAACCTGTCAACATAGGATGTTGGTGGGCAGCCCGTCAACATTTTATATAGCATAATATTGTTAATATATAAAGCATTATAATATGGCGTTATATAATTATAGTAGTATAGCACACATGATAATGAAGTGATCAATTAATTATACAACTACTATTGAGAGAGAACGATTCAATTGAGAACCTGTTTGAGTGATTGAATGTTGTTGTCAGATGATCAAAGTTCTTATCAATGATAATTGTAATGGGTACACTTGTAGTAAAACAAATGGGTGATAATGTATTAAACAATTTATGTACATATTTATACCTGGGATTCACTTTCCTTTATATAGTTTTCTAATGTTTGGTTAGTTATGACGACTTAATAATTACGACTAGATTCTTCTTAAATTTCGTACTATAGTCAGTATCTTTATGTTTTAATTAGACATTTGTGTTGGTTCAGGTATGTAACAGTATGACTAGGTCTTTAGAACACAATATAACTTCTATAAATTCGCCTTCATCTGCTTATTCTTCTATAAACCTATATATTATTGAGTGGTTTATCATCGACATCAACCAACTGGACAACATTAGGGCTTTAATTGACTCTTACTGATTTCAACACTTTCCTGCAGATCTACTAGAATAATTCAATCTTCAAAATTGTTGAGATATCTGGTGCATTTGAGCTTAAGTATTTCTTGATAAAACTACAATATATATTAACAATATTATGCTATATAAAATGTTGACGGACAGCCCATCAACATCCTATGTTGACAGGTTGGTGCCCACGAACTCTAAAATGTTGGTGGGTTGTGCCTACGAACATTCATTGTTGGTGGGTCGTTGCCCACGAACATCTGGTGTTGGTGGGTCAAACTAGTTCGTGGGCTACAACATATATATGTGTATAATTGAACAGTTATAACATATCTCTAATCTCAACCACCATAAGCTGATTCAAAATTATGTTTAATTTCATCTAAATCATACTTAGAATTAACACAAAGTTGTAATAAAACTTTAGCCTTAACAGAATCTAAAATCCCTCCTGCAATTGTAGATCCTAAACTTAAATCATTTGGACTAATTGAACCACCATTTGGTGTATCAGTCGTAATCACCACGGGGATTTTCTTGGATAATTCACTGATTTTATCTTGGATTTGAGAATTGAATTCTGGGGTTGATGTTTGAGATGTTATAATTAATCCTGATAAATCATCATTTTGTTCCAAAAAATCAATAATTTCCAAGTTTAAACGTCCTTGACCATTTTCTAAAATTAGTATATTTGGTAATGAATCCGTTTCTTTTGTGAATGTGAAGTTGAAATCACTTGTTAAATCAATTGATTCATAAAACCATTGAATTTTACCTTCATAAATTTGTCCTAATAAACCTTGAGGACTTGAATCAATTGAATTCCCCAAGTTTGTTGAAACTGGTATAGAATAAAATCCACTAGTAATTTTTTTATCACTAACAACAAGTGTACCTTGATTCACAAAATCTGATGAATTAGTAGCAACAAGAACAGAATCATATAAGTTTGAAACACCATTTGTTAAGAAGTTTTGAGAAGTTGGTTCAGTGGTTAAGATTATTGGGATTGATGAATTTAAAACCAAATCTAGGAAAAATGCTGATGTTTCAATATTGGAAAAATCTTGAAGAATTACTATTCCATCAGGAGGGTTGGATTCAATTGTTTCATTAAGGGTATAATAAAGTTTTAATAAATAAGTTGAATTAAAATCAGAAGATGAAACATTTGAAATATCTTGATATGAAATATTGGCAATTTTGGAAAGAGAATTTTTCAAAATTGTTGATTGGAAATTTGAATTTTGAGCTGTTGAATTTCCATTTGTTCCTTGATTTGAATTATACAAAATGTTTGATAATTCTGCTGCTGAAATGCTTAAATTTGAATTAGTTGATGAAGAATTTGATTCATATAATTTGGTGAAATCATTTGAAAATGAATAAAGTAAAATATTTGGTTTTGAATTAGAAGTTGAACTTGTTGAATTTGTTGAATTTTGCCCAGTTGATCCAGTAGTTGAGTTTGTACCATTCAAAACGAAAGATTCATTCCTTTGTGGTGTAATAGGCCCTGTTGATAATTCTTCTAATTCATCACTTTTTTTAAATAAATTAAAAAAACTTATTGGTGAAGAATTGACATGGATAATAACTGTTGATAATGAAATCAATTGTAATAACTTCATTTTTTATGTGGCACTGGTAATTATCACAACTATATTAATGAATAATATGCCAATTAAGTCATAAATCCAGCCATTATTATACCCATTTATATACTTTTTCGAAAAACTTTCATATCCGAATAACCAGATACGTATGCACCAAATTGTACCAATTTGAATAAATTCTCATGCAAGTAATTAATATGAAAGGGAAGTCATCCGAAAACTATCAATGAAGGTGTTTAACGTGATTAAATTGATTTTTGATTGTTTGCTATATTCATTCCGAATATTCCATTAATGATGAGACTATACTGAAATGGCATCTATGATTCATAATATATAATTCTTCCCAATGTTTATCAGCAGTTGCAATCGTTGTAATATATCCAAGACATACTGTGATATCAATTCATTGATACCATACCATACAACCTTTAACAATTCAATAAGCATACAGCATTTAACACAATGACATTTTTGATATGTATTCATTCAACATGATTCTTGACACAATTTGAGAGTCCAAAGCACCAAGATGGACATTTCGAAATAGCCGAGTACAAACAAGAGTGAACCAGTATCACTAGCATCTAACCATCCAATGAGTACAATTTCACTGTGCCTTAATTACCATATACCATATTACCAATTACCATCAAACAAACCTCCCATCTTATGATTGACCGAAGTTCTGTACTATAAAGATCACAGTTGAATTGAAGTACCAATCTCCATCAAGAAACAGTGTTCCATGGTATTATTAAAGCGAATAATAATGATACCTGATACCTGATACATTTTAACGACTGATAACAATCTAACAATATAAAATCAAAATATAACTATCCAATTTAGGAAATATTTTAATGGTTAGAGGCCCTGATGGGTGTATTCAGTACTTCTATATGTATATTTAAAATGAATATGATTTAATGAATTGGTGCAATAAAAATAATGTAGCTAATGATCTATGTCTATATATATACAGCTGATTAAAGTTTATCAGAATTTAATAAATTTTCATGGAATTTTTCCACAATTTCTTCAAAATTTTCTTTTGAAGTTGTATTTTCCACCATTGTTATAAGTATATTAATACCACCATTTTTACAAGAAGAAACACATAAATAAAAATTGAAAACATTACGAGAATGTTGTGCAAAATAACAATTTTCCACTTTAAGTTCACCATTATTAGAATCATTAATAATTCCAATATTGGAAATCAATGTATTTCCTCTAGGTTGACCAATATAAGAATCTATAATTAATTGATCCAAATTTTTAAATTGTTGAATTTGATTCAATGACATCATACCCAGATCATATAAATATCTTTTAGTTTTAAAAAGATATTTTGAATATTCATTATGATATTTTAAATTTTCTAAATTGAATTTTTTAACTGGATGGAAAAATTTATGTGAAGCACCAACATTTGAACCAAATTTAAATTCATCATTATCAATATCTGATGGTAAATATTTTCTAGCATCACATGGGATTGTAACATCACTTAAACCAAACCATGTGTCTTTAAATAATCCTGCTTTATATTGAGCATTTAACCATGAGGTTTCAATGAATGGAGTTATTGTTAATTTTTCATCACTTGCACCAGATTGATGATGATTTAATAATTGTTTTTTAATATTTGATACATGATTTGCAGGGATATTTAAAATTTTATAAATATGTTTATCATCTCTTTGAACGACATTTTTTTTAAAACTTAAGAATTTGAAAACCATTAAATTATAACCAAATTCAAAAAAATATGAAATTGGAGGTTTATAAGAAACTAATGAATCTAAAGGAACTGGTAATTTATTCATTTGATGTTTGTCTAATGCGTAATTTATAATATCTTTATTCAAACCACTTGATACAATTGGTTCTTTCAAATATTGCTCAAATAAATTTGATAAATCTTGTATAACATTTTTACCAGTTATACCATCCGAAAGACAATGATTTGATAAATAAACCATTGTATAATCATCTAAGATTGCCAATTTCCATAAAGTGTTCCCCTGAGCATATGGTAATGCAATATCATTAATTTTACTTAATAATGTTTCATTATCATCTTTAGAATCTTTAATATGTTGAGGTAATTCATATAATATATCATTTAATTGAATTTTTGGTAATGTATAAATGTAATCATGAATTGGATTTGGTTTGGTAAGATCTGAATAATCAGTATCTAATATTGAACAAGCCAAGATTGGATATTTTAAGAACAAATCTCTTAGTGATTTTTTTAAGATATCGTTATAATTAATTTTTTGATTAAATTTTACTAAAACTGCAAATGTTTTGAATAACTTTTGACGTTGTAATAAACCAAAATAATTTTCCATGTCACCCATTCTTCTAGCATGACCATTATTGATTTGATCTTGCAATTGATCTTGATCTATGATATTTGATGATATGGTGGTGGACATGGTGGACATCTTAATGTGGGTATGTTTGAGATCTGGTATTATCTGATTGATGTGATATTATGATCTAAGGAAATGACCCAGTTTATATAGATCTAACCAACAAAACATTATGTTTATACGATCATGAACGAAGCCGTATGTGAAGCGAATGTAGTAAAATTCCTTTCAGTTAAGTAAATGTGGTACTAAATTTTTTGTTATGATCGTTTCTAGCTTATAAGTTATAAGGTGAAAAAATTTGACGTAAATCTTTAATTTTATTTGAGGTGCATTAGTACCGACGTTGAAAGTTTAAACGGACATTTAAGACTTTTGAATTGATTGAGTAGTATTTAACTTATACTAACCAGGATTAAATTAATTGTTGTTGATGAGATCCATGTATGACGCATGTGTGGATCGTATGATTGTGCATTGCCCATCGATTAATTATTATTCACTCGTTCATTGGTTCCTGATCTGGAGTTAAAGCATATTACTTTAATTTTTGTTTAGTACTTACCTTCATCAATTAAATAAACATATCATTACATAATTCAATATAATAATAACAATTATCCTGTCTGATATGTATTCATTCAACGTGATTTTTGACACAATTTAGTGAGCATCAATACGAATATGGATATATTCGAAATAGCCGAATATAACCAAGATTGATCCAGTATTACTAGCATTTAATCATCCAATGAGTACAATTTCACTGTTCCTTAATAATATATCATATACCATATTACCAATTACCATCAAACAAACCTCCAATCTTATGATTGACCAAAGTTCTGTACTATAAAGATCACATGAGTTGAGCTAAAGCACCAAGATCCAGCAAACAGCAGTGTGTCATCACCATGGTATTGTGAAAGTAAATAGTAACCATACCTGATACATTTTAACATCCGATAACAATATAACAATATACAATATATGTTCAAGTAGTGATCCAAACTAGGAAAGATGTTTTAATGGTTTATGGCCCTGAAGGGGGTGTTGAATTTCTCTGCGGCTAAATTTATAGCTTCAACATGACTAAGCATTGTATGAGTGCTTAGTCATAATACCATGTTCAAACTCATATTTGATACCTTTAGAAGCGTTTAAGTTCTTTCGATACAAATTCATGCTATTTAATAAATTACTCTCCATTTCCTGATATTAGTTTTAGATTCACATCAATATTTCAATATTTTACTTTAACCGCTCTGGAACCAAAGTGCAAATGGAGGAAAATTAGAGTGCACCGCGAATATTGATTCAAAATCATAATTATGTAAGCGCCATATATAATTTTCAAGTTTAGCCCGCGAATCGAGATATCGAGATCGATAATGTTTATTTATAGTACATCACCATTATAAAAACAAAGTTATGATATATGTGTTATTTATAGATTACAGTCTATCATCTAGTGTATCAGTATTCAGGGAACGTGGTTAATACATATCTGTCTAGTTGGGCTGACTTCTAGTGAGTCTGACTCAATTTTCAGCTGCGCATTTGAAGAAATGCACCATCCCACATCCCACGGGCCACGAATATGATATACGCGAAATTTGTATATGGTGAAAAATTGAATCTCTTTATATTCCCAATAACAACTTAATCTTCTATAGTTTAAGCTTGATACTTGAATTTTTAATGTACCAACGTTCGACTCACTCTTTTCAAAGATCTTGAAAAGAACATTTTCCATAGTGCGCATTAATCGGCCGACAATATTAATCAGTTTCCCAGTTGATAAAAGTGTAATAACGATGCATGTTGAATGCGTATAAATATACACAATCATGTATAACTGAGTATATACATAAAGAACCCTAGTAGACTGTACTATATTACAAGAGCTGGTACTAATTTTGGAAGGAGTCGACATGTAAGTACGGCATATATATTATAACTGTATATCATTCATTATAATTGATTTGAATCATAAAGATAATTAAGTTGATCTTTAAACCCATTCAACCCATTTAATCCATAATTCAATATTCCAATCAAATCAATCTGTGTTTGTTCTTCAGTAAACCCAGGAATTTGAGTAGACATTTGATCTAATGAATAATTGTTAACATTTGAAAGTAAATCTGATTGAAACATTGTTGAACCAAGTTCTTCATTTTTAATTATAGGTTCTTCAGGTTGTTCATTTGATGATATTGATTCTGAATTTGTAGTTTGACTATATTCTGATAATGGAGATAAAAGATGTTCATCATCTTGTTCTAATTCTTCATCTTCTTCATATTCTTCATCTGAACTAACTAATTCTGAAGCTGTAGCTTGTTCAACTTTTTTAGTTTCTGATTCTTCATTATGATTATGTGAATGTTGTTTAATACCATTTTTGGATAATAATTCTAAAATCATTGAAACTTTATCACTTAATAAATCGAATTGTTGTTCCATTTTATTAACTCTTTTCCCTAATTCTTGTAAAGTTACTTTCTTTGTTGTTGTTTTCTTCTTTTTACGTATATTACTAGTTTTAGAATAAGCACATTCAATATGATGATTTTTACAATTCAAACATGGTGATGATCCATTACATTTAATTTTCCTTTGTCGACAATAATTACATGCTTTGGAAATACGACGTCTTCTTATAGTTGGATAAGATTCATTACCAGTGTCACTCATCGTTGGAGATGTTGTTGATGATGATGTACTTTGTTTCTGTCTCTGATATCTTGACATAATTGACACAATTCACTAGAATAGTCAACAGCTAGTACACGTTTATACATATGTAATCAATTGAATGAAAGAATCTGACGAATCCATGTTTATATATACTTTTGATTGATCTTCTGTCAAAATTAACTTCCAAGTATTAAAATCATAAATAATCTGGCCGATAGAATGTAATAATCTAACTCTCACAGGACCCTTTTGATCTAAGTATAAATAATGTACTGAATGTGGCACTGTTTACTGTAGTGGTCCGTGGATTAGCCATAACATGTTCCGTGGACAAGCCCAGTTATAGGCAGTAATAACATAAATAACCATCTTTCAGGGCGGGATTAAGCAAAAATTACTAGTGTGGTCCGTGGACCAGCGTTGGTCAGTTCCGTGGATAATTGTAATCTGTTTTATATATAAACTACTTGATATCCCAGATCATACATAATACATAACAATGATCACTCTACATGATTAAACACATCTAAGGAAACTTGGTTATCAATAGTTTAAAAACTATATATACATATTAGACACTACCAATATGGCTGAAAACGGGTTTGAAAATTTCAAGTTCTATTACTATAATCCTTCAATTCCAGGTGGTATTATATTCACAGTATTGTTTGGTTTATTATTCTTTTTACAATTTGGTTCAACATTATATTCATTCATAACAATCTTTAAGAAAAGACCTTTAGGTTATGGACGTAAACTTGAGGAACGTTCCAATTCAACAAATCAAATTGAAAGACAAGCAAAATCAAAATTCAAATATGGTGGTACAAGTATAATTTATATCCTTTTACCTTTCTTCATTGGTCTTGCTTGTGAATTTGTTGCTCATATTGCTAGAGCTGCAAGTCATAACAATATTGAAAGTAGAAACTTATACATCATTCAAACTTTATTGATGTTAATTGCTCCACCATTATTTTCTGCAACTTTATATATGACATTTGGTAGATTAGTTACATATGTCTTGAAGAATGAAAAATACTTATTATTATATCCAAAATATATTACAAAGATTTGTGTTGCTGGTGATGTTTTTTCATTGTTATTACAAGCTGGTGGTGGTGGTATGTTAGCTACTGTGGAAACAGTACCATCAAATTATCAATTAGGTCAGAATATTATCCTTGGTGGATTAGGTGTTCAAATTTTATTCTTTGGATTCTTTGTCGTTGTTGAAGTCACTTATTTCATAAGATTATCTAGAAATTTACAATTAACATCATATAATTCAACAGTCCTCAATGGGAATTTGAAAAGGTTTCCAAATAAATTGCAAACTTGGAGAACAATCTTGTTGAGTTTATTCATTTGTTCAATTTTTGTACTAATTAGATCAGTTTTCAGAATTGTGGAATTCAAAGAAGAAAGAGGTGGTTATATTTCATCAAATGAATGGTGTATTTATATCTTTGATTCATTAATGATGTTATTAAATGGGATTTTATTCGTTAGTCAAGATATTTCAAGTTATTTCTTAAAAGCTATTCCTATAACATGGCAAGATCAAGATTCTTTAGTTACTGAAGATACTTCTGTAAAGGAATTGGATGAATTGAATCAATAGAATTTCTACTAGCGCTTTTGTATTAGTTTATTAATCAATGTAAAATTATAAGTATAAATAATGTAAAAACATCTATATATATTAAAAAAACTTTAAATCAAAAATCACAATCCATTACTTGCACAAGTGAAAACACTCCCATAAGCACCACTTTGATAACTTAAAACAATACTATCAACAGATGCATAAGTACCTGGACCCAAGATATAAATCCCCATTAAAATCAATATAATACAAATTATATATTCAATTTTTTCACCAGTTTTCAAAACATTCCAAAATTCTCTTGTATTACTGAATTGACCTTTATATTTATCTTGTCTTAATCTTATAAAAGCAACACCCCAAAATACAAAACCAAACCAACAATCAAAAAGTGAAGACATTAATGATAATAAATCTGAAAAAAATGGAATAACTTCTGCAATAATGAATGCCACAATCCAAAAGAAAACATTTAATGCAATCCAAAATCCCCATCCTTTAACTGTATGTTGAGATTTATGTTTTGAATTTTGGAAAACTTTTAAAAAGATAAATTGAGATGAAACATTTGAATAAAGTGAACCTAAGAAAACAATTGTTGGGATTGCAAATGTAAATGCTGCAATTTTATATTTCCCAGTTAAAACACCAAATGCAGGTGCAACCATATAATGATTACCTGCATAAACATAAACAATAGAACCAGCTAATGCAAATACCAAAACTTCACAAATCGTAACAACATAAATTGCCTTTTTGAAATCTTTTGGATTCTTCATTTCTGAAATAAATGAAGGATAACAAATTTGTCCAACAAATGTATAAACAATATTCAACATTGCAGACATACCACTAACATAAGTTGTACCCTTTTCAGGCCATAAATTCCAATGAACAGGAGTACCATCGAAACCTTCAGGATGATCTTGAATTGCAGCAAATACAATAGATAATATAACTGCAACAAACATAGTAGCAGCTGCAAATATACCAACAAATGACATATGAGAAAAAGTTCTTGGTAATGAAAAAATACAACAAATTATTGCTGAAACAACTGCAAATACCACAGTACAAGCACCATGATGTGATACTGTGTTTAAATATTTTGCACCAATCAAAACATGTAATGCTTGAATTAAAGTATTATTCAAGATAAAACATGCAGCTGTTGCATACCATGCCCATTTTTTACCCCAAAATAAATGTTGACCAATATCACAAATTGATTGAATATGGGGATATCTTGAACAATAATCACCAATAATACAACCTGTATAAGCAACAGTTAAAGAAATGAAAACTGTAATAATTAACCCGGGTACAAGTCCCAATATAGAATATGACCATGGGAATGACATAATGGCTAAACAAATATATTCAGAGAATAATAACCCAGCAGTTTTTTGCCATGAACATGATCTATATTTAATTTGAGAATCTTTTTCATGTTCAATTTCTTTTAATAAATAAGCATCTGGATTTGATTCTGAATCTGATGATTGATCTGTATAATGAAGGAGTTCTGGTGATTGTTCTTGTTTTTCAGGGTCAATGTATTGCTTGTCAAGACTTGTATTAGTTGACGGCATGATGAACAAATATTACAACCACTGTATATATGGAAAAAATGGTTTATTTCAATTTCAGAATTCAATTGTTTTATAACATCTCATTAAATGTTAGAGATATCCATGAGTATTTAAATAAAATGAAACGATGATGCAAAAATGAGAAACCGAGAATCTTTGTTTAATAATTAACGTATATCTGATAAAATGCTCTAGCCACAATTTTAGCAGCTCTTAAAAATTCAATGCACGTAATTCACCGTACTAAAAGTAATAAATATGCTTTAAACTTCTTCTGTGCAACACTGATTTATTTCTTCTTTTGGAGAATTGGCCAATGTCCAATGTTGTAAGTTGTACTGCTTATATTGTTGTGGCTGATAATGGCGAAACAAAGTGTGGAGGTGCACCGTGTTCTCACTGTAGACAAAGAAGCTGATCAACAAGTCTATAACCAAACCAGTTGTTCCCAGAGATCAACAGAATCAATAGAATTGAAATCTCGGTACAACATTGTATGCAAAAGAATTACATTAAAGTCTCGAGATTGCTGGGCCCTTTCAAGCTGGGCTTTCACTGGGCTTTTGCTTAAATTTACTTTAGCCTTTCACTGGCATTTGCTCATCGCATATTTTGAAAATTTTAAATTTAATTTTTTCTTTGTTGCTAATTGTCTGGGGCAGAAAATTAATTGGGGCTAGGCAGAGGCTAGGCAAGAGCTAGGCAGAATTGACAAACACTGGGGAGATGATCTAGGCAGGAGCGCTGGGTTTCTAAGTTCTAGCCTCGCTAGGCAGACAGAACAAAAGCAATCCAGTGTGGCGCCCCTTGCAGCCAGTTGCCAACTGTTCGGCTAGTGCAAAACACTTACGTCGCCACATAGCAGCTGAGATTGTATAATGAAGTGATGAGCTGATGATAATTTTTGTGGCTTGATGAAGAGAAGGGTTTACGGATCTATAGACTATTTAAGAAAATGGTATTCAACCTGTGAGCTTATCAGTATTTTGTTGTTTATAATTGGTATTTGATTAAGGATATTCGCGGGTATATATAATATAAGCTTTATGATTTCTGAGTATAAAAGAATAAAATAATAAGCTTTAGACGTTTGGCTAAAAAGCTAAGAAAATACTCTCTTTTCTTTTACTTTTATTTAGTTTAACGGTTTAATTATTATATTGTTTATATTTCAATGCATTATATACTACTATACTCAATTCAATCTACCTATATATTATCAACACCTTCTTCATCATCATCTTCAAGATCTAATTTTCTCTTACCATTCAATCTCAAAGCTCCTAATTGTTGAGTTGCAACTTGTTTCTTAACTTTCTTGGTCATTTTTTCAATTTCTGCTTCAACATCATCTGAACCTTGTTCAGCATATTGCATAACTAATCTTCTACCTAATAAATGAACACCTTGTAATTGATCCATTGCACTTTGTGCTTCTTTTGGAATTAAAAATTCAACAAATGCAAAACCTCTAGCTGATTTATCAAATTTCTTTGGAACTCTAACTGATTTTAATTGACCAAATGAATTAAATAATTCAAATACATCTTTTCTACTTGCTTCAAATGGTAAATTCTTAACAATAATCTTGGATGAAACTGCTTTATTAGTTGATGTTTTCTTAACAACATTTTGACGATGTGATAATTTTAATTGTAATTTATGTCCATCTAATACTGTATTATCTAAAGTTGATATAGCAATATTAGCTTGTTCTTTTGTTTTAAATTCAACAAATCCAAACCCCATACTTTGTGTTTTGGAACTATCTCTTGGATCTGGTTTAGTTTTAATAGTTGCAACAACAAATCCTGTTAATTTTTCGAAAACTGAAGTTAATTGACTTGAAGTTGTATTGAAATTTAAATTTTTAACAAAAATTGAAACTGTTGGACCTTCAAATATATCTTCATCTTCTTGAACTTGTTCATCTTCCATAATATCTCTAGCATTATCTTTAACTTCTTTAACATCTTCCTTAGGTGTCTCTGAATTATTAGCAATTTCATCTGATTCAGGTTCTCTTGTAAATAAATCTTTTGGACCTTTTTCTAAATATAAAATACCCTTTTTAAATCTTCTATAACATAATTTTGTAAAAGCAGATCTACCACTTGGTAAATCTCTAAATTGTATTATAGCAATAGTACCAGATGGAGGCATTATAATTCTTTTAACAGGTCCAAATGGTGTAAATAATTCTAATAATTCAGCTTCTGTTGTACCAAATGGGAAATTTTTAATTAAAATTATTGAATCATCACGTTCTTTATCTTGAAATTTTGTTAAATCAATACCTTTATTTTCAAAAAATTTACGAACATCTCCAATAACATGAGCTTCAGCTAATGCTTGTTTAACTGCAGAATTTGAACTTTCAGGATCAATCAAATCACGTTTTTGTAATCCCATACTTGATGCAATAGAATTTAATACAGCATCATTATTCATATATAATGAATTCCAACTAAATGTATGTTTTGATGCATCATTTTTTTTCTTCAATTCACGTTGTTTTTTTAATGGTAAATTTTTTAAATCAAATTCATCTAATCTATGATTTTTTTTAGAATCACCTGGTAAAATATGTAATAAACGACCTTGAAAAATTTGTTTATCTTGTTCAATATATGCTTGAACTGCATCATCTGGATTAACAAATTGAATATATGCAAAACCTTTAGATTGTCCTGTTCTTGTATCAATTGCAATATGAACTTCTTCTAATTCACCATATTTAGAAAATAATTCCCTAAATTCTTCTTCTTTAGATGAATATAATAAATTTCTAAGGAAAAGACGTCCTGTGGTTCTAATTTTATTAATTATTGTTTCTTCTTCTGATGGTTTTAATTCTTCAGGTTCTTTGGATGATGATTTTTCAGCAGCTTTTTCTGAGTTCTTTTGTTCTACTTCTTCTTCCTTTTGATCATCATTTTGTGGTTCAATTGAATTGGTTTTTGGTTTATCAACAACTTCACCATTTTCTTTAATACGTACTCTTCTTCTCTTTAACCATTCCATATCTGATATATCTTCTTCTTGATTTTCTTTATCTTCAATTTCGCCTTCATCTTTACCAAAATCATCAAGATCCATCATTGGTTCATCATCTTCTTGTTCTTCTTGATCTTGTTTTGTTTTACCAAATGCATCATATTCATCATCACTTTCATTTTCTTGAACTTTGAAAATTTCATCTGCAAATTTATTTTCAAATTTATTATTATTATCATCATTTGATCCATCACCTTTCATTGCTAACACTTTATCTAATAAAGAATTTGATGGTGCACCACCTTCATTAACAACAACATCATTTGACCAAGATTTAGCTTGAGTTGAAGGTTTCATAGATTCAATAAATTCTTTTAATTTTGGATCATTTTCAATATCTTGATCAATTTTAGATTTTTTATCAATTTTTTGTCTCTTTCTTCTTTCTTGTTCTTTAGCTGCTTCTTCTCTTTCTTGTTCTTCTCTTTCTCTTTGTTTAATTCTATCAAATGCTTCTCTTCTTTTTTCTTTAAATGATTTTGGTACACTTGGATCAACAAAACTTTTAGCAATAGAAACTTCTATTTTGGCAGTATCAATAAATGAACCATTAAAATATCTAACAGCTTCTTCAGCATCTTCTTGTCTTTTAAACCCAATAAATGCAAATCTTCTTGATTCACCAGCTCTATTCTTTCTTAATTTAACATCCGTTATATCACCTTTTTTAGCAAAATGGTCTCTTAATTTTTCTTCATCAAGATATTTAGGTAGTCCTTTAACAATCAAACGTGACATTATGAAATAAGAATATCAATTTGTCTCGATGTTTTTAGTTCTAATAATTTGATTTTAATGCACTATAGATTTATTTTATCTATGTTAAATTTTTTTTTCTTTACTATAAATTTTCGTTATGGCCAGGTATCTGCTGAATTAGGAAACTCCGAGGGCGATGAGCCGGAAATTGCTGTTTCGGGACGAAGTACTACGGTTATCACTTTATTACTTCACAAATTGTAATAACATAGAATATTGATACTTCTATCTTATTGTTAGTTTATATCTTCAATTACAACTTCTTGAAAATTAATTAGAACCCATAAGCTTCGGATATATAAAAGGTTGCTTCTAGTACAGATCAAGTATACTAGAACGAATCGCTATCACTATTCACTATTCAACATTTCAAATAATTTATGAAATTCATGTAATTCATAAGTATTATTTCTTAAACAAAATTTATATATATGTGTAGTAAGTAAAGAAAAAATAACTGCTGGAATAATCACTCAATGATCATTCCTATGACTCTATTTAAACCAAATACTAGGCTTAGCATTATATGATGAAGGTTTATCAACGACTCCATCATCAACAACTTCAAATTCTTGCCATGTATGTTCAGCATAATTGACAATTTTATTTTGCATGAAATTAATTGTACTAATCTGATCAAACGATTCACCTTTATCAATTGAAGCAGTAATATTTTTTTTCAAGATATCAATCCTTTTAGATAAGACTTCTAATCTATAATTCATCCAATCTTTATAATATTCATTATAACGAGATGCAACATATTGACCTGGCTTAACTGTAGTCATCACACAATTATCAAGAAGAGGATCAACCGGTCTGAAACTTGATACTTGAGTAATTCTTTCACTATATTCACCTGCGGGTCTTGGTGCTATATGTTTAATGATTCTACCTTGTAACACATTAGCCCAACCTTGTTTAGGGCCTTCCACTCTTGCAATTTCACCATCACCTTTAACTAAAGAAGTTTCACCGCCTATCATTTTGGAAGTATCACTTAACATCAGTACACAAACAAATTGTGGTGAATCAAAATGCCATGGTGTGATTCCAATGACTTTATCTTCATCTTGAGTAGCTGCAATATCCTCATCGAGTAATTTCATTCCTGGTGTTCTAATACTAATATTTGTATTAGCATGAACATGATTAAACATTTGAATTAGCTCAACACCAGCCATCTTACTGATAATCTCCAAAATTTTAGGATGTGACCAAGCTTCATAAGTAAATTTAGCATATTCACTATATTCACCAACAACAAAACTTTGTCCCTTACTATCTTTTGACTTTGATAAGGATCTAATTCTACCATATTTAGTAATTACATCTTTTTGTAAAACTTCCCATCTTAAAATTGCAACAGCTTCATCTGTAAATAATGGGAATGGTTCACTAACACCAATATTAGAAATTGGTTCTTGACGAGAATTATCAATTTGTAATTCTTCTAATGTATACCTTTTTGTTTTTTCAAAATAATCATCAGTAAACAAAATATGTCTATTTGGGTCAAATCTAACTGAAGAAGGATCAGTGATTCCAAATTTGTATAGGTCTCTAATTAAAGGAGCAAATTGAGCATCATAAGTATCTTCTGATATATCAAAGTTATGATGATCATTAAGAACATCAGGAGTTAATGAAGATTCAACAACAGCAGCAGGCATGGTTTTCTAACTTGTATAAATTATTTTGAACATCAAACCACAGAACACCAATATAATTTTGTACATAATTTATCAATTTTATATAAATAAAGAACTGTCACCTTTGTGATTACAATGAGTCATGTTGACGTTTATTATCCTTCTTATCACCTTATGATATAACTTTATTTTGATAAGGGGATCTTAGATCTTAATTAAGAAGCGTATATGACAAATTATAATCAATCAGCTGAGTAAACACTCTTACAAAATGTACAATCTTCATATTTCTCTTTGACAGCTTGAATTCATTCACCTACTTTCCTATTAAATCTCTGGGGATGATAATGAATCATGATAAATGATAAGAAAGATAAGTAAAGTAAAAGATAAACTATGCAGGGTTTGTGTCAAGCTTCATTTGGCAAACCCGCGTGATTAAGAGCAAAGAAAACCCTCAGAACAGCCCTATTTGAGCAGGTTAATACTGATGTTTGTAAAGAGTATTTTCTAATTTTATATCATGATTCCTATGGTTCTTAATTGGGTATTGATTGAATTTCAAAAAAATCTGACATACCAGCTAGTGAATTTAATTGAACTCGCATTGTTACACACACGTATGTATAATGCTGTGACTTGTGTACTAACAATATAGATGCAGAAGAGATCCATGCATTACATATTTGTTATAAATATAAGTCCATTTTCCCATTTCCTTAGACTTAGCAGTCTACTGAATGCAGAAGACAATTCATAAAGAATTTGAGAACGTTATGCTGTAGATATATCCAAAGGTATATCCCATATACAAAAGTATACAAACTACAAGCTACGTCTCAATTCTTTCCATCACAAGTCATAAAATTAATTAAATTGTATACAAAAACCAGTTCATACTCATCTTCAATAAGAGTAGTATATGTCATAACCACATAAGTAAAAAATTCTAATTCATCACCAGGATAAATTGTACTTAAAACCACATACTTTGTTTAACATTATAAGAAGCTGGTTTTTCAACAATACCATCATCAACAACTTCAAATTCTTGCCATGAATGTTCAATATATTCAACTAATTTCTTTTTCATGAAATTAATAGCATTAATTTGATCAAATTTTTCACCTTTATCAATTGATGTATTAATATCATCTTTTAAATATTGAGCTCTTTTAATTAAAACATCTAATCTTAAATTCATCCAATCTTTATAAAATTCATTATAACGTGAATTGGAATAAGCACTTGGTTTAATTGTTGAAAGAATAGCACCATCAAGTAATGGATCAACAGGTCTTAACCCGGTAACTTGAGTAATTCTTTCAGTCCATTCACCAGCTGGTTTTGGTGCAATATGTTTAACAACTCTACCTTGTAAAACATTAGCCCAACCTTGTTTTGGATTTGCAACTTTTGCAACTTTACCATCACCTTTAACTAAAGAAGTTTCACCACCAATCATCTTTGTAGTGTCACTCAACATCAAGACACAAACAAATTGAGGAGAATCGAAATGCCATGTAACAACACCTGGAATTTCATCTGGATTATCAAAATCTTCAGGTCTTTGACTAACTTTAGCTGATGATTCTGATCTTAAACTTAAGTTTGTTGCTGCTGTTAATGAAGGGAATAATGGTAAAACTTCAGTACCAGCCATTTTACTTAAAATTTCCATAGTTCTAGGATTTGTCCAAGCTTGATTAGTGAATGGAGCCAAATCTTTTGTAAAATCACCAACTGAGAAGTTCAATTCTTCGTTAGAATTTGATTGATTTGAAGCTCTTGCACATTTTAAAATTAAATCTTTTTGGAATAATTCATATCTCATAATTGTAATAGCTTCTAATGTAAATAATGGGAATGGTTCACTAACACCAATTTCACTAATTGGTTCTTGATGATGATCTTTTAAGCCTAATTCTTCTAAAGTATATCTTTTAGTTTTTTGAAAATCTCCATCAGAATAAGCAATATGTTTTGATGGATCGAATTTAATAGATTTTGGATCAGTAATACCTTCAGCTTTTAATTCTTTTAAAATAGGGAATAATGATTTATCATAGATTGATTCTGGAACTTTATAGTTTTGATTGTCATTAATGACATCTTGAGAAAAAGCTTTTTGTTTCACTGCAACAGCCATTTTGAATAAGTGTTAAAAGTTAAATATTAATTATTAGATCATATAATTAAAGAAATAATGATTGATACTTACAAAAAGAACAAGTTATTCTCCATGAATCAATCAGGATCTTGTACTATTTTTATAATGAAATAGTGAATAAAAAGTAACAATAAAGCAATAAAGTGAAATTTTGATCTGAAGGTGATTATAATGTTTGATTAGATACCAAAGTACACCAGAGTCAAATGATTGTTATCTATGTACTATGTTGGGGAGTACTGTACCACTGTACCAAATCATTATAGAAACTAAGTGTATAATACCTGTAAGATAAGAAGCTCCTCTTATCAGAGTCCAAAACTTTGATATAAAGGCACATTAGGAAACCAAACCCATGTCTTCATATAATTATTATGACTTTCTATGATTCTATGTGTTTTATGACCCGATATGGATATAGCGTTGATATATAGTTGATATAGTTCGCGACTTTTTTTATTATCTATAGATTGCGGATGCATAATTATAATCTTTATGACACAAAGTATACGATGGATGGTTTTTGAAATTGCTGTTTTAGTATTCTTGATCCATAGAATATAGTCATCTAGCAATTCATCTATGCAAGTTGTTTGATTCTCAGGTACGTTATTCGTTATTCGTTATGTTGATTCGTGCAAAATGTAAGATCAGTTGTTGCAGATTAATGATTGGTACTTTTGAAGCTAAAAATAGATTCAATTAAATCACTATACTGATCTTATAGATAACTTGTTTACCTACAATAGATGAGTTAGAATTTCTTAGTCTTTAACGTCAATCTATAACGTCTAGATTACAATTCATAGCTAATATCATGGTGTCGATACTACGTACTATTATTAATGATCTGATTATGTAATCTTTATATACAATTTAATTTAATTTTGAACTTATACATGAAAGTTAACTTATTATTCTGTAAAATAGAGCTATATATATATAATTGAAGCTTCTCATTATAGTATAGGCTTTAAAACAGTCAATTTATTAATTTTAAAGTTTAATTATTATAAATTCTTTTTTGGCAATGTACCAAATTTTTATTTTAACACTAAAATGTGAAGAACAAATTTATTCAATTTTTTTTGTTCTTGATTTTCGACTTGAAACACTTTTAGTAATAAACTGAATGCTTTAAATATCATTTTAAAGATTTTATATAGCTCATTTTCTTAGTTTAAAGCGTATTAATTAAATAAAATTAGAATTGGATTTCGGAAATATGAAATTCTGTAATCGGAAATATGCATTAAGCACTATATATAAATAACGGTACATGATTCCATCGACTAATTAACGGTGAACTTCAAATAAAAATATACTATATAGCTATTAATGCTCTTCAGTAGTTAATTTGCTGTACTGACTAGTATAGAGAGTGGGGACTACTAACTAAAAAACATGTTAACAATTGTTAAATCATATGTATATTAGAACATTGATCATCTTAGATACTGATGAATCAAACCATTTGATTTGAATATATATATATACATATATATGATCTTAATGAGAATATAACAAGTGTAGAAGTATCTCTCAAAGCTTAAACACACAAAGATATTCAATTCTCAAAGTCAATATCTTCATAAAAGTATAAAAGTTAGATGAAGGCCACAGTAGTGTAATAGTTGCTATTTAAAAATCATTAGAGTCCCGGATATTCTTTAGTGATTGTTGTTCAGATTAATGAAGTGATCTTAACAATTTGATTCAGAATCATTCAAATCCTTTTTTTTTTTATTTTGAAAATTGGAATATTATATTGAACTAAAATTTAAAAAAACTATACACAAAACCAAAATTGTCTATGAATTAATTATTGCCGCTTATATCCGAACCCTTAGCCGCCCAATATATAAGCTGTACTATAATAAGACAAATTATTCTCCTAATTATAATTGTTTAAAGCCATGGCGGTCAGCTATATAAGAGAAACTAGATCTACAACAATTTATAAGAATGAATTTTGAAAAACATAAAAACATATTGTATAAAATTCTAGTTGTAAAATATCATTTAACAAACAAAAACCTATAAATATGTTAAACATATATTTGAAATATCAAGTATAACAATACTTTTGAAGCTCATGTATAGCATCTAACAACTTAAAGTTAATATTATCGTCAATGAGCTCAAATGGGTTAGATGATAAATCCTGATTATCATAGGTTTCATATGTTATATCATAACATCACCTTTGTTATAACAAAAAAAAATTGAAAAAAAGTTCGGTTTCACTGTATTAAACTTCCAAAAAGCGTTAAATAAATATATTATAAAATTAAGTATATAAAATAGATCCAACATTCAGAAATTAACTTATATATAGTTGAAAAGTTTGAATTTGTTAATAAATTAAAATTTACACAAAACCAAATATTTTGACGTCATATAATATCAATGAACATTATAATAGCTAAGCGCTGTGGTTAAGTCAATATTAATTTTATATATATCTAATATATATAGTTATATAGTTTTATGTATATCACATGGTATTGATGAAGTACATGTTTATTTTAGAAGATTGATATGGACCTAGTACTTTAATATTGACTACTTCTACAAATGTCTTATCAATTTAGAAAACATGAATATTCACAATATCAAGGTTAAGCTGTATGAAACCATAACAAACATTAAAACCTTTCAATCATATATATATATATATATTATAATGACTTTCCATACTATAACCCTATGTGGATTTATAAATTATTGAGTGTCACTGTTTTGAAAAGCACCACAAGCACCAATTGCGCCAGTAGCTTCCAAATTGCTATTTAAAAGCTACAGCATAATCCAAGAATTGCACATGCACAGAAAAAATGAAGAAATGGTTGAGAATACAGCTTGAAGATGAATTGTTTTGAAAGACTAATTTGATCGATAAAACAATATTATTTTAGATTTTTATACCTGTATTTGAAATTTCATTATAAATTAATTAGAACTAGATGAACACAAAGATTGATTTGGGCGGCTAATTTTTAATCTAATAATTATTCATATTGGAGGCTAACGCTTTTACAAATAATTTCAGTAGTAGTTTTAATTTTATTATGTGTAGCGGCTATCAATCAAAGATAATCAATAACCAAAAGATAAGAGAACTACGAATATTAAATTCCATAGTATATCAGAAAACTATGTGAAATTGGGTTAGAATTTTATAGATCAGCTGGTGAGAAAAGTGAAAGTATTAATTCAAACTTTCATTAACCAGCTCCCAATATATACTGAAGACTAATCATCTTGATCATCTATCATTAATGTCATATTAAGATCAAGGAACTATTAACAAAAATATCTACAAATTAAAAATTGAAAAACATAAAAACATATTGTTTGAAGATTTAGTTGTAAAACAATATTGTTAAAACAAACATAAATCTCTAAATATGTAAATTCATATATTTGATAGTATTCAATATGTATCAAGTAAATATATGACATCTAAAGTATTTAAAAATGTTTAATCTTCCCCTTGAAATAGACATATATGATACCTAACAAAAATCTGAAAAAAAATCTTGAAATAAACAATCCAACAATATTGAAGGTTTATAACATATAACTGATGGACATGAAGGGGTAAGAAATGACCGAAAAAACTTTTGGAATTTGAAACACTAAATATTGAAGTAGATATATAATATAATGTAACAGTAACTTGAATAGAATTCAAGAATTGAGAATTTAAATTATAATATAATAATAATTAATTACACAAAACCAAATTTTTACCTCCATTAAAGGCCTATTTTTGTTGTAATATATTTAATAGGGATAAAATTAAGCGCTACTATTAGATTAGATATGAAGATTATATATATAGTATAATAAATGGCTTTCTAATCTAAAATTAGTATACCATGTCTAAATAGTTTTGATATAGATGTGATCTAGTACTTTACTCGCACAAATTCTACAAGCCTTTAATTAAAAACAAAGATATCACATAAATTATCAAGATTAAAGCTGTATAAAATAACAACAAGCTTGAAACCTTTCAATTTTGTGAATATATATATTGATCATGTGTACTTTGTAAATCATTTCAACTTTGAGTAATTTTAAACTATCAAAACCTTATAAAAGCTGAACATGAAAAAAATTATGAACAAATTTATATCAATTTAAAAACTAATTATTGAAGACGTGTGGTGATAAATATATACCAGAAGAAGGATTAGGCAATAAGACATCTGATTATCACAAGGAAATGTTTGAAACTAAAATTATTTGTCAGAAAGTGTTGATAATGTTTAAGTGTTTAAGAATATATTATAACTAATTTATATATGTGTTAATTAATTTTATAAAAATTCATGACCACAAAGATAACTTAAACAGCTTTTTGGACTGACGGCTAATTATGATCTTTGTTTTTCTTTGAAGTGGAATTGTAATACACCAAATATTGGATTTATAATTGATTTATTAATTTGAACCGTGTGTAGTATTAATCTCATGAAACTGAGACGTTCTTCGGTATTATATATGTAAAGTATAGCATGGTTCTTATTCTAATTAAAATATTATATAAAGATAACTAGTTGTAAAATATAAATTTTCACATAATAGAGATGGAATTAAGTCTACAAAGAACTGATATACCACATGTTAAAAACTGATCAATTATATGTACATTAAAATTCATTTAATCATTTATAGATACTAAAGAATCAAAATCCATATAAGTTTAATGCTTATAGATCAATCTGAGAAAACCAATATGAAGTATATATAGTTTAACTCCCAGAGATTATAATTATGATAAGGTGATTAACTTATAATTTGAAAGTTCATTATATTAAAGAAATCACACAAGTGTCAACTGAAGATTTTGGGTTGTAAAACAACAACAATACAGGTCAAACCACTGGAGAAAATACCGGTGAAAGTGATGGAGAATTCAAATATAATATAATGGATTAGAATCTTAACCTGCTGAGGATATTACAATTTATATAACAATTGGATAAATTTGTGAATTAAAATGTAAATTTAAATATTTTTAAACAGCTCTTACACAAAACCATTCCGAATTATTAGCCGCCCAGTATACAAAGAAATATAAGTAGCGTTGTGATTTTATACAAAGAACTATTTACCCATAGCGGTAAACTATAAGAGTTATTAAGTCTACAAAAACATGATAATGTATTAAGAAACAAAATAAAAACATATTGTATAAAGATCTAGTTGTAGAATCATCATGATTAAACAAACATAAACCTTTAAATATGTAAACATGTATTTAATGACATCAAGTAAATATGTCCTTCAATTTGATTTATTAAATTTCTCACATGAAGTTAACATACTTTTTGATAAAAAATCTTCAACATTATTTTCTGGTATTGGAGTGAGCTTTCACATTTAATAAAATGACTGTAACAAAAGCAATCTCATATGAAGAAAGGTATCTCATTTATCACCATTTCACTTATATTGATCCAAAAAAACTAGATATATGATGAAATTGTTATGAATGTAACTATTTAAAAAAATGAAAATTTATGATTAATTTATATGTAGATTCTTCATTACACAAAACCAAATCTATATAGCTAACAAGGAAACTTTTCGCGTTATATACAAATCTATGATTATTATCAACGCAATCATTGAACCACAATTATAATGAATATCATTTATGAAGCATTATACGAATATTCTGAGGTTCCGTTGTTTATTCCAGTATCACTAAAGCATTGGCGGTATGTAGTACGTACTCAAAACACTAAATCTACAAATATATAATCACGTAAGTAAAACAAAGAATCACAATATCAAGATTAAAGTTGTATGAAATCATAACAAACATTTAAACCTCTTGAATCATGTAAATACATATATTGACTTGATCCATACTTATAAATCCACAAGTGTGTTTAATTACTTGAATGTCAATTTCTAGTGATCTGAAACACTTCCAATAGTAACTAATAAAACTTCACTAATAAAAACCACAAGATTGATGTCAACCTCAAAACGTTTCATAAAGCTTAAAAAAAAGAGATCAATATTGTGTTGAAAGATAATTTCATGTTTAAGTTAAAGGTTTTTGGATTTTTTTTACTCTTTATATTAATTAATTTCACTAAATAACCTGGGCGGCTAATTTCTATAGCGGAAATCAATCAAAAGGATATCAATTAATCAAAAGATAATCAAAAGAGTTCAGCTACAACTTCAAATAAATTTCATATTTATATTAAATTAAAAAGACTATGTAAAAAAGATCAGAATATTTCCCAAATTAACGACAGTTATAAAAAAAAGTAAAATCAGTATATAGTATAAAAAAAAGTAATCAAAACATTTCATAAATTCATGTTGTATATGTTGAAGAATTAAATAATTCATGTTGTCTGTTATAATTGTGAATTGTTGATTAATCATTAAAGTAGTTTCCAGAACCCTTTATAATTCCATGCAATAAAAAAAGTAAATTCACAATTAAAAACCTTTGTTGTTGTTTTTGGTTGATCTAATCCCATCTTGCTTTTGTAACTTGATAAGAAGCTGGTTTTTCAACAATACCATCATCAACAACTTCAAATTCTTGCCATGTATGTTCAGCATATTCAACAATATTTTTTTGAATAAAATTAATAGTTTCAATTTGATCAAATCTTTCACCTTTATCAATCTTGGTATTAATTTGTTCCTTTAGGATATCAACTCTTTTACTCAAAACTTCTAATCTATAATTCATCCAATCTTTATAAAATTCATTATAACGAGTACCAGATAATGCAGCAGGTTTAATTGTAGTCATCACACATTTATCCAACATTGGATCAGCAGGTCTATAACTGCAAACTTGAGTAATTCTTTCATCATATTCACCAGAAGGTTTTGGTGCAATATGTTTAACAACTCTACCTTGTAAAACATTAGCCCAACCTTGTTTTGGATTTGCAACTTTTGCAACTTTACCATCACCTTTAATTAATGAAGTTTCACCACCAACCATTTTTGTTGTATCACTCATCATTAAAACACAAACAAATTGTGGTGAATCAAAATGCCATGAAACAATACCTGGGATTTTATCTGGATCATCATAATCAATTGGAGTTTGATCAATTAATTTAGTAGCTTCAGATCTAATTGAAACATTTGCACTTGCAATTTCATAATCAAACATATGTAATAATTCAACACCAGCCATTTTATTAATAATTTCCATTGTCTTTGGGTGAGTCCAAGCTTCATGAGTAAAATGGGCAAATTTCTTGGTGTAACCTCTAATTGTTAAATCAACATCACCAGTAGTTGATTGTGAAGAAACTCTACCACAATGTTCAATTAAATCTTTTTGAATTAATTCATATCTCATTATTGTAATAGCTTCTTGAGTAAATAATGGGAATGGTTCACTAACACCAATTGGACTAATTGGAGTTTGATGAAGATTTTTTAAACCTAATTCTTCTAAAGTATGTCTCTTGGTTTTGGTATAATAATCATCAGTAAATAAAATATGTTTTGCAGGATCAAATTTAACAGTGGATGGATCAGTAATACCAAATTTTAATAAAGCTTGTAAGATTGGTAATAATTGTTCTTCATAAACATCTTTTGGAACATCATATTTATGATTATCATTCAAGACATCTTGAGATAAAGATTGAGGTAAAACAGCAACAGCCATGATTGTAATTGTAATATAATAAGTAATAAAGACCTTTTGATCTGATGTAGAACTCCGAATAACAAAAGGTATAGCAAGATGAAGAAATGGATGTGTTTATATATTAAATCAATTCACCACCCCATTAATCTTTTATCTTTATCATCAGTATCACTATCATCAGTTCCAACCTCCATATCAGTATAAGACATCACCATGCCCCATGATGCAGCCAGTCATAAAGATTGTATGTAACCGTATACCAAGATTGGAATTAAAACACATTGAGTTTAATCAGTGCAGATGATCACCTACAAACTTTATCTGTGATACATAAAGATGGTGTTTAGGTTTGTATGTCTTTTTAACCAAATTTGTTTGTCGTTGCGATAAAATCAGTGATTATCTTTTGATTGATTTGATTCTTATCTATGTGAAGTTTTACCCGATATGGAAGTGTATGGGAGGGGGTGCTAGTACTAAGATTGGAAGGTGGAAGGAGTGCTAGGCAGAGGTTAGGCAGAGGGAATACAAGGAGTGTACAAGGCATTAGACAGGGTCTTGTTTAGATCTTTGCCTAAGTGTGACCTTCTGGAGAAGCAATGGACCGATTGAATTTTGATTAAGATTTTGTTTGACAGATTTGTTTTGGAATTGTTTTTCCGAGATTTATTGTACACAAAGACAAATTACACAGAAATTACACAGAAGGAATTTTATCACAGAGGAGATGGTATTGAGATATCGCTGATGATGATTACTTGCTTGCTGATCTGACGGTTGATTGTTTGATCAAGGTTTGATTGTTTGATTATCAGATCTTGTCTTGTGCTGATTGTGCTGGTTCTATTATATCAATATGCAAATTATGGAACTATTATCCCATATTGGAATTTATCCATCAACTCTGAACTTAACTTTAACAAATAAATTTAAAGGTTTTTTATTAATTTGGGTGTTTATTAAATTTATCTTGGTTAATGGCTGGGTTAATCTACATTTATTTTTATGGAATTGGGTTTCAAATTGGATTGGTTTCAAATGGGTTATAACAATCACATATAATATTAAATTAATTATATCACTGTGGTTTTGGCAATCATTAATTTATTTAATTAATAAAAGAAAAATTAAAATTATAATTAGTGGATTAGATTTAAATAATGATTTAGAAAAATTGAAAATATTAAATGAATCAAATTGTTTATGTTTAAGTAATCATAGATCATTATTTGATTTTATATTAATTTATTATATCAAGACTTTAGTTGCCAAAAAATCAAATCATGCTGCCAATAATGGTAATACAACATTAGATTCAATTGATTTAAATTTTATAAATTGGAATTCTATATGGAGAATTCCTTCTTTACATACAATTTGGAATTTTTTAACAAATGATGAAAATTGGGTTATACAACCAAATCAATTAGAATTACAATTGAACCAAATTATAAATCAGAATAATGAATTAACTGATTTAAAATCAAATTGGTTTATTCATTTCCCCGAAGTTAATATTATAAATGATTATTCACTTGCTTTACAAAATCAACAACTGGATCAATATTTAATTCCAAAATTAAATGAAACTTTATATCCAAGATTTAAAAATTTTAATAATATAGTATCCACTATAACCAAGATTAATAACAACACAGCTTCAAGTTCATCAAATCAATTTAAAAATTTAATTGATTTTTCAATAGTTTACTACAATCCTTTACAAAATAATTTTAAAAATCCAAATTTATTTGAAATATTAACTTTAAAACAACCTTTCTTTATTATAAATATTGATATTAAATTTAAATTAATATCAAAATTACCCTTAAGGGAGAAAAAATTAGAAAAATGGCTTGAACATCTTTGGTTAGAAAAAGATAAAACTATTGAAATGATGCAAAAACAATTGAAAATTAATGAATAATAAATGAATAATGAATGCTAATAATGATCTCTATATATGTGTTTTTTCTAATTCAGATGCAATATCTTCAACTTTTTTATCTTCTTTTGTAGTTGATTCTTTTAATTTTAATTCTAATTCATTCAAATCAATTTCTTCTTCTTCTTCTTCATCATCTTCTTCATCACTTTCATCTTCATCTTCATCTTCACTATCTAATTCTTCTAAATCATCTAATTCATCTAATTCACCAAATCCTCTTTCTTCAAAAATTGATTGAATTTTTTCAATTAATTCTGAATCTTCTTCAAATCTATTACCATTTAATTCTAATTTTGTTAAAACAGGTAAATTTTCTGAGATAATACTTGATAAGATCTTTAATGAATCATTATCTAATTCATTATATTGTAATTTTAATGATTCTAATTTATTAAATTTAGTCTTTTCCAAAGATTTAATTAAATCTAATGAACCTTTTGGATTTAATAAACAATCATTAACATTTAATTCTTTTAATTCAGGCCATTGTGGTAAATTATCAGCTAATACTGAACCAGATTTTTTTGTTATAGTATTATCTTGTAAATCTAATATAGTTAATTGAGTATTAAATTTTAATCCCTGGGAGATTAATTTCTTAATACCTGATGGTCTAATACCATTTTGATATAATTTAACAACTTGTAAATCTTTATGATTTTTCAAACCTATGGATAAATAATTAATTGAACCATTTTCTAATCTATTTCTACCACAAATAAATGTTTTCAATGATGATTGACCTTGAGTTGATTTGGATAAACTTAATTTATATAATGATTTACCTATACGTTCACCAGCAAATGGACCCATCCCATTATTTGATAAGATTAAATGATTTAAATAAATAGCTTCACTTAAAAATTTTTCTAATTGTTCAATTGTTGTTAAACCAAATGCATTATCACTTAAATTAACAATATGTAATTGAGGACATTGAGAAATTGATGGTAATAAATATTCTAAACATTGAGGAATTTCATCTTTTAATCTACCAGTAAAGAAATCTGCAAAATTAACTTCTTCTAATGTCTTTGCGTGTAAGGTTATTGATTTTGATAATTCAAGGGAAGCTTCAATACCAATTGTATTACCTGAAAAATCTAATTTTTTAATACCTGTTAAAGAATTTAAATTTGTTAAATATGGTTCGATATCTGCCTTGGTATCGAATTTGATTGATTTACCAGCTAAAGAATAGATTTCTTCTGGTTTGTATTGTGGGATGAAGTCTAATGAGGCCATTTTGAGTGAGTTGATCTTCTATGGGTTTGTTGATCTATTAATACAAGTAAAAGATCAATTCAACCGCCAAAAATTAATTTTTTTTCGAAAATCAAAACATTGGAAAAGTGGTGTTCGGATGGAAATTATATGGAATAATAAAAGAAAAATATAAATACTAATTGAAATCCATTGAAAAGTAATTCAAAAGTATTGATCAACTGGATAATTTTTGCAAATTTCCAAACATTTACCTTTGTATTGATGGTTTTTACTGATAGATTTCTTGATTTACTCACCTTTCTAGTTCGGAATATAAAAGGTTTTTAAATATTTTAATGACTTGTTGTTTGATTTTTCATCTATTTTGTTGCTTAACGTATTTTTAACGTATTTGTGATATCAAAGATTACATATTACATATTTTAATTTCGCATTGTAATTAATATATACAATATATATATAATTTATATTTGATTTCAAGTTGTTATGATTTCTTTGAGTAGAATTGTCATACACTTGTTATTATATTTATAAAGATTAATCTTTCATTTCAATAATATTGTAGTCTACATTTCAATTGACGGCTTAGAACATAATCATTAAAACATTGTAAACATTGTAAACATTGTATAAACACATTCCAACCCCAGGTCTTTCAAAGTCATAAAATCATAAAGATGCCATCATAATTCAAGATGAAAAGATAAAAATAAATGCAAAACATATGTCTATTTGTCTACTTTTTTGGACCAAATAATGGTTCACCAATGTTTTTACCTCTTAATTTAACACCTAAAGCTCTTTCTAATTTACCCAAGACTTGTTGATTTGGAATAGCTCTACCAGCTTCATAATCATTAACAACATTTGGTTTTTCATTAATTTTTGTTGCTAAATCTTTTTGTGATAATTTTTTTTCTGTACGAACCTTGGAAATTGTTTTACCAACACTAACATCAATTTTTTTTGGTGCAACAACATCAGTTTCTCTATCAATTTTGGTTAATCTTTGACCTTCATTATCACCTTTTGTATTTGTTGAACCATATTTTTTATCAACTGATAAAACTTGACCTGATCTTCTGGCAGCATTGATTTCAGCTTGAGTTCTTGCAACATTGGCTCTTGGACCACCACCTCCAATACGGGCTTTTGATCCAATGATAGTAGTTTTAGTATCCCAGTCAGACATATTTAATTGATGATTAGTTTCTTATTCAATTGATTGTAATTGTGAATTGTGAGTTGATTGATTTCTTTCTGGTTGTCCACTTTTTCAATTTTCATCAATTTCGTTTTTTGCCACTGAAATTAAAAAATCAAAAAATCGCGGAAAATTAAAAAATCGAAAAATCTGGAAAAATTTAAAAGTTTAGAAATTGATGATGTAATGATTACGTAATTCTGGAAAATTATAATTAATATTTTTTTTTTCAGTATAAGCAGCTCATCGATATTTATAATGAGTATTAAAGATTTATATTGAAGATTTATATCTAGTTACTGGTTATATTGCTGATTATATTATTACAAAGATGCCTACACCATTAGAAGAATTGGTCGAGTTTTTACACCATCCTCAAGCTCCTATCAGAACAGTCGCCCTGGAAAACGTTGTTGGATTATCTCAAGGTCCAGAAAGTTCAATTTTCCAATATAATAATTATGAACCAATAAAAGATTTAAAAATACTGGCAAGAGATAAAGGTAAAACTATTGTTCAACATTCTTTAACTATATTGGCAAATCTATGTGAAGATGAAAAAATTAGAGATTTAATTGTTGATGATTTTGAATTTGTTAAATATTTAATTGAAAAAATTATCTTGGATTTAGAAAATAGAAATTCTGATATTGGTTGTATTTTATTAACAAATATAGCTAAAAATGATAAAATTATTAAAATTTTTGAAATTAGGGATTTAGATTTACCAAATAAAGAAGTTTTCAAAAGTTCAAATGCAATTGATTGTTTATTAGATATTTTTGTTAAAGGTTCAGAAAAATCTTTAAATAAATTAGCAAATTATGATTATTTATCATTTTTTTTTGCAGATATTTCAAGATTTTTACAAGGTAGAAAATATTTTGTTACAAAACAATCATATGATGATATTTTACCAATTACCAAAATCTTAGTTTTCACAGAATATTATGAATCAAAAATTAGACGTGAAGGTGTTGCATCGACTATTAAAAATTCATTATTTGAAATTGATTCTCATTTAGATTTATTAGATGAATCCCAAGCAAATATATTACCTTATTTATTATTACCAATCGCTTCATCAAAAGATGCAGAATTAGATGAAGATGAATTATTTGAATTACCAGATGAATTACAATTATTATCACCAGATAAAACAAGAGATCCTGTCCCAGAAATTATTATAGTACATTTAGAAAGTTTATTATTATTATGTTCAAGTAAAGAAACAAGAAACTACCTAAGAACAAAATCTGTTTATCCATTAATTAGAGAATTACATAAAAATATTGATAATGATGATCTTGCTGATGTTGTTGAAAGATTAGTTAATATGTTAATGAGAGATGAAGCTCCTGAAGGTTCTGAAGATAAAATTGAAGAAATTGATGAAAAAATGGAAGAACCTGATTATGAAAGTGATGGTGATGAAGAAATTGTTGAAGTTTTATAGATATATACACCCTACTGTATGTCATATATATATATATATAAATGAACCCTTCCATTGTGTATTATATTTAAAAATCATTGTTTTTGATGTTTTCATATTATGTATTTATAAACTTGTCTTTATTTCTCTATTATTTCAAAACCAAAAATCCATCTTGATTTTTCAATAATTGTTTAACTAAAGTTTTAATTCTATTTTTATTATCAGGATGCTTTGATAATTTAAATTTTAATTTATGAATTAATTCTTTTGCAGTTAATTTTTCTTTTGATACAATTTCAATTATATCTTGTTCAGTTAATAAATCAACATCAGTTTCTGAAGGAACTTGAATAATATCTGCATCTGTATCTTCATGTTTAACATTTGGTGATGTTGATCTTTTTGGTAAATGTTTTTGATCATCTTCAATTTTAATTCTTTTATGTGATCTTTCATCATCTGAACTTGGATCAATAACTGTTCTTTTCTTTGCATTTGGATTCCATTCACCTTTTGGAAATTTAATCAATATTGATGGTAATGCAGATAATGTAACAATACCATGATTTATAGATTTAACTTTAATAGTTCTTCCAGGTGTTGGACTTTTATTTGTTTTAGAATTTGGTGAATTTGGTTCTTGAGAATTTTGTTTATTTAAATCATTACCTTCATTATCTTCATTATTTGAATCTTCATCAATTTCTAAATCAGATTCATTTAAATATGGATTAATTTCATCATCTGATTCATAAATACCAGTCATATCAGTTTTATTTAAAGCTTTACGTAATCTTTCACCTTCTTTATCAACTTTTCTTGTTTCAAATAAATCATCATATTCATCATCACCACCTTCTTCATCATGTAAACCCATAGCATTTGCAGATCTCATTTCCATTTTAATTTTACGTTCACTTTCTTTATTTTCTTCTTCATCACCATCAACAATTGGAGCTTCTTCATCATCTGCAAAATCTTCATCATAATCAAGATCATCATTTTCATCTCTTCTATTATTATTTTCATCACCTCCTTCACCACTTGTACCAACAACAGTTTTCAATTTTTTCTTTGTACGTTCAAATCTTGTTAATTTTTGTTCTTTTTCATCCAGATGTTTCATAAACCATCTTGGTATTTGTTGAGTTTTAGATTTTTCCATTCTTGCTTCAGCTTCTTCTAATGTTAAAGTTGAATATTTATTTCTTGGAGTAAATCTATAAACTTTATCAGCTGGCATCATTTTGAAACCATCACCATCAGGAATTAAAAGAACATAAGCATCTGAAGAACCTGCTTCATAACTACCAACCCAAGTATTTTTACCATCAAAATCTTCCATAACCCAAGGATAATATTCTTCATATCTTAATTTTTTAGTATTTTCATCAACAGCTTTAATTTGTCTTGTTTTTCTTTGAAATGGATTTTGTTTTTTTCTTGCACCACCATCTGGAGCAATTTGAGCTTGTTGTTTTTCTAATTTTTCTTGTTTCTTTTCTTCTTCAGTTTTAACTGGTTCAGGTGCAACTTTAGATAAATCAGCTTTTTCTTTAACAATTCCATTTTTTTCCTTTTCTTCTAAATATTTTGCCCTTTCTTCAGCTTCAATTCTTTTAGCTTCAGCATTTTCTCTTTGACGTTGTTCAATTTCAGCTCTTGTTAATTGATATTGTAAATTTTTGGTTTCTTTACGATGTAATCTAATTGGTTTAGTGAAAGTGTTTACAGGATCAACAGTGGATTTTGATTGAAATTTTAAAATATGAGTTTTAACATTTTCAATTTCTTCCTGGGTACAAGCTCTTAATGGATATTCTTTATAATCTGCTGGATTATCAATAATTTGTTTTTGTGCAGGAGGTATTTGACGATTATGTTCTCTTTTAACTTCACGTTTGATGAATGGTTTTGGTGGCGCTCTGAGTGGATTGGAACCCATGGTTATTAACTGGGTTAAATTTGATGATAAGATTGATGGGTGTCAGCCTAAGAAAGTAGTTGATGGTATCAAAGATATACTAATTAATTTGATTTCTATATTGTTTTTTTTTTCAGCTTTTTGACAAAAATATTATGTAATGCAAAGTACAAAGATTATGTAATACATATAGACTAAAATCATAATTTACTTAATTTACTTCCTATTTTACACTATTATACAATGAATTATTCCAATTTATAAAGGTTTGACCTGTTGTTGGTTGTTAGTATTGAATGTAACTCATTGTGTGTTGTTGTGGCTCTTTTACTCACTTTAAAATGAAGATTTATTAGTGAAAATATAAGAGCTTTTATATCTTGTACAAAATAATAGAAAACTCGAAGACCTTCTGGATCATCACTATTTCTGACATCTGTTAAGGATCCAATCTTGGTGGTCTTTGTATTATGATGTTAGTATATTGAAGTAAATCATAATTGGGTTCTTCACTCACCTCAAATGATATGTGATATCTTCCAGATTTAATTTCTAATTCTTGTTTCCCATCAGCATTCTTTTCTGGCCATTTAGAATCATCTTCTCTGTGATACTTGTTAGTAATTGAATGAGCTATTTGTCATTGACATTCCACTTACTTTAGTATCTCACTATCTGATATAATTTGTTTCAACTGTTTCACCACTGCAACACTGATTGTAACTATTATGACACAATTAGTACTCATCATCATCAAAACCAAATAACACAAACCACTCACATTCTTTCCTGATCAGATCGTCCCTTCTGTAATTGGAGTTATTTGTATATCTCACAAGAGCACTGGTCTTTTCTTCATTCAATTCCACATCAAATTCTAAATAAATTAGTTTCTGGTCTTTCTGGTCTCCTGGTAATAATACTCACCTAAGAATTCATGTCCAAATCTTCCTTGATGACCCGAATAATACCTTAGGTAGAAAGCCTGTCCAGCATCATTGACATCAATTTCAGCATTCTTTATGGATTTGTTCTCTTCTTGTGACATTGGTGATCTCTTTGTACCTTCTAGACAGTTCCTTTCAGATCTCCTTCTGGCTTTCCTTCTAGCTCTTGTTGATTTGAGAATAAATTGGTAAAGATTATGTCTTCTCAACTGATCCAGTACACCTTTTACGCAGAAGATGATGATGACTGATACCGATGATCCGTTAAGCTAGGCAGAGTCTCACCAGGTGACATCTGCCTAGATGAAATAACACTAGGCCCATTCCCTATGAAAATCTCCCCTGTGTAACTCTCAGTCCGAGAATAATAGGTGTCCATCTTTAAAAAAAATTGATTACCGGTGATGAAAATTAAATTAATATATAATACTCATTTCAAACTCTTTTTTTTGACACATTTTATCTTTTTGTTTGATCAAGACTTTATAATATTCCAAAAATGTCTTCTACAATCACTGATCCTGAAGAACAATTCAAACTTATTACTAAAAACTTACAAGAAGTTTTAAATCCACAAATCATTAAAGAAATTTTAGAAAAAAATGAACGTCCATTAAAAGTTTATTGGGGTACTGCTCCAACTGGTAGACCTCATTGTGGTTATTTTGTTCCAATGACTAAATTAGCTGATTTATTAAAAGCTGGTTGTGAAGTTACCGTTTTATTAGCTGATTTACATGCATTTTTAGATAATATGAAGGCTTCATTAGAAGTTGTTAATTATAGATCAAAATATTATGAAAGAATTGTAAAAGCAATTTTAAGATCAATTAATGTTCCAATTGATAAGTTAAATTTCGTTGTTGGTTCAAGTTATCAATTAAAAGAACAATATACTTTAGATATCTTCCGCTTATCAAACACTGTTTCTCAAAATGATGCTAAACGTGCAGGTGCTGATGTTGTTAAACAAGTTGCAAACCCATTATTAAGTGGATTAATCTATCCTTTAATGCAAGCTTTAGATGAAGAACATTTAGGTTGTGATGTTCAATTTGGTGGTGTTGATCAACGTAAAATTTTCGTTTTGGCTGAAGAAAATTTACAATCTTTAGGTTACAAGAAAAGAGCTCATTTAATGAATCCAATGGTTCCAGGTTTAACTCAAGGTGGTAAAATGTCTGCATCTGATCCAAATTCTAAAATTGATATTTTAGAAGATCCAAAACAAGTTAAAAAGAAGATTAATACCGCGTTCTGTGCTCCTGGTGTTGTTGAAGGTAATGGTTTAATTTCATTTATTGAATACGTTTTGGTACCAATTTCTGAATTGAAAAATGGTGAAGGTAAATTTGAATTCCCAATAGATCGTCCAGAAAAATTTGGTGGTCCAATCACTTATACTTCATTAAATGATATAATTTCTGATTATAAAGAGGAAAAATTAGCTCCTCCAGATTTAAAATCTGGTGTTGCTGATGCAATTAATGTATTATTAGCTCCAATTCGTGAAGAATTTGCAAATGATAAAGAATTCCAAGAAGTTGAAGCAAAAGGTTATCCTGCTCCTGTTAAACAAGAAAAAAAGACTAAAAAACCAAAAGATAAAGGTTCTCGTCATCCAGGTGCTCAAAAAAAAATTGATGAAACTACTCAAAAATTAGATGAAACTAAATTAGAAGATAAATAGATATAGTTTATATATATAATACTACAATATAAATGATTGGTATTATACATTTAATTTAATATGCATTATGTAATTAAGTTTTCTAGTTTTTTTTTCTTCATAAAGTCTCCCATCCACCAATATCTAAAGTTCCTTCTAATTTTCTTGTAATATAATTTGGTGTACCTAATTTTAACCACATTTGTCTGATAAAATCCTTATATTTTTCTTCATTTAATGTTAAGATTTGTCCTTGTCTTGCATCAGAATCATGTTCTCCATGACTATCAATATATGGAGTTGGATGAAATGATCCATTTTTTTTATTTAATAATAAAATTGAACTATGTTTTGGTAATAAAAAAATTCCAAATTCTCCAATACATTCATCTTCATAATGTCTATTACATTCACCTTTTGATTCTCCACATGAACTTTTTTGTAAATTCATTATTGAGCCACAAAATAAACAAACAGCTGGGTCAAAATTTGTTAATGATCTAACTTCATTCCCCTTATATAATAGTTTAGTGAAAATATCATCAAGTCTATTAGGTATATCAATTAATCCAATAAAACTTGGAAATTCAACACTGGTAAATTTTAAATCATTATCTGTATTTTGAATATATGAAACAAATCCATTCAATTTAACAAATTCAAATGAATTACTATCATTAAATAAATTCAAAAGTTCTTTTAAAGATGGTAAATTTAAAATTTTACAAATTCTTTCAGATTCTGATCCAATTTCATCTTCACCATTTAATTCAATTCCATCTGTATTTGCACAACATGAAACATTCCAAATCATAACTTTCCTTAAAAATGGTGTAATGCAACGTTCTAATAAAAGATAAATAACATTAGGGAATCTTGAATCTTCGAAAATTTCATCTGATAAATTATCAAAAATTGGATGATTATCTCTAATTTTTCTGCAAATTGTTAAAATATTAAATTTAGTTGAATCTAATAATTCTGGGTATTTAAGATCAAATAATCCAACTTCACTTGAAAACAATTTATCATTAAGTTGAGATAAAATCACAGAAATAATTTGAATGAAATGAAGTGTAAAACACATTCTTTGAATAGAATTTGTTGAAACAATTTTATTTGGTACACAAGAAACCAAAAAATCAAAAATTTCAATATCATCTAACACTTCAAATGATTTATCACTTCCTAAAAATGATAATTTACCTAATGCTTCATAAATAAGCTTATTTGTATAACCTTTAGAAAACCCATCATTTTGTTGCTTATGAGCAATAACTGCAAACCATGTTTTTCTAAATTCAACCAATGTTCTTAAAGTTGTGAGTGTTTGATTTGATAAATTGCTAATTGCATAGTCATTACCTAAATCAGTTCCTCTCAAAGTAATTTCTGTACTTCCAACGGTATTTCCGATAAGCTTGCATAAATATTCTCTGAAATGATTAGGTGATAAATCAGCAATTCTATTATTGATACTTAATGAGACCTCTTTAAGATTTTGTGGAATTTCATCTTGAAATAAAACATCCTTATAATGTGATCTAAGTATACTTTTCACATATTCAACACTATAATCAGTCAGGTCTTTACCAGCATCATCATCTAAAAATGAGGCATATCTCAAAGATTCGAATCCATCAGACCAATTAGCTCCATCTGGTTTAATTTCATTTTGGAAAGAATTGTTGTTGCAATTCCATAAAATTGGAATAAATAGATTTCCTAATGATTTACAAAGGGGACAAATGAATTCAAAATGTTCAAAATCCTCAGGAACTGTTCTAGTAATTTGAGTTTGACGACTTCTGGTGGATACAAGATAGTTCTTGTAACAAGAATAATGCATACCGTGACCACAACTTGAAGCAACTGCATTAGTTTTGGTACATGGTGTTTTATTTGCTGGAAAAGCAGGCCCAATAACGCTTTTATCCTTCACATCATCAAAATACTGATCAATTTTACCATGTTCAAGATGGTTCTCATGGAACGCTTTTAATACCCAATATTTATCATCAAATGGGATGGATCTAAAGCAGGATGAAGGAATGGCATTGAAAACTATCCCAAATATATCATCAGTTCCTTTAGGCATCTGACAAAGAATACAATGTTCTTCAGGATATCTCCAGCCTACCAACTCTTCATTGTCCATTTCTGTGTCACAACCATGACTTTCATCAGCAGTAGAGTTGTTCTCAACAAATCTACTTTGCTTCTGTTTGAATTTTGCCATGATCTTCTCTCTGCGTTCTTTAGCCATTCTTTTCTTCATTTCAAAATCAGAAGATGCAGTTGGTGGTGGCGACATAAAGTCAGTTCCCAAGACAGCAGCATCATAACTTTCAACTTGTTCCTTTAAATAACTGTCTATGGTTCTATCTTTTTCCTTCAATGCTCTGAAGATAGCCCTTACTTTTGAGTGATGAACTGCAAAATCTTCATTTTGTAAAATTTTGAATAATAAAGATCCAACACTTTCATAAAAAAAGGGTTCATTATGATCATTATTCAGCTCAAGCCAAATGAGTTCACTGAATGCTCTTGAATGGGCAGTATTATTACTCTTCACTGCAATATGAATTAAATGTAATAAATAATTCAGCATTGTTTCATTATTTGAGGCATCGGAAATATTAATGAATTTTAGAGTTGATTTCAAAAATTGAATAAAAACTTTTGAAGTGCTAACTTGGAAAATATTTTGAAAAATTGAATCTTCAGTATCAATAATTGTTGGTGAAATATAAGCATCTTTGACTGGTATTTTACGTTTTGCCGCAATTCTTTCTTTGATCAACTTTTCAGCTTCCTCTCTTTTATTGGAGCTGTAATGAATGTAATACGGATTGACTTCATTGTAATATTCTGACTTGAGCTTGTAGATTCCTGATTGTGAAGAGTTTGTTGGTGGAATAAATTCAGCAACTTTCTTGAGTATTAATTCAAATCTCTTTTCATGAACCAAAAAATCAGGGATTTCAGCAGCAAGTTTTGAATAGGTGAGTGGTTTGAAACATAAAGTATGAATAATTTCAACAGCTAATTTTATTTCTCCCATGAGATTTGGATCATCTGGGTAATCAAGTTCGCTAAAAAGTTGAATGAAAAACAACAAACATTCTTCAACCATTAAAGGTAGAACGGTAGCATCATAATCCTCATTGTTTCCATTATCCTCTTTCAACCAAGGTAAAAGTGACCATCTTGAGAAGATTGTCTTCAGAATAAAATCTGGATTTCCTAAACTCGATAATAGCTGGACCATAAATAAATCACGTTTGAAACCAGATTCCCGGATACCACTAGTTTTATAAATATGTAGTTGTGACTTTATGCTGAAACCATTTCTGACCCAAAACCCAACTTTAATCTGAGATAGTAACACAATTGTTCTAAGAGGATGCTCCAAGACATAACGAATAAGATTCTCATCAAAGCTTAGATTCCCGAAACTTTCTAATGTTTTAATATTACTAATATGAGAATACTGGATCATCCAACTTATAAATGCATGAATTGGATGTAAAAAACTAACGACATTCTCATGAACTTTAAAATCTGTAATAGCAGTTTTCTCATCAGAAACACCAATCAGTCTTGAAACCAGAGGTGTTATATCACAGTTTTCAGCATCTCCTTGGTCATCTTGTAGTAAGGTGGTAAGTCTTTGAAATGCTAAAGCTATTAAATGTGATGATTCTGAGGTATCAATTTTACCAAGTACTTTTGCAACCATCTCAGACAGTGAAGCCATTACCGAATAAATGTTGAAATAAACACCATAATCATTTGATTCATATTCAACATGTTCTAATGCTTCCCTTTTAAGAGTTGGACGACCTTGAAATAACTCCAGAATATCACAAATTTGATGAATGAATTTTTCAGTTAAAATGCTTCTAGGATTTTTGGATTTCAGTAAAATGCAACATATATCAAAAAATACTTGACCAACTTTTCTATTCTTGAATGCACTTGTAGACAGACATAGACTTTTATCCACATCACAAGGTCTTGTAACATTTAATGATGTCAGGAACCCATGTGCGGCAGCTAATAATCTTGTAAGATCCCCATGTTCAGCGATCAAAGTAGCATTTTTAACAGGAGTCAATAACTGATTCAAACTAGTCATACAACTATATTCAGGTTCTCTATCATGTACCAGAAACAGATCTAACATAGTTGGATATATATCAAGGTATTGACAACATATCAATGGCCTATAAAGTAAACTTGAGTTCAGAACTGAATTGAACAAGTTATGCAAATCAACCCTGAATGATTTCCAATACCTGATGTCAAAATATAAAAGATATTGAAATCTCGAACCATGAAAAGAGTCTTTGTCATGTCCATTAAAAGAAAAATTGACATCATAGTGGCATTCATCGGCTAAATTTTGATCAACATTCCAAGTATTGGGTATGTAATCCCAATTTTCTGATTTAGATATGCCAGATACCTTGATAGGAATATTAGGTATCTTATCATGATCCAGAAACCCTGGAAGCTCTCCTCCTTTTATACACTGAACGCCGGAGTTCCATGGACTGCAAATAGCTTTGAGTAACAAAGTTCTGATCAAATTGTAGTTTCCCAAAATAGAAGATCTTGTAATTTCCGTCAACCAGCAGACAATATCAGCACACATTTCTTCTCTGAATATATCTCTAGCTCCTTTGATACAACAAGTCAATCCAGTGGATTCAAGTACCTTACGGGCTTCCAACAACTCATCTAATTTTGTAGACCCTATGACTTTTGCTCTACCATTGATGTTCACTTCATCGGCAACCATTGTAGCAAAATCTTCCACTTTTTTAGTAGCTAAGGCTACCCGTTGCACAGCATCTCTATACTGTTTATTTTGATCATTGTATAATAAAAGATAAAACTTTTCAGAGTTCCAATCTCTACCGAAATATTTCTCAGTAAGCAAATCAGATCTCATTGATTCTTGGACGATTGATGCAGCATCTTTATGCTCTGTTATACTGGATGTGGAGCCTGCCAAAACATCAACAAGATAATCTAGAACAACATGTAGTATTTGAAGAGCGTTATCTTTGAAATCTTGTGGGAATTCTGTTTCTGGTGTCTCATCTATTTCATGATGTTTACAATGTAAATCAACTTTCCATGCTTCTGGGTCTCCACAGTCACAAACACCACCAAATTCACGCTGACAAACCGATGTCATAACATCATGACCTTTATGAAATTCCTCTGAGTAACAATTGGAGCATAATCCTGAGGATTCATCTTGCCCACAAGTAACACACCGGTAAATTGGTTCACCTTTCTTGAATTTCCGACCACATAATCTATTTGGATGTCCAGGATCATCACTTTTGTTTTCATTTGGAATCATCAACTGACACTCATCACATGAACTACTTTGAGAAGAGCTGTGAGATGTTGGATCACCTTTTGTGGTTGGAAAAAAATAATTGATATAAGTACCTTTATCCGATATAGCATAATAAAGTGATTTTCTCAACTCATTTCTAGCAGCATCAGAATAATCGAATTGAAACTTAGACGGTAGCCGTAGTAGTGTGGTTTTAAACTGATCACGATTGGACTTGGGCGTGGCACAGAACATGTTGTTCCTTATTTGTTTTCCTCAAAAGCACTTTAGTTCCCTTTCACTTTAACAATAGATTGGATGGCGATGAGGTATGTACTCTGGACAAAATAATAACAATTAATTAAATCTCTAAGTTTCCACTTTGAATATGATGAGATAACAAAAACCCCTATTTCTAAACCAGACAAAATCTCTGTTTATAATTCAGTTGATTTCTATACCAAACAATGCCCACTATAAGGATTCAGATCTCTCGGACTTGCCTTTGATTTGTGACTCCAGCTTTCTGTGAACCGAATCTTTCACGATTTGTAAACATCAGAGGCAAAATCTCGCGAAATTATGAAGGCAAAGATGGTACGCACAGGCACCCAAATCATTTTTATAAACAGTTGATTTTTTTTGTCGAAATGTATCGAATTTAATGCACAAAATCTTTAAAAACAGTGACAAGTGATCTCTGTCTTAGTTTTATAAGTCATCTTACATTATGGATGAGAATGGCTCATTGGCGAGGTTGCCAACCAATTTGGCCGCTATGACGCTTCATGATCATACAGAGAAGAATGCTGAGTCGCTATGGTCGCTATTATACTATGTTAGTTCTAAAGATGGTCAATATCTGAAAGATTTGTTCCCACTAGAGGAAGATTCAAACATCCCAAAAAATGAAGCACAGGCTATTTTGGATAAGACTTCATATTTCAAAACTAGAGACCAAGAAAAAATCACACACATTGGAAGAAATTGTGGTAGAAAATTCAAAAGAGGTGAACCAATTTACCGCTGTTTGGACTGTTCTTTTGATAACACTTGTGTTTTGTGTGTTCATTGTTTCAACAAAGAAGATCATCATGGCCATCAGGTTAGTGCTGCTATCTGTTCAGGGTCAAATACTGGTATATGTGATTGTGGTGATCCAGAAGCATGGAAAAGGGAATTACACTGTAAATGTAATTCAAAAGCTATGGAGGAAGATAATACAACATCATCTGTATTTGATGCTTCATATGAACTCTATCTACAAAAATTATTTGATACACTTTTGGATTTTATCATTGAAGTATTTGCTAATCAAAATCAAACCATTCCAGTTGTCAATAAAAAGTTGAAAACACTTCTTAGTTCCAGCTCCCTAGATAAGAAGGATGAAGCAAAACAACTCATACAAGATGATATTGAGAAAAGAGTTTTAAAAGATAACAAGTACAATGATATGTCAACTGCCAAAAAGATGTTTGTCGTTCTTTGGAATGATGAATTCCATAATTTCCCAGAAGCACAATCTGCTATTATTAGTGCCACACATGATTCACCAACTGCTGCCAAATTAATTGCAACTCGTGTTGACAGTGAAGGTAGAACTGTTCTACTTGAAGGTACTTCTTTGGATAGACTCATATCGGGTTACAGTAGTGTACAATCAAATGGATTAACTGCCACTGTCATGTCTGAAGCTGACTTTTTGAGACAAGATTATTCAAAGAGCATTATAGATTGGATTTTAGATGCCATCAATTTACCGAATGTTGGTTTTCAAAGGATTGCAAGAAGAGCGTTATGCAAATCGTTATGTGCTACATTTGACTCGGATGATGCTGTATCGCCATGTTGGTCGTCCTTATATAGTCAAGTTTCTGGACTTTTAAATGCAAAGAATCTCCCATATGTTGCACATGAAAGCATTGATCCAAACAAAGATGTACCATCAGCAGAAACTACAGTTGGTGATATATCAAATGAAGTGAACTCATTGGCTTCTCAAACTAGATTACAATATTTATTATTTTTTGATATAAGGTACTGGAAGGTTTTAAGAAAAAAAGTTCATGATTTATTGATCCCACCATTGGTATCTGATCTGGAGTATAAAATCATTGCAGCTGATCAAATTGTTGAAATATATGGGTTATTGATTAATGGTCTTTCGAAACTAGATAGGGAACCTCATTTGAATTCATTGGATGAAATTGCTTGTCAGTTTTTTACTTGTCCAACCAATTCAACAAATGTTGTTGGTTCTGACAAGATTAGAGATGTTTTGTTCCCAGTTATTCATTTATTTGAGAGCTTCTCAACTACAAATATGAACCATGATAGAAAATTCAAAATTCCGCATAGAGCAATTGATAAATCAACATCATTTAGAAAAGCATTTTCTCGTACCATCAATGACTTGATCTATTTATTTGAGAAGACAACCACTTTAAAACACTTTTTTGAATCTCAGAATTTCCTTGGGTTTTGCTTTTTAATTCGTTTGTTTGATAGTAATTGGTGTATTGAAAGAAAAACGGGTGAACATGTGGAAGTGGAAACATATGCCTTTGTTGATTATTTTAGTTATGCCTTACAGCTTTTAGGTGTTATTTATGGCGCTAGTGATCCTACAAAATTGGCTGAAATTGATGGTACGTTAATTACTGATGATATTAGAAAATTGGTCCATCTTTTGTCTTTAAATGAACATTCTACAAAAACTTTCAAGACCCATAACTTGATTGATTTCCAAGTATCATCCCAACCAACTGGTTTTATGAATCCATCAAATGTCTTCTTATCAAGATTGATTGAAAGTGTGGCAAAATCATCTAAAGAGATTACACAATTAGCAGCAGGTTATGATTTTTTACAGATAACAGACTCCTCCTTAAAAGCGGTTGTTTTGTGTGCACAAATTGAATCCCAATTTTGGGTCAGAAATGGATTAAATGCTTTAAAACAAGCCAATACATACAAATCACCTCAATTGATGTATGATAGTGTCTATTACAGAGATATACATTTAACACAAGTTGCATTATTGGCTACAGATCCTGAGCGTGCATTTTTGAATATTATTGATAGATTTGAGCTTTTAAATTGGTTTTCAAGTGAGGTTCAAGTATCAGGAACGGTTTATGAAGATAAGGTATTCACCATTATTGAAAAATTGATTTCTTTCCTTTATGTATTATTGTCTGAACGTTCCTTATTTATGGAGTTTGAATCAAAAGATAAAAGTACTCGTCACAAATTGAAACAAGTTTTAATCTATAGTTTATTTGCAGAACCATTAACATACTCTGAGATGGAAGAATCACTTTATGAAGAGCTGTCAGAGTTTGAAGGATTAGATGAAGTTTTGAACGAAGTTTCAGAGTTTACTCCACCTAGAGGTTTGAATGATGACGGTCGTTACAAATTAAGACCTGAATACTATAAACTTGTTGATCCGTTGAAATTGTTGGCACAGGTCAAAGATTTTCAAGATAATACAATGATCATCAGCAAAACTTTATCAAAACAAAATAAAGTAGCAGCAGATGATATTGTTATTGAGCCAAAATTGTCAAAATTAGAACCATTCAAAGAGCTTGGTGATTTTGCAAAGACTAAGGAATTTGCTAAGTTTGTCTACAAGCTGTTGGAGTTTGCTATTCAACACGATCAAGAATCTTATGTCCCTCAACTTTTACATTTGTTGCATGGTGTTTTTAAAGATGATGAATTATACAATGGCCAAAGCTTCGTCAGTGATGCTTTTATTCAAATTCCGATCTGTGAATCTTTATTTGCAATTTCAACTTCGGCTAATTTTTCTAAACAAACCACTAGGAAGGCTGATTATTTGTTAGAATCACTTCTAGTGAAAGACAGTCAAACGTTTTTCGATAGTTTGTTATCATGTTTTGGTGAAGAAGCGGTTAACTCTTATAAAGAAAAGAAAAAATCAGTCGGTGTCAACTTTGATGAAACTGAACCAGAACGCAAAAGAAGGTTGGCCAAAGAACGTCAAAAAAAAATTATGGAAAAAATGTCCAAGAAGCAAAAGATTTTTATTGAAAAAAATGACGAAGAACCTCAAGTTTATGAATCTGAAGGCTCTGTTGATCCGGGAGAAGTTAGAAGTTGTGTTTTTTGTCAAGGGTCTGAGACTAAGCTGGAACTTTTTGGGTTTCCGATCTCATATGTCAAGTCTTCTGTGTTCAGACATTTACCAGCTGATGACAAATATTCTGTTAAAAGAGCGTTCACAAATTGGGGTAGTGATTCCATTGGTAATAATTCAGGTGCTATAGGTATAGGGTTTCCATTAGAGGACTCAGAGGGTAGAAATTACGATAGCTTACAAATTGCTACATCATGTAATCATGGTATGCATTACAAGTGTTTGAGAACTTATATGAATGAGCATAATCGCTCTACTCCATCTTTTGCATGTCCCTTATGTAAAACTTATCATACTCAGTTTTACCCAGTGATTCCTGGTTACAGCCATTTGGATCTCAAAAGTTCTTCAGAAATTGAACAGTTACCAACATTCCTGGATTTGTTCAAAACATCGGGTAGTGAACTGACATCAACATATTTAATTGAATATCATGAAGCGTTAGATCTTTTGCAAAAAAGCTCAAAATACAAAAATATCACAAATCACTATGACCTCCAAGCATTTCATCTTAAGAAGCTCACCAATTTTTTTGCCTCAACTATTGATCAAACTGAAATATCTACAAGAATCAATGGCTCAACTGCATACACAAATTTTTTGAACCAGATTCCTCAGCAATCTTATATGGTCTTAAGAGCTTTGTTTGAAAGTCTCGGGCTAGTCCAAGGTACATTAAGTTATTTTGAATCAAATGTTAAAGCTAAACCAGCGTCTTTCACCCATCAATTTTTATCTGCATTCATCTACGGTAAAGGTTCACTTTCTAAGGTTAAAGATCTTTTAAGAAGTCATTATATTTATAATCTTGGGTCCTTAATCAATAGAGCTCAAAAATTTGGTGAATTTCCTGTCGGTGATATTAATTCATCCATCAAAGATTCTGATATTACCGCTTCAAGAGAACTTATTAATAATGTGAAATTAGATGGGAAATTGGCAAAGTCAAAATTTTTACAAGATGATCAATTTGCTTACAAAATAATTCAAATGGCACAAGCTTTACTTGTTCCTGCAGTAAGAAGTATTTGTATCTTTTTGAAGGTTGTCAATCCTGAATTCCAAATCAATCATCAAGCCTCTGAAGACAAAAGTTCTTTAAATATACTGTTGAATAGTTTATTTTCTCAAGAGTTTACTGAAATATTGGAAGCGTTAAAACCACATAAATTAGGGAACATCCATGTTAAAGGAGCTGGTAAACTTCCTTATCCAGGTGTCATCAAGTTAGTTGATTTACCATATGAATTAAATTACTTCACAACTGAAACCAACTCCTCGTCTGTTATTCCAATAAGATTTGCAGATGATGATGAAGTGCAGAACAGTGGAAACAGAATTGATTTCTGTATCTGCTTGACCTGTGGTAAGAAAGTATTTAAGGGGTTTGAAGGATACGGAATGACAGAACATACAGCAAAAGATGAATGTGATAGTGGTCCTGATGCATTATTTTTGATTCCAAACACTGATGTTGTTCATCTTGTCAGTGATACTTCAATTGGTCGCTACGCCAAAGCTGTTAATGCTCCTTACTTGAATGCACATGGTCAAAGTGGTGCCAAAGCTGTTCAAAATGGTCAGTTAACCAAATTAAATATTGAGAGATATAAGTATTTGAATAACTTGTGGCTGAGTGGTTCAATTTTCTCATACTTAAGCAGAAATTCAAGTCCAACATTACCAAGATTTGGTATGGGTAATTTGACAGAACAAACATTTTGGCGTCAATTTTTGAATACAGCAAGGGCAGATTTAGCTGCTGATATGGGCGGTGAAGGTCCTTTAATTTTGGATCTTGCAAATAACATTGTTGGTGACGATGGAGATGATGGTGAAGAAGATGATGATGAAGAAATGGGTGGATTAGGTAATTTTATTGTTGATGAGGATGTTGAAGAGGAAGAATTTGATGATGATGACGATGATCAATATGATGGAATTGAAGGACGTGCCCCTGTTTCACCAACTACTGGGTTCTCATCCGATGAAGATGATGCAGATGAATGGTTCGGTATGGATGATGAAGATGAATTTGATGAAGATTCTGAAATGGATGAGGACTTTTTGCCTGGGGAAGTTGACCGTTTTCAAGAAAATACAAGAATGGCTAATTTGGGGGATGAGCCAGATTTTGGTGAATTGGATGATTTTCCTGAAAGTGATGAAAGTTCTTTTGACACTGCTAATGAAATGGATATCGACAACACTGCTGATGGACCATCTAGCAATGACGTCGGATATGGAGATGGTGTTGATGAAGTGGATTGAATAAACCTTGTATAAGAAGCTATAAGTTTGTATATAAATTCAATGTTTTAGTACTACAAAGATGAAAGATTTTAAATAATGTAAGCTTTTTATATTTTTAAAAAAGGATAATAACATGTACAAATGGAGAAATCTTTGTATCTCCGTTTTAAATAAATGAATATGTGTATGAATCTATGTTTTGAACGAACTCCATATGCTACTTCAGCGATATTTGGTACTCCAGCGATAGTTTTTTGATTTTTTTTGTTAAATATGATTGAAATTAAGTCATTAATGAATTGTGAATTGTGCTTTATATATATATATTTGTATTTCAAATGATCTATTCGTCATCTTCGTCATCACCTTCTTCATCATCACCACCTTCTAGGTATTTACCTTTAATATCTTTCCATAATTTACCTTTGTTGTGGTTTTCGTAGAAGTTAGTGACAGCAACATCGAAGAAACCTTGGAAAGCGAAGGCACCAGCGAAGATTGTACCAACAAAGATTGAGTTTCTTTTGATCAAAGAGTTGTAAATGTTTGTGTAGAAAGACTAGTTTGGTTGTTAGTATTATATCAACTAAGCGGAACAAAACGAGCGTTCAGTGGAAGCATATGAAGGGATATATTGTTGATTGGTTTGGTATTCAAATAAAATGAACCAAATTCCAACTGAAGGATTCTTCAATAAGATATTGAGTGATTAAGTATAATTTGTCTTAACTTTGGATCATACTAAGAGTGACATTTCAAAAACAACAAAACAAACAAAAGATCCCAAGAGTGTCGAATTTTTTTGTAAAGGGCTGGTGAATTGCTCTACCCTGGCTTCCACTGAGACAATCTTCTCATACTGATATGCATACCATTTTGACTTTGGTTTTGAGTGTAGTTTAGCAAAAATAACTGTTGTGAAGGTTCCACGCTTAAAGTATATCAACACTTTTTTTTCAATTTTTATGTAAAATTGTTTTAGGAATTGTTGATTGGCTAAATTTATATGTCTGATTATATAAGCGAAATCGCGGAAAATGGCAAAAAAATAATAATGAAGAATGACACGGACAGGAATTGAACCTGCAACCCTTCGATTGCACTAAATTCCAAACTGGAGTCGAAAGCTCTACCATTGAGCCACCGCATCATCTTGAAAGTTTTGGCACCCCATCAGGTGTGTGTATATGTTGGTAAAAAGTTTATTTAAAAAACGCCGGTTTCGGATGATTTTGCTACTATATCAGCAGTTTTAAGGTCATAATTCGAATATTGAAGTGTGAAATGCTACTATTATCGAGTTTGATGTCCTGGACCTCTATGGTTGTTGTGTTATTACAGCTTTTTGTTTGCACCTCTATCCGAATTTCGTATCAAATTTTGACGGCTAAAAAAAATAATAGAAACAAAAGATTAAAACTCATGAACATACAAGTATTAGCTGTTCTGAATCATACACAAACCAAAGTAATTCAAATACCATTCAATCGCTAACCAATTTAAATAGCTCTTTCAATCAGATCGTCAAGGGTTATATCAAAGATGACAGAGTATAATGCAATGGCCTCAAACAATCCAACGACTGTTGTGATCCAACAAGATGCACAATCAACATTGATAACGTTAGACGAGTATATCAGCAAAGCATTACCATATCATTTACAACGACAAATTCAATTGAGCGCTGGAAATCAATCTAAAAATTGGTCATTTACTCAGGGTTTATTAATTGGTCAATTAAGTGTGATTGTTGTTTTGATATTTTTCATAAAATTCTTCGTCTTTAGTGAGACAAAATCATCAACTGATAATTTAAAAGATCTAAAGATACCAATCATTAAGAATAAGGAACTTGGAACAAATGGAGTACCTAGCTCTAGTGATGGTGCTGACCCAAGTGTGTCAATTAATTCTATTCTAGAGAAGACTTACTATAATGTTGAAACACACTCTCCAGAATCTTTGGATTGGTTTAACGTTTTAGTTGCGCAAACGATAAATCAATTTAGACATGAAGCATTAGCATCTGATAATATTGTCAATTCACTTAATGGCTTTCTACAAAATGCAGAACTTCCGGATTATTTAGATAAAATCAAGATAACAGAATTAGATATTGGTGATGATTATCCAATTTTTTCAAATTGTCGCATAAAGAAAAATCCATCAAATGTTAACAATCTACAAGCCAAAATTGATGTTGATCTTTCAGATACTTTAACTTTAGGAATTGAAACAAACTTATTATTGAACAAACCAAAACCATTGACAGCAATTTTACCAATACAATTGAGTGTTTCGATTGTTAGATTTAGTGGTTGCTTGACAGTATCCTTAATTTCTATTGCTGAAGATGATGAACTGTTGAACGATGAACAAGGCAAAGGTACTGCATTGATGTTTTCATTTGCTCCAGATTTCAGACTAAATTTTAGTATCAAATCATTAATCGGTTCAAGATCTAAACTAGAGAATATACCAAAGATTAGTAACTTAATTGAAAGTCAGTTAAAGAAATGGTTTATAGAAAGATGTGTTGAGCCAAGATTTCAAGTGATTAGACTTCCAAGTGTCTGGCCACGTAGGAAAAATGTTAGAGAACCTTTAAAAGAAGATGAAGACTGATCCAGCTGTAAATGTCTATTAATTATATATATATATATATATACTTCTTATAAGTTTATGAGTTAATGATCTTAATGCAAATCGTAATATAATTATTTATTTTAAGAATCCATGATGTGATCCGGAGGTGAACTATAAATCTGAAGCTCCCCATCATTGGTCAATTCTGTATTTTGATTTGAACATTCAATTCCAAGCTCTTTTAAGTGCTGCAATTCGATGTTAGAAATGCCATGTGTGTCTCTTGGAACCCAAACTATGTTATTTTTATGCTGAAAACATTCATGGTGGAAAGTATCATTGAACAAGTCCTCATTGGGTTGTTTTGCCTCTATTTGATCTTCATGTTCTACTTTAGTGGTTTGGTTTTCCTTAGTATTAGACGATTCATCCTTATCTTTAGGTTCTTTAGGTTCATATAAAGTCAATGGAAAATTTTTAGATAGTAGTCTATTGAACATTTTATTCATTTGAACTTGACCTGCAGCAGTGAGTATCAACAAAACAAATGTAACAAAAGCATGACTAAGGCAGTTTGCTGAGTTTGTTTCATCTCTTGATAATGCAAAAATACCAATAAGACAAATCTCCATGAAGTAAATACCTGAATAAAGTTGAAATATTGCCTTTGGATAAAATATACCATGATTCTCAGATGGGTTATCATGGGAATATTGATATCTAGCAGAATATTTGAAAGATATAATCACCAAACCAAACGAAACACAACAAAATATAAGAATCAATGGTGATAAAATGGAATAAATTAATCCAATTGATCCCAAAACTGCGAATGTTGGATAAACTGATCCCCAATGGTAAACTGGGACTGATGCTAATCTTTTAAATTTTCTTCTTGGTGTTGAATCAACTAATGGATAGACAAATAAGTTTTTGAATAACTGAACACTTTGTAAAAGATTATTACCAAAATACGAGAACCCTCTGATCATCAAATATGAGAAAAAGAAATTTGAACACTTTGGTAAGTTTCTTGCTAAGATATTTGGAATTGAAACTGGATTGTTAACAAGTCCTTCAACTATAACTGTCAAACCTGAGGAAATTGTCACCACCATGAATATATGAATAAATGAGAAAATGAACATCCAGTTTTGAACATCAACTTCCACTTGAGCACCTGTCTTTTTACACTTAATATAACCGAGGTATCTAAATATATATGGTACCAGTTCTGAAAGGCAGACTAAAAGTATAACTGAAAGGAAATTGGAAATGACATCAGTTATATAGTCTGGTAAATAGTTCAACCAAGATAAAAATGGTATCAAGACTGTCAAATAAGGAAGCTGGGAAACTAACCCAATGAAAGCAACAGGAATAACCCATCCTAAGATTATAATCACACCAAAAGTATTACCAAGTAAAACTCTAATAAAGACCTGCATATTGCTTTGAACAGACAAGTTTTCCCAAATCAAATCTTTAGGGTTAACAAAGATTAAAGTACCATCAAGTTCATTCATCTTATCAGAGATTTGAATTTGATTCAATAAATGAGGTTGGAAACTATCTTCAAATTGTATAAATACTTTATTGTACTTTTGGTCATTCAAAGGACCTCTTTCTCTTGCAATCAATAAAGACCTTTTACTTTTAAGTTGGTTTCTATTATCAATATACAGATCAATTGTTTCTTGTAATTTCAGTCTTCTATTCAAAATATAACCTCTTGGTACAACATAATACATGAATGTGACTCTGAAATCAGCAACGCTTCTTAGACCAGCTAATCTTTTATTGTACTTATATTTGGAAAGATCTTCAATTAAATCATTTTCAATTTCAAAAAATTTGGAAGTTATGAGCTTGCTTTCTAAATTTTCAATAGAATCAAGGAGTTTAACATCATTTATATGGAAATCTTTTAAATCTTTATAGTCATAAACAAACCAAATATTTTTAATTTTACAACCTGATAACTTATTAAACACATCTGATAAGTCCCTTCTATTCAAAAGATTTGAAGGTACATTGTTGATTAATAAAGTATTTTCAGAGTTTCTTGAAAGTTCTGGTCTTCCTCCTGATTGTGCTTTTTTTGCTAAATATTGATTTTTGATTTTCAAGTAATTTCTCAACTCAGTTATAACCAATCCATGAAACCAAAGAATTGAGATGACAGTCATTGTTAAATGTATACTTAATCTCTTTGTGTACAATGGGGCAATATTTGACATTGAAATTCTATCCAATCCTAATGTCATTTTAGGGATTGTTCCATTTGCATACTTTATAAGATCATCTGGTTTATAATTTTCATAACCTGAATAATAATTAACAGGAATCAAAACAGGTAAGTTGAACACAGCCAAACCTGAAAAAAGAACTAAAAGGAAACACAAGTATCTGATGAAAAAATAAGCATCTAACCCAATATTTTTGTAATCATCTAATGGGTGAAACAAAGCAGCTTTAATCCAACTGAAAAATCCCTCCTCTAATGGGTATAACTTAACATCATCAGGGATATAATAACAATTTGGTTGATAAATGTTTTTAAATTTGCAACGAAGTAAACTGAAGATTGAAGTTTGAAAAGCACAATATAAAAATGAAATCATAACAGAAGTTATGAAAGTTCTAATAGTGATACCAGCAGAGTTTTGAGCAGAACCAGACCTTGGTGTATTGAGAAAGTCCAACATATGGAGGAACCCTTGATCTGTTCCATTATGATTGGGATCAAAATATGAGGTATAAGTTTGATAATCTAGCAATGCCATTGTCTAAAGCTAGAAATACACTTCTCTAATTAGCCAAACTATAAATTGAATGTCCAAAATAATAAGTAAAATACATCTAATTGAATGGCCCTTAAGTACCAAATCAAAATTTGGAATCCATACAATTTAATTTTGTTTATGTGCTTTTGTGTTTTTGTGAAATTGTCATGGTGATACTTGATATATAAGTCAACACTCTAAGCAAAAGCACAATATTAGCAAGCACAATAAGTCAATAGGTCAGGTTCGTAACCATTGGTGATGCTCTTGAAATGGTTCTGTTCAAAATTTCAATATCTTTCTTCAATTTAGCTATATATCGAACTTGATATTGGCGCCAAACTTCTATTCAAATCAATTGATCATCCCATTCTCACCATTGAATATGTAGCCGCTAGATATATAGCATAATTTACTTAGAGCTGATTAGCGCTGTATTCAATAACCCCAAATCCATTAGTTTACTCAGAGCGGTAAGATAATTCCATCAACAATGCTTGAAGTTGAACCATTCAAACCCTTTTGAAAATCCATCAAATCTAGCCGTTAATCATTCTTTACCTAACGTTCTTTATTCAACATAATACACGGATAAATGCTCTTACAGTCTCAATCTACCCCCTGATTTCTCATCAACCACTTTATTCACTTGATCAAAATATCAAAATACTATGAATGCTGAATATTAGTCGTGACTGTCTCAGAATCAAAGGAGCTTTTACTGTTTTAATTTTCCTAGTAAAGTAGGTCAACCGTCCCATCATCCCATGCCCAGTGGGCCAGTTGTGTCGCATCCAATTTTCCAGGCTGAGCGTCCCTTTGAGAATGTGCCTGTGCTAGGCTGGAGATTTTTGTGCTCGGTGGAATTCACAAAGAGCACTCTAATGGCTCTAGAAGTGCTACAAACTTGATCAAAACACCGGAATAATCAGAGGTTCTTGAAGTATCGCTTCAGTTATATTGATCTCTATCTTTCAAAAGATTTTATCAATTAGTTCATCCACATTCCCTCTATTTCCAAGCTTAGTTCTGTAAGTACAGTTTATAAATTATAAGTGCGTAGTCGTAAACATGTGTCGCTTATCAGATCTTATTGTGACGCGCGTTTGTAAATTTCTATAAATATACAAATTATGGTACATCTTCGTTTTTGTGTACATCATTCTAGGACACGAACTTACCGATTATGGGTGATATATTTAAGTATGTGCAGGAGATTCTGGGAATGGGTATGTATGATATTTGAAGACCACAAAACCATTTAAAGGGCACAATTTCCAGAATTATTTATACCAAAGGGATTTCTCTTTTGAAAATCATTCAAGAATTTATTATACATAGCCATAGAGAAGCTGTTCTGAAAGGTTCATAGTTCATACCAAATCAATATATTCAATTTATTTACACTTATAGATACAATGGTCCAACTCAGCTCATCGTGGTTTCTTACTGCTCTGGTTTTACCAGCTTTTGTGCAAGCTCAATCATTCTCAGAATGTAATCCATTGAAGACTTCATCATGTTCCCCAAATAAAGCTTTGGCTACTTCATTTTCAACTGATTTCAAAGAAGAATCAAGCTGGTTCCATGCTGCTACTGTTAAAGAACAAGTACATTACACAGATGAAGGTTTGAAATTGACTTTGGCCAAAAGATTTGATAATCCATCCGTTAAATCCAATTTTTACATTATGTATGGTAAGCTGGAGGTTATTTTGAAAGCTTCACCAGGTACAGGTATTGTTTCTTCATTTTATTTACAAAGTGATGACTTGGATGAAATTGATCTTGAATGGACTGGTACAGATGATACTCAAGTTCAAACAAATTTCTTTTCAAAAGGTAATACAACAACTTATGATAGAGGTAAATTCCATCAAGTTGATAGTCCACAAAGTCAATACCACAACTATACAATTGATTGGAGCTTAGATGAATTAGTTTGGTATGTTGATGGTCAAGTTATTAGAACTCTTAAAAATGATACTACTGATGGCTACCCACAAAGTCCTATGTATGTCGTCTTGGGTATTTGGGCTGGTGGTGATCCAGATAATGCACCAGGTACAATTCAATGGTCAGGTGGTGAAACTGATTACACAAAAGTTCCATTCAATATGTACGTCGAAAGAGTTGTTGTCACTGATTACTCCAGTGGTTCAGAATATAGTTATACTGATAACTCTGGTGATTGGACTTCTATTGAAGCAAAAGATGGTTCAGTTAATGGTAGACATGACGATGCTGAAAAAGAATTTGAAACTTTAGTTGCTGGTGGTACCATTTCATCTGATCAATCTTCTTCTGAATCTTCATCTTCTTCTGACTCTTCTTCTAGCTCTTCAGATGATGATGAGTCCTCTTCAAGTTACCATGATGGTTTATCAAGCTCAAGATCAAGAGTTGAAAGTGTCACATCATCACATTTATATACAAGATCAGAATCATCAAGTAACAATAGAAATGCTGTATCAACTACATCTGATGCTGCTACCTCCACTGAAGACTCTTCCTCTGGTAACTCAACTACTGGTAAATCTGGTTCTGCTGTTGGTTCAGGCTCAAATTCCACAAATGGTTCATCTTCAACACATTCAGTAGTTGAATCAAATGGTGCTGGTGTTTCAGTCAACTACCCACAACCAATTGGTAAAAGTGGTATCAAAGCTTTTATTTTGAGTACATTTATAGCTCTTGGTATCATGTTATTCATGTGATTTTGAACATTTAGACAGAAAGGGGAGGTCAATAAAAATATCCTACCCACATTAATGACACTTTATTTCTCACGCATAAGCCTATTCATGGCTCCATAATTATATGTTACGTTTGTTTAAGATACCTGCTAGTTTTATATTAATTCATTATAAAGTTTTTGCTCTCTATTTATTATCAAATTGTAGTAAAGTAGTCTTAAAATGTTTATAATGCGTATAGGTTTTAGTTATTTTCGGTAATCGCACTTTATGGAGTCAATTTTTCATGACGTCGAAATCAAAAAAAAATCAAAATCTTATAATAATGTACATACAAAAACAAAATTGTACTTGAGTATTTTCAAAATCAATATTATATTTATACAATGGCTTTTGGTGGATTATTCGGTGGCTCAACTGGTTCAAATCCAGCTGTTTCCTCAACAACTGTTGCTCCAAACTCACAAGTTAAAGAACAATTAAAAGCACAAATTGGTCAAGAATTAGCTATTGCTAATGCAACTGAATTAGTTAATAAAATCACAGAAAACTGTTTTGAACAATGTCAAAGAGAACCATTCGCAACTGGTGAAGAAGTAAGCTATCACAAAGTCCCATAATTGTAATAATTTTTCATGTTTTGGACCTTACTAACATTTTTATTAGAATTGTACTGATAGATGTCTTGAAAAATATATGAGATCATGGAATGCAATTTCTAAAACTTACATTTCTAGAATTCAACAAGCTAGTAAATAAATTTAATCATATACAAATCATTACAGGTTAAGATGGAGAAAGTTATCAAATCTTTCAAAAGGGGTGGAAGGATGTATATTATTATTGATGTTTTCTTTGAATGCGAACATGAGTGTATATAAAATGTGTTTTTTTCAGCATTAAAGGCATTAAAGAATATTGATGAGTGTATATAATAAAACAATATTCAAATTATCAATTTTTTTGGTGTAGTCTCTGGTGGATTATTGTTCATTTGTTCCTTCTTGATGGTGGGATGTACTTCTTCGGTTTTGTTGGTTCTTCCTGATCTTTGGTCTCTGTTGTTTCGAGGCATATTGTTTCTTTCCTCCTATTGACATTTGAAACACTATTGACTCCATTTCCTTTACTATTCAATCCAAGTTTTCTTAGTGATGATTCCACATCATCAATACTCTTATCTTCTTTTTTCTGTGGTTTTGATGAATTTGCCTTCAGAATGTTATTGATTGCGTTGAACTGTCTATTAGGTCTCGACCCTGGATTTCGTATTACTTCTTCATTTTTGGTTTTTTCTTCTGTTTTCTCTTCTTCCCTTTGTCTTCTTCTTTCTCTAACATCATATCTCTTGACTTCTTCCTTTGGTGTGAATCCAGGTCTAACTTTTAATGTTTTCCTCACAGATCCATCAGCACGTACTGTACCACCTATGATTCCATCGCCATTCGAATCAACTCCTGATACTTGTGTGGATTTGGTGCTTTCACTGGACATAATTGTGTGGTTGTTGTGTTATGTTCCAGGTATGGTTAATTTGACTAACCTTCTCGTTGTTTATTAGTGACTGACGATTAGAATTGTTAAAAATGGGCAAGATATTGTGAAATTGAGGTCAATTTTATTTGGTGATGAGATATTCAAAGTGCTGGTAAAAGTTGTATTTTGTTACCAATAATTCAAATTTAATTTAATATGCGTATGTTGTCGTAAAGAAATTTTGAGTAAATCAAGTTTTTCCGTTTCCTGACTAGTTCTGGCCTTTAAAGGCCTCATTTTTTTTTGACCTTCGTGAAGATTTCTGGAAACTGAGTTTTAATTTTTGATTTGATTGGGACAGCGCTAATCAAGTTTTGATCTGATTCTTAAAAGGATACTTAGAAAAGCAAAACAAAGATGGCAAGCAAGGCTAAGGTGCTCATTGTTGGTGGTGGTATTGCTGGTATCAAAGCTGCTCTTGAGTTGAAGGCTAATGGTGTGGAGTTCTTAATACTGGAGGCAAAAGATCGCTTAGGTGGTAGACTTAAGACCGTTCAAGGTAAAAATACAAAATACGATCTAGGTGCAAGTTGGTTTCATGAGACATTAAACAATCCACTATTTGACGAAGAGCTACATTTACCAAGATCAGAAAGAATCAATTTCCATTTTGATGATATGCCTATTAAAATATTTGATAAAAATGGTGAAGTTCCTCCAACATCAAGATTAGAAGCAATTGGAGAAGAAATCACAAAATATATCGAATTGAAATGTCAAGAGGACTTAGAAGGTGACAAATCAGTTTATGAATCAATTATAGATTATTTTAGGCTTAAGAAAGAATTATTAACTGATGACCAAATTGTACATGCCTTGGGGTATCAAAGATGTTTAGAATTATGGCATGGTGTTGCAAGTAATAAATTAAGTTCCAAATATTGTGATGTTGAAAATGCAGGTCGTAATGCATTAGCCTTAAATTATGACCATCTTTTGAAAAGACATACTGATCAATTATTAGCAAATGATTATATTTTGAATAAACCAGTGAAATCAATTAAAAGAACAGATAACAAAACAAAAGTTCAAGTAATTAGTACGGATAGTGAAGAATTTGTTGCTGATTATGTCATTGTTGCAGTTCCACAGTCAATTATCGCATTAGATCCTAAAGAGAAGGGTGGTATAACTTTTGAACCTGAATTACCAAAAACTTTAACTGATGCACTAGAAAAAAGTCATTTCGGATCCTTGGGTAAAGTAGTAATTGAATTTGAAGAATGCTTTTGGGGTAAGGATGCAGAAAGATTTGTATGTTTATCAGAAGCACCAAAAGATTTCGTCAAATCTCTTGAAGATAAATCTATAATCCCAAAGTTCCCTGGAAAAGACATACCCAAAACTTGGGAATATCCAATATTATTCTTGAATTATGCAACTTCATTAGCTAAACCATCATTAGTTGCTTTTACACAATCACCATTGACTGAATACCTTGAATCTAATCCAGATAAAGCTTGGGGTTATTTGAAACCGTTAATTCAGAGAATCTCTGACAAGACTGATATACCAAATCCAATCAACCAAATTGTTACAGAATGGACAATTGATCCATATCAACGAGGTGCATATACAGCGTGCTTCCCAGGTGATGACCCAATAAGTGCAATGATTGCATTTGAACAAGGGTTTGGTAATGTAAGATTTGCAGGTGAGCATACCATTCTGGAAGGTTGTGGTTGTGTACATGGTGCTTGGAATAGTGGTAAAAGAGAGGCAAATTACATCATCAACTGTTTAAACAGTTAAAGTTGTTTATTAAATGTATATAATATATATAACTAGGGAGTTATTGAATTAACCCCATAATGCATTCCATTTAACAGGTTTCCTCACTGCGTTTGAGAAACCTTCATGATATTTAACCCAAATTTTAACTTCTGTTTTTGGTTTCTTATTTTTAGCTTCAGCTTCTGCGATTTGTTCATATTGATTTCTTAGTGCATTAAAATCCTTACTTGTTTGTGAAACTCCATCACTTGGACCTTCACCTTGATCAACTTTTGAGAATGCTCTTTTTTTAGCTTTCATGACATCTAATTCTTTCAACATTAATGGGAATAATTGAGTTCTTTTTTGGTTTTGCTTTTTGACTGTTAATGGATCAAATTTTGAAATTGTGTGGAATTGTGGATAAGTTGTGAAAATATCATTATATGAATCATCTTTAGCATCGGTAATTTGTAAACCAAATCCACTTAATGCATTAGCAGCTTGACGAAGTTTTAATTGATCATTCTCTTTGATGTTATTTATACTTTTCAATTCTGGTGTGATTATATGATCTAATAATGGTAATGCATCTGTTGATAAATAATGTGGCTTTAATAATGTTCTTAATTGAGCATTTAAATTACCATGAATTTGTCTTAATAAATTAAAATTTGATCTTCTACTTTCGAAATGTTCATAATCTGATTTAATTTTCAAATTTTCTCTATTACCTAAATCACCAAATAAATTATAAAATTGTAATGCAACTTGTGATGAATAATAACTTAAATCACCATATCCTTCATATGTTGTTTTACCCATAATATCTCCAAAGAATAACCAATCACTAATCAAGGCAGGTTTGGACATTTGAGAATCATTATATGTAACGTCGTGGTAGCTTTGGAAACAACCATTTATAATCTTATCATAGCTTGGATTGATATTTATAATTTCTGATAATTCCTTGAATTGTTCATTTTTCTTTTTATCCCTTCTTCTACGGAAAATTTCATTAACAATTGAAAACCATGAAACTTGGCTATCTTTCTTCCTTAAATCGTTTGAATTATTTAATCCACCACCAAATTGTAAAATGTTTAAGCAACTCCGTATATCATAATTTGCTAATAATACAATTTCTTGTAATTGTTGATTTGTAATGTTAATTTTTTCATGTTTACAAATATCTCTCAATCTATCACGTAATTCTCTTTCAGTTGGTGCTTTAAAATTAATAATTTCTGATTGTGCTCTTAATTTTTCTAATGATGGTGCATAAAGGTCATTACAAATTGCAATGATTGGTCTTAATAAAAATTTAGGTTGTTTTTTCTTTTTACCATTATCTTCTTTGAACTTACTACTTTCAGAATTTTGGTATTTATAAACAGCTCTAGAATCTTCATTTATCAAGTCTAAAAGCACTTTAACAAATCCAAATTCAGCAGCGCCATCAACTTCATCTGCAATTAAACAAACAGGTTTTCCTGAAAAAGTTTGAGAATTTAAAGAATTATTAATCTTATCTCTAACTCTTTGTCCAGATCTTTCATCACTTGCATTAACTTCCATAATTTCATAACCAGCTTGTTTGGCAATAACATGAGCCACTGTAGTTTTCCCCAATCCTGGAGGTCCATGGATCAATAATATTTTTTTACTTGGACGTCCAAATGGATCAGTAAACTTTGATTGTGGATTTGAATCTTCAGTTGTAATAGGTTTAAGATTTTGATCAAAAACAACTCTAGACCAATCTTTAATCCATTTGAGAATTCTTCTATTTGTAGCTTCATTACCCAATAAATCGAAAAATGATTTTGGTCTCCATTTTTCAGCCCATAATATATTATTTTGTGGTATATATGAATCTTGATTTCTTGAAGATGGAGCTTCTTTCAATCTTTTCACTTCAAGTCTACCATATAGTTCATTTATATTAAATCCATAATTTTCCTTTTCTTGTTTGAGAGCATCAATTGCAGATTCAGGATCTTCTTGTCTCGAAGGTTTTTTTTTCAAATTTACTATTTTACCATTGGGTAGTGTGATTACTTTAGCATTTGTATTTTTTTCTATTATCGATGAGCCCAAGCTTACTTGAGTACTTGGAGTAATATTTCTCGTGGTATCATTAGCCACTGATTCCTTACCAGACAGATCTGTGTCTTTTTGAGTATCATTTGGAGATTCACTCTTGTCTTTGTATATCTCATCTTTACCATCATTATTACCATTACCACCGGCTAAAAACTTGTTCTTGAAGTCCAATGACCCCAGTCCAAAATCAAGCACTGGTTTACTCATTGTATGAATCACCTAACAAAACAACTACCACCTCAGGTCAAACAACAGATAACTCTCCAGTGCTTTGTCTGTCTCTATACAATTTCCTGCTAAAAACACTTTGATGTACGCCAAAAATCACGACGCGAAACTTTCAAAACCATAACAAAAAAGATCGCGACTTCGCGAATATTCTGATAAAAGCACACTCACGTGATCCGGTTCGCGCAGTTTTTCTCTGACATTTGAATTTTGAAAAGTCGAAACTTTGGTATTTGAAAACGAAAACAAAGCAACAAAGAAATAAAGAAACACTCAGGAAATAAACAGAAAGTAACGAGATAAAAAATATGGTTGCTGTGAGTAATTAGCGTGATTTATATTTCCCAATTGTTAAGAATATTTTACTAACATTGATCCCAGGAACAAGAATTTTTGTACGTATCCCACCCACTGAGAACTTAAAATTAGGCTTAAATAGGAATGTGATGGCCATGATCCAAGAATATATAAACTAACCCATTAATAGAGCTTCTTTCCCACAAACAAGTGCCCCAGGTACACCAGAAGGATACCCAGGTAATGTCACCCCAGAACAAGAACAAAAAATCAAGACATTGAGAGAAAATTTACAAAAAAAAGAATTTGTTGTTCGTTTAGATGATGCCACCTTAGTATGTTGAAATTAGAATATTTTATATTTGTTTGTTTTCCAAATACTGACCACAATTTTAAGTTACGTTTCTTAAGAGCTCGTAAGTTTGATGTTGACTTAGCTCAAAAAATGTATGAAGAACATGAAAAATGGAGAAAAGAATTTGGTGTTGATACAATTTTTGAAGATTTCCATTATGAAGAAAAACCAATTGTTGCCAAATATTACCCACAATATTATCACAAGACCGATAAAGACGGTCGTCCAGTCTATATTGAAGAATTAGGTTCTGTCAACATTACTGAAATGTATAAAATTACCACTCAAGAACGTATGTTGAAAAATTTAGTTTGGGAATACGAATCATTTGTTAGATATAGATTACCAGCTTCTTCAAGACAAGCTGGTTACTTGGTGGAAACATCATGTACCATCTTAGATTTAAAAGGTATTTCAATTTCTGCTGCTGCTCAAGTTTTATCATACGTTAGAGAAGCTTCATTTATTGGTCAAAATCATTATCCAGAACGTATGGGTAAATTTTATTTGATCAATGCACCATTTGGATTCTCAACTGCCTTCCGTTTATTCAAACCATTCTTAGATCCTGTTACTGTTGCTAAAATTTTCATCTTAGGTTCATCATACCAAAAGGAATTATTAAAACAAATTCCTGCTGAAAACTTACCAGTTAAATTTGGTGGTAAATCAGAAGTTAGTGATGCTGAAGGTGGATTATTATTATCAGATGTTGGTCCATGGAGAGAAAAGGAATTCATTGGTCCAGAAGGTGAAGCTCCAAAAGCTTTTTCATTAACTTAGAATACCACAACCACAAGCCTTTAGAACATGATATTAATGATCCTTTTTTAACACGATATGTTTTCGTTCGTTCTGTTCGTCTTTTTTTATATACATTGATACTTTAGTTATGAGTTTCTTCCCATATTAAAACGGAAAAATCTGCCAAATTATACGTAGTTTTTAAACTTTTATTGTATACGTATACGGGTTTCATAATTGTCACAGCCACGTAAATTCCGATCGAAGATCTTTACTATGGGAATTGGAAATTTGATGGAAAATGTTCAAACTAAAAAGTCATGGAAACGTAGTATTGTTACTACGTTGGACAAGAGAATCAAGACCTATTGTCATTTAATTACACAAAAGAAGGATTCCAAGGGGCTTGTTAGAAAAATTACAAGATGAGCTACGGCCAGACTTTGGACTCAAGATCAATCAGAAGCGCCATCAAAGAATCTCAAGGAGAATTTAGAGAGCATATAGACTGGTCTATCTCTGGAGAAAAATATGAAACCAACACAATCAAAATCACTAATCATGGTGAACTACTAGTATTACAAACATCGGAAAAGCTAATAAGGAGTCTTCATTCGTGCTCTATACAGATTGTTGACAGTGTGCTAGTGGTGCAAAGCTATAATCTAAAAGCAAAATTGTATCTGAGACCAACAGATAGACCGACATTTATCAAATTATTTGCATCTTTACTATTTTGGCAAAGCCTCAGGCCAAGGGGTATAGTGAATAAGAGATTATCTTTACCTTATGAAACCTCTCAAGGAACATTATCAGAGAATTTATTGGTTTGCAGTTGTAAAATCTTTGGTCAAATACCCAAAAATAAAAATGTTGAAGTTTTAGAAGGTCCATCTGTACCTCTATTTCCTGATACTAATGAAGGTTGGTTCACAGCTATGGTGGTTTTGAAATCAAATGGTATCTTAGAGCTTCTAGGTGAATCTGATGGATCGTTGTTGTATTCTATTGATATTAAATTATTATCAAGATCAGAAATTAGAGAAATTCATACATCAATTTTTGAATCTTCAAATTATTTATTTGTTGGTGTTATTGGACCTTTAAGAAATGAAACCAAATTCATTAAAAATTCAACTCGTGATTTAATTCCATCAATTTCAAAGGAAAATTTAAAAGTTTCAAGAATTATTTTAGAATTCCCATATAGAATTGATGTTGAAGATTGGTTAGTTGCATTATCAGCTTTCGCTAAAAGAGAATATGTTGGTTTAGATAGCAGCAACTTACTTAGAGTACCAAGAAATGTTAGTATTGGTATATTAGAAGCTTCATTAAATGAACATTTGAGTGAAATTAGTGGTGAGTTTTCTAAAGTTTATGCAGAAATTCATGTGTGGAATACACCATGGGTAAGAACTTCAATTATTGAAAGTTCGAAAAATCCATTTTTCAGGGAAAACTTTGAGTTTGAAATACCATTCACCACAACTAAATTTCATGTTGTTTTGAAAAGGGCTCTTGGTACACGTTATTATTTGGATGATCAAATTTTGGGATATTCAACAATTGATATAGCAACTTTAAATGATGAAACTTTCAATCAGGAAACTAGAATTCCATTATATTTAAATAATATTCAAGTTGGACAATTCTGTGTTACTATAAATAATGAAAAAAATTATATCTTACCACCCGATAATTTTAATAATTTTGAACAAATGATGCTAAATTTAGATCCAAAAAAACTTTTAAGATATGTATTGAAGAAGCAAAGTGGATCAAATCTAGAGCCTATATCAATCACATTATTGGATATTTTCCAGTCATTACAAAAAGAGAATGAGTGGTTCAGTGCATTGATTGATGAAGAAGTTAATAAAACATCATTGGGTAAAACAACTATGAATGATACTTCTCAATTATACAATTCTTTATTTAGAGGTAATAGTATTTTGACAAAATCTTTAGAAATTTATAATTTAAGAGTTGGTCAAGAATATTTAGAGAAAGTTGTTGGTAAAGTTATAACTAAAATCATCTCAAATAATAGAAGTACAGAAATTGATCCAATGAGGGTTAATGAACCCGATGAATCACTAAAATCTGATATTTTGGAACATAATATGGAATTATTGCTACAATATAGTGAAGAAATTTGGACAAGAATATATAACACATCAAATGATTTACCCCAACAAATCAAACAACAACTCATACAACTCAGAAAAAAGATTGAAATGTATACAAATGATCTAGGGATAACATTAAATTGTATCACTGGGTTTTTATTTTTAAGATTTTTCTGTCCTGTGATACTAAATCCAAAGCTGTTCTTTTTAACAAAAGATCATCAAACTGGTGAAATTAAAAGAACATTGACACTTATATCCAAGATTTTGTTGACATTTTCCAATAGAGTCCTTTTTGGTGCTAAAGAACCCTTCATGATGGGGATGAACGACTTATTTATCAAAAAACATGAATCTGAGTTGATTGATTATCTAGATAAAGTCACTGGTAAAAAGTTAGATTTCACAGGAAAACATTTGAAATTAAGTTCATCAATTGAAAGAACTGATATTGTCTTGACTTCCAAGACTTTGTTGAAAGAACTACCAACTGTTCCGTATCTCATTGACAAATATTTAAGATTGGATCAATTAGTTGATAAACTCTCAACTGAATTTTTAGATCCTAAATTCATTGACGATTATGCCGAAAATGATCAAGAAGTTGAAGAAGATCCAGAATCATCACAAGCTGAATTATATAAAATTGGTTCATTAGAATTTGAAAAACTAGTCATCAAAAGTGATCAAGAACAATCAAAAGATTCACAGGATTTTGAATTTGGTTCCGAAGAATTCATCAAAAATTTATTACATACCAATGAAAGTGAGACCATTTTTAATTATATGAATTCAAATAGTTCACTAAAAGATTTAATCATTGAAGCTGATAGACTGAGTGCTAAAAAGTCCCGTCTTGCCGCAAAACTTTCATCATCAGAAACTGCATCAGATATTGATGGTTTAGATTCATTCATTGACGATTTATTATCAACAACCATAATTGATGACCAAAAATCAATTCATAAAACTGAAAGGGGAATCTCAGGTGCAAAATATTTATCGAGCAATTCATCATATAATGTATTAAGATTAAAATTCTTGAGTGAAGCTGATTCGGCACCTTCCATTGCACCTTCTGCTAGAAGATTTTCAAAGATGATCAGATCTGCCAGTATAAATACCATGAGTTCTTTTGGTACTATCACAAATGAAAATGGTGAATTTGTTAGATTGGACTCTCCAAAGAAATCTGGTTTTAGAAAATGGTTAAGAAAAGATAAATAACCAGATACATTTTTTTATGCTCCACGATACCCTTTCGTTCGTTTAATGTGTTTTTGTTTTTTTAAAAAATTTGTAAAAGTTTTTATTTTTGTTTTGTTTTCGTTTTGTTTTTGATAGATAGATCGTTTTGTTTACGGACAATTTTTTAATTTAATAATTATCATTTATATTAAACTAAACAACGTAACCCGCTCAACGACCATTTAAATTCAAACCTGATGGACCAAAACCTGAAGTAATACTTCTAATATCATCTTCAATATTTTGGTTATCATAACGAGATGAAGATCCACCAAGTTTTTCTAATCTTGAACTGAAACTTGAACCAATTTGTGGATTTGTTGCTGGATCATAGGTATTACCATTTGTGGCATTTTCGCTTTCATTTGCATCATTACCATTTGATTGATATTGATCATTAAAAGTTGGCCATTGTTTAGCAGAGAAAAATGGTGGGAATCCTGCATTAGATGTGAATCCAACAGATTCATTATCAGTTGCAAATGAAACTAAACTTGCAGTTTCAAAGTCATTAATTGTTGAACCAGCATTTGTAGTTGGAGCACCAAATTTATGATAAGCTTCACCACCAAAGTTTTGACGACCACGATTTGGTTTAAATCTATTATTTGGTCTATTCAATTGGACTGAAGATAATTGTAAAGAGTCTAATAACCCTTCGACAAGACAACCTTTTTCTCTGTAATGTAATAATAATTGATTCCACAATTGATTCTTAGACAAAGCTCTTGGATTACCTAAAATCACAACACCATATTTAGCTCTTGTTAAAGCAACATTCAAACGTCTTGGATCACTTAAGAACCCAATATTTTGTTGATCATTAGCTCTAACACAACTTAAAATGATGAAATCTTTTTCACGACCTTGGAAAGCATCAACTGAAGCAACTTCAACATCCATATATAAGTCTTTATCCATAGAACCATTCATTTGCATATATTGAACAACGTAAGCTCTTTGACCTTCATATGGAGTAATAACACCAATTTGTTCTGGTTGAACACCATCTCTAAATAATCTTGTAATGATACGTTCACAATTCATAGCTTCAATTCTATTCAAGAACGAAGTACCACTACCTGAAATTTCTTCTCTACCAAAATTTGCCCAAAACATCATTGGTGTATCCACAACTGGCCATGGGAAGGCGGAATTTGGTAATTGTCTTTGTTCTTTAGTAACACCGTTTTGTAAAGAACCATCATAAAACATATTACTTGAAAATTCTGAAAGACATGGATTCATACGATATTGAACTTCTAATCTAATTGGAACATGACCTAAAACAACTAATCTTTCGAAAAGTGATTGTTTTAAACCTGCATCACCAGCTTTCTTGTCCAAAATAACAGGACCTAATTGTTGATGATCACCAACCAAAATAACTTGTTTAGCACCATGAACTAATGGAATTAAACATTCAGGTTCAGAAGCTTGAGTACTTTCATCAATTAAAATTGTTCTAAAATTGACGTTTTCTAATCTTCTATCACCAGCACCAACACAAGTTGCACAAACAACATCTGCTTGTTTCAAAATTGATTTTTCCTTCTTTCTCAATAATGTGAAATAAGTCTTGGTATCTTCTGCACTTAATTCACCCAATTCATTTCTTAATCTCAACAATTTTTTTAATTGACCTTTTGCACTTTTTTGAATAATATTTGATAGAGATAAGTGTTGAACTGAACTTTCAACATCTTCTCTTGATTTGGCAGTTAATCTAATAACTTTTAAGCCTAATTGATCCAGTTTAGAAGCTAAATGATCAACAGCAACATTTGAAGGAGCACAAACCAAAATACGATCTTTATTCAAATTAGTCAAATGGTGAATGATTGTGGCTGAAGTAACAGTTTTACCAGTACCTGGTGGACCTTGAATTAAACTTAAAGGTTTTTGTAACACATTTTTAACAGCACTTGCTTGAGAAACATTTAATTCTGCAAATCCAGGAATTGAAAATTTTGAAGGTAATTTAATATCAAATTCAACTTCATTGACTTCATGACCTAATAATTTATGATAAATATAACCACTGACACTTAATTGATCGGTGGCAAACGATTTCATGGCATTTTGCATACGATCATATGATGTACCTTTCCAAACAAATTCTGCTGTGAAATCAGTTGTACATTGAGTAGGTGGTGGATTTTTATGATTAGTTGATAATTCTAATGTGAATTCTTCTTGGTGTGCACTTGGAATTCTAATAATGAAACCTTTAGCTTCCCAAGCTTCATGATTTATACCTGAATAACGTAAAATCATTTCATCACCAACTGCAACTTTCAATTCTGAACTTTCAAAAGTTGATAAAGTAAAAGAAGCTAAATGCTTGTTATTAAGAGCTAATGACCATTTAACAGAAATATGTTCTAAAGCTTGAGATTCTTTTAATTGTTTATCATAATCAGCCTCTAATTTAACTAAAGGACCAAAAGATCTTTGATATTCATAAGCATCAGTATATCTCATTAAAATTGGAACAATTTCATTTTCTTCTTCAGGTTTTTCAACATCTTGAATAGTAGCATCTTTATTTAATCTCCATTTAGCTTCTAATTTAGAAATTTGAGAATTAGTTATAATTCTTGCATTCAGTGTATCTTCTTCAGTTGGAATATTAGCAACCCAAGACAATAATTGACGATCTTCAATTAAGGAAGTCCATTCATTTGTATCCCATCTTGAATCCTTTTGTTGAGAACAAGGTAAACGACAAAGAATAACAATAACAGTTTCTGATTTTGCACTAACAAACCCTAAAACGAAAACATTTTTATTACCACAATTATAACATTCCAAAGTGGTATCGCCCAAATCAGAATCTGGATGTAGTGAGACAACGTTATGCTTTGACATAACTAAATGAGTTATAATATGAGAACTTGAAGTATTATTCTTGGAATTACAAAACCATTTGTTACAAGTATTACATTTAACAACACTTGAAGAATTATGAATACCACAATAAGCACAAGCATGTTCCGGTAAGTTTTCAACAAAACCAGCTTCATCATCATGATGGTGATGTCCATGATGATCATTATCGTCGTCATCGTCATCATATAGTCCTTCTAATTCTTCATCATCTAAATCAGAATCATATTTGTAGTCTGAATCATTATCATTATGGTCACCATTGACGGTATCATCATCATTTGGTACGACGTTTTGGGATCCAATATCTTGGGCACTAGCAGAGTTTTTCAAATCATCATCATTGTGATTTTCACTATTATTCTTTTGGTAATAGGAGAATAAAATATTTGGATCCATTATATTGACTAATTATCAGTAATTTATACGGACTTTTTCTTTCTGTATCTAATTTGAGAATTTTAAAGTAATTGGCGATTGAATTGAATTGACTTTTAGCTTCAAATCATTTGAGTTGTTGACCAATAACTTCACTAAACAGTGGAAAGAACCCCTTTTGATGAATTTTCAAATGCCTTCACCGTATAAAACCAGACAAAAGCCTTCATTTCCTAATACTAAAAGTTAAATTTTCGTTGAGTTTGAGAAAAAAAATAAAAAATAGCCGCTAATGTGGTGCTTATCAGATTTTGCTTTGTCAGGTGACCGGTCAGGTGATCATTTTACTCATTAAATTATAGAGATTAATAGAATTAACCATTGGAAATTGATTTAAACTAGGCTTACAATTCTTTCTATTTTAAAGTAAACTTGAAATTTATTAAAACTATGCAAAACATGAATATAATCCCATAAAAAAAATTTTGAATTGATGAACATTTTTGATGGACACTAGTAGCCATAAATTTGAAGTACCAAAAACAAACTAAAACCCTCCTATACTGATTGAAACCCTATAATATAAGCTCGATATAAATAATAATTAATAAACAAAAAATAATCAAATGTGCGCTGTATTGTATTGTATTGTGTGTAAACCTTTTAAAACTTGAAACGAATGATATTATCCCAATATTAAAAACCATGGGTATTAAATTACTATGGTGAAAGCTTAATGCCCTTTTTCTAATTCATTTTGACTTTCGAGTAAAATTTCCTTTATTGATGAAGTTTTTGATAAAATTGGTAATTGGTTTGAAGTTTGACTTGATAAAAATTGTTGTTTTGGTGATGTATTTATATTTGAACTTGTTATAGAATGATGAGAATCACTTCCTTGAAATGGATCTCTTAGTTGTTGTAAAGTAGAGATATTTTGCTTTGATCCATATGTTGAAGAATTTTGAATTGGTGAATTTGGTGAAATTAATCCAGTATCAGTTTCATCATTTAATAAATCAGCAAATGAATAAAAATTTAATTTTTTCTTATCTGAATAATCAACATTTGGATTAGTTGAAGTGGAATTTGAAATTGTTGAAATTGGACTTAATGGTGAACATGAACTTTGTCTTCTTGATATAGGTAAAGATCTTGACATTCTTCTATTACCCATTCCTGGATGTGAAGAATTATTTGGTGATTGATATATTGTTGAGTTCGAAATAGAATTCTTATGTTGATCTAATAAAGCAGAAGAAACATGATTACTATTAGATTGAATCACTTCAATATCTTCATAATTTGGATCACTCAATACTTCAGCTGTTGCATCTAGAACTTGGGGTATGAAAAATTCAGAATTCAAATGTGTTGGAATTGAAGATTGTGATGAATAACTTTGACTTCTTGCTAAAGGATTTGATGAATTTCTTCTACTTAAAGAGCAGTTTGACATTTGAATTTGATCTTGAACATTTCTTTCAAATATAAAAGATGATGACGTGGTTGACATTGAACTTGGTGATAACAAATGAGAATCAATAGATTGATGAGCTTGTTGTGAAGTTGTACCAGTAGTTCCTGATTTTATAATTATTGGTGAAACAATTTCATTAACTTGATCATCTTGTTCATCAATTAGACAATCACAACTTGCGTTTTCATCTTGTTTAACGTATGGATGATCATTAACGACTTTATTCTCACAATCAACATCATGACGTTTATTCTTCTTCTTTTGTGTTTTCAAATTGGATAATTTCTTCTTTAATTGATTATTAAAACTTTCATCTTTCTGTTCAATATTCTCAGCATCTCCATCAATTGTGGAATCTGATTCTTTTGAATGTTTTGTTTGTTCTGGTTGCAAATGATGATTGAAGTAATCAACATTGTCTATTACCAATATTAGTATACCAAATCATTCATAACCTCAACTCGGAATCAATATCAAAGTTATTTGTATGTTCCATTGTATACACAGCACGATTGCTTTGAATGTCCCTCACTTATGGTATACTCACCGTTATCTTGATTACCTTTCTGTAAAAAGTTCCATATTTGAGACATATTGTGGGTGGCTAAGTGTGTAATTGAGGGTTAAAAGACTAGTACCTCAACAACTTGACTAAACTAAGACGACTCTCTCTGTATTTTAGGTACAAACTTGTCGATATAAACAGCTTAAATCCAAATCAAAGCGCACAATTTCAGCTTCTTGTCTTCTGTTTTTAAGTTTCTCGTTTGTTTTATTTTTGTTGGAGTTCAGTTTTCAAAATGGAATGTTTTATTTTCTCATTGGGTGACTGGTTCGGGACACAGCGTAATAGACTTTGTGTTAAAAATGGGCAGCTTTTCAGATTGTTGAAAGGCCCATAACTCGTCAAGATGTGGGTTTTTGTAGGTTTTGACATAATATACGTGACTAAAGTGCATGAAATAGCCCATATACGTTTATAGAGGGATTGAATCAATATGTATCCGGTATGATTCGAAATTACGTTCAATTTTAATGTACAACAGGTATAACTGAAAGAAATATTTATAAAATGTAACTATATAACCTGAATAAAATAAACTATAATGACTAAAAAATGCGCCTGACCCGTTAAAAATTGATTAAAAAGTGTTAGTTGGATTGTGAAATTATAAATTGTTTCAAGATCCGATCATGAGTTTAAATAATAATCTCGTGATATTTGACCGTTGAAACCCGTATAACGAAAAATTAAAAAATAAATATAAAAATAAAATGCATATTGGATAGTAATATATCATGATCCATTAAGGAGTTTGAAATAGGTTTATCTAATTGGTTACTCTCCATCCTGAAACCCTTCTAGAATAATCCTCGTTGTCATTCAATGACAATACTTCATCTTGCTCATGGATATGACTAAAAGTTCTAGCATCTAACCTTTGATCAACATAAGTTGAATCTCCATGATTATCAATAATTGGTGTACCAAAATCTGAACTCATAATACTCAAATTCTTACGATGTCCATTACCAGAACCACCATTCAAACTGTCATTTCTATGAGCTAAACTGCCCTGTCTTGTAACATTTCCTGAATTGGTTTTTTCATTGAACACAGTATCATCTGTACTTGAAGAATCATCATCCAAGATATTTGTTCTTGTAACTATTGGATAAGTATATTTCCCATTTGGTTCAGCTCCACGTCTATAACCTTCAACACCAACAACATCTTCATCGTCGTAATCATCATCTTTTCTCTTTAGGAAACAACATTTCATCAATAGATAACTTAATAATACGAGGAAAATTGTACCAACAACACCAACTGCTGTGAAAACACCTGCAACCTTACCTTTATCATGGAAGAATGAATGATCATCATCTTCTTTCTCCTTATTATTTGGGTCTCTATTTGCACCAGTAGCATGAGGTAATGAAGCACTATCTGAGCTTACTGTTGTGATGTATTGAGTTGATTGACCTCCTGAAATTGTAGAAACACTATATATGATGGATGTCACGATTTGTGTTGGTGTAATACTAGAAGATGATGATGAAATGGTTGAACTTGATGAGCTTTGAGTTGTTGATGAGCTTGAAGTTGTTGATGTTGTTCTTGGGATTAATGAACTTGATGAATATGTACTTGATGAACTTGTACTTGAGGAAGAGCTTGTGCTTGATGAGCTTGTACTTGATGAGGAGCTTGAACTTGTTGATGAAGAGCTTGGACTCCATGTTGAGGAAGTAGATGATGAAGTGGAACTTGTACTCCAAACATATATAGATGAGGATGATGAAGTTGAAGAGCTACTTGGGCTCCATGTTGATGAGGATGTTGATGTTGTAGTTGGCCAAGTTGAACTTGAACTTGAACTTGTTGAGCTTGAACTTGATGATGTTGAAGTACTTGAAGTAGTTGAAGGTGGTGACCATGTACTTGATGATGTTGTTGAAGTAGATGTTGAACTTGTAGTTGGTGACCAAGTACTTGAGCTTGTAGTTGATGTTGATGTTGAAGATGAACTAGTTGAAGAAGAAGTGGTTGAGGTTGAGGTTGAACTTGATAATGTGGTTGTAGAGGAACTTTGTTGAGTAGAACTTGAACTAGCTCCAATTGTTCCCTTTGGTTCATTCAAATAAATATAACCATATAAATCATCACCACCACATTTTTCACTTGGGAAACCAGGACAGTTCATATTACATTGATTTGTACTCACAGTATCTGCAGGTAAATAATCTGAGCACCAACAATCTTGATAATGAACAATTGCTAATGCATATCCATTACATTTATCATGACAAAGACCATTAGATTGCCATATACTTGAATTTGCAACTTCTGAACCTGTATTTGAACCTGAACAATAAGTTAAACCCAACCCAAAGATAAGCCGTATTTGAAGAAAAATGCAAATGATGATAAACCTTATACATGAAACCATTTTTGAACTTTATGTTGATTTAATTGAAAGTTATGAATAATTGAAGCTCTTGAATAAAGTTGCAATTTCAATTGACCCTGAGTACTTTTTGTATTCTGTCCTTGATAACAATTATACCGGGTGTAATGGTATGAGTACTCAAACTTTAAATTATTGATACTTATTTGGGGAAACAAAGCGAAGCTGATCAGATTGGAAAGACAAAAAGATTGAACTGAAGTTGGAAATGATATATTGACAATAAGTTGTAGTATAATTGGATATTGAGGGTTTTTTTGCAAAAGTTGGTTATTCAACTGAATGTAATTTTATAATATTCTCTTTATTGAAAACGTTTTGGTCCCTCAATTTTTTTGTATAGGCAGCCACGGAAATAACAAAGATCACCAGCGAACAAATGAATCTTTTGTTGACGTATGTTGTTCCTGACTAGTTATGAAGACTTGATGATATAGTTTGTATAACGGTATTTGAAAGGATATTGGTTTGTATATATAAATTCACAAAAGAAGGATCTTTGGTTATTCTAAAATTGGATCTGAATGTGTGAATTTATGTATTTCAAAATTTTAATTTTACTTGGACAAACTCTCAAACTTTTAAAGTAATCTTGCTTTATAAAGGGAAACCTAAATAATCAGATCTTCTTGTTCTTCTTAACAATAAACTTTAATAACGTATGAGTATTAATGATTGAAATGAAATAATCACTTTTTGTTATATGAATTCGGTGTTGATCAATATGATATGTCGTCGATGGGTTTCAAAGTTCAAGATGAAGATTAGAGGATCATTAACGATATATATGTATCATACGTATATAAGTCAACATACTAACTACTATTATTCCGAAGTATAGAAGCCCATTTCAACTGTATGTGGATGTGTAAATACTTCCCTTGTGATGTCTATAAATTTCAACTTTCAACCTATAGAATTACCACATTTGGTGTAATAGAATACATGAAAATATGCAGCTCCTAATCATTTCGTGCTGCTATCATCGAATTATACTAGACATGCACTTTAATCTATCATAACTTATAATCTATAAAATTAGAAGTACTCATCAGTGAACATTTCTCTTGATCAATCGATGACTTTTAGCACTGGTTGCATCGCTAATAAGGTGCCTTGATGGTAGTTAAAAAGCAGCTTTTTTTATTTTATAAGAAGGATTCGACTAATAGCCAAAAAAAACAATCGTGAAGATCCCCTATCTTTTAAAACCTACTAGCCAAACAGTGTCACCATCGTCTGTTTACAACCATCTCACGTTGGTTTCTATAGGATTCCTTTCCAGTTTATCCATGAAGATTCACAATTCTCAAACCCTATTTTCGCTAATATTTCCAAACTTTTCTCATCACCTGCAGGAAATTTAAATATCGTACATGGATAAGCGTCGATCAATTTCACCATTTCAGCATTTTCGACAAATTACCTACCTTAACAAACTACGATTTAAACGTATTGTAAAATAGTCTAAACTTTAGCGCTCCTAGAGGCGAGATACGTATAAAAAGTAATCAGATTTCCCAACGAATAAAGCACATGAGCTTCGAATACTCGCAAACAGACGTGGTTTAGTTTAGTTGATATGTACGTACTAAGTAGTAGTCAAGTACGCACTGTTCGGATTCATAAAATACCTTCCTTACATTTGAAATGGAATGCGTAAAAGTGAGCTAAAGTGAGTGAAAGTTTGCTGATGGGAGTTGAAATAAGTCACTTGCAGAGAGAGTAGAGTAGTACTACAAATCAAACCTTATAAAGACACACACCATCAGAATATTATATGAAGAATATTCTCTTGGAATAAAATAGCAAGTGAGTTATATTCTTCAAACAATAGTCTATGATTTGTACCTCTGTAGTATGTACCCCTTATTTCCTTATTTAACCTCTATATAGCATTATCATTTTGTCTCGCTCTCTGGCTCTCTCGCTTTATGGGATGCCTTACAGCAAGTAATTTAAATTTCAACCCCTGAATATATCCTGTTAGATCCACCACCTCATATAATGGCCAACAAGAGAAATTCAAAAAGTAAAAAAAATATTCTATATATATCATTATGGCGTCTAAATTCAATATAACCTTTTACTCATCCCACTTAACTAATGAAATGACTTCATTTTATTCAAGTCGTGCTACTTTAATTGTCTAACCAAGTCGATAAACCTGAAAAAGGTAGTTCGTATGCTGTCATAATTTGGATTACTCGCCAATTCGTGGACTTCGACTCTAAGACGTGGTGGTACAAAACATAATGAAAATAGTCACCATTATGTTTAGACAATCAAAGCTTATTTTTCGAGTATAAAACATTTTTACATATCTTTCAATACGTAAACAAAACAAAATCAGTTGATAACAATGCTTACAATTGGCATATTTAGTACCATATAATATTTTGAGTTCCTGTACTTCTAAGATAACTACTAAAGTACATCTATATATCTATATAAATCGATCAATCGTATATCATATGACACAAATTTATAATAATTTCAACAGATCATTCAAAAAACATCAAGATGCTTTTGAAACAGCATGTATAACATAAATGTGTAAGATTTTAAACAAGTTTGAAAATCAGTTTCTTAGCTTTCACATGTGTTTCAATGTTATCGTCACGATGTGTTTAAGTACTCCAAGGTGTCGCAATATAGCTCAAAATATATACTATAGCTTCCTATTATGTGACCTAAGTTGGATCTACTCTGAGCTAATTCCTAAAACTATCTGGTTCTCTGTTTCAAATGACAATTATATCACAAAATCATATCAAAACTAAGTTAACTAAAATCTGTAAGATAATATTTTACATTTCTTTGTTGATTTAATTTGCTATGTAATCATTATGTACAGTCCTACCATAAGTACTGTTTGGATCTGGATAATAATTGAGTGTATACATATACTGTAGTGAAGGAACTCATACAAGCCGTGATAGTATAAGTTGTAGTGTTGTAGCTTGTAACACAAGCGTTGATTATAATGCATAATTTAACGATGACTTATATTTAATTGTGATCGTTAGTATTTTAAAATAGCTCATCTCCATATAATTACACACGGTATACCTCGTCATTAATATATATAAATTGTTTTGTATAGCTGTGACATAGACAGTACTATAATAAATTATTAATATCATGTTCGTCTACTCCTCTGAAAATTTTCGGCATGTACTTAATTAATTCCGAAATATTCCGTGCTCCGAATAACTTAAAATTAGCAGCTAATATTATTCTTCTAAATATCTCGATAATTATGTATTGAAATATAGTGATATCAATATATCATAATTATCAGATACTAGTGAAAAATATTAGTAGCTGCTTAAAATCATGAATTTCAGCATTTTGAAAAATAGTAATTTTATAAATTTAAGATTTGGAATTAAAAATAAAATTTTTGTGGTTAACTTTATATTTGAAATAAAAAAATTTTAAAAAATTTTGCTTCAAAAAAGCTCAATAAAGTAATAGTCATGTTTTTTAAGAGTAATTGAACCCATTTATGAAACAAAATTATAGTGCTGACTTACAATATCTTTATTTTATTGTATATTAAAGTTTATACACTAAAAATTTACGCCAATGTTGGCCATACCAATTAATCGTTTAGCAGTCGATAGACAGATAGGCAGAAAGCCTAACAGAATTTAAGAAACGGTGTAAGGTGATGTGATTCTCAAAATTTAAACGAAAATGACACAATATTATAAAACAATATAACTACATATACAATTGAGGTCATACTGAGGGACATCATATGATAATGATATTTGACAACTCAACAAAATTGAGGTATATAATCGAATATAAGTTGAAGCAAAAGCGGGGAGTAGATCAGAACAATAAAACGGCCTTATATAAATGTCATTTGTTTTAGAATTCAATATTAGATATGAACATCTTAATCTTATCGATTTGAGGGTACTATGTAGGTTGTAAGCCCAATATTGGTAACGGTATAACGTTGTATGACCAAATGAGTCAGTGGTTTTTCAGTTGTTGCCTAAGTATTGAGTAGCTGATGAGAAGTTAGAACTGAGCAATCACGAGATGCTGTATGATCCATTAAATCCTGATTTCAAGGTTCTTAGTCCATAAAATCGAGCTATTTAACCAATATTTAAGAATTCACCATGCATACTTTGCATTGGACTAGAGTCTGAAATTTGAGTAGTATTAGATATTATCAACAAATCAAAGGTATAATTTGTAAGATTTAAAACCAGGTGTCAAAATAACATTAAAGGTGAGAATTGTTATCTTTTCCATCAGCAGATTATCATAATTGTGTACCTGCAAAGTTGCAACTGCTCCTCAAATATCATGTTGTTTCCGGTTAAAGAGGAACAAAAACCTATCCAAAGACAAAACAAGCTCAATTGAACCTTCTTTATATGTGAAAGAAGCTCCATAAAATCTTCAGCCTTACATTTTTTAAAAATTTCCTGGAGTAAAAAGCGACTCATTTTTGATAAAGACCACACCATAGTTAAGTCCGAGATTTATATACATCAGTGTCAATTGACCAATAAATTCAAGACTTTTAAAACAATCACTGAATGTACTTAAGCCGATGCACGATTTACCATTTGAAATTGATCATTAGGAATGTTTATGGAGTCCGAATAGAATTGTATAAGAACAAATGACTTTTGTGTGGATCATGTTAATGTGGTTTGCAAATTAAAATTTTTTCATTCATGAGGCTCAATGCTCTTAAATCCATGGCGCTGAGGTTTTGATCGATTAGGTTTAAACTTATTGATCCATCAATTAAGATCACGATGAGTATGGAGTGTTTAAATAGTCGCTTGGATTGTGTCAAGAATTGGGGACAATAACGGCCCTAAATTACCGGATCAATTTGGAATCCATATGTATAGTCTGATCCTTTACGTTTCCTAGTTTCCCAAGTTATCTCAGCTTCCTCAAGCCCTTTGTATAACGAGAATATGCGCGTACGTAAAATAGATATTAAATGAATCTTGAATAGCATCGAGTCTGGATAAGGTAATTCGATAATTAATGATTTATGGTATATATACTAATTCTCTCGGAAAATTTAGCCATGATGTTCAATGATGCTAAGCTTTGTTCTCGAATCTCCAGATATTAAAACACCCAGTAACAGAAGAGTTAATTGAAAGAAATATTTTATGCATACTTTTGTTTGAGTTTAATTTTGAAAGGTATGCAATTCTTCATGAGTACAATTGTTCAATCCCGATTTCGAAGGATTCAAGTCCGAGAAACGCTTTATACGCGGAGAGCTGGCTAATTAAATTCGTTCTATAGTTGATACAGTTGAAGAGACGAGTGAAGTTGAAGGTGAAGTTATAGTGATAATCTTAACTAATCAATGTGAGAGTTTAGGGTTCTAATTAGTTGTATATGGTACCCATTTTGACATGTTGGTTATTTAACTCTGTGCCAAAGAATCACATCTCTATTGCTTTATTACTCCATACTTTGATATTATTCCTGTTAACACGAGGCTCATCCTTATCTTCTTTTGGTTGTTTTAGCCTTTCGTTACTAAAATCAAGCTTCAATAAAGTGGATCACAGAGCTCCAGCTCCACAATATACCCCTCCATTACATAAGACTAAAGCTTTTGTAGGGCTAAAGGAGACTAAAACATATACAGACTTGAGTTATTCGAGCTCTAGTTTCTAAGGTCTCTGATATAATTGTTCTGAGAGACTTCTTATGAATATATTATAGAAGTATCGCTTCATTATGGTAGGCTAAGATTACTCTTTTAACGAACAGATCCCTCTAATTGTCAGCCTTTACCTTCGTGATCCGTTCATTCAAGGCTCTTAAATCCTGTTTCGAAAGGTCTCCAAAGTCCGGATCACCAATTCCATAATAGCTAATGCATACACACAAAAAAAAAATCTTTGAGTCTTTGACTTTAACAGATTCAGATTTGAAGCATACGCGTCAACTCCGAGACTTTCTGGAAAATGTTGTGTTTGTTGAATCATGGATGCTTAAACTATAAAAGTAACGCATTATACCCAATTTTTTACATAAACGAATTTGCAATGTTTTGATTTTTGGATTAGAATTTCTCTTCTCTTTTAAATATTCAATACATCATATATCATACACAATGCTTAGAACATTAACAAGACAATTTGCTCCAATTAACAGAAGCTCATTCATCAGAACTTTAGCTACCACAACCATTCCAGAAACACAAAAAGGTGTTATCTTTTATGAAAACGGTGGTAAATTAGAATACAAAGATATTCCAGTTCCAAAACCAAAAGCTAATGAAATTTTAGTCAATGTTAAATACTCAGGTGTCTGTCACACCGATTTACACGCTTGGAAAGGTGATTGGCCATTACCAGTTAAATTACCATTAGTTGGTGGTCACGAAGGTGCTGGTATTGTTGTTGCCAAAGGTGATTCAGTTAAAAACTTTGAAATTGGTGATATTGCCGGTATTAAATGGTTAAACGGTTCATGTTTATCATGTGAATTATGTGAACAAGGTTTCGAATCAAACTGTGCTCACGCTGATTTATCAGGTTACACCCATGATGGTTCTTTCCAACAATATGCTACTGCTGATGCCGTTCAAGCTGCTAAAATCCCACAAGGTACTGATTTAGCTAACATTGCTCCAATCTTATGTGCCGGTGTTACTGTTTACAAAGCTTTGAAAACCGCTGATTTGAAACCAGGTCAATGGGTTGCCATTTCAGGTGCTGCTGGTGGTTTAGGTTCATTAGCTGTTCAATATGCTAAAGCTATGGGTTTAAGAGTTTTAGGTATTGATGGTGGTGATGCTAAAAAAGAATTATTCCATTCTTTAGGTGGTGAAGTTTTCGTTGATTTCACTAAAGAAAAAAATGTTACTGAAGCTATCCAAAATGCTACCAACGGTGGTCCACACGGTGTTATCAATGTTTCAGTTGCTGAAGCTGCTATTTCTCAATCAACTGAATACGTTAGACCAACCGGTACCGTTGTTTTAGTTGGTTTACCAGCCGGTGCTGTTTGTAAATCAGAAGTTTTCTCACATGTTGTTAAATCTATCCAAATTAAAGGTTCATATGTTGGTAACAGAGCTGATACCAGAGAAGCTATTGATTTCTTCACCAGAGGTTTAGTTAAATCACCAATCCAAGTTGTTGGTTTATCTAAATTACCAGAAGTTTTCGAATTAATGGAACAAGGTAAAATCTTAGGTCGTTACGTTGTTGATACCGAAAAATAGATTTAATGTTTTTTTAGTTGTTTGTTTACGGGTTAACGAAATATTTAACGAATTATATAATAAAGAAATAAATTTGATATTTATAGAGTAATTGGATCATTTGTAGATATTCAAAAACTATATGATATTAAAGCTAATTAACCGATTGTCCTTTTGCAACTTCAGGAATAGCTGCAATTTTTTCAACCCATTTTTGTAAATTTGGCCATTCTGATAAATCAGTCTTAAACAGACGTGATCTTGAGATCCATGGATAAGCACTTATATCTGCAATATTTAATTTATCACCAACTAACCAGCCATTATTCTGTTTCAATCTAATTTCATAAACACCATAAATTCTTTTAGCCTCATCTGTATATCTTTTTTTACCATATTCATTATCAACTTTAGCAAATGAAACAAAATGATGAGCTTGACCTTGTAATGGTGAATGTGAAGCAACTTGGAAAACTAACCATTGAAATTGTTCCCACCAAAGTGGATCATTATGATCATATGAATATTTGCGTTCAGTATCATATTTATCAGCTAAATATTGTAAGATAACCCCAGTTTCATGTAATGTTATTCTTTTACCATCTTTATCGACATCACTCAAAACAGGAATACGACCATTTGGATTCAATTCAATAAACCATGGTTGTTTTTGTTCATCAATGCTGAAGTCAATCTTTCTATAGATGTAATCTTTTTTCAAAAGCTCCAAGAAAATTGTGATTTTTTGACCATTAGAAGTACCAACACTATATAATTTGGTATATGGTGCCTCTAAAGCACCCAATTGAGCATCACCTTCATCAACTTTGACCATTTTGATTGTGTTATTGTTGTTGTAAGTTAATACCTTTTCGCGTTGAAAGTATAGGGAACATTCAATCTTTTTTATATGATTTATACAGCCACACTAGATCAGGAATATTGTGGTTACTTATCAGCCTAATTAGGCAAAAATGAGGTAGCACGATACCACACCTTTAGATTAACGATTCAAGGTTTATATTCTTGACTGATGTCTATTAAAAGTAATTTACCCGTGTATTGACAAGATCTACAAAGTTTTCGAAGGTATCATTGTTTAACGTTTGATTATGCATATCCGATATCATACAAACTTTATCGACAAAATTATTCAACACCGATTAATTGACCTCTTTTAAAACTATCAATACCATCAAGCTTAGATCTCCATTTCTTCAATTCATCCCAATCATCCAATTCACCTAATCCACCTGCATATGCTCTTTTGATCCAAGGGAATATCACAATATCAACAATATTCAAACAATTACCCACAAACCAACCGTTATTATGTTTTAATCGATTGTTCATCACGTCAAATAATTGTCTTGTCTTATTCTCAAACATATCAGAGCAATAATCAAAATCTTTGATTCCTTGAGAAGTTTTTGGTGAAGGTAAAAAAGTTTTATATAGATGTAATTGATATTGTATGGGTTCATGAGATGCAGCATGCCACATCAACCATTGTAATTGTTCAAGCCAAAGGGGATGATTATGGGAATATGAAAACTGTCTCCTTATATCATATTCATCGGCTAGATACTGGATAATTGTAATTGATTCCGAAAAGATTTTGGTTGGTGATTTACTGGTATCTTTAATCACAGGGATTGTCCCACTTGGGTTTAATTCTAAAAACCAAGGTTCATGATTTTGCTTTCTTTCAAGATCTATAGAATGATAGTTATACTCTAGACCAAGTACTTCTAACAGTATTGTGATTTTAAGACCATTTGAAGTTGGAGATGAATAGAGTTCAATCATTAAAGTTGTTATCTTTGAATGTTGTGAAGAGCAAAGAAAAATTGAATCTCGAAATTTTGAAATACAAAAATCATCTTGCAATACAGTAATAACTTCCATAACAGATATTTGACAGGTTTTACTGCGTAATTAAAATCCAAATTTTCTACTAAACGACTACTTACAATTCAAAATTCATTATTATATCATTTATTAAATCAACATTGCTTCTTGAACTTCAGGAATAGCTGCAATTTTATCATGCCATTTTTTCAAAATTGGAAATTCATCAAGGGAAATCTTTGCAAATTCACATCTTGAAACCCAAGGGAAAGCATTTATATCTGCAATATTTAAATGATCTCCCACTAACCAACCATTATTTATGGTTAATCTTTTCTCATAAACGTCATAAATTCTTTTCAATTCATCTTGAAATCTTTTCTTACCATACTCATCATCAACGTCACTAAATGATTGGAAATGATGAGTTTGTCCTTGAATTGGTGAATGTGAGGCAACTTGAAATGTTAACCATTGTGACTGTTCCCACCAGAGTGGATCATCATGATTATAGGAATATTTACGTTCAACATCATATTTATCAGCAATCCATTGAGAAATAACACCTGTTTCATGTAATATAATTTGTTTACCATTTGAATCAACTTCACTTAATACAGGAAATCTACCATTTGGATTTAATTTTATAAACCAAGATTGTTTTTGTTCCATTTCAACTTCCATATCCATTGGTCTATAAAAATAATCTTCTTTACCTAATAATCTTAATAAGATGAATATTTTTTTACCATTTGATGTGCCAAAAGAGTAAAGTTTTGTATAAGGAGCTTCAAGTGGACCATATTTTGGATCACCTTCATCGACTTTAACCATTTTTAACGTTGTACTGGGGGATATATGATATATTGATAATAGTTTGATATAGGAGTTCAATTAACTATCAGCAACAATCCAAGAACCTTTTATATAAACTTATAGTTGAATGATATTTCGATAGTAGTTTGATTAGTTACCACTATGAGTCGATAAGGAAAGGGCTTTTTCGTAGTGGTACTCTGGTACTTGAATGATTTATAAATCTTGATGATGATATATCGATTCTGCCCCATGTTTTCTATAACCTAATTGAGTAAAACTAATACATTTTTAAACCAAATCAAGGCATATAGGTCAATTTCCATTTTGTTATAAGTGTTTCCCAAAGATCAATAATCTGATATCATTGATCGAAATGATTGAGAGTTGAAGATATACTTGTAGCTTGTAGGTTATAACTTTTCTGATCTGACTAGTATGAAGTTTTTATAGCATCGGCCATCGGTGTCGGCCTATTTAACTGAGAAACTGATTTATACCCTCAAGTTTCAACTAACTTGTGTACAAATTATTAAACAGCTGCTCGCTGATTGAGACCCAACCCCAAGCTATTAATCATTAGTAAGTAACTGACCTTTTCCTTACTGTTGCTAATATATACTATTATAATTGCTTATGAATTACCTTTGAATTTAATTAGTTTATAAGATTATTATTAATTGAACGCGGCTCTAGCACAGCTGTCTAACTTTAAATCCATTTCGTACGAAACGGAGATTTTCTATGGTACGATCGGTCTCGGTTTAAAAATCCCCATTAGGAATCAAGAACCGATAACTTCATTAATATTAAAAAGATTTGACATATATTCTAGAATCCAGATCCATCAAACAAAGGTACTACTATGAACCTGAACAACTTCATAAAATTAAAGAATTTCTATGTACAAGACATCATAAACTATTATATATATTATAACTGTATATCATTACCGAATTGAAACCAAAAAGCATAAACATTAAAACAAACTAAAAAAGCAAACATAGAATAATAGATACATTACCAAACAAATATCATATAGAATCATTAAAACCGTAGGTGATTTGAAATATTAAAAGTTAATATGACCAATTTAAAAAACATCATTTGAATCCAAATTTGTATTCGTTAATTGATTTGAATCATAAAGATAATTAAGTTGATCTTTAAACCCATTCAACCCATTTAATCCATTCATACCAATCAAATCAAACTGTGTTTGTCCTTCAGTAAACCCAGGAATTTGAGTAGATATTTGATCTAATGAATAATTATTAACATTTGCAAGTAAATCTGATTGAAACATTGTTGTATCAATTTCTTCATTTTTAATTATAGGTTCTTCAGGTTGTTCATTTGATGATATTGAATCTGAATTTGTAGATTGACTATATTCTGATAATGGAGATAGCACATGTTCATGATCCTCTTGTTCTAACTCTTCATCTTCTTCATATTCTTCATCTGAACTAACTAATTCAGAAGTTGTAGCTTGTTCAACTTGTTTAATTTCTGATTCTTTATGATTATGTGAATGTTGTTTAATACCATTTTTGGATAATAATTCTAAAATCATTGAAACTTTATCATTTAATAAATCAAATTTTTGATCCATTTTATTAACTCTTTTTTCTAATTCTTGTAAAGTTAATTTCTTTGTTGTTGTTTTCTTCTTTTTACGTATAGTTTTAGAATAAGCACATTCAATATGATGATTTTTACAATTCAAACATGGTGATGATCCATTACATTTGATTTTCCTTTGTCGACAATAATTACATGCTTTGGAAATACGTCTTCTTATAGTTGGATATGATTCATTACCAGTATCACTCATTGTTGGAGATGTTGTTGATGATGATGATGAAGTTTGTTTCTGTCTTTGATATCTTGACATATTATAACATGACACAACACTAGAATAGTCAACAGCTAATATAAAACTTTATACGTGAGTCGTGACGCATAAAAGAATTTGACGAATCCATGTTTATATATATATTTTTAATTTTTCCTGTCAAAATTAACTTTTCAAGTATTATAAATCATAAATAATCTGGGTCGATAGAGTTCCATTTTCAGTTTTTGCGTGGGATTTGAATTTTTTGTAATGGATTTATAAGTTAATTCCGCTGGTTTCGGTGTTCGGAATGTAAAATGACTAATTTTTGGTTCCGGTATTACCATGGATTTATAATATTTTTTTTTAATATATGGCGCTTATGTAAACTTTGTAAAGGATCGGCGAGGATTTTGCGGGTTTGAAGTTTGAAGTTTTTTTTTTCTCGTTCAACATCGTTCAGAACTTGATTGGGAAGTTTGTGCCAGAGTTCATCCAAAGGTTACAGAATCTAGGGTGCTATTTCTTTGTATAATGCTAGGACATGGGAAGTTGTGGAATGCCTGTGAAGATTGTGTTTGAATGGTGTGTTGTTGTTTATTAATGGACTTCACAGGTTGTTTGAAACTGTTTGTACGTCGTATTTTGTTCAACCGTTCCAGTAAATCGGAGGAAAAGATTACGGCCGAAGGGTTTAAAGGGTGTAAGTTTTACAGCAATACACACGCGTAACTTTTAAGTTAGTTTTAAATGGCAGAGCTAATAATTATTTATCAAGTCTGGAGTTAATTAAGCAACAAGAATACCTCAAAGAATTGAAGTTATAAAACTTGATCGCAAATCAACAAGTCATGCAGTAGTATGGTACGAGCGTATATTCTAATCGAATACCCAGATCATACACTGCCCTACATGGATCTCAGACGTACACAGATACAAGGCAGCTACCTACCCACTGCCCAGTGTACCAAATATATATATACAGAATATTTAATCAAAAAGCTTTAGCGCCACGTCGTCTTTATTTTAATTTCTAACGTTCTTCCTTATCTTTATTCCAGATTCTTACAAGCTGTTACGTCAATCTATACATCATATAGTCAGCATGGTTTTGTATACACACCAGAACTAGATGGGGTTTAAACTTTAATTCTATTAGTACGGCTTGTTCAGGGATGAATATAGGTATATGATCACGCTGTCTAAATATTATAGTTTTGATACGTTGCTCGAGTTTAAACGGATTTAGGTGGACACCTATCATATCTTAAGGCCACGTCCTTATATCAAAAAAACAATGATCATCATCAATCTAATCAAGGCTATACGATATTTATTATATAATATTATTGGGTATTATTGAACATTCCCAGCTATTCACATCTTTCCAACATGTCTGTATATAAACGTAATTGTTTTGAAGTTAACGCTTTGAGTGTACATAGTACTATATATATACAAATATAGCTAGTTAAATTAAGCTAATTAACTTTAGCTATACTATAGATATAGCTTGGTTTTTGAACTACAAAACTACATTAAAAGCCAGCTCACAAGTATATTATCATATTAATATCGTAAAATTGCATGTATTAAATCATAAGTTGACTTGATCAGTTAAAAAAAACATTAGAAAAAACATTAAGCAAACGGTCGTATTTCATTTCGATGTATTATGTACTCATGATTTGAGTTACCTTTGAAACTTTGTAATCCGTTATCTTATTATAACAAATATTGAGAAGATCCAGTTGTAGGTTGAACTTGTTGTGATGGTTGCTGCTGCTGTTGTTGCTGCTGTTGTTGTTGTGATAATGATGGTTGCTGATCATAAACATCAATAAACTGCGCTGGAATATTGAATAAATTATATGAAAAATAATTCCAGTTTATATTTAAATCATCTGTATTTAGTATATCATCAAGCGTTGGTGGGACTAATGAATTATCACTTGAATTTGTTGGTGTATCACCAAAATTTGATGGTAAATTATACCCTGTTGGTGTTTTATATCCTAAATTAGTTTCTGATTGCATTGGTGGATTTAATAAAGAGTTGTGTAAATTTTTATTGCCTTGTGGATTGGAGTATGATGGGAATTTTGGTTCTGGAATTTTAAAATGTGGATTAGATACATTTGCACTTGGTGAAATAATTGAGGAAATTGACGAATTTGGAGTCTCTGAATCTGCTGCTGCTGAGGCTGCCGCTGACGTTGTGGTTGAAGAGGAGGAAGAAGAAAAAGATCTCATATTAATTTCTGACAATGTTTGTCCAATTGAAACGTCTGATAATGTGACTGATAATCTATCATCTTCATACTTGACTAACTGTCTTTTATACTCTTCAATGGTTTTAGTTAACACTGAATCAATCTCAATTAATCTTTCAGTTAATAAATCTGTATTGGTGGTAATGTTATTATGCGGATTTGACTCATTATAAATTTTTAATGCAATTTTAACGAAAATACCAACAGCAAAGCACATACCCGTTACTTTGATATAGTTGATTAAATCAATTCTATTTCTAGGATAACAATCATGAAATTCATATAGTAGATTATGAATAATTTTTTCAATTATATTCCTGGTTTGTGGTTGATTTGGATTTTCCATACTAAATGTTAATACTGTAACAACAGCAGAAAAATATGTGAAGAGTTGACTCAAACAAAGATTAAAATCCTTTTGACGAAATGTATTCGACAGATCAATAATATCAGTGCATGCTTGAATACACATTTTGGAAAACCTTAATTCAATTGGCAATTGCTCTTTGAGTAAACCTGGCATGATCGATATTTCACTTTCTGGTTGATAATCACCCCAATGTTTACTCAGTGCAACCCTATTGATGACCATTGAGACTGAATTAAACGACATTTGCATGTGTACAACTTTAGAATAATCAATTTGATAATCTTTTGAATTTTTTGGTAAATTAATTGGATATCCTGGTCTAATAGAAACAGGTATGGACATCTTAATTTCTTCTAATTCATCATTCAATACTTCAATGATCTTCATCATATCCGAACGCGTTTTATTCATCAATGCTGTAGCACTAAATAATCTGTTGTAAGCCTTTGAAGTTACTCTTGCCACTCTTAACCAAGTACATTCCACAACATTCGGATACTCTTCCACATCGAGTTCTTTTGATTTCAAATAAAAAGTATCACAATGGTTCATATTATGATCCAAATCTAATTGATCAAGAGTTATATGTAATGCTCTTGCAGTAGCTAATTTAATTTCATGGAAATTTGGTGTGATATTCACATCAATCGAAGAAATATCATTATCATTTATGATGGGTGGTTTACCCGAATGCAAGCACAATCTTCTATCAATGATATAACACATAAACCAAAGCCGTTTTCTTTCACTTCTTTCTTTTGGAGGGAGTGAATTCATAGTTTCAATTCTATGAAGGCCTAGTGATTGAGCCAATCTAATAGCGGTAGATGTTACATAGTAATCTATTTCTGGAACTATAGTTAAATCTCCATATAAGGCAAGCATTAATATAGCCTTTAAAGCAGTTATACTCTCACCAAAAGCTGACACTTTTTGATAATAATGAGTTGCGCTATTAAAATAACGAGCTTCATTTCTTTGTAGACGTGCAACCTCCGAATCTTTACCTAAAAGTGAGGCTTCTTGAGCCCTAACACAACATCCATATATCAACATCATATAAAGCATCAAATATTCTGACGGCAGCAAGTCTTTCGTGAAGTGTATATCTTCTAAATGAGAATAATAACGATCAAGTATATTTTTCAATTCTTCTTTTTCAACAAGATATGACGTAAAGGGAAATAGTTTATCATAAATTTCTAAAGACTCATATGCATCATTTTTTGGGGGTAGTGGTACAACATCTTTCTCAAAATTGACAGGCGAAGATAAAGTATCCCTTTGTTTACCCATAACTAGATTCATTTGACTAAGAGCTTTTATGATTGGCTTGACACATATAGCATTCTTAGCTTTACCACATATCCAGGATAGACCTTGTGCACTAAATATAGACATGGTACATTGTGATCCAATATATTCACCACAAGAGACTTTTGCAGTTTCATCATCTGCTAACATTTGTTTTGTCTTATTCATAGCATGTTGAGCTTCTGGACTAATACCTTCTTGCGAAGTTTGTGACGGAGACTCTAATGGTCCTGGGGATATTGTACTTCTTGACTGATCATCTTCAGAGTCTTGTTGATCCTCTGTGATACTTCCAGTGACACTTTGCTTTCTTGTTTGTGAAGATGTACCAGATGGGTCTCCAATTTTATTCACTAAAACATTCAATAAACCTTCTAATTTATCAATCCTTGAATCTAACGATTTAATAGCAGCTTTTTTACTCTGGCGTTTGCGTATACCTGGTCTTGATCTTTCAATATGTGTATAAACACACGTATTTGAAGCCTTTTTACATCTTGCACAAGGTGATTCGCCATCACATTTGATCTTTTTGGCTTTACAAAAATCACACGCTTTGATTGTTCTTTTTGGCTGTTGTTGTTGTTGTTGTTGCTGCTGCTGTTGTTGAGTTTGTGTTTGAGCAGGGTGATGCTCTGGCTGAGTTGATGACATTATGGCTAGCTGCAGTTCACAAGGTTTGATGTTCTTTTGATACTACAAACTACAAATACATTTATAACTTTCAACAATTAGAAATTGTTTTTAAAGAGAATCCATTGTTTTTGGAGGGTTCGGAGGTGCTGGTCATGCTTCTCATTCCGAAACCGAGACCAAACGTTTATGGGCTGGTCTCGGTGTCGGGTCACTATTGTAGAACAGGATTCCGAAGCCAAACCTTTAAGTAGGCTTTTAAGTTCTCAATGCTCATCGTCTGAGTAGTAGAATCCGGGGAAACTCTTAAAAATATATATTGTTAGGAGAGATAAGCAACGAGAATAATCTGTAGAGCTGGTGTATAGTATTTAACACATTGTAATGTAGGGGCCGATCGTCTATAAGGAGAAGCTAGCTATTAATACTACAAGCAAGAAGGAGCCTATTTGTAAGACGTATATTATATAAATAATATACATGTATTAACTAGAACATTGAGTATATAAGTACCCGACGTATAGAGATTGTATATTAGATATCACATGTAATGCACTGAATGATAGCACAAAATTAGATATAAGCCATATTATATATGCATATAACCAATAATATATATATAATATGTGCTATAGAAGTAAGCTTATATACAACAATATTTTAACATTAATAGGTACTGTACAAGTATAATTATTAATCTTAGCGCTTCATGTTTGAAGCCTGTATATTTTTTCAGATAATCGGCCATGAAGCTTTGATTCCTCTCAAATTGGATCATAGATGTTGTGAACAGCTTTAGAAGGTGGTAAGTCACCGAATTCATATTTGATGTTGACTTATAAATATCTTTTGTATTCTAAAATAGCTGCCTTTTTTAAAACACAATCAAGTTTGAATAACTTGACAGAATCAAGCTGCCTGTATCATAAATATTGACTAGACCATGCGGATATAATTCATTAAATATCTTCAATGCAATATGTACCAAGATATTCGTAGAAAAACACACACTAATACACTAACACTTTGATAAAGTTGATCAAATCAATTCCATCCTTAGGAAGACAATCATCAACTGTACTTCTATCACGTAATTCACATCTATAGCGATGATCTTTGATTCCTGACTACTGTGCCTGGGATACTCTGCGACCAGTGCGGTGTAGTGTTGACTCGAGCTTGAGAACTGAATAGCAAAATATTATATAACCGCGTAAGTTGAAATAATTAGCTGGCCTTCCGCGACCAACTACGATCGGATTCGAAATCGATTTCCAATAAGTGTAATCGATATATTCCACTATAGTCTATAGTGGGACTCGACAAATATGTATATAACTTGAGTATCATCATCCATGTTCAATATATAATATCAATCAGCTTCTCAGAAAATGACTTTAATAAACATATCAAGTTGACGATATTGTAACCAACACATACAGCTCCGTGCTATAGTTAATTACACCTGCAAGTCCAGCGTATACATCTAGTTTCAATCAAGCTAACTTCAACTTTCAAATTTATATTTAGAATCTAGGTATATAAATCAACCAATGTGCAATATGGACGCCATTGAAAAGAAACAGCTGACGATGAATACTACAATTAATATAGATTATTACAGAATAGTTAAATTTTCATTAAAGAGCTATGTACACAACTCAAATCTATTTGAATTTCTTACCGAATAAGATAACTTGTAATTGATCGTATAAGGAGATAACTAAAGCACCGGCAATACCTCTTAAGATGTTAGCACCACAACCGTTGAATAAGGTTTTAACACCTTCAGTAGCAACGATTTGTTTGAAAGCATCGAAAGCACCAGAGTATTTAACAGCTTGACCTGAAGTCATCATCATTCTTCTTCTAACGGTATCTAATGGGTAAGAAGCGGTAGAAGCACCAGTAGTAACAACCCAACCTAATAAGAAAGAAGCTAAGAAAGAACCGTCTAATGAACCAACTAAAACAACTGGTTTCAAAGAATCATATAAACCGAAGTATAAACCACGGTAGACAACAATACCAACAACTGATGGTAAGAAACCACGGTATAAACCAGCAATACCATCTGAAGCTAAAGTTTTTTTGTAAACATCGAATAAACCGTTGAATTGTCTTTCACCGTTACCTTTAGCAGATTTAGCATCGTTAGCTAAACGGGTACGAGCATAATCTAAAGAGTAAACGAATAATAATGAAGAACCACCAGCTAAACCACCTGAAGCTAAGTTACCAGCGAACCATTTCCAGTAACCTTCATCTTTTTTGAAACCGAATAAAGCTTTGAATTTATCTTTGAAAGCAAAGTTTAAAGCTTGGGTTGGGAAATAACGGATAACGTTAGCGGTGTTACCTCTCCAGAATGAGATGATACCTTCATCAGCAGCAGTACGTTTGAAACATTCAGCAATACCGGTATATTTGTGGGATAATCTACCTTGTTTAATCATTTCATCTTGATTTTGAATCAATAATTTAACACGTTCAATTGGAGCAGCAGCAGTTTTTGAGACAGCGGCAGAAACACCACCCATCAAGAAATCAGCTAAAAATGAGGATTCGATTTTTTGTTCACCCATTGTGGAATAAGGAATATTTAATTGAGGTTATAGACTAGAAAAGAAGAAGAAAAAAGGGACAAGATTGCAAAAATTTTCAAAAAAAGTGGATATCGGGTTGATTTATACAAAATTTTCCAAAATCAACGTCGAATCAAAAAAGCGCGCCAAAAATGGTGGAAATTTTTTAATTTTTCAAAAAAAGAATTTCAGATCTCTTCCGAGTTACTTCATTAGGAAAGAATGGCAAAATATTTGTGGTTCTTAATTACCGGATTGAGCCATTCTTAAGGATCTCTTGACGTTTTCAAGTTTTTGGGTTTTTGACTTCTGTTAAATAAACGATTTTACAACTTCACAAGGAAAGAGATCTTGTGTATTAAATAAGGTAGTATGAGTGCTTTTGAAACATTGAATATCAGCTGTTACAATGCCATTTGAGTAACATCAAAACAGTGTCAATTAACCATAAATTAAAGGGGATCAGTCTTACACCTATAACCTATAACCAGTCTTGTTTCTTGATGTTCTGAAGTTTGAACCCTCCAATTACTGGAGAGCAGTTCACCTAAAAATTTGTAGCCGGCAAATTCGAAAAAAGCGCCAAAGCGCCAATTTTCGTACTGAAAAATGAGAGATCAAGCGTGAATGAAGATTTAGGTATTAAAGTATGGACTTACGAACTATGAAAGCAAAATACCTAAAAAAACATACCATTAAAGACTTCAATTGCTCTAGAAGTTCACCTTTATCGTTTAAACGATACCCTCCCCTTTTTCTGTCCATCACTGAGTCTTCATCATACTACTTATTTATGATCTTGACCTATTTGTATGGCTGTTTTTGAAAGCGACTACGTATCCCCCTGGTTCTTCCGAATCAGGTAGTATTGCGAAAATTTGCACAAGTCGGCGACCAATCAGTTTTTCGATTTTAATCTTGTGCGCAAAGTTTAAAAAGGAAAAGTAGGAATTTCGAAACATAAAGAAAATTACCACACAAGATTATGAATGGAAGATCATTATTTACTATTAGATACATAGAAAGTAGGACAATTGATCTAGAATTGGTTCAATTGATGATTTAGTGATATGATATATCATCATTATAAAGGCTGTGGAACAGGTTGACAGATTTTCAAGTTGAAGAATCTCGGTTCTGTGTTCAACTTAGAAGATCTATAAAAAGTCAAACCGTTTCTACTTTCTTTGGTTTATGAAGCATAAAATCATAAACTTAGTTTAATCACGGTACACGACGATACACGAAAATATAATTTAAACTTTAAACTAGACGACGTAAACAATCCTGATTTCTATATACAGTATATAAGGATCAATTCTAAAAAAGAAACAATTACAGCCTTGTGAACCTTGATAATCTTTTGGGTATCGAATCAATTAGTTTTACGTTTTACATATGCTTGTATTAAATTGATCATAATATTATGTACTCTATGCCTCTATGCCCCCCTAATCTTTGCATGAGATCAGTAGAACTACATCGACTACAAGTTCCAGGAAGCTAAGTAAAAGAAAGCCGGTATAATACTTTATTGTACAAATAGGGCCGTTAATGTACATACAAATTTGACGTGTATGAAGGTCTAAATAATATTTATATGAACGCATATAACATATTTATAATATCATGTAGATTATCTTCGACTCAATTATGGAAAAGTTTTTTATAGACATTATATCAAGCTGAAAAAAAATGATTCATGATCGACAAATACATATTAATTTTAAACTTTAATATAATAAATTAATATTTGTAATCGTGACATGGTGAATTGAATAAGCCATGTACGTGTAAATATAAATTATCTGGGGATCACGATAATATCACTTTCGTTAACATCAGCTTGAATATATATCTAATTGGTTTTTAATCATTAATTATAAATCATGTTAACCCATTGGACGAGTCATAATATGAAGATATCAAATATAATTTGATCAGTGATCTGTTTTGTTGGCTGACATTCAATGTTAACATATTCAGAAAGTTCATCATATTTAAAACAGCTCATAGAAAATTAAACAGCTCATCATCAATATATATATAGCACATCTTGCTCTCACTCCAGCTCTTGACAGACCTTTAACGCCAGTTCATTGCTTCCCAAGTTTCCCCCAAGAAAGAATATTGCGTTCAAGCCAGTTTCAGTAGCTCAAGCTTTAATATATAGCTGATATGACCTATTTTTTGAAGGCTATTTATATTAACCACAAGGGCATCGGTCAGGGAAACACCCCACCAGAAAATTCCTGTTTCGCGCACTAATGGGCACCAAAGAAAATTTGAAGATGGATATTTATCTATAGCGTATGAATAGTAAATAAAAACAAACAATAAGCCGTGCTTTATCACACACAAAGACTCCAGAAATTGCTAAACATTTGACTTTATTTCAGTTTAACTGTTAAGGAGGAAGCTATATATCAAATTTGAATCATTGGTTGTCATAAAAAATAAGTGTTTTTTAACGGAAATTTAATCAAAATATTGTCACATTTATTAAGGAAATATTAGTATACTATATTTTTGCTAAAGCTTTACAAACTGTCATTAACTTTCACTGATCAAAAAGGGGATCCCTACTATTGTACTCACAACTTCCACAATTATTTTGATATAACAGATTTTGAAAGATGAGCTCAGCGTCAACGGGACAGCTGGATTCATTCTTATCGTTTAAATCAACACCAGAGGTGGAAGTTGATTCATTGCAACTTCAAAAGGAACAACCAACTTCAATTTCTGAAAAATCATTATCACCCCATGCTAAGGCTGAAAGCCCCATGATCGATGGGATATTTGATACAAAAGTTAATTTTAGTTCAATAGATGATAAATTAGACCAATCTAAAATAAACCCAGATGAAACTATACAAAATGAAATAGATCAGGTTATCAAAGAGACTGAGAATCTAGAGAAAGAAGCAGAATCACAAGAATCCAGTAAACAACAACAACAAACAATTGAAGAAAACTTGAACTCACAAGTGAAGAAGGAGGTCCACACTCCTGAGAGACATAAAGAACCATTGACTATTCAACAACAAGAAGAAAACATAAAATCAACAGCTGATGATATATCGAAAGTTTCCGCGTATGCTCGTTTAGAATTCGAGAACTTTATATTTTATGTTCAAACGTTACAAGTTGTATTGGGTAGAAAATCTGAAAATGATCAGTCTCATTCAGTTGATGTTCATTTAGGTGATTCAAAGGCCATTTCAAGAAAACATGCGAAAATTTTCTATAATTTTGGTACAGAAAGATTTGAATTATCAATTCAAGGGAAAAATGGTGCTTTTGTTGATGATGTGTTCATAGAGAGAGGTGCTACTGTTCCGTTGACAAATAAATCAAAAGTACAGATTGGTCAAATTGTTTTCAGATTTGTTTTACCTGGTATGAACCCACAAGAAAACTTAGAAAGTCCGTCAAAACCAATTAATCCTTCAGATGCTATCTCTTTGAGAAGTAGTTTATATCATCATTCATCATCCGAAAATGTTGGTGAGAAATCTGGTTCTAATACTCCTGGTTTGAGTAGTAAAGATTTTGAACCAGTAGCAAAAGTTGAAAATGAAACAACTGAGGCTACTGAACAAGTCAAGAAAGCTAAAGAGAAGAAACAACCAAGACCACCAAAACCTCCAAAGAAGGTTTATACAATCGATGAAATTCCTGAAGAATATAGAACTAAGCCAGCTTGCTCATACTCAAATTTGATCGCCACATGTTTAAGAACTCATGGGACCTCAAAAGGTATGTCTTTGGCTGAAATTTATAAATCCATTAAAGAATTATTTCCTTATTATAAATATTGTCCAGATGGATGGCAAAGTTCTGTTCGTCATAATTTATCACTGAATAAAGCTTTCAGAAAAGTTTCAAAAGAAGGTAAAGGTTGGTTATGGGGTCTTGATGAGGAGTACTGTGCTGAAAAAGACCGCCTCAAGAAAAAACAAGCAGCAGCAGCAGCAGCTAAGGCTAAAGCAGCAGCTTTGAAGTTAGAACAACAACAATTACAACAACAAAAGCTTCAACAACAAAGGCTTGAGCAACAAAAGCAAAGTGAACAAAATATTAACCAACAACAATCTGTTCCAAATACATTATCTTTGCCTAATAATCTTCAACAACCACAGGGTTTGCAAAACTTACCATTACAGCCACCTCCAGCTCTCCAACAACCTTCGTTGGCTCAAAATCAAGTAAAGGTCAATACAACTTCAAGTCAAAGTCCTTTACAAAGCCAATCTCAAATCAATAATACACCAAGTGTGCCTTTTGCTAATAATCAAAAACAACAACCTTCTCAGAATGCACCATCTTCAATATCCATTCAACAATTCCAACAACAACCTGTTGCAAATGTCACAAATGCAAGACCCACAGTTCCTGCTACATCGTCTTATACAACACCTCAACAATCGCCTTCAATTGCAGCACCTAAACCACAAGGTGTTACACAGCAGCATAAACAACAACAAAGACCTCAGCAGGGACAGCAGCAAAATAACCAGTATAACTCAACACCTCAAGCTCCTAAACAACAACTTCAACAACCTGTTCCTTTACCACCTTCCACCTTACCTTTACAACAACAAAACCCCCCACCACAACCACAACCACAACAGCAATTCAAACCATCATCCCAATTACAATCTCCAGCTCCACAATTTCAAAATAAGACACCCAGTATTCAAGCTCAGTTAGCTGCAAATCGTGGTATATCTTCTCAACCATCAAGAACCTTATCTCAGCCTCCACCTCCTCCACCTCAAGTTCCTAAACCACCTCCAACAGGTCTTACAGCTGATACAAAGAAAGCTTTAGCACATTTACAACAACAGTTGGTGATTTTATCTAAAGATTTGAAGACTTTAGTTGATAGACCAACTATCTCTGCTATTTTAACACAAGCAATTGCAATGACTATAGCTCAAGTGACTCAAGCGGCTAAGACTAAAGGTATCACTTCTGATCCTTTAGCTACACTGATTGAGACGAATCCGCAACAATTGACAAGAATTTTAACTGTTGCTTTGAATGCTGCTACTTTCAAGGTTACAAATGGTAGAATAAAAGCCCCATTAAAAGTTTCACAATCTACATCATCTGCTGGAAATTCCAGAGCTGGTACACCAAATCCTGTCCAACAATCACCATCACCTCGTACCTCATCACCAAATGTTGCAAATATACCAATCCAACCAATTCATAAACAGACTACTCCTGCAGTTCCATCACCGATTCAACAAAAAAGAACTTATACTCCACCAGCACAACAACAGAGGGCATACACACCACAACCACAACCACAACCACAAGCCCAGCAGCAAAAGCCATACACACCTCAACCTCAAGCTACACATACATCATCACCTCAAATTCAACAGCAAGTTGGTATGCATCAACCACCAGTTCAGCCTAAAGTTCAGCTTCAACCACAATCACAGTCACAACAATATACACAAGCACCAGCTACTCAAGGATATCAAGGATTGCAAAACCAAAAATCTCGAGTGCAATCAAGTAACTTAAAAGCACCAGTTCATTCACCAGCCCCATCTCAACAACATATTCATAAGCCTGTACAACAACAGAGTACTTCCCAACCAAAACATGCTGTGCAACCTGCTTCACAAGCACACCTGGCATCTACATCTAGTCAAAATCAAGGAGTTATACAACCACAACCTGTCAAGACACAATCTAGTAACTTGGTATCTTCATTCAACAAACCAAATGTTATAAGTACACCTCAAACTCAACCATCAACACCAAATGCCCCAAAGGTACAACCATTACCGAGATCAGCGTCTTCATTAAGCTCAGTTCAACCACAGACTTCACAAAACTTGTCATCTCAGCCACTCAATACACAAGTACCATCTGCTACACAAAGTCAAAGCACTCAAAGCCTTACAAATAATGGTGCTTTAGCTCAATTTCAAAATAATAATTCCATTCAACAAGCACAAACAGAACCTTCAACTCCAATTGCTCGAAAGATTGAACCTATTGTTTCCCATGCTAGTAATCCAGTTGATATCAATAGACCAGCTTCACAACCAAATGCCAATGCCTTATTTAGTGGTAATATGAGTGTTGATGATGTCTCAAGACTGGTTACTGGTGATTCCACAAATCTGTTATCTGAACAGCATCAAACTCAAAGTGAGATTCAAAATTTGCCGAACGATGTTTCTGCTAATTTCGATCAACAATCAATCAAGCTGGAGAAAGGACCAGAACCAAAGTCAAATACAATAAATGACAATAAAACTAATCAATTGGGGGCTCCAAATGTTGTTGTTAAACAAGAAAGGGTTGAAAACTCCAATTCAAGCCAAACTGGCCAAAAGGTTTCACGGCCTGATTTGAGCTTTGGTAAACCAGTTATTGAATCTACACCACATGTCCAGAATTCAGGATCTGAAGCTCCTGATTTATCATTTTTAGATGAAGATGAAGAGTTTAATAAGGTTTTGAAATCCTTTTCAAAAGAAGGTACACCAGCTATTGAAGAAAATGATGCAGTTATGGATCAAGAAGAATTGAACAGATTATTATCATCAGATTTCACTCAAGCTTATGAAACGGAAACAAGTAAAAAGAGATCATTTGAAGAAGAATCAGACATGTCAACGGGAAATGCACATACAGATAAAGCTGCTAGACACGAATGAATATAGACAGAATTATAAACGCTTGGTTTTTTTAACGAAATTTGTTCATGTTTAAAGTAATTAATATAATGTATTAATAATCGATTCACGATTTGTAGACTACAATACAGATTAAAAATTTTGTCATCTAATTTACATATATTTTGTATCATCTGTTCGTAATTAACCAACAACGTTGTTGAATGAACCTTCTTGTTCTTTGACTTCATAGAAAGTTGGACCAACATCATGGTTACCATGGAAAACCCAACCATCTTCAGTGATATGATATAAGTTGATTGAACCACCAGAATAAGCATCTCTATGAGCAGCAGCTAGAATAGAACGTTTACCCAAATATAATGCTTCCTCTACTGTTAAATCCCATTTTAAGTTTGAGTCTAAAACACCATAAGCGAATGTTTGACCAGAACCAACACAGAAAACATCACCTTTTAATCTTGTACCATCACTATCAACGTAATATATAGTTGGACCTTCTTTCTTTGTATAACCACAGACCATTGTACCCATTGATAAACCCATACCTTTATATTGGTAGACTAAATTTGACAATATTTTAGAAGCAGCTGCAACAGATATTCTTGATTTTTCTCTCAATTCATGTAATCTACATTGTGTACCTAACCAAGTTTCCCAGTATTGACAGTCAGCAGCACCACCAGCCATGGTACCTAATAAAAATGGATTGATTTCAATAACTTTTTTAACTGTTTGGGATGCAATCCAATTACCTGCAGTAGCTCTTGAATCAACCGCCACCACGATACCACCTTTGAATCTAAAAGCTAATGTAGTAGTACCATGTGCAATCTTGATTTTACAATCTGGATTCTTGGAATCATCAGTATGAGCTCTTAAGAAATCAGTTGGTTGTGAAATTGGTGGCATTGATAATGATGGTGCTAATGGTAAGTTGACGTTATCAACGAAATCATGTTCTTTAGCTTGATCATTGTCATAACCTAAAGCACTAAGAGTACCGGCTCTGCTTGTGAATTTCTGTGCAATAGCATCCATTGTGAATTAATTAGATGAATAATTGTCAATTGAATGGATAATGTAGGTTCAACTGATTCTTTATGCTCGCCACTGATATTGTATATTTGTAAAGCTCTATAGATCTGGCGCGAATTTTGTTGAAGCTCATTTGGGGGTAACTCGAGAATTCGCGAATCTGCCACGAATAAGTGTCATTATACATTATGTACAAAGATAATGAGCTCGAAAGTGTTATAATAAAGATACAGATGGTAAAGGTTGATTGCAGAGTAATGGTTATGTATTTTATCTATTTGGCGTGTCTTTTGTTACCACCACCTTGTCTCCAGAGCCATAATGCTTCAATTGCGTAATTTCTAACACTCAAATTATTTGTAAATTTCTCACTTGCACTTTCCTCTAAAGTTTCAATGATTCTTAGTTCATCAATTAAACCCCAAAACATTTGATCAAATTCATCAGCTGCTGATTTTAATGTTTCATCATTAACTGGTATTTCTTCTCCATCTTCATCTGTTTCAAATTCGGGTACAATATTGAACTTACCCTTCCCCAATTTATGTAAAATTCTACCTAATGTTCGTATAGCAATACATCTTTGACTTGAAACAGTAGATCTACTCAAATGTGCAAGCTCGGTTAAGTTATAACCAGCCAATGCTGGGTTTTCAGAATGATGATGAAGACCTTCAGTAATTGCGATATCATTAGCACCAGATGGAACAATCAAATCACCTTTGAAATCAAATCTTAAATCTGAAACGTTATCGAAAACATGCTCACCTGGTTTTAAATCAGGTAAAGGCTCCATCCATTTTAGTTTATCTGTATCTTTTGGTAAATCTGGGAAATATTTTTCATGTAATTTATTTTGAAAATCTGGATCATTTATATCCAATTTATAAGTTTCTTCATCATCAACAGGAGCCTTAGGAAAATGAACATTAGCGATGGCTTCTTCTAAGGGAATACTGTCAGCTTCATTATTAATTTGGTATGATGGGGGTGCAATATCATCCGCATCCAAAGTTCCCACATGTTTCATTTCATCAACTTTTGATACAGGTTGTTCATTGTGCACAGTTCTATCCTCTTCATCAAATCTAACCTTTTTCTTATCATTACTTGAGACCTTTTCCTTTGACAAGTCGTTTTCTAATTCATTAGAAGATTTTATACCCAATGCTTTATCAACTGCTGTTTTATCTAATGTTGGTTCTTTCCAAGCTTCACCATTTCTATCACCACCAATCCAATCACCATAACCTTCGAACTCGGCTTCACTCTTTTTATTGAGTTTCTTTTCACTTCTGAGTAGTAATGCTTTCAAAACACCAGGATCCATAGAATCTAATAGTTCTTGTTTTTCTTGAGCTCTTTGATCTTCTGACATTTTACTTAAAATTTCAATATTCTCCATATGAATTTTTTCGGCTTCTGAAAGATTATCGTAGTTTAATTTTTGTTCATTCTTTGGTAAACGTTTTAACCCTGTTTTAGAATCAAGCTCATATCCATCTTTTGATGTTGGAGCTGGTGTTGAAGCTTGGGACTCAGGTTCTGATTGAGTTTTAATACCATGTCTCCTCTTCCAAGCACTACCTTTGATTCCTCTTCTTGGGGCTGGAAACCCAGTAGTTTGTTTCTTTAAAGGCTCAAAAGTTGGAGGTGTAGGTGCTTCAATATCATGTTCAACAATATCACCAATTAAATCCATCTTGTTTAATTATAATTATAACTTGACTTATAAAATTCAAAAGAGTTCAACATCTTGAATTATTAAAGATGCTTATAGATTTTTTTAATCTTAATAAGCAGAAGAAACGATAAGCGCACGACCTGGAAGCTATAATAAACTACTTTATACGGAATTATTGAAAGAATAAAAGGCTTCCAGAAACATATAGCAATATTTCAAGCTACGGACTCATATATACAACATTTGTTATATGTTCACTTTATTAATTATTATATATGCAAAATATTCCTTTAATGTCTCGATCACAAAAAAAAAGTCAAAAAAATCATAAATGTATTACTAGATAATTAGAATCTGTAATTAGGCATCAATTTGATTATCTCCACAGTGGTCTTGATTTATCATTCATTATTGATTTTGATCTGGGTATTCTTGAAGTTGATAATGCTTCTCTTGATGGTTTTGAAGTCAATTGATGATTCAAATTATTCACTGTTGATGATGATCTTGAAATACTTGATGCTGTTGGTTTCGTCAAATTACTTAATGTTGTAGATTTTGGTAAAGTTCTTGTTGATGTTGTGTGTCTTAATGTTTGTTGTGGTTGTTTTAGATTGGCTATACTTGCTGAAGCTCTTAGTTGCGAACTTGCTGTTGGTTTTGTGAGGGTTTTGGGTAGATGTGAAATTGATCTTGATTCTCTTAAAGTTTTCGTACTTGTTGAACTTGGAATATTTGGTTTCGGTTTAGAGAATTGTGAAATTGAAGGTTTTGTTTTCAAAGTTTTGGTCTCTTTGATTTCCTTTGGTGCAGATGGTAACGAATTCAAGATTTTTTGCAAATTTGTTTCCTTTTTAGATGGTGTTAACGTTGGTTTATATGAAGAACGAACTTCTTTAACACCAACTTCAGTTTTTCTTCTTTTTGCTGCACTTGCTATATCAGAATTACCAGAACGTTTAGAGTTTGGATCATAAGATGGTATGTTTTCTTTATCTTGTTCCAATTCTTGTCTATTGATTGGCTTAGACATAGAATCCATTCTTGCTTGAACCTGATTTCTTCTAGTACTTGCAGCGTAATGTGAAGATATTGAATCCATTTTTTGAAATCTTGATCTATGAGATGTATTATATCTTGAGCTTCTTGGACTTAGTACAGATGATTTATTTTGTAAATGTGAATTTTTGGAAGCAGCTCTTTGATTTAATTCAGATAAGACTTTTGTACTTATGTTACTACTATAACCTTTTTCTTTTATACTTCTTGCCAGATCATCATCGTCATTATTACCTCCTTTTAAATGTGATATATTAGGATATAATTGTTTCTTGACACCAGACATGCTGGATAAAGGTGTAAATTTAAAATCTGTAGCAGTTGGAGTTTTTTGTTCAAAAATTTTATTTTGACAAGAAGGTGTTGATGGGAAAGCCCCAGGTAATTGATCTGACATTGTAACTTATTTTTTTTCAGCTAAAGAATGTACTTTGTTTGGATTCCAATGTGATGATTGAGTCGTTTATGTTATTTCCTGATTTGCCTTGGTAACTAGGGTTTGAATTAAAGAACCTTAGCTAGTCTGGAATGTGTAGTAATAATTTTAATTATGACCGGGAATGTTGCAATAACGAATGAACAAATTAATTTGAATAAGTTTTGATTTCCAGAATCAAATTCTTTAACTTGACCTCAATGATGAATTCCCCTATGAAGTTGAATAGATTGAAACAATAAAGAACAGTCAGATAAATCTAAGTTTTGATACTTGACGATGCATTTGTTACTCTATTTTTTTTTTAATAAATATCTGGTTTCCCTTTGGGCTCCCAAATAGACAAAATGTAAACAAAGAAATTGTTACGAGACACACCATAATAAACAGGACCAGAACAATAATTTTTATTCAATCGACTACAATTTCAAAAGTTAATATAATGTAGCCATGAAATTCATATAATACAAGGGTTTATATAGGATAGAAAAAAGATTATATAAGATCATCACAAACAAATATAGCAAAAACACCATCATAATGTTCAAATTAATTATTGAATATGCAATATAATTGAATAACACAAATGGGTTCATATATATGGCAAATATGATCAAATATCTAATTTAATATAAGTAGAAAATGTGAATAAATTGCAAATAGTAAATTTTTTAAAATCAAGTCAAGCAAATCAAAGTGAAATAATAATAATAATAATATGTATAATGATAGATAAAAAAAATAATCTTAAAATAAAATAAAGTATATCAACTAGTAAAATTTCACCAAGAAAAAACAACTGTCCATCATAAAAGAGCAGGGTAAAACATAAAACTCTTTTCTTCATAATCATTTAATAATTCATGCAGTAAATGTCCAAATGTAAACAAGAACCCACAATCATCAACAAGAGTATATAGAGTAGAAACGATAAAATTTGAGTTCCATGAGTAATAGATCTATAAAAAAAAAAGAGAAACACAGACACTTAAAACACACAAAAAATGAAAAACTCAAAAGGAAACATGAAGAATCATCAAATTTATTCTTCATCAGCTGAAGCTAATTTTTCACGACGTTCTTTTTCTTTTTCTAAATTTTGTTGTAAAAATGATAAAGCTTTATCAACTGATTTATTACTACCAACTAAAGTAAATGAACGTTCATTATTATCATCGTCTTCACTTGCAATTGTAATTTGAGCACCTGAAACTTTACGGATTTCTTGAATTCTTGAACCTGCTTTACCAATTAAACAACCAACAAATTGACTTGGGAAATTAACAGTTTTTGAAATTTCTGAATTTGATGAATGATTTGAACCATTATTTTGATGATTATTATAAGTTGTATGATTATTATTATGATTTGAACGTCTTGGAATTCTTGGAGTTGGTAAATAAAATGAAGTACCAGCAGCACTATGCCAATCTTCAATTAAACAACGTGCAATAATTTTAGAAGCAATTTCAATTTTTTCAGGTAAACCTTGTAATTCAACTAATCTTTCAGTTGAATTTTGTAAGAAATCTTTTGAAGCAACTAATCTAACATCATAATTTTCTTGTAAAGTTTTAATTCTTGCACCTTGACGACCAATAATTGTACCCATTTGAGCATTTGGAATTAATAATCTTAAACTTGTTGAACCTTCTTCACCTGGTGGTAATAATCTTTTCAATGGGAAATATTGGAAAATAGTTTCATCTAATGGTGATGTAGCTAAAGCTTTTGCAATCATACCTAAAGCTTGAGCGGTTGAATCTAAAGGACCTGTAACAGTTAAAATTCTATCAGGACAACCTTGAACAACTCTTGAAACGCCAGCTTTAACACCAGTTTGATCTCTTATGTCAGCGATGACGGAACCATTTTTACCAATAACTATACCAGCTTCTTTAACAGAAACTAAAATACGGAAACCTATTATAGCTGATGTGATTTCTGTTGATGGTAAGATTGAAGTATCAATTGTTGAATCTGAAGTGAATTTTGTATCAAATAAAGATTCTGAAGTTTCTTGATCAGTCATTATTAAGGATATATATGAAAATTTGAATTGATTATATGTTTGTTATATGGTAATTTCAATTGAATCTGATGAATGAAGAAAAAAAAATTTGACGTTATTTGATTTGAACGTTGAACGGTTTTTTTCAAACTATGAAAGGGGATCTTTTTTTTTCTGTGATAATGGGATTGATAAGTAGGAGGCTAAGTGGGGATTTGTATAGGATGAGAATGGCAAATTTCGGGTTGTAGATGATTTTGCGTTTCTTCAAATAGTTTTAAATCCTTTTCTTTGTTAAAATTGATTATGTTTTAATTTGCCGTTGATTTAATTTTGAGGTATTCGTACTACATTTGCTTTTTAAAAGGTTTTTTTTTTTCGCCTTTGTAAAAAAAAATTTGATTGAATTCTGTTTTGCAGTTTTCGAACGCGGCTGGGCTGAGTCAGCGATTACAAAGCAGCATATATAAATTCATAAATTTCGTCACTTCATTAGCCATTTTTCTTAAATACCAGATATACAAAGCATTCATCTGAGTAAAGGTACTCTCCATTCAAGCAAAGGACCAGTGTGTTCTTCTCTGAAATGTCGTTGATCACTAGGAAAGTACATCTTGACATGTCTTGTGCTGGAAGTGTAGAAATCTTTAGCATAATTTTTCAAATCTTCAAGGTTTGATTCTTCTAAAACATAATTATATTGAACCAATTGATCTAGTTTATCAGACGGTGGTGTTAATGGGAAATCTGGTGAAGAATCCACCTCTTCTTCTTCTTCTTCAAACATTTCCTGTAAATGTGCATGAACATCTTTACCCCATATATCATCAATTGCTAAATGACATGTTTTCTCAATTTTATTAACAAAAGTTTCATAAGTTTTGAAAGGGTCTCCTGGTAATGAATAGTATAAATAATCACTATGTAATGGTCTAAAGTCTAAATAATCCAATATTATGTCAGTTTTAGGAAACATTCCAATCTCTTCAATTATAATTTCAACTTCTGTTAAATCATTTTCATGGTTATCAATGGTAAATTCACCTAAATTAAGAACACTCAATTGATCATTTGGTAAAATTTCATTTATAATACTTGGAGGATATGCAGTTATAGATTCATTTAAATAATTCAATTGAAATTTAGTTGTTCCTAACCCTCTTGAACTTTTGATATTTCTTAAAGCAATTTGAAAATTATAATTACCATTTGGTAAATAAGTAATCTTATGATAATGGAATGCATGTGCACTTGCTATATGAATGTATTCATTTTCATCATCTTTTTGAGTCAATACTCTTGTTGAATTTTGATTTGTATTTTCTTGGATAACAAAATCTTGATATTGAAAGAAAATTTTACGATTTTGTAATAATGAATAAATGAAAATCCAATTTAAATCTGGTTTATAAAGCTTTGTTAAAGAACCATTCCAAAACTCTAAAGTTGATGAGAAAACTTTTAATAATTTGAAAATCTTATCTAATGAAACATTACCTAATAAATGGAATACTTTCATCTTGTATAATTCATTGTGTAAAATATAAAATTCTCTATTGGTGTATTTTAATCTTGGTTGTAAATCCAATAACCGTAGTTTAAGTTCAATAGGAAGTTTGTGAATCATCTTTGAATTGTTTAGCAATATAATAAGACACTCAAAGTTCAACTATAATATAATATCCTCTTTTAACACAAATACACTTGTTTTATAATAATATGCAGCTCTATCAGGTGATAAGAAAACCAGCTTGTGATGACAGTTGAATCTGTGAATCTGGAAATCTTGCACGAACTTCTCTCTAGAATTGGTTAAACAGTGAATGGAATGAACAGTGACTAGGTATATATCTAATAAGAACAACTTCCAAAGAAACCTCAACACAAACGAACAAAACAATCCCTGATAATCCCAGTCTTTTATAAAACGTCACTTTTATGGCTTAAATTTCACAATTGAAAGCAATTCGCGGGAAGTCAATCCTTACGTCAGTGCTGAGTCAGTCGATCGTTCTAATTTTATTTTTGTTAACAATTGCCATTCAAAAACGTTGATTCAATTGCTGAGGGTGATTCGGTTTCTATTACTAGTACACTACAAGTCAATTCAATTGATACACAACAAAACTGAAAATAAATACAATGGCTGTTCCTCCAGAAGGTATGTTAAGTCAATCAATTCACTAGACGGTGTGAAAGAGGGGCCTCAATGGCTTGATTAAGTATTTCAATGCTAATCATTATCGCCATCGGGGGCCACTTTTGTCTTTATATCAAGATCTCAAGTTACTAACATTCCACAACCAGTTTTATGGGCTCAAAGATCCAATGTTGAAGATGAAACTAAAAACATCCTATATGTCACTGTTAAAATCAGTGATTCTACAAACACAAAAATTGATTTAACTTCAACTCATTTAAATATTGATAGTGATAGTGATGAAAATAAACAACATTATAAATTAAATTTAGAATTTTTCAAAGAAATTGATCCAAAATCATCTCATTATAATATATCTGGTAATTCAATCTTTTTTGTTTTACGTAAAGTTGAAAAACAAGAAGAATTCTGGCCAAGATTAACAAAAGAAAAATTAAAATATCATTATATTAAAACTGATTTTGATAAATGGGTTGATGAAGATGAACAAGATGAAAAAGCTGCTGAAGATGATGAATATGCTGCTCAAGCTGCTGCTGCCCAAGCCGCTGGTGGTGGATTCCCAGGCGCTGGTGGTGCCGGTGGCCCAGGTGGTCCAGGTGGTTTCGACATGAGTCAATTAGCCGCTTTAGCTGGTGGTGAAGGTGGTCCAGGTGGTTTCGATATGAGTCAATTGGCTGCTTTAGCAGGTGGCGATGGTGCTGCTGGTGCTGGTCCAGGTGGTTTCGACTTTTCAAAATTGGCTGAAGGTGCCGGTCCAGTTGATCCTCAAACTACTGAAGCTGATTTCAGTTCATCTGATGAAGAAGATAAAGTAGAGGAAGTTAAATAAGTATTAAGTAAAATCTCACAAATTTAAAAGGAAAAAACAAAGCTATATACGCTAATTTACAATCAGTATATATATATATAATTAATTGTACGTTATAATTTATATTATTAGCGGTTTCACATTAATTAATTGACATCGATTTAAATAATGAACATGTAAAAATATATCAATTGAATATATTAAATCGTATAAAGATAGAGCAAGATCCTTTTATAGTTTTGTAGATATTTCATTCAAACCGCTTGAAATTTTAACTCATCTTTATATAATAATTGTGAAGCATTCCAAGTTTCACCAGGTTGTAAAGTTTTAAATTCATGAACATAACCAGGCTCAATACAAACCATATTTTTATAACCTGATTTAGGTAAGAAATCACCAATACTTTCAGATTTATTAATCCATGGATTCCAAACAACAATATCTGGTAAACCTGATCTTTTCAAAGTATGAACTGGATAACCAAGTGCAACAACTTGAGTAATTTTATCTTCTGGAACTTTTTGATAAATTCTATCAACTTCTTCATTAAAGTTTACAACTGGTAATTTTTCTTCATAACTTTGTTTTAATAATTGATCATAACATAATTCACCTGGGAAATTTGAAACTAAAACATCTTCAATATCATTAATTTTTAAATATGTATGGAATAACCAATTGAATTCCCATGGATGTTGATCATTATTTGTAACTTCAATTGAAGTTTTCAATGATTCTTCAGTTAATTCAATTGTATAAATTAAAGTAAAATCATTATTTGGCCATTTACTTAATAATTCTTCATCAACATTTTCAGGACCTAATCCAAATTGAACAGTTGGTGGATTTTCTTTTGTTTGACCTAAAAATTCCCAAGTTGAATTACGTGCAAATCCATGTTGTGGTAAATTTGCAGTTGGACCTTCATCTTTTTTACCAAATACAGGGAAAACTAATGGAATACCACCACGAACAGCTTTTGAACCATCTAATTTTGCACCTTCTGATAACCATAATTGTTCTTCACCTTTAATTTTCCATGAAAGGACATTAGCACCAAAATTTAAGATTGAAACTTGAGTTGATGGATCTGAAGGGTGTGTAAGGACGATTTGTCCATCGTTATCTTCAACTGGCATTGTGAAAATTGACTTGTTTATTATAATTGAATCAACTCTTTGTAAAAGTATTTGATCTTTGATATCAGTCAATTCCAAAACGTTGCGCTTCACGTCTTCGTGTCTTCCGAAAATGGCGGACTTCCTAAACAGGCTAATTTCCGACTATTTTTCCAATGTTGGTGTTCTGATGTAAATTTTCCCACAATGAAATACTTCTCCAGAAATTTGATTACAGGATAACAGGCTCCTTTAAAGAAAAAACAATAAGATTGATAATCCAAAACTTGATTGGTTCACTGAGAAAAGCTCATTGGTGGTTAGAAGAAGAAATGTCACGTCCTTTGCCATTCTCTGAAGGTAACAAGAGAATAATCCAACAGTTATATCGTCAATCATTAAAATTGGCAAGAAATTGGATTAATAGAAGAGATCTTTATAGACAAACAGCTGTTGAAATTAGAACTCAATTTGATTTATATAAAAATGTTGATGATCCAAAAGAGCTTAGAGTGAGTATAAAAATATGATCAAACAGGATAGATACACAAGTATACTAACATCTTCTTTTTAGCTTTTAATTGAAAAGACTCAATTTACTTTACAAAAATATAAACATCCAGATCCATTCATTCCACCACAAAGACCTGGTGGTACTAAGCATGAAAGATATGTTGCGCCTTGCTTGGATGAACCATATCCTGGACGCTACTGAAGTCTAATTGCTCCTTATTTATTAAACTATATTTATTATTCACTTATTTATTTATTACTATTTACAAAAGAAGATCAGCAGCTACTCCGCGTGGGTATAATGATCGATTATATTTATTTATATGTTTATTCATTCAACAAAAATATACAAATTTCTTTAATGATCTTCTAGTTCTACATTATACACGGATGGTAGACCAAATTTGAACAATTACTCAAATCACATTGATCAATATATCTATAACTACAGTATACAATGAATTCTATAGTAATTTGTGAATGCAATTAACTTTTTTTATACACCTTTTTAGGAGTGTATGTTATATAATGATAGCCAACTTCTTAATTTGAATACTTATTAATAATCTTCTCATGGAAATAACCTAAGATCTTATTCAATCCTTCTTCATCACACAGAATACCATTTTGCAACAATAACAGTTTATTTTGACCATTTGCTAGTTTGGCTAATTGTCCCTTGTTTGTAAAATCAACTTTTAATTCGGCATCAGTATCTCTATCAAAACTAATATAATAATAATTGTTACCATTCTTATTCTTCATTTCAATATTCAACTCCAGTACTTGACGTTCAGGTTTTGAATTATTATAATACAAGACGGTGAAAAAATTTAAGTTTTTTGGAATGACTTGATATCTTAACTTGGATGGATCATATGTAGTATCAGTTTTTGATGCTTTAGCAAGTTCATTTAATTTTTCAACAAGAATATTTGAATCTTGTAAATATTTAAACAGTTTACCAATCCCTCTACTATTCAGGTATCTTTTTATAGAGCCCAAACAAATATTGTGAGGGTTAGTTGCTGGTAGTTCAATATTAAACCCATCTTTCAATGTACATATTTGTGAGCCATACTTGAAAACAACTTCATCTAATTTAACTTTCAGTAGGTTCAAACTTTCCAATTTCAGGAATTTTATTAATCCTATAACTTTAGCTAATTTTTCTAATTTAGCAATTATATTACCCAATATTGAAAGTCTTTTATATTCAACAGTTTCAAAAATTTCAAATACTCCATCTTTATCAATAGCAAAATCTTCTAATGTAATATTACTTTTGAGTCTACCTTTCAATTTCAACAACATATCCTTTTTATTTGGATCTAGTTCAAATGAGAGATATAATACATTTGCAGTATCTGGTATGGATATAAATGAGTCAGTTTGTATAACCAATGCATTCCCTTTAACAACCTTATAAATAGAGTTACCCAATTCATTTGTAATAAGTTGAATGATAATGGATTTTGTTATATAATCAACTAAACCTTTTGATGTTTTATAGTCAAATGATTCAATGTTAAGTTCTTGTAATGTATTTATGGTCCATTGTCCAGTGATGGACTTGATATTCCCTATAAATGATTTGATTTTAGTATCAATCAGTAATATCAAAAACCAATTTGATGGCCATTCTTTCCTTGTATAAAACTTTACGTTCTTCATTAAATAAGGAATTGATTCAGATCCAGTACCGAGTTGTTGATGCTCCGATATTTTTGATAACTCTTGTGGCGATAATTTAATAATATCGTTTTGAATCCAAGAAGTCACTGATAAGATAGTCGAAACTTCCATGAACTTGTGATCCATTCTTAGAAATTTCAAGTTTGTATTGATATTCTTGAAATCATCAGAGTTCAATTTTTTCAAAAAACTATTACTCAAAGGTGTGGAGTTCTTGAAATAGAAAAGACCAGTCTTTCTATTAATTTGTAATACTGATTTATTAACTGTCAGATCTTCAATTTGATCCAGAATTGAGATGGCATGTTTGTAATAAATTTCATTCAAAAAATCCTCAATATATCCAATATCATGGAATGTCTCTGCAAACTCGTTTTGCTTGAACCATCTATAAATGATCTTGTTATCTTTATTTAAGCCAATTTCAATATATGAGTTTTTGAAAACATAACTATGGATCCAATAATTTATGACAATTCTGAAGCTATCTGCATGATATATATGTTTAATATTTTTCATTCCATTCAATTTAACATGAATCATATATAATTTCATGGTGTTGGTATAGTTTGTTAAAATTTTGTTTAGTTCCATAAATCCACCAATCTTTAAGGCATCATTCGAGATTCTGAGTATTTTTCGACTGTTCTCAAAGTCACCAAAATTAAATTTGAAGTTAATCATGAAGAATGGCGAATTCTCATCTATCACTGATACTTGAAATTCATAATCCTCTGTGTAAATGAAAATTCTACCGTCTTTAATTTCATAATTCAAAAACTCATCAGGTATATCTTCCACAAGAGCAAATTTCATTGATAAAGTTACATTCAGATCTTTCAAAGTTTCTAAAATCTTTGTAGGTGATAACTTTGATTCAATTAGATTATGTGATGGTAATGTTGGTCTCCCTTCCGTGAAAACTTCAAGCGCTGTTATAAGATCGGGATTTGGAAGTTTAGCACTGAGTAAACTTTGATTTATTGATTTAGTAGCCCATATCAGGTTGATGAAATAATTTGCTTGTTCTCTTAACCATGCCAACAGATCAATCAATTTGTTAAAATCTTGAGCTGAAACTTTTGACCATTTTGTCAACACATATAACCGAACATATTCTTGCCGTAGATAAACAATTAGTTCTAATAACTTTTTCTTTTTGGCTTCATTTGAAGGTTGGGCCTGTGTAACATGTGATAATTCAGCAAATGAGAACTCTGATATCTTCCGTAATATATCTGAAAGAGATATTATATTAGTTGTGATATGTGGTATTTCTGGCGGTTGTTGCTTCACAACTTCAGAATTCATAATGATCTTATTTGAGTTCACTGATTTCTCTAAAGTATCTTGTAGTTTCTTTTATTCTTTTCGTCAAAAAGAAATGTACCGGGCTCTGATATTCACTGTATTGAAAGTTGAAACTAATTTTGGGATGTTGGATGATTTCAATATTCTTGTTGACTGAACTTCTATATTATTTGTAAACAGATGCTACTCTAACAAACCAATCACAAAAAAAAAAGGAGCAAGAATGAATTTAATCAGTTGCTCTTGAATTTCAGTGGAACTTAGACCCTTCACCTGGAAGAAAAGGAATGCGGTTTTGAATCGGATGGTTCCCTTTTTGAATTGGTGATATTTATTGATTTTTCAACTACCTCTATATTTTCAATTAGTTTTAAACCAGCGCCAAAAATCCATGTTTTTCTTGAATTCGCGAAGCTCTGTTAAATCCAATAAAAATATCCCCAAAAGGTAATTCCCCTGTTGGGGAAACACATAATAAACAATTAAATACGAAAAAAAAAAACCAAAAGATAACAAAATGAACTTTTAGCTTTTCGAGTAACTGGATTTACAAAGAAGGACTTTAGCACAACAGCATTAGCCACCAGCGTTTCTTCATCACAAGGTATCAGATTCATCTATTCAATTAGGCGCTTTGTTGAAATTAGTCTTATATAGGATTGAGAATACTTTCAGAGAGGTGATACGCGATAAATAACAACATCACAAAAAGTTATACTTGGTTATTTTCAATATTCAATAATTTATATTCACTTTTTTTTTTTGATAAGAATTGATTGTTAATAGGTGGTGCTTCAAAAGATATTTTATTTATTCCAATTGGCACCACTGAGAAATTTATATGCGCATTGCTTGTTCGTTGCTGAAAGTTACACAAACGTTGTTTGTTTTGATTCATCATACTAAAAGAAAGACATTTTTGTTTGAGGAATTAGCTAAATCAAATCAGAACACCAGTATAATTACACAAAATTCAAGGTTTCAATAAGAATAATCAATAGCCATACATTACCTTCATTCTTTTGTTGATTTTAAACACTTTTACAAGTGCACACTTTACACCATATACATTATACCACTGTTTATCAATACTTCATTATGTCAACAAATGATAGACTCAAAGATAATACATCACCTTCCAAACCACACTCAATGTTTTCTATCAGAAGGGCATTTGGAGGGGAGTCAGCCTCAAGAAACCAGAACTTACCTAAGACTAACACATCAGTCTCGCCGTTAAAATCCACGCCTTCCATAGAGACAAAAAGCAGATATTCAATTTCCCCAGTCTCTCCAGAATTTGAATCCATTACTGAACTACCATCACCCATTGTTGGTGACTTACAGATGCTCTCTGCGAAAAAATCTTATGGTTCACTGTCTATACGACCTTCAGCTAATCAGCTCAATTCAATAAATAATGCAAGAATTATATCTGAATATGGATCAACCAGTTCAAAAGACAGTACATCCTCAACAACAAGCAATTTGGATGCGAGATTAGCAGAGCTTAAGGACCCACAAAAGAGAAGTGTTTCAACACCAATGGAAGTTCAACCTAAAGAAATGGAGAGAGAAAAAATGCTTGAAACCTCTGTTGATCCTTCCGATGTTTTTTATAAAGGCTATGATCATGATAAAGAACCCCATGTCTGGAAACACATCAGGACTCTTGGGAAAGGTACATTCAGTGATGTTGTTTTAGCTCAAGAGTTACACCATACAAAGCCAGAGTTACAATTTGTTGCTGTTAAAATAGTCGAGCTACCGAGTCAAAGAGATACAAGAGCCAGAGTTGAAAGCTCTTTAAAAAGAGAACTTGAACTTTTGAAACTAGCCAATCATCCTTCTATCATTAAACTTCTAGCACTGCATATAACATCATCAAAATACTACATGTATACGCCATATTGTGAAGGTGGTGACTTATTTGAATTGGCATCAAAGCATAGGAAGATATTGAGTCCATATATTATCAAAAAGATATTTGCAGAAATAGCAAGATCAATTGCATACTTACACAATAAAAATATTGTACATAGAGATATCAAATTGGAGAATATTTTGGTCAATTACAAAGTTGATAAATTGTTACAGGTTGTTGATCAAAACGTTTCCTTGATAACCGTCACTGATTTTGGCCTTTCAAGAACGATTGACCCGGAAAATCCGTTATTGACAACCCGTTGTGGGTCTGAAGATTATGTTCCCCCAGAATTGTTGATTGGGTTACCATATGACGGTAGACAAACTGACAGTTGGGCATTAGGTGTTTTATTATATTCGATAATGGAAGGGAGATTACCATTCGATCCACCTCCAAATAAATCGATCAGGGCTCGTTCAAGAGTTGCTCATAGAATTGCTAGAATCGAATGGTCATGGAACCAATTTAGCGACGAAAACAAAGGATCAACTTGGAAAGAGGAAGATTGGGAAGGAGCTAAATACATTGTCGAAAACTTATTGGTTCGAAGAGAAAAAAGACTAAGCGCAGCTCAAGTCTGTGAAATATCCTGGGTCAAAGATATTCCAGAGCTTCAAAATAATGAATACTAACATCCATGAATAAAAACGAAAACGCTGTTAACGAGAAGGCGTGACAAATAATCTGATATAACTAATTTATAATAATATAATAATTTCTTAATAATTTTTTAATCAATTGTTCAATTGGTGAATAATTATGTTTACTTGTAGGGCTTTATGAGATACATCATACAGGCGCGAATTTTTGGATTTCAAAAAATTAACGTCCCACAGATTTAGGGCACCTGTCCCCCATACATATTATTATTATTGGATTCAGTTTATACACAAAATCATATATCATGGCATCTGTATGTTAATTTTGAATTAGTTAAGATGCCCCAAAAAGGATTCACAAATCTTCAAAAGCATATAGATGTGATACTTCGAGCCAGCAGATCAGATGAAAGTTATATCAAAGTCATTGGTCTTTGTCGAGATTTTATCAAGACAAATAAAACAACAAATACATACAATTTAAGAAGTATCAATAACATTGTAAAGTATAGGGAACCAAATATTGAAAAGTTTTTGTTTAATAAAATCAAGATTGCTCAGCGATCACCAGATGTTATCAAGGCTTACCTAGTTAAAACCCCAGTACCATCTTCCGCCTTTATTTATGACGCTGTGAAGGGTCAAAATGATTCACAATTAAATAAGGTAGCATTAAGACAACTATTATACAAGAAGAAAAATTTAGAAACATCAATAGAGTTGATTAAAAGAAATGGTGAAATTTACAGATATCATGGTGTCCAAAAGCTACAAAAGACTGCACTTTTATACTTTGCTGGAGTTTTGACATTTCATGGCATTCTTGAGATTGGCATAAAAGGCCACGAATTTATTCATGCTATGTTCGACATGTACTTTATCAACTTATTTCTTTTGACGCTTCTATTTGGTGGGTCGAAACGTGAAGGAATCTCGTGGAGGCCAGTGAATTCAATTTTCCACAAGTATTTTTATGATTTAGAGTATCAATTATGTGCTAAATACGTATCTATTTATAGAGATTTATTTACAACAAATGTTTCAAACTTCCATGACAAAGACTCAAAATTGATTAGAACGTTCCAAGATGGATTTCAATATAATAAAGATGAGATGGATCAATTTGTTCATAAAAAGCTGAGAGAACTGGGGTTCATGATAACCCAGAGTCCAAACGAAGAAATGTTCAGAGAGTATTGGGACCATGGGGGTCAAGGGTTCGAATGGGTTGAACCTGATAAAGATCCAGTTGACTTTTTAAATATTAATGAGGATTCTTGATTGTTGTGCTAATGTTAGTAGGTTGTCACATTTTCTGCTGCGCTTTCAAAATCCGGAGATACAAAAATTTGGGGATCATGTCTCATCATTGTTTCAACTTTCAACATTCAATTTTTATCTGAACATCAAAAATCATATTTTACTGGTGAGGTCTAGTGGTTGATCTTCTTATTTTATATGCTATTAATGTTATTTCATTGAACCGCCGTGTGTCATTTGAATATGTTTGTTGATATATTAATTTTTATCATATCTTCACCGTTCAAGGGAGCACAGGTGTTGTGGTCAGCGCTTACGACAGATACGCGTAAAGATGAAAGAGCAAGAGGTAAGTATTTATCTTTTGGAGATAATCTATAGATGATTTATGAGGCTAATGTTTAATCAGGATGGTTGATTGGTCAATCTCCAACTCAAGATAGTATTAACCAAGAAATTGACTCAAATCAAGAAACTATACCAGAATTTGATGATTATGATGATGAAAATGACTACAATGATTACGATACCTCAAATTTGAATAAAAATAATCATGATATTCACTCTACTAAATTGAGATACGTTCCTGAGGAAGGCTATATTGGGCTAGATGAAGATGGTTGGTGGGTAGATGAGATGATGGTATCCCTTATTGCTCTTCTTGATCAGGTCCCCAATAACTTTGGAGCCCCACATAGCGGTTATAGCATAATGAGTTCTCAACCATATGCGCCTATATCAGAAATATTTGTGCCATCTCTGTTTATGATAGCTCTTTTCGTTAGTATTGTGGTGAAAAAGTTAAGAGGAAGAGATAGAAGATTCGAACATGCTCCAATTGTTTTGAACTTTACAGATGAAAGCAATATACGCAATGGTGAAGAGCAGGCGGAACAAAAGAATTCAAATACTTCAGAGGAAAGGAAATTTGATAAAATGGTCACGGCAAAAAGTATTAAATCACCAATTACTGAAAGTTTTCAATACAGATCTCCAGAAGAGATTGAAACATCAAATCTTGAAACCTCTTTAAAAAATCATTTCGATGCGGAAAATGTAATGGGGTCTTTAAAAGGGAACGCAGAAGATGAAGCAAGCATCCCACTGGCAACTGTGCCAAACCAAACCATACCCGATGAGCTGATAATTAGGAAGCATCGTGATACAGAGTCCTCTTATACTGAATCGCCTATTTTAAATCAAGGTCGATTTAGAGCTCAATCAATAGTGTCTTCTGATCATGAATTGGATCTTACTTTGCTATCAGATGAAATCTCAAAGTCACTTGAGAATGAAAAGGAACCATTAAATATACCAGATCCTGATTTTGCTCGACTCTTGGAAAATGATGAAAACACAAGTTTGAATGAACTGGATCTTAACAACATTCTTGGTAATATTAATGATGTTGAAAATCATATTTTAGAGTCTTCTATCTCACAAAACACCAGTTTTTTCAACACCGAAGGCACATGTCTGGATATGAAGTTTAAACGCCAATCAATAGACAAATCTACTACAGGCTCTCATGTGACAGAAAATTATCGTGTATTAGACAATAGTGACGGATTATATGATCTAGACTATCCTTTACCTGCCAATGATATCAGAGCTCATTCGATATTGCACACACCTGAACCCCTTTACAACAATGATCAGAGCCATAATAATGATTTATATGTGTCCCAAGATAATTACATCGATCTGAAATCTAAAAGTCACCTTATTAATGATATCGTTGGTGCGATTCCAAGGGACTCAGGAGTTGACTCAAGTTTGGTTAATAATTTGGAGCCATTGGAGTCTGATGCTGGTAACGTAACAGATACAGATCAAAACAGGAATACGCCTGATACTCCTGTAACACTGCTGGACTCAAATTTTGAAATCCAGGATCTGTTATCATTGGATGCAAATACAAGCAGTCCATCATCAAGCTCAGTGAAAGAAAGTGCTCCATCATCAGTTCTAGACAATTTTACTTCAGAAAGACCTAAAACGCCAATATCAAACCCATGTGAATCACAGATTGACTCGACGCCAAAACCTTCACCTTCAAAGATACCAGTAAGCCAATCACCACATAAAAGATCCCTATCCAGATTGAGTTCTCCAAGAAAGAAAAATCCATTAAAGGTTTTCAGGATTTCTGATCTGGTGGAAACATATTTGATCAATCGTGAGACTTCTGATATTGACACGTATTTGAATCTGGCCTTTGGATCAGACATTGACGTTGATATGAACGTTGAATTGCTAGAAGTCTTGACAATGGAAAACATTGATGATTTGCTCAAGGTCTACAGTGGTAAAGAAACTTCAGAGAACTGGAAGGCTCGTCATGATAATTTTGGTTTATTAATTGGTCATTTGAAATTACATTTACCAAAGGGTTTCTATGACTATTTTCAAGAACAGCTATATGATATCATTGAGGATATATTGGAAATGGCATACACAAAAAGAACTAAATTGTTAGAGAAAGTTATATTATTCATTAGAAATTATGTTTACTATAGTAACGGGGTTACTCTTGATGATGAGCTTTACACTACTTTAATTCATTTATTGCTTCATGTCGCTAAGAACAAGTTGGACTTCATAAGTAGACCAACAGTAAGATCTTTATGCTTGATGATACAGGCTTTAAACTTAGATAGTTTCAAAAGATGTTTCCATATGATATTTGATAATATTTTATCAAACAAAACTTTGAGAGAGGAGAAATACCATTCTTTGTTGATCATCAAGTTTTACCTATCTGTGAACTTTCACTATTTTACAAAAGAAGACTTTGATGACATTTTGGACTTGATTTTACCCTATGTTCCTTTATTGACCATAGATAGCTATCAAAAGACAAGAGCAGAGTTAGCTGAAATATATTTGATTTGTTTGAGACTCAACCCATCTTCAAAGCAGTTGGCGGCATTTTATGATAGATTTCCAACATTTGTGAAATCCAATATTACTAAACCAAATCCAGTACCAGCTAATGATGCAGACAGTACACTTGCTGTCTGATTGTATCAAAAATTAAGAAAGTTTGCTTCTAGCTCCATATACTATATACAAGATGTATCCTATGGTTTAAACTAAGTTTTTGTAGTGGTACTAGTGAGATATTAACATTTTACCTGTGGATTCAGTCAATTATCGACGTGCTAATATTTAATGTGGATGTATAACTGTGATCAACTTCAGGCTTTATATTAATTGTATATCAGGCAGCAGGCTAAAGGCTAATGCGTCGGGACGGCGCGGCCGAAAAAGGTAAGCTATATATTGTTGGAAGTACCATTGAATTCGTATGGGGTAAACGCAACGACGATTTATAAAATCAAGGAATGAATTGTAAAAACTTTTCAAATTTCAACTAGTACAATCCATTCTAAGACCTTAATTACAGAATATTATACTGATATCTTAGATACTTCAATATGTCAAATCCATCAATTGTCTTGAAAGAAAAGGGTAAAATTGTCCTTGAAAATAGACCTGTTCCTGATCTCACAGATGAACGTTCCGTCAAAATTGCTGTTAAAAAGACTGGTATTTGTGGTTCAGATGTTCATTACTATCTTCATGGTAATTGTGGTACATTTGTTGTTAAGGCACCAATGGTCTTAGGTCATGAATCATCGGGTGTTATAGCTGAGGTTGGACGTCTAGTTACAAATGTGAAAGTTGGGGATAAAGTTGCCATCGAACCTGGTGTCCCAAGTAGATATAGTGAAGAGTACAAAAATGGTCGTTATAATCTATGTCCTGATATGGCATTTGCAGCTACACCACCATATGATGGTACTTTAGCTAGATACTATATTATGCCAGAAGACTTTGTTTATAAATTACCAGATCATGTCTCTTTAGAAGAAGGCGCACTAGTTGAACCATTAAGTGTTGCAGTACATGCCGCTAAAAGAGCAGGAATCAAATACAACTCAAATGTTGCAGTTTTTGGAGCAGGTCCAGTTGGTTTACTAACGGCTGGTGCTGCTAGAGCTCTCGGTGCTGCTAATGTTCTTGTCGTTGATATCTTTGACACTAAATTAGAGCTAGCTAAAAATATTGGTGCCACACATACATATAACTCTTTAAAAAAGGGAAACTTTGATGAAGAAATTATCAAGCTGATTGGTGATAGACCTGATATCGTCCTAGAAGCATCAGGTGCTGATATTGCAATGAACAATGGTTTAAATTTGTTGAAAACAGGTGGTGTTTTTGTTCAAATTGGAATGGGTAAAGATGATGTCAAATTACCAGTTGCACAAATGACTCAAAGGGAAATTGATTATAGAGGTAGCTCAAGATATAGCCAAGGTGATTATAACGATGCTGTTACAATGATTGCCAATGGGAAAATCGACGTTAAACAACTGATCACTCATAGATTCAAGTTCAAAGATGCTAAAACTGCCTATGATAATATTATTCAAAACGGTAAAGACGTTGTCAAGACTATCATTGATGGCCCTGAAGATGAACTGGCAAAATTATGAATGTTCAATCTTTGAACTATTGAGCCATGCTGTTGAAATTAGATCTGTGATCTCAATAAAGTCAATGTGGAGACCATATCACCGGTGTGTTTAAGGAATATAATATAGAAGTTGATCAATTAAATTAGTATAATTTAGCTGTGTGGAATGTAAACTTTCTTATATGTAGACACCAGGCGCGTCCTGTGCTCAATATCCATTCATATATTATAAACCTCGCAAAAACACGTCTCTAGTAGTGTACATCGCACAAAATAATTCAAGTGTTGTTGAATGATTATAGCTTGTATTCTACTCAGTAGGTTTTTTTTATTCCTATGAAGTGACAAACTAATACAGTCAATAAGCGGCTTTACCTCTCGATAGGGACGGTTGAACCCATTGTGGTGACTAAGCAGTAGTAGTAAAGATCTGAAAAAAAGCCGAGACGAAAAAATTAAACACCCTAATATTAGTATATAAAGTATTCACTCGCCTTCAGAACAGTTTAGATAAGCTTCATCTGAAAGAGTTTACACACACAATATGTTATTTCAACAGGTGGTAGGATTGGTCTGCTGTTTGTCGCTCGTTCTGGCGAAAACACATACATTCAACTTCACAGCTTCTTATATAACCGCCAATCCAGATGGTGTTAAAGATAAAAAAGTGATTTCCTTCAATAAACAATGGCCACCACCAGAAATACACATCAACAAGGGAGATAGAGTTGAGTTATATTTGACAAATGGTCTAGAAACAAAGAATACTTCATTGCATTTCCATGGGTTGTTTCAAAACGGCTCAAACTTTATGGATGGTCCAGAATGGGTTACACAATGTCCAATTCAACCTGGTGATACATACTTATACAACTTTACTGTGGATCAAGTTGGTTCTTATTGGTATCATTCACACAGTGGTGCTCAATATGGTGATGGTATGAGGGGTGCTTTCATTGTACATGACGATAAAGAACCTTTCAAGTATGATGAAGAGAAGGTAATTACCATCTCTGAAATTTATCACGATCAATATTATGACATCTTTGGTGAATTTTTGAACAGATATAACCCAACAGGTGCAGAGCCAATCCCACAAAACTTGCTTCTCAATGATACTGCCAACTCAACCATATATTTTGAACCAAAGAAAACTTATTTGTTAAGATTTATCAACGTGGGTTTATTTGTTTCACAATATCTGTATATTGAAGATCATGAATTGACAATTGTGGAAATTGATGGTGTTTATGTTGAACCTTTCAAAGCAAGTCATTTATATATGACTGTTGGTCAAAGATATGCTGTTCTTGTTACCGCTAAAGATCATAAAGATAAGAATTATGCTATTGTTCAAGGATTCGATGATACTATGCTGGATGTTATCCCAGATGATTTGAGATTAAACGCTACAAGCTATTTGGTTTATGATGATGAAAAACCATTACCAAAAGAATATAAAATCAATGATCTGGCTTTCAATGATTATGATTTAACACCCTTAGACAAGGAAGAATTATATGATGATTACGATTATCAAATCACTCTAGATGTTGTGATGGATAATTTAGGTGACGGTGTAAACTATGCATTCTTCAATAACATCACATACACTCATCCAGTCACACCAACTATAATTACTGCCTTAACAGCCTCAAAAGAACACGTTACAAACCCAAGAATCTATGGTTCAAATATTAATGCTTTTGTTTTACAACCAAATGAAATTGTGGAGGTTGTTGTTAATAACCACGATGACGGTAGACATCCATTTCATTTACATGGTCATACTTTTCAAGTTATTCAAAAATCCAAATCTTTTGATGATGAACCTGTTCCATATGATGAAAATGATCATGAACCATTCCCAAAATATCCAATAAGAAGAGACACTGTAAACTTGGAACCAAATGGACATATCGTATTGAGATTTAAGACTGATAATCCAGGTATTTGGTTCTTTCATTGTCATGTTGATTGGCATTTAGAGCAAGGTTTAGCTGCTGTTTTTATTGAAGATCCTCTATCTCTTCAAAATCAAAAGCCACCACAAGACTTTTATGATAATTGTATTGCCAGTGGTATTCCAATCGAAGGTAATGCAGCTGGTAATAAAGATTTTTTCAATATGACTGGTGAAAATCTCCAATCACAACCATTACCAGAAGGTTTTACTTTGAAAGGTTATCTTGCCTTTGCTATCTCAACATTTGCAGGTTTATATGGTCTATGGTCAATTATACAATATGGTCTAGAAGATTCTGTCCAATATGATGAAAAGATTTTCAACAATTTAGAAAAGATTTTGCATGAAAATAATCTAATTCAAGAAGCCGATCAAGTTGCTGCTGATGCTGAAGTTAACGAACATACACATCTGTCCAGAGGTGAAGAGTAGGGAAAACAATTGCTTTTAAAAATTACCTTCTAAACCTACCATGATATATTTATGCCACTTTTTTATTTAATAAATTAATAATTTACGACTGTTTTTTTGCTAGTTCATGTTTGAATTGAATTCAATTGTGCCAATTGTACTGTAGTGCTTGTGCTCGAATCAAAAGCCTATTATTCGCGAATGAATTTTTTTTTCCGAATTTTTTATTGGGCGCGACCGAAAACATAAGATTAGAATCTGATTATACTACGTACTTGTTGAAATATTTGATCTCCAAGAACTAGATTAACTTCTTATACTGGTTGGTGTTTTCCCTGTTCTTGACCATATAAAGATTCTTTTGATATGTCAAGATTCTTGAGAAACATCTGGTCCACTGGTTCACGCCAGCTTGGCTTGAATTCTCAAAGAAGATTATTTCACCAAAGTACCATCAGAAGAACTTATGAAGAAGAAAAAGTTGTGATTGATGATATCATTAGTAAATTACCAGAACAGGATTTGCAAGTTGCTGATAGAATGCGTAATATTGGTATTTCAGCACATATTGATTCAGGTAAAACTACATTTACAGAACGTGTTTTATTCTATACAGGTAGAATTAAAGCTATTCATGAAGTCAGAGGTCGTGATAATGTTGGTGCTAAGATGGATCATATGGATTTAGAAAGAGAAAAGGGTATTACTATTCAATCTGCTGCTACTTACTGTTCTTGGGATAAAGATAACAAAAATTATCATTTCAATTTAATTGATACCCCAGGTCATATTGATTTCACAATCGAAGTTGAACGTGCTTTAAGAGTTTTAGATGGTGCTGTTTTAGTTGTCTGTGCTGTTTCTGGTGTTCAATCACAAACTGTTACTGTTGATCGTCAAATGCGTCGTTATAATGTTCCAAGAGTTACTTTCATCAACAAGATGGATAGAATGGGTGCTGATCCTTTCAGGGCTATTGATCAAATCAACAAAAAATTAAAAACACCAGCTGCTGCCATTCAAGTCCCAATTGGTGCTGAATCAGAATTGAAAGGTGTTGTTAATATTATTGATAGAGTTGCTCTATATAATGAAGGATCTCAAGGTGAAGAAATTAGAAAAGCTGAGATTCCAGCTGATCTTGTTGATCTTGTTGAAGAGAAAAGAGCTTTATTAATCGAAACACTTGCTGATGTTGATGACGAAATTGCAGAAATCTTTTTGGATGAAGGTGAACCAACCACTGAACAAATCAAAGATGCTATTCGTAGAGCTACCATTGCTAGAAAATTCACTCCAGTTTTAATGGGTTCTGCCTTAGCTAATACTGGTGTTCAAAATGTCTTAGACGCTGTTGTTGATTATTTACCAAACCCATCTGAAATTTTAAACAAAGGTTTAGATATTTCAAAAGGTACTGAAGAACCAATCAACATGTTACCATCAAGTAAAAAAGGTTTTGTCGGTTTAGCTTTCAAATTGGAAGAAGGTAAATATGGTCAATTGACTTATTTACGTGTTTATCAAGGTCGTTTGAAAAAAGGTGGTTTTATTACTAATGTTAAAACTGGTAAAAAGGTTAAAGTTTCTCGTTTAGTGCGTATGCATTCAAATGATATGGAAGATGTTGCTGAAATCGGCCCAGGTGAAATTTGTGCTACTTTTGGTATTGAATGTTCTTCAGGTGATACTTTCACTGATGGTGTTGAACAAATCACAATGTCTTCTATGTTTGTTCCAGATGCTGTTATTTCACTTTCAATTACACCAAAATCAAAAGATACATCAAACTTCTCCAAGGCTATGAACCGTTTCCAAAAAGAAGATCCAACTTTCAGAGTTAGATACGATAGTGAATCTAAAGAAACTGTCATTTCAGGTATGGGTGAATTACATTTAGAAGTTTATGTTGAACGTATGAAGCGTGAATATAACGTTGACTGTATTACTGGTAAGCCACAAGTTTCTTACCGTGAAGCCATCATGAATGCTGCTGATTTCGATTTCACTCACAAAAAACAATCAGGTGGTGCTGGTCAATATGCTAGAGTCATCGGTACTTTATCACCATTAGAAGGTGAAAACATTTTCGAATCACACGTTGTTGGTGGTAAAGTTCCAGAAAAATACTTGGTTGCATGTCGTAAAGGTTTCGAAGATGCTTGTGAAAAAGGTCCATTAATTGGTCATAAAGTTTTAGGTGCTAAAATGTTCATCAACGATGGTCAAATCCATGACGTTGATTCTAATGAACTGGCTTTCAGAACTGCGGCTATTGGTGCTTTCAAACAAGCATTCATTAAAGGTAATGGTGTTATTTTAGAACCAATCATGAATGTCAGTGTCACTGCCCCAGGTGAATTCCAAGGTAATGTTATCTCATTATTGAACAAGGTTCAAGCTATGATCCAAGATACAGAAATTGGTGTTGATGAATTCACAATTTCTGCTGAATGTCCATTGAACCAAATGTTTGGTTTTGCCACCTCTTTAAGAGCCTCGACCCAAGGTAAAGGTGAATTCTCTTTAGAATTCAAACAATTCTCCCCAGCGCCAGTTCATTTACAAAAAGAATTAATCGCTGAACATCAAAAGAAATTAGCTGAACAAGCTAAAGCCAAATAATAAAGTCCGAAGAACATATACATAGATTAGAGTATAAAAATATTGTAAATAGATTAATTAATAGTATAAATCTTGTGAGTGAACAATAGTAGCATGTTGCGCGGTCAAATGTTTTGTTTCGCGGGTTTTCGCTCTAATACGCAGATTGACAAAGCGACAAACCTTCACCAAAATCAATACAACAGATGAGAAGCTAGATCACTTGCCCAATTGATCATCCACAATGATTTCAGAAATTAAAGATGATGATATACTCAATGGTGACTTGTTATGGCAGCAAAGTGATCAGAATTTGTTTCGCTGGTGTAGCTTTGATGATGATTCAGGAGAAGATGAACAGTTTCGTGGAGAATACTTTGTGTTGAAGCAGAACTTGACACCAGATCCAACGGTAGAAAACATTTTCAAAATGAGGTATGCATCCAATAAGGAATTTAAAGGACTGGAAGATGAAGTAAGAGAAGATGATGGGTTTAAACTTTCTAGCAAGATGCTGAAAGAGCTTAAAAGCACGAATCCTGATTCTATGGATATGGATATTGATGATGATTTGTTAAATGAAATGTTAAAATATACAGGTGCTAATGAACCATCAAAAACCATAAATGAAGATGCAGCCATCGATATCAGTGATTCATATGAGCCCGTCTTGCATGAAGTGGTGGTTTTCACTCGTGCTCAATCAATCGTTATCAATAATGAAACTGAATTTAAGTTCCCCAGTACAATTAGATCAGCGGCTGTTTTAAAAGGATCAGTAATAGATGATGGTAAGTCAACAGATGAGGACACTTTGGTGATATCTTTGTATTCGGGATTTGCTCTCTTAGTAAGATTATATGAGATTAAAGGTAGCCTTCAACCGAAGATAGTACAATGGTGGAAAACTTCGACGATGTCAACAGCTTCAACTTCTGTTCCATCATTGGAAGAAGTGGGGCTTAAAATTAATACCCATAGTTCAGGATCACTAATTGCATTGAATGCTGCTAAGAATTGCATCAGATTACACCCATGCTCTCAAACTGCACATGGAATTCAACTACAAACGCCAATTAATGTTAAGTTTGATGGATACCTAGCACACAGTTGCTTTTTAAAACAAGACAAACATGCTGAAGTTCCATATGCAAGGCTACTCACACTTCTGGTTACATCTAATAGAAGGTATCTGATAACTCTTTACGACATTCGTCTTGATAACCATGAAATTAAGGAGTATTCTCCACAAGTTTTGACAAATGATTTTGATATTCCTGTGTTTGTGATACCTTTTAAGGACTCGGCTTTGTTTGTGATGCCAACTTCCATCTATCTTATTAGTCCTAATAATATCATCAATGCTGACTATAATCTGTTTTCGACAAAGTTTGATAAATCATTCCCTGTGGGATATCACAAACCAGAAACAAAAATAAAATATGATGATGATGAAGTCTTAATTAGCACAGAAGACGGTACAATATATCTTGTTACATTCCGAGAAAGTGTTCTACGTGTTGAACTTATATTGACAATACCTAAGGTTTCAAACTTTACATTAGAAAAGCAGGGTACAGGATATGAACTTTATTATACTTCCTCATTTGCAAAAGGTGGTCATTTTCATTTACCAAGGCTACATTTCGATCCCCTTGATATAAAAGCTGGTCTTCATCAAGGTGAAAAGATTGAAAATATACTGAACTGGTCACCGTTACTCGATCTAGAGATAATTAAGAACAAATACAAAAATGAAGAAGTTTGGTTGGCACATGGTAATTACATCTCACAATTAAAGAAGGGGTACTATGCAACAAAAGAACTGCAAGATACACAGTTGAAAAGGTCCTACAAATTCTATATACACTCGTTTGATGAGCAATTATACTTCATTTTTGCATTCTTGGATAAGACTTTGGTATTTAAATATGAAGATGAACAATTGATTGATGTTGATGACAGTGGCTTGGAAGTTTTAAGCAGAACAATTGCTGTTTCAAGCTTAGGAAGTATATGTTTTCAAGTTTTAATTAATGCTGTCGTTGTTTCAGATTTTGCTTCAGACCTTACTATACGGAAAGATTTTGAACAGGAGATCATTCTCGCAGATGCTTTTGCTTCTTATGTTGCTGTTATAACTGAAAATCTCAATACTAGTATGAATATATCTAGTAATATTGCACTTTATAAGGTATCTGGTGATGTTTTATTAGTTGGAGAAGAGTTTGATCTTGGAATAGATCCATGTTTTATGAAGTTTATTTCATTAGAATCTAGATTATTCTTAATTGTTGGTGGTAGTCAAGTATTAAGAGTCTTTGAAATTAATGGTGATAAAATGGAGCAAAGATCGAATATCAGTATTGGAATCACTGATCCACATGATGTTATATATCTTGGTACTAGACTTGCAATAAGTTCAAGGCTTGGTGAAGTTTTCATTTATAATATTTCTATAGATTCCCTACACCTCAAAGCAGACCATCAGCTGGACTTTAAGGTTTGTCATACTCCAGTTGACTTAAGTGCCACACATGATGGAATTTTACTGGTCTCTAAAACTATGTGGAAATTAGATATTACAAACGAGTATCCTTTGCCGGTTGTATTTGATGAGAATAAAGAGAGGAATATATTTCAATGTACTGCTTTGAATAAAACCACATATGCTGCATTAAGGGATGATGGGTTTTGCTTAATTGGAATAAACAACACTCCACAAACTCTCTTGAAAAGCATGAAACTTCCTAAAATTCCTAGAAAAATGAAATATATTTCACATTTGAGAGTCTTTGCGGTGATTTCAGAGTCCTCTTTGTTTTTTATGAGTAAATCAAACAAGCTTAACACTAAATTATTTGGCAAGAAACAATCAAATGGTTTGTTTGTTGATGAACAGCCTTTATCATTATCAGAATGGGTACTGCCTTTGGCTGAAAAATCATTTAGGAACCTTCTAGTGGGGTGCAAAACAGCCAACGGTGGCTCTATTAAAGTTATTCAACCAAAATTTTCAAGTGAAGACCCAGATACTATTGAAGCTCATGAGATTTTTACATATAATACACCGGGTCCTGTTTTAGCTTTCAAGCAACTAAAAGATGACGTTGTTATTTATTCTAGTGGTTGTCAGCTTTTCATCAGTCAGTATGATATTGAAAAAAAGAAAATGATGGATCCCATTCAAGTTCACTCTTTCAGATCTGTGATTATAGATATTGATGTAAGAGAAAACTTGGCATTAATCTCCACAAGGGACTATTCTTTTTCCAAATTTGAGTACACAGATGGAATATTGAGCTTGAAAGAAAGTGATTATTGTTCTAGAAAAGTCATGAACAGTTTAACTTTGAGTGAAAGTGTTACAATCTCCACAGATAAGTTGTTTTGTACTATAACGGGTGTCGAAAATCAAGAAGATAGATTCAAATCATACGTGCCTTTTGTTCCAAGGGTCCAGAAATGTGACTTAAAACCACTATGGTATAAAGATAAGTCACATAAAAGATTTGTTGCATATGGTTTTGCAGGAGAAATTCAACTTTATACGTTGTTAAGTCGTGAAATTGCAGAACCTTTATTGAACTATTATAAACATGCAGTCACCCCACAAGAAATTTGCTCAAAGGGACTTTTTGACATTGATGATTCCATTTTTGTGAAAGAAAAAAACTTGAACGTCATTGATGCTGATAGATTACATTCTGATTTACCTAAAGATCTTAAAGACTTGATAAATGCCATTAGTTACTGAAGCTTTTTCAGTGTATTAATAGATAATAAAACAAATAAAAGCTCTTTAATCATTGATCATTTTTTATTTTATCTAGCAAATTAGCGATTCTAGGACCCATGAGAGGTTGGCCTGATCTAGTCTTTTTGGAAAGTTGATCCTTTTTACGTTCCCTTTCTATTTTTTTCTTTTCTGAAATCTTTATACTTTCTTGTCTCTTTAACTCTCTTTCTTTACGTGCTTCTTCTTTTCTCTTTTTAGCAATCTCTGCTCTTTCTTTATAATCAAGTTTTGGTTGATATTGTGATCTATCTCTATTTCTATCTGATGTCTCTTGTTTCTCTGGGACTTCTTCCCCTTGTTCTTTCAACTCTTTGAAATATTGTTTTCTAAGTCTAGCACGATGAACCAAAGATTTCTTAATTTCGATGCTCTTTGACTCTTTACGATTGATATAAGGGTTTTTGCTCTTGAAATTTTTGTTATATGGAGGGGCCATGTTGATATTTCTGAATGGAATAGTTTGAGATGAAAAGATACAGCTGTATTGAATAAAGACGTTCTTATGATATAGTGGAAACTTGAATTGATAAGGACTGACATATAAAATATTCTTATATAAATTATGTAGAAAAAAACTTTCGTGTTGGCCTTAACGGAGATGAGTAGCTGATCGGTATAATGACAAATAGATGCCACTTATAGTGAAATGTTTTATATCAAATCACATATTATACCAATATTCTCTTGTATACGCTACTATTTTACCTTTTACTGGCTTTTTTCAGAATGATTCAAGTCATTAAACATTTTACCATTAGAAATGACAAAGGCCGGGACGGAATTCAATTTATATATGGTCGGATCTCAAGCATCTGAAAAAAAATCATCACTTACAAAATTAGTATGGTAAAAGGTAATCAATAAATAGATGAAGTAGATTGGACAATAACTTATCCATCCAGATATTGGAACATACCCCCATAATAAATTCAATCATTTCCCATTATTACCCACAAACTCACTAACAGATCTAAAGAAGTTTAATTCCAATCAGGGCGCACTGAATAATCATCACCACAATTGTGAAAGTGAAAAATATCACAACAGAACTACAATATTATAGCATATACAAATAGGGCGACCCCTACTCTTATATAACAGGCAATATAGATGCTAAATGCTTTGCTGAGAACGGTGCGAACCTCCTCGCCGAGAAGGTATGTTTTCCAAGCACGTTCAATCACAAGACTTCAGAGGAAAGAGAATCGGTTAAAAAATATCAATAAATTACCATTTAGAGTTGAAGGCAGAAATTTTTGGGACTCAGAAACAAAGATATTTTCACAATCTAAGATAGGTTCACGTACATATGAATATACTGAGGGGCTTTTTGAACCATTTCTCAAGCAAGAAAATCACACATTTGATGAAATCAACAAACTATGGGAATTAGTTTCAACATATGAATATATCAGATTTTCTGATGCATTAGAATTAATAACTGTCTTTGAAGTTAACTCCAAAATAGATGAAGCCAAAAGCATACTGCGCAAGATTGACTACAAAGACATATCACGATCAGATTTGATTGAGTTGGGGAAAAGATGTGCTACATTTGATGCTCTAGATTTAATCGTTGAAATATCACATGAGTTTGGTAAATCAGTGTTCAATCGTCCTACAATTTTAAGGGTCTTAGAAGAAAGTACTAAGATCCTATTGGATAACAAACAAGAATATAAAGCTTTAGATGTTTATATAAGAGCTTGTCTTGGTGTTTTCAGAAAGCATTATATCACAGGTTCCTTTTATGGTCAGAATTACATGGATTTATACGGGTTAATAATAAGGAAAATAAAGGATTTAGGATATGTTATAGAAGCAGTTCAAAAGTCAACAATTGACCATGATATAGAAATAAAGAAAAGCATTTATTACACAACAATACGGTCATTATTTTATGTTGAAAGAAATACCATCAGATTGCAACTTTTGTTTGATCTTATTCCTGAAGAATTTAAAGACCAAAATATCGTCTCATACGTTTTTAGATCATTTCTTTATTATGATAAACCAAAAGCTGCAAAAAGTGTTGCCACAAATTATGCAGTGATGTTAGGATCTGACGATAAAGCAACAATTCAACTCTATTCGAGTATAGCGGAATTATCACTGGGAGACCTGTACGACTTGTTCTATAAAAATTTAAAGACGGATACCAATGAGGCTTTTCTTGTGCTCAAATATGCTTTTAAAAGGCTACGTCGGGAAGGAAATACAGAACTCATGGAGTTTATGGCTGACAAGTTTGCTGAAGAAAGCTCTGACGGTCTTATTTTTGCTTATAATCAGATCATGAAACATCACTTGTCTCAAAACAATTCTGAAGATTTTTTTAAAACCTTTAGAAAATTAGCGTCATCAAAAGAAGAACCAAATGAAGAATCTTACAGTCTTTTGTTGAAACAATTTTGCAGAAAGAAAGATTTAAAATCGGCATTTTCTCTTTTGGATTTCATGATAGAAAAAAACATGTCAATAGATATTGAAAAATTGAATGATATGGTGAAAGTATGCTCTGTCTTGGGTGATACTCAAAGCGCTGAGAAAGTTGACAAAGTTGCTACTTTATTGAAAATTGAACGTGACTCAAAATTTTATTCAAATATGATGGCAGTTTATGTCAGTGTGAACTATTATTCTCAAGTTGAGAAGGTTTTTGAATCGGCATCAGTGACACCAGACTCAACAATGTATTCTGAACTCATCAGAATGCATTTGAGGAAAAAAACTTACAAAGAAGCCCAACAAATTTTCGATATGATCTCCAAGGGAGATTATGAGTTAGGTGAAGAATTTTACTTTGTTATGATTGAATATTTCTGTAATATTAAAGATTTTGATAGTGCAGAGGAAGCGTTAGCTAATATTATAAAAAGTCCAGAATCTTTCAATTTGCACAAAGCATTTGAAAAATTGATGGCTGGTTATAATAGAGAGCAAAGATATACAGAAGCAACACAAGTCTTCAATAAACTAATATCATTAGAAATGAATCCGAGTGATAATATGCTGAGGTTACTTTTAAAATCATTAACTCGTACAAACTTTGTCAATTTTGGGAACTATTCAAGACCAAAGAAAATTGCTGAAGATATAATGAGCGCATATGCTAATAAAACTCTTGAACCAGAGAGAAAATACTTACCTGTACGGATTTTTAGGCCATTAATGAAATACTTAATAGATTATTATGATCCACTTGAAGCTGCTGCTTTATTAGAAAGTTATGAAATTGCCACTAAAAATGATGATAAATCAAAAGATCTAGATTATTTGAAAGAAAGAATCATCTTAGGTGCTAAGTTCAAAGATTGGGATACCGTCAATGCTGTTTTCACCTTACTTATACAAGAATTTAAGTATAGATTTTCAAGTGGAGATATTCCATATAGATACAGAGGATCATTAGTACCAGTTATAAATCAAGCTGCCAAATCACATTCTCATTTTAATCAACATCAAGAATTTAAAGCACTTATTGATGATCTATTTAGAACTAGAAGGTTTATTTTAAATAATCGTAATATGAATGATATTGCTGTTATCTTATTAGAAAATAAAAAAACTTTCAAAAGTGGACTAATAATGATTGAAGAAAAGTTAATGGGTGGTTTCATTGCTCGTGCTGTGATGCATGGTCGTGAATGGTTCGAATCTGCTCTACCTTATGGTGTTCCTTTACCTACCTATCGAAACCAGATCACTCCACCAAGGTTATTTTTGTTGAATTCGTCATATATGCATGTTGTCATGCACTTGAGGCTTTATTTGAGAACCCAGTCAAAAGCTTATGAGACAAGGGATCAGAAACTTCAATTTTTACAAGAGTTCAAGATAACGTATCCAAAGATTTTTAGAAACTTTCACGGTACTATCATCCATGCGTTTCCATCTCTGCGTAACGAGATTTTGAAATTTATCAATATGGAAGATAAAATTAAAGCCTCTGATGTTCAAGTTCCTGAAGTCACAGAGGTCTAGACTCCCATTTCTCCCATTTTTATGACTCAACATTCTATTAATTTATTCGGGTTTGCATTTTATCAATTTTTATCTGGTTCGAGTTTTTGTGCTTTTATGTTTAATGTTTTGATCAGGTTTGATCTTTAATACTCTGTTTTCCATTTATTCCATTTTTTTTGCATGAAAGTGACGGTTATAACCACACTTTCCTTTTACATTATATATATTACATTGCATTTCTGTAAATAGTGCTTATAAATTCATAACAAATATTGTACATTCACATTAAGATCATACTTGTAAGCTATCATTGTATCAATGCTGTTGCTGTTTCTTCTTTCTGGTTTTCTTAGCCTCGGGTGTATGAGGATCTGGATAAACCATTAAAGTTTCACCTTCTGTTGAGCCAAACACTAAAGGACCAACATATGGCTGGATATTCCACTCTAATTTAACATTAGCTTCTCTATTTCTAAATGTTTCTTCAATATCCCATACAGAGTATTTTGAACGTTCATTAGTGATTGAAATATTAGCTTTGTCCTGTGATGTGATAATTTTATCCCAAAATACAACTTTGTTTGATGATTCCTTTATCATAATATTAGTATTCACACCCTTGCTTAGTAACTTAATTTACTTACTTCTGATTTGCCTGGGTATTCAGCAGTTAAATAAACGAAAACTTGTTTAGTATTCCAATTAAATAATGGAGTTAAATCTGATTCAAGGTCAAATATTATTTTAGTATTTTCCTTTGGTTTACCACCAACAGATCCAAATCTTCTACTAAATTTGACAGTGGATGATCTTAAGAAAAATTAGTAAACATCTCTTTTCAAAATTGACCTTATATGATACTCACGGTGTGATATTAGAAACTGTTCCTGGTAATGAGAAAGAATCTGTTGAATAAAGCTGAAACCAAGATGTTGCAATGATGAATACAGAAACAAACCCCACGAGTGTAAGAGAAAAATTCAAAACATGTTGACCTCTTTGAAGAATTGAAAACATTCTGATAATAATTAGTTTCAATTATAGATGGCGGTTGTGAAATTAGATATCTATTTCATACATTGTAAACATATCTTTAACATTTCAATACACGTAGTTATAAATATCGCTTTGGATTTCCGGGGGATGAAACGTGACTTTGTCTCTCGGAATGGTCCTTTCAAGACTATTTACCAGTAAGCTGTCAGAAAACTTCAACTACAGTAATATCTTTTATCGAATTATAGTATAAATTGTTTAAATAAGGCTCCAATTCGATTCATTTGAAGGGTGATTTTTCTTCAAGTTTAAATGGGGAATTGCTTTCACTATAGCAATAGTTACTTATTAGTCCCCCTGTATAAGTTGGACTATGATCACCATCAGTACCTTCAATGTTTTGTTGAGTGGAAATCAGATCAGAATCTGTTTCAAATGGACCACCCATTTTTTTGAAGAAAGGACTCATATTTTCTGGAGGTACATTAGTGGTACTTAATCTATCTGAATTTGTACTTGGTGAATTTGAATGTTGAATAATTTCATGATGATAATTCTTAAGCTGCGGAAATGATAAGTTTGTACGTTCTGATTTGAAATTGTTTATCGTCTTCACTGGATTAATCTCAACTTCATCTGGTGTGTCATCGTTATTCTGTAGTAAAATAGTTTGCTTTGTAGGTTCATCTTGAGCTTTATTAGATTTCTTTGAATAAATATATCTTGAGGTAGTATCATGCTTTTCATTTGAATTCACAGAATCACTCTCGACTTCAAAAATTTCATCATTTTGATCTCTTACAGTTGGTTGATTTCCTGTTACTCGACTGTCTGATGGTTGATTAGTTTCAGAATTGTTTGGTGTTATACCTTTGTTAAATATATTTTTGATACCATCCTCATCCTGACCATATGTTTCTGGGAAAGTAATCCCAATAGTGAAAGCACCAATAACACCAAAACCACCAAAGACCATAAATGTATAGCAGTCGATATGCTTCAATGCTATCGGTGTTAAAAATGTTAATAATCCATTGACAATCCAAGAAACACTCATGCAAACTGCTGAACCTTTAGCTTTAGCACGAACCGGCAATATCTCATTTGTATATAACCAAGCAGCACAAGATAAAGAAGAGGCGAATATGGCCACAAATAGAAAACAAAGAGCCAAAGTGAATGATCCAGCAAATCCTTCCACTGTTCTAGTGATCATCTCATTTTCAGGATTGTTTATCTTATGACCAAAATGAACCATTATTACACCAATGGCAAAAATACAAGCACCCAATGTTGAAGTTCCATAAACCAAAACATCTTTACGTCTTAAGCTATCAATCCATAAAATTGGGAAAATAGTAAATATGACATTGATAACATACTGAATTGAGGAAGATAAAAGCTTTACATCATCTCTTAATCCAATCATTTCACAAATAAACACCAAATAATACATAAGAACACCAATACCACTTAATTGTGTGAATACTTGAGTCCCTATACCAACTAGCAAATGTTTTCTTAAATCTTGACGAAATAAATCCCTATATGAACATTTTTGTAGTTTCTTTTCATGTAAATCAAGTGCTTCTTTAGCTTCATTCAAATCATCTTCTTCCTCTCCAACAGGTTGAGTTTTTATTTCTTGATTATCTTGAATCTCTGAATCTGGGTATAAACTATCTTCAGAATGTTTTAACTTTTTATAAATCATATTTGCTTCTCTCCATCTGGATTTAGTTACTAACCACTTTGGTGATTCAGGAATGAAAAATGAAAGGATGAGCAATAGTAATCCAGGTAAAAGTTCAAGCCCCCAAGCTATACGAAATGATAATTCGCTTTCTATAAAACTGCACAAATAAGCTGAATAAAACATTATCATAATTCCCCAAGTCAATGACCATTGAGTAATGGATGTAGCTAAACCTTTTTTATGCGGTGGGAAAACCTCAGTAACATAGACTGTTAAACTAGACGAAAATATACCAACAGCAATCCCTTTAACAGCTCTTCCTCCAATAACCATGTATATATGAACGACTAAGATTGATACAATAGAACCCAGAATCCATATAACTGAAGCAGTTCTAAATGTAAACAACCTTCCAAATCTATCTGAAACTCCTCCTGAAATAAAACAGCCCACTTTCATAAACAAAAGATGTTAGAGTTCTATATTCCTTGAAATTTAAAGAAAACAAAAGGGGTATCAAAGCTTACGAAGAGCACCTATTGGATTTGAACCTGCTATAAAACCTTGTAATATTGAATCTGGGTTTTTAAAATATTCCAAAAAAATAGGTGAACCAATAAAAACAGCCATTGCTGATATTTCAAGACCAAGAAGCAATCCACCAAGGGAGACTATTGCCAATATAGCACCATGATTATATGTTGTATGACCCATACTATGTATATAATGGAAACTTTATTGTGTGTCAATCTTTTATTGATTCTTTTATCTGCCCACATAAAGATCAGTTCAAAAAAGAACCAGTAGCTATTTTTGCCTCATTTTCTAATATAAGCATCCTCAAAATTAAAATCTAACCAAGGACCCAATCCCACATTGGAAAATTATTGCCTTTGTGTCACAATTTTGAACTAATTAATTGGTTGTTTTAAGATTTCAAATCAAAATTATACGTTTGTGGTTTTAGTTTATATAATCGGTAAGCGACACATTTACCCTCTGGCATGTTTCGCGAATTTTTTGACTATTGACAGATATTTGGAATTTATAATAAGTAACTGCGTCTACTACTAGTTATCATTTCACCAGATACGTACTTTACGCAACTAGTGAATCTCAAAGAAATTGATCAATTGTAAAGAATATTCACAATGGCAACTGCTAAGGATAACTTATTGGATGATGTGAGTATTTTCAATCAGTTTAAATGGGGTTTTAGGTGACTTGTATCACTAACATGTTCAAAAAGGGACCAAATTGGTTAGAAAATGATGATGATTTAAATACAAATAATATTGGAACAAAAGCATATATACCACCAGATATTCCAGCTGATGACTCTTCATTACCAAATGTTAGTGGTAAAATAGATTCAGATCCATCTCCAAGTTATAACAATGAAGGTTCAAGTTCACAAGGAATTACACCTGTTGTACCAAATAATTTTGAAGGTGGAGTTTTTTCAATAAATCATTATAGACGTTATTTTAATATAAATACAAATGATTTTTTTGGAAATGTTATCAATTCAATTAATGTTATTAGTATTGGTGAAAAATCTAATGAAGATGATAATGAAAATGAAATTATTGGTGATTTATATGGTCCAATTTGGGTTACTGCAACTGTTATTTTTTGCTTATTTTTCAGTAATACATCATCAAATTTAATTAAAAGTTGGTTAATTGGAGGTGATGAACATTATCAATATAATTTTGGCTTATTAACTGGTGCTATAAGTTTACTTTATGGTTATACTGTCTTGATACCATTTATATTTTATATTGTATCTGTTTGGTATTTTAAATTAGAAAATTTCTTTAGTTTAAGTAAAATTATTTCAATTTATGGTTATGCAAATAGTGTTTGGATTCCAAGTGCAATCTTGGGGATCTTGAGAGGTTTATTAGTTAATCATCAATTTCTTAGTGGTATTTTAAAATGGATTGTTGTATTAATTGGTGGTTTAATAAGTGGTGTAAGTATTGGATTAAAAGTTTTCCCTATATTGAAAAATTCAACATCAAGTATTGGTAATGATAAATTAATTTTTGGATTATTAGGTGTTTTAGGAATAGCACATTTAGGTTTTATAATTGCTATTAAAGTATTATTTTTTGGTGATTTAAAAGTTGTTTCTTAATTAAATCATTATTGAATATTAGAAGAATTCTACATTAATTGTATATAAATGAATAAAAGTATATGAAATTATGATTAAGTATGTATATACCATTCAAATTGTTTATAAGAACGTTTGTTTGTTTGTTTTGTTTTTTTTTTTTTTATAACTAGAAGTTCAAATCAAATGCACCAGGCATATTAAGATTTGTTTATAAGCAAAATTATTGTACATTTTTTGTGTCAACACTAATATATAGTATTCATATTGATTATTTCAAATTCTTGGAGCACCTGGCATTGGGAATGATCTAATTGGGATATATGAATTTTCTGGAGTTGCAGTACCAGCTAAAATAATATAGAAAGCAGTAAAAGTAGCCAATATACCTAAAGCACCACCAGCTTTATTACAGCCTGTACTTCCAGTAAATGCACCAATTGCAAGCATCAAGATAAAAGTCCATAAGAATAAAAACAAAAAGAAGAATGGCCAAGTTGCTTTAAATGTACAAACCCACATAATAAATGAAAATATAAACCAAGCAATAAGGAATATACCCATTGCATTATTAAATTCTTCAGTAGTTTCATAACTTGATACAATTCCAAAAGCATCGATATTTATAGCACCATAACTCATCCAAAACCCACCATAAGAACCTAAAGCAGTAGCAGCAAATGTATTTTCAATAACAAGACACCAAAGACCAGCAATAACTTCAATAACACCACCAAAGAATAATGAACAAGAAGCAATAATTTTAACATTTGTAACATCTCTTGCACCCATATTAACCATTGAAACAACAAAACAACAAACAGCAAACCCAGATAAACCTAATGGAACTGGATTACCCATTGGACGATGTGGAGTATGATGAATACCAGGATTTAAATCACCAGCAAATGCATTTAATAATTCATGTCTATGAAAAGATTGATTTCCTAAATAAACGATATCACCATTTGGTGAAGTTGTAATTTTAGTAATTGGATTTGGTGCACCATTTGATTGAATATGATCATATTCAGTTGAAGAATTATAATCAATATTATGAGCAGTTTGGCCCTTTTCTAAATCTTGAGGTAAAGTATCAGACATGATGATTCAATATTTGTCTCTATGTTGATGTTTTGAATCATCTAATGAATCATGATTTAAACTTTAAGGAATTCTACGTATTTATATAGTAAATGTCAACATCAGCATACTCTGTCACCTCAACATGATCATGTTAATCATTAAAACATTATGTGGGTCAAAGACTACCTTAAAATTGACGTACCTCAACAAAATATCAAACAAAAGAAATAATTTTCAGTCCTTGAAAAAACGCTTTTAACTTTGTATTGGTTTAAATTGACAAAGAATTCACGGAGTTCGAATGGAATTACGAACACATTTTGGTGAAGTTTACCGGTGATATGGAACATGATTAAATGGTGATCTTAACAAAATGGGTACACAATACACACAACTTTCATGGGTTCAGCCCTGTGTTCAGCCCTATGAACGTTACCAGTATACCAAATACCACCAGATGAAGTTGATGTTGTATCACCAGTTAAATATTTCTAGTTTCAAAGTGTCATGGTCTGATTTGTTGACTGTCTGAGCTTCTGAGCATCACCAGTTTAAATTTAAATTTTTAAGCGGACTTGGATTCAAGGGTTTAAGTGGGAGTCGGACACCTACAGACTACCCACTGCGCAGAGATTAAGAGAGTTCCCACTAAATGCCCCACTGGGCCTGGTCAGGAGTTTAGTGTGAGCCTATGGCTTCCAGGCAGAGTAGGCAGAAGATAGACAGAGTACAAAAGCCCTAATTATAAGCGGGAGCTAGGAGTTCTCAGGAGTTCCGGACTCTGGAGTTTAGCTGACTTCCAAGTTCCCCACTAAACTTTTCTGAGTCCGAATATTCCATGTAATCACCAAAGTCACATTTAAATAGTGAACGTAATAAACTTACAAACTTACAAGGCTGAAAGCAGATCAAAGGTTTGATGGATATGTCAAATTTGTTGAGTAATGGCTGTAAATGTGGAGCAAGATGAGTTATTTTGACACATTTAGTGACTCTTGTTGTTAATCTTAGATCAATTTCATCTCTGGTACTTAAAGTTTAAAACATGGACCTGTGAAGGTATAAAGGTTATTTTTGGTAGTCTATTTGGTGGTTCATACACCTTATTCTCCATATACTATGGATAATGATCTATATAAAACCACTCAATTGTTACAAGGGATTGTTAACAAAGTCATATATGAAGATCAAAGGCAAAAGGTGATATGATAGACGATTTACTCTATATAGAGAGCATTCCAATTTAGTCGACGACGCTATGAATGTGCTGCAGCTGATGTGAATATATCTTATATCGCATGAGTAGATCTGGTATAGTAAAATTATAATTGCAGGCAACTCTTATAATAATGAAGGCCATGTCATTCGAATATTTATAGACCACAAATATGTACGTCAATAATCAACGTCCATTGTATATTTACTTGTTCATATAGATGATATTGTGGTTCTCAGCTGGATGTATAATTAAGTACAATTCTACTAAATTATCTGATAGCCACTGTGCTGTATTAAGCTACGTTGGCATATACCGATCAAATGTTATAACACGTCTTATTCACGTAATTATACCAAACAATTGTATTCTTTGGACTAGTTTTACAGCTCAACCCTCATCAACTAGCTCGAGGAAATACCCAGGGGTCTATATACTGAGTAGCTAGACCTTATCATATAACCACCTGTCATATTTAAAGGAATAGAACGTTAGAACTTAGTACCCAAAGTATTTTGTTTCTTGTTAAGTCCATGAATTGAATAGATCAACGCGAACGCGTATACGTTCAGTTTCTGGTTATATAAGCCACAACTCTTTGATTATATAATTAAAATTCAAGATATAATTATAATTATTATAATAATTGTTGACAATCAATCAATCCTTGGGTATTTTAAGCCAACATCATCGTCAAACTACTCTGATAAGCGCTTTAAGCTATAGTGTTATTTTCAATGGCAAGTACAAATAACAGCTATTCTAGCTGTGTTAAGGAAGTATATACACTTCCCAAAACATGGACGTACAATATATTGCAAGCTGTATCTAGCTTTTTATAAATTATTGATCACTAGAGGCTGCAACTGAAAACTGAAAACTACAAGGTTAATAGATCAAGGATCTGTACGTTTTACTTACAGGCCACTGGCTTTAAATCGTCATGTATACCATCGAAAGATCAATTGGAATTGTTCTGTTGTTGAATCTATAGCTAGTGAAATCCTAATTTGGGATCATGAGGTCATGAGTACGTCTATTTATTAATATTTATTTCATATTGATCTTTAACGAGGCCGATAACTTGAATTAAAAATTATATTAAACGTTGCAATATATAAATAAGAAATCAAAAACTCATGATGAAATGATGAATTGATCTCTGATTATATACACTCAAGCAAACTTATCTGTTGCAATTATATCATATGCATTACATGTATACTATAGTTAAAGAATGATCAATAATCTGTACTGGTCGGATCATGGGTGCTCTAGGATTCGATATTTTGATATACCTATGTATTTCTACTATAGCTTTACTCAAGATAGTACCATGGATCACGTTAATCAACTAGCTACTAATTCATATCATCATGTATACATGATGAAAATTGCAGGTATTAATTTTGATGAACTAAAATATATACTAAAAGCGCCTAGCCAAATTTATGTACGTATAGACGTTTCAAGGCAGTGAATTATGATGTGGTTATAATATATCTTTATTATCATAAGTGATACCAGTACTTAATGTGACTTTCAATTGCATTGATAAATTATCAAGACAGCTACGTGTTTTCGTACGCGTGTTCAAACTCGAAATTGTGTTATAAAAGGGTATATTATAATTATATTGATAGCTCTCGATCCAGCTTATAATATTATAACGATATATCATATTTAGCTTATCAAAACATGATTCAAACTATAAGCTAGACACGTGTACGACATCGTGAAATCGTGACACATTATCAGGTTAACTTGTGGATCAAGATTCAAGATGTTTTATATATTCATGATAATCAATTGATAAGATAGATGATTCAATCTCCTCTGGACCTCTTATCAAAGTTTACCAAAACATCAGATCATATTCAAATAAGAAAACATACATGATACAGGTTATATTGTTATATTACACGAGAATTAAATTAATTTAATTAACCGGTTCAGGTGCACCATAAAAATTATAATATAGCTGGCGGTTCCAATCTCAAAACAGTAATGGTTAAGTACCCCTTGTCCCGGGATAATTTTTTTTACTAAAGCCTGGAACGGATATATTTTGACATGATTTTTGAACTTTAAAGCCGGGATTAGATCAGTTCAAAATCATAATACAATTAAGGTACTAATTGGTCAATTGATTATAATTTATGACATATACCTGTTAATAATTGTAATTGACTTTGTAGATCTTCTCCACTACTCCAGGTTCAAATACCAGGTGTTTCCTGTTTTCAAAGCTTTGCACGGCCAAAGATCCAGTGTTTTGATGAAAAGGTGATTCAATTCCAAGGGCAATTTTCATGCTTCGCTTCGGAGAAATTTAATCGCGGTTACTTCGTAAAGCGGTCAATTTAATTATCAACACTTACAACTTACAAGTTGCAAATTGCAATTCAACCGTTGTAATCAGTAATAACATCAAACTTGAACCACATACCACATATGATGGTTTCAGATCAACCCATGTCCATACACAGCTTATCACTTATCTACAAACGTATCTCAAACCAATTCAAATTCTCAAAAATTGGTGGTATGGTTGAAATTCGCGACTACAAACTCAAAACTTTTAATTTCTTTTGAATTTGCACGGCACTAAGAAAAACCGTTGAAACTTGAAAGGCACCATTGGCACCAAAAACGAAGGGCATAAATGAAAATATGTTGCAGAAAGTACTGAAAATGGTCTGAATAAGTCTGAATTAACTGAATTTGACTCTATGAAAAGGCATGTAAAGGGCTCTTCCAAGTCTTAAACACTAGGAAATAACCACTCAAATGGTTCCATTTGGAACTGATAAGCAAACATCTTGGTGTACTATAATTGCCGTTTAATCATACTTGGGGAAGTTAACTATATAGCGCATTTCCATTTTACAATAAGAAGATTATTACTGCTATTTATGCAATTTTGAGTCAGAGTAAAATAAATGACCTATTCAGATTAAAAATCTGATATCAAATTTTAATACGTTCATGATAAGAGATCTTCTTAACTCAATTCAGCGTACTTTTTTCTTTTTGGGTCGTCCACGGATTTACTTAAAAAGAAAAACGTCTCATACAAAAAAAAATTCAACTTGAAATAAATATCATTTAATTCCTTCCAATTATTACTTTGATCTCCCATTTTACACTTTATACTTTCAAAGTATATATACTTTAATATCTAAAAAAAATTAAATTATATTACTCTGTTAACAATGTCAACAGATAATATTAAGAAACAACCTTTTGAAATAACACCAGAAATTTCAGATAAAGCTGATAGTTCAAGTTATCAAGAAGCACATTTTACAGAAAATTTACCAAATGATGATAGTTCAAAATTTCAAAGATTTAAAAATTCATTTAAACGTATGAATGATGATATTGATCCAAATTTATCTGATGCTGAAAAAGCTGAAATTATTCAGTATAGAAATCAAGGTGAAAAATTGAATAAATCTCTTAAACAACGTCATATGTTATTAATTGCCATTGCTACTGGTATTGGTACAGGTTTATTAGTTGGTGCTGGTTCATCTTTAGCAAAAGGTGGTCCTGCCGGTTTAATCATTGGTACTATCATTATTGGTAGTATGTTGGTTAATGTTATGGAAGCTGCTGGTGAATTAGCTTTAACTTATGGTGATTTAACTGGTGGGTTTAATGCTTATACATCATTTTTAGTTGATGATTCATTTTGTTTTGCTGTTTCTTGGAATTATTGTATTCAATGGTTATGTGTTATGCCATTAGAATTGGTTACTGCTTCAATGACTATTAAATATTGGACAACAAGTGTTAATCCTGATGTTTTCGTTGCAATTTTTTATGTATTAATTGTTGTTATTAATTTAATTGGTTCTTCAGGTTATGGTGAAGCTGAATTTTTATTCAATTGTGCTAAAGTTTTAATGTTGATTGGTTTTACAATCTTGTCAATTATAATTTCTGTCGGTGGTGCTGGTGATAAAGGTTATATTGGTGCTCATTACTGGCATAATCCTGGTGCTTTTGCCAATTCTTTCAAAGGTGTTTGTGCAGTTTTCATCAATATGGCTTTTGCTTTTGGTTGTACTGAAGCTAATGCATTTATGAGTTCTGAAGCTAAAAATCCAAGACGTGCTATTCCATCTGCATCAAAACAAGTTGTTTATAAAGTTGTTTTCATGTTTATTATTCCAATTTTCTTGATTGGTTTATTAGTTCCATATAATTCTGATGAATTATTAGGTTCAAGTGGCTCTAAAACTCATTCTTCACCATTTGTTATTGCTGTTTCTTCAGTTCCAGTTGTTCCACATTTCGTTAACGCAGTTATCTTAATTGCTGTTTTATCTGTTGGTAACTCTGCATTCTTTATTGCTTCACGTACTTTACAATCATTAGCTGAACAAGGTTTTGCACCAAAATATTTCAATTATATTGATAGATCAGGTAGACCATTAAGAGCTTTAGTTTTCACTGCTATTATTGGTTTATTCTCATTCATTGCAGCTTATGATAAGCAAGAAACCGTTTTCACTTGGTTATTATCCCTTTCTGGTTTATCTCAAATCTTTACATGGTCAGGTATTTGTTTATCTCATATTCGTTTAAGAAAAGCATTCCAAGTTCAAGGTTATTCAACTAATGAATTAGGTTATAAATCTAAAACTGGTGTTTTGGGTTCATGGTATGGGCTCATTATTAATGTTTTAGTTTTAATTGCTCAATTCTGGATTGCCTTATGGCCAATTGGTGGTGATGGTAAAGCTGATGCTAATGCTTTCTTCCAAAATTATCTTGGTGCAGTTGTTTGTCTTGTTATGTATGTTGGACATAAATTATATTCAAGAAATTGGAGATTTTGGATACCTGCTGATCAAATTGATTTAAGAAAAGGTAGAAAAATCTTTGACGCTGATGTTCTTGCTCAAGAAGATGCTGAAGAAGCTGAACAAATTAGAAATTCACCATTCTATGTTAGAATGTATAAATTCTGGTGTTAGATTTAGATTTTAGATTTCATCATGATCTTTTGCATTTATACTATTGTTTTATGACTTTTTATGACTACCCCTTTTCACATTATATTATTATTATATCATTATATTATATCATATATATCATCATGAGTTTCTGTTACTTATATTTTTTTGCATGATTTTCTTTCCATTCTTTGACTGATAAGTTGTCAATATGTTTAGTTTAAGAAATGAACATTTGTATAATATTTGAATTGTTTTTGTAGTGATGCCTTTAAATATTAATGGATGATATTTGAATTGTTGATTCTCTTTCCGTTTTCTGGAATTACAATCCTATTGAAATTAGTATATAAATTAGCCGCCGAGTATTTTTATACTGATTTCTATCACCATATCACCATGATCTGAATTTTCCAGAGAACTAATAACAACTAATGCTAGTCAATAGTTGATATAATATAAGCTTTCCTGATGATGGTATTTCAGAAATAAGTGAATTGTTTAATGAATTTAGCGGTACACTAAAGGGTTTCAAAGACCATTATCCATCCAGTCTTCTACATTCTAATATTGACACATTAAGAAGTGGAAAGCTATGTAAAGTATTATCAAATTATCCAGCTAATAGTCGCCATAATAGAAGATCTACAATTGCTAGAAGAATCGTTGGGAAAGCAGTCGAAGGATTTAGTATTTCTTCTTCAATTGATAAAGTGGTGTTCAAGTTTACGGGATTGTTTGATTTAATGCCTTATGAGAAATATTCAGCTTGGTTCTTCTTTAAACGCTCAGAGGTATTGATTTCACAGATGCTAGCTCGAATCAGAATTCAAATTAGACACATTAATTGGAAAACAAGAATTCATGTGATGTATCCGTTAAGATATTCTACGAATTTAGTTTATGAAACCATTATCAAAAAACTATCACCAAGATTCAATAACTTGATTATGTGTTTTAAGAGCTTTGTTCCATCAAAATCAAAGTATAGGCTTTATAGTCTTGGAGATAAATCATCATTATTAGGGCCTTTCCCCATGGAAATATGGATCATGATACTTGAACAAGCAGAAATTGATCAAGACAGAGGTTCTAAAATGATATATAATAGTCTTTGGATTGATCTTATAGCACCTTATGTTTATACCAATATCCATTGTTTCCTTTCTATTAGGAATATATCTGAATTAAAAATTGATGATTATGATTTCGTATACAATGGTCCAAATTTGTTTGATTATGGATATAGTGATTTCAATAAGTTTTCAAGATTGAAAAATTCTAATGATTATGAATATGAAATTTTGGATTTGTATCCATCTTCAAAGAAAAGATTAGATGCCTTGAAGAATACAAAATCTTTGGTGGACCAATCTTCTATCTCAGTGGTTACAACTCATAAGTCTCTCTTGAAATTGGTACGAACATTAAAAAACAAAAACAGTATAATGAGGAAATACATTAAGAACATATCATTAGATGTATTTGCTTCCAATGATTGGTTGTCAAGAAATGACGCATCACAGATCAAAGAGAACTTTTGTAGAACAATGAAAGATAGAATTGAGGATCAAGTGAATATATCACAGCATGAATTAGATGGACCAAAGATTCCTCTAATCCATATGAATGAATTTGATCATTTAGTAAGTAGAAAATACTGTTATGATTCGAGCTGCAAAAATATGGGGGAATTACAACATTTGTTCAACGACTCAATGAATGAAGAAACGCTTGCAAATTTGAGAATGTTAGGAGTCGTACCATTGAGATTATTTGAAAAAAGCCATTACACAACACAGCTTTGCTTTATGAATAAGATCATAGACTGTTTCATCTCTGGAGAACGTCAAAAGATGAGAAAGGTTGAAGAAGTTAATGCAAATGAAGTAAATTTATTTTTCAATAAGCGTACGACACTTTCTCCTGGCATTCCTTTACATAAAGATCCAAATCATGAACTTGATCTATCATTGGCCGCCAGCAGCTATATACAAAGTAAATGTGAGTTAGCTAGATTTGTTGATGATGTTGTCTATTCTTTCTTGAGCTGTGAAGGTGTCAATGCTTCAGTGAATATACTAGGCGCTTCATTGGAGTCCCCAATTTACTGTAACAGAAGGTTATGGTCCGTTTATCCAAACATCCAGTTAATAACTCTTAATAAAAACTTGGGATATTGAACTTGCTCAATAAAAATTTTAAATCTTGATCTAATTTCTCGTAAATTTGGTGATAATTTCAATTCCAGGAGTACGCGAATACACGTATATTTGAAAATTAAGATCTGCATGAAAAAAAATCAGAAATTCGCGTCAGATAATTTTGGTGCTTCTCACGACGAAAATTAATGGAATACCATATATATAAACATTTCACAAAGGATTGTTGTATTGGACTAGGGCTCAGATCATGTCGTTCGCTTCAAGCTTTGGAAGTCTGTCCACTAGAAAGAATGTCCTAAGGATACTGGTCGCCGTGGTGGTGTTCCAGTTGATCTTCAACTATTTATTACCTGAAAGAGTCAGTTCACCATTGAATAAACCATCTTTTGAAGAATCTATATCAACTCCTTCCAAAAGTGAGTCTCAAGGTATCCCAGCTGATGGGGAAGTTCATATTCCAGTGCTAGGTGGTCCTGAACCACCTTTCGATCCTACTGAACAATTATCAAAGATTGGTTCTGAAGAAAAATTAAATGGGTTATCAAATACTTTAAAAGAAAAAATCAAAGCTGATGTTGATTCCAAAATACCTGAAAAATTATCTGATATCAATAATGACAAAAGTTTATCTAAATTAGAATCAGGTTCATCTTCATCAAGTTCAGAATCAAAACAACTTAAAGAAGAAAGATCATTCTTCAAAAAAGCTGTTGATATCTTCATTAGAAATAAACCAGAAGGTATTGATAATGTTGAACTTAATGAACAAGCACCATCATATTGGTATATCGATTTACCAAATCCAACATTCACTATTGATTTCTTGAAAAAATTCACTAAAATGTCTGATGAACAGCTAAATGAATTGAAAAAGAAACATTCCTCATTAAAATTAGACATTTTGGATTTAGAATATCCAAAAGGTACATTTGAAGGTAAAGGGATAGTAATGGTTGCAGGTGGTCCATTTTTAAGTACAGCTTTGATCTCAATTAGAGCGTTGAGAGAAACTGGTTCAAAATTACCATTACAATTAATGTTAACTACATCAGAAGAATATGATAAAGATGTTTGTGAAGAGTTATTACCAAAATTAAATGCTAAATGTATGATTATGGAAGAAATTGTTGGTAAAGAAACTTTCCAAAGTTTAAAATTACAAAAATATGAACTAAAAGTTCTTGGTCTTTTCCTTTCAACTTTTGAAGAAGTTTTATTAATGGATGCTGATAATTTAGCTGTTAAAGATCCTGATTATATTTTAGATTCTAAACCTTTTAAAGAATTTGGTTATATTATTTGGCCAGATTTTTGGAGACAAACAATTTCACCATATTTTTATGATATTACAGGTGTTGAAGTTGGTGAACCAATTAGAAAAGATGGTGTAAACCCAGAAGGTCCAAATAATATTCGTTCCGAATCACAATTATCAGATTTAGAAGGAACTATTCCAGATTCAACATGTGAAGCTGGTCAATTAGCTATTAGTAAAAAATTACATCATAAATCATTATTAGCTACTGTTTATTATAATTTATTTGGGTTTAAATTTTATTATCATTTATTAGGTCAAGGTGCTGTTGGTATTGGTGATAAAGATACATTTATTGCAGGTTTAACTGTTTTCAAAGAATCATATTATTTCATGAAACAACGTCCATTATTATTTGGTTATGATCATAAAGATGGTTGGCAAGATACTACAATGGTTCAATATGATCCAGAACAAGATTATGAATATTATCAAGCTGCTAAACAATATTTAATTAAAGAAGGTATTGATTCAAGAATTAACTTATTCTTAAACCATGAATATACTGGTAATTTAAGAAAAAAAATTGATGAGTCAATTAATAAACCAAAACCTGAAGTTCAATTTTTACATATTCATTATCCAAAATTTAATGCTAAGAAAAATTTTGAAAATGGTGATTATGAAGTTAATGGACATGAAAGAAGACAATTTGGTCCAAGAGAAAAAATTAAAAATGATTTAGAATTAGATTGGGAATTAAAAATTTCAAGAATTTCTCAATGGTTAGCTTGTGATTCCAAGATTGTACCAGAAGATTGGAAAGTTGAAAATAAACAACAATTTTGTGATAGATTGAAAAAACATGTCGATTGGTTGATTGAAACTAGTGATACTCCAGAAATGGCTCAATTGAAAGAATTAGGTGTATGAACATTATTTAATTAACTTTTGATTATACATAGATTGTATATACACATTTATATAGGTTTAAAGTTAGAATTACTAAACGTTATGATTTAAAATGTTTGAAATAAACTTGTAATGTCTATGATTGTAGTCATTGTCTTATTGATCTTTGATCACTTGTTCAGATTCAACCTATGGGTATAGTATGGGGAAAAGTTTGTATCTGTGTTCATTTCTCAAAGATCACATAACCTTTATTCACATTCTCTTGTAAACTTAAACTTCTTTAGGAGGAATCGCCTGAATAGATCAAATCAGCTTCTTGATTCTATATAATCTTCAACACCAGCTTTCCAAGACATCTCCATCATTTCTAACTCATCATCTTGTGGGGGTTGGGATGAATTTTCAATATCTAGTCTCTCAGTACAATATCTAGTAAAAGTTTTAGGGAAAGATTCATTTTTGAATTTGAATTGATTGAAAACATAATCTTGTGCAATCTTTTCACTAAATGGGAAAATAACTTGATCATTTTTAATATATTGTTCAATGAACGATTCTAATGGGTTACGGAATTGAAATGAAGAACCATCTTTAAAGTTAAACTCATTTGCAGAAAAATTTGGGGCTTTATTGAATGAAAAATCTGGTGTGGTATTAGATGAAGGGAATTTAAAATCAAATTTGAATGGTTCTTGAGGTTTTTGTTCTTCTTCTTTAATATTTGAACTTGGAACAGATGTTGGACTAGATGGTGTTCCATTACTTCCTTTCTCAAAAGTGCCAGTAGTTTCATTTTCATCATCACTCAATTTAGTATCAGCTTTCTTTTCATCTTCAACTTCTTCCTCTTCACCATACAAATTCCCATATTTATTGTATAAGGTTTCATAAAGTTTTAAATAATGATCCATTTTATTATGAGCTTCATCAGATTCTTCTTGGAATTTTTTGGCTTTTTCAGCTAAATTATCAGCTCTTGCTATAGATTCTTTATATTTTAATTGAGCTTTTTCAAAAGCTTTTCTTGCAGATTTTTCAAGTCTTTGAGCTCTATTATCTAACTCTTCAAATTCATTTGAATATTGTTCTCTGATATCATGAAAATTTTCAGCTTGTTCTCTATATTCATTAATTTTGGCAAAATAATCCTTTTTAGACATATGGTCTTCTTTATAAGTTGATTTCTTAGTTCTGTTGAATGATCTTGGTACTGCTTTTTTACGTTGTCCATTAACATATGGTGATCCTGGAGATTTTGCATTATGGTGTGATGAGCTGGTACTTGGAGTTTCTTGCTGGGTTTGTTGTTGTTGTTCTTGTGGTTGTGGTTGTGGTTGTGGTTGTGGTTGTGGTTGTGGTTGAGATTGGGGCGTAGGTCTAGCTTGTTGTGGTTTGGGGGTTGGTGTACCTTGTGTACTTCTTGATTGACCATTACTTTGATCACGTGTAGCAGAATAAGCACTTTGTGGAGTTGAAGAACGAGATTGAGTCTTTTTAGAAGTTGGTGTGGAATTTTGAGATTTAGGTTTAGATTTAGATTTAGATTTTGGTGTATTTGATGATCCTTCATTAGTAGATGATTTACTAGTATTATCACCAAACATGTTTTGTAATTCTTCGGCACGTTTTCTTAATTCTTCCTTCTTTTTAATTTGTTCATTAACTTTTTTCAATGCTTCTTGTCTTAATGCTTCATATTCTTGTTCTCTTTTTCTTTGTTCTTCATTTTTCAATTCTTGTTTCTTTAAATCTTGAGCTCTTTCTTTAGCTCTTTGTTTCTCCATTTCTTCTTTTTTCAATCTATCTGCATATTTTTTCTGTTCTTCTTCTCTTCTTTTCCTTAAGACTTCTTCTTCTCTTTTTTTCTTTTCTTCCATTTTACGTTTTTTATCTTCATCTTTCTTTTTCTGTTCAGCTTCAGCTTTTTGTAATAAATCTTCTTCTTTTTTATTTTTTTTCAATTCATCTTGTTCTAATTTTATTTTCCTTTTACGTTCTTTTTCAATTAATTCAATTGATATAGTTGAACGTCTATAATTTTTTTTATACCATTGATCATAATCATCTTTAGTTTCTTCATTAATTAAAACTTCGTATGCCTTGTTAATCTTCTTGAAAATAACATCACTACCAGCTTGACGTTTATCAGGATGATACATCAATGCAAGTTTCCTATATGCCTTTTTAATTGTTGATGGTTGAACATCATAGATATGCGTAGTAACTTCAATTTCTAAAGTAGCATAATGATCTTCTTTCACTCGAGTGATCATACGGTGAAAATATTTTTTTGTTTGCAATTATCAATTGATGTCTATTTGAAAGGGCAAGTGTTTTTCTGAAATTGAATAATATGTTAATTGTATAGAAGATTGGGATGAATAGACATTACCTCTACAAACAGGTACCAAATCATCTATAAAAATTTAGTTGTTTTTGTTTTGATTTCAAAATGGTTCGAGCACAGACTTATACGAAAAATTCAACTACAAAAAAAAAAATTTAAAAAAGTAAAATTAAATATAAATTATAAATTATAAATAAATGGAAATGGGAGTTATCTTGATAGGTTATTGTTGAATTGATCTTCTTGTTGATTTATGGTAATTGTTCGTGTTGTAAATTATCAATTGCATTAGTGAAATCCAAATTTAATGTACTAGCGTTTGATGGCTTTAATGTTGCATAAGGTGTATTATTTGGTGTATAACTTGGGCCAATTTTCAAACCTTTTTTAGACTCAATATCAAGGTTACTAGATTTTGGACACAAATCAGATTGGGTTTCTTTTTGTGCTGAATCTTCTGAATCTTCTTGATCAAAATATTCCAATACATGCTTTGAAATTTCATCTAATTCATCAACAGTTAATTTAGTTTTATCCATATTTTGGTTGGTATAAAATGATTTTATATAGTCTTTTAATCTATTGACAAGATTCCAATGGTATATGATAAAGAATATTGATGTAGAAGCAGCAATTAAAACCAAATAAAAATTTGAAAAATCTAAAACTTTTGGACCGTTATATTGTTGTGTTCCATTGATCAAAGCATCAATTCTAGATGAGACAGTTAACCATCCATGAGTCAATATATTTCCATAGCTTGAGGATTTCAATTTTGATTTTGAATTATTTAGATGATAACCATCATATGTACCTCCATAAATCTTTGATTGTGTTTGTGAGTTATGATAATAATCTTGCAATTGAAACCTTCTTGGAAGAATAACTTGTGGTAAAGAATCAAATATTATGTTAAAAATACCCAATCGATCAATAATATTTTGTCTATAAGTGGATAACGAAAATAAAGATAACCCACCAGCAGTAATTTTTGAACTTAACAGCAGTAATGAACCAAAATATTTACTATTTGAATTTCCAAAATCAACATCTGATAATTCATTTGGTAATAAAATGTTTGAATGTCTGCGGATAATCATAATAAAACAACGTAGATGAGAATAACAATAAGAACTAAAAGTCCAATCATTTATATTATATTAAATTTGAAGGAGCAAGTGTTTGTAACTGCAATGAAAGCGAAATAAACGAATCTGTTAATGAACTTCAAAATTCTCTTATATCTAGCATGGTGAAAGAATTTGAAACAAAATATTGATTTTTGAGCTTACAACTCAAATTATGATCTTTTTGTGTAAAACACAAACTTGAATTCAATGATACAATATAAATCACTTTGGAAACCATAAAGAGATCTAAATTCTAATAAAATATATTTAATGTGATTTTGTGTCACCTTCCTATTTGGGTCATTTCCCTTTTTTGTATGTTTCCAATCTTTTTCTCAAATTAACCGAGGTGGAAAAATGCAAATTCATTAAACCATTTATAACTTCAAATTTCTAATCGGCTGTTCATTTTTGAGGTTCCTGTGTCACTGTGCTTAATCTCACAACTTATAAAATCTGATATGTTTTAATCCCTCTAATCCTCCTAAATCTAACAATCGTTTGATCTTTTTGATCTTTAACAATAGCTGATTAACTGCACTAAAACTGAAAACAACTCATGATCGCGATTGAACTTTTGAAAATCTTTTTGATCAGTTCATTTTCATTTTCATTTTATGGAGATTTTTTACCGAGGCCACTATAACCCGTATAAATTCTTAAAAATGGTTTATAATTGTTCCCCTCTGTGATTCAAGTCATTACAACTTATCTCTGCCTAATTCGGTTTTGATCTCTGCCTAGTCTCTGTGTTTCTCTGTGTGCCTCTGTCTAAGTCATTCTGTTCAAAAGCTGTGTATTAATTTCTGGGGTAGCAAAATATTTGTTTTGATTGGAAATTCAGAGCTCGGCATATATTATACATTTTTTTTTAGTATAAAGATATCAAGAAACCCACTTCAAATTCATATCATCAACATTTTGATAGCAGCGGTTAATCAAACAAAGAGATAATTCAATATACAACAATGTCAAACTTTGTGCAAAAGGAAAGAGCTGAAACCACTGTCAATATTGACAAGTTGAATGCCTTTTTAGATCCTGATCATGAAAGAACTCAAAATATCTTTAAAGAAATCATTAATGATCCAATCTTAACAACTCCAAGAAACTATTATGATTTAACAAAACCTCAATTAAGAGAATTATCTGCAAAGAAAATTGCAAGATTATCAAGATATGTTGAAACTGAAGATTTTGAAGAATTTGAAGAAAGAAGTACACTTTTAGCAATTGCTGATCCAGCGGTTATTACAAGAATTGGTATTAATTTAAATTTATTTTGTAATGCAATTAAAGGTAATGGTACTGATGAACAAATTAAATATTGGTTATTTGAAAGAGGTACCATGCAATTGAGAGATATTTATGGTTGTTTTGCAATGACTGAAATGGCTCATGGTTCAAATGTTGCCGCTTTAGAAACAACTGCAACTTATAATCCGGAACGTCAAACTTTTAAAATTAATACTCCTGAATTAAGAGCTACTAAATGGTGGATTGGTGGTGCTGCTCATTCTGCTAATTATGCTGTTGTTTATGCTAGATTAATTTCAAAAGGTAAAGATTATGGTGTTAAGATTTTTGTTGTTCAATTAAGAGATCCAAATCATGAATTGGTTCAAGGTGTTACAATTGGTGATATTGGTACTAAGATGGGTAGAGATGCTATTGATAATGGTTGGATTCAATTTCATAATGTTGAAGTTCCAAGAGAATTTATGTTGCAAAGATATACCAAAATTGATCCAGATGGAACTGTTCATTTGACTCCATTAGAACAAATTAGTTATAGTGCCTTAATTCAAGGTCGTGTTGCAATGACTATGGATTCTTTTAGACAAGGTGCAAGATTTATTACCATTGCATTAAGATATGCTGTTGGTAGACAACAATTTGGTAAACCTGGTCAAGAAAATCAAATTATAAATTATGCATTACATCAACATCGTTTACTACCTTATTTATCTTTAGTTTATCTTTTAGGTCCAGGTTCTCAAAAATTGGTTATTGATTACCGTCAAATTTTAAAAGATTTACATGATGGTAAAAATCTTAAAAAATCAATTGCTGATTTGAAAGATTTATTTGTTAATTCTGCTTCATTAAAAGCTACAAATACTTGGTTGATTTCTCAATTAATTGATGAAGCAAGACAAGCTTGTGGTGGTCATGGTTATCATGCTTATTCAGGTCTAGGACGTGCTTTTAATGATTGGTCTGTTCAACAAACTTGGGAAGGTGATAATAACGTTTTATCTATTAATGCTGGTAGATCAATTATTAAATATTATGAAGCTGGTCAAAAGGGTAAGAAACTTGGTGAAGATTTTGAATATTTAAAACAAAAATTTGATTCAAATTTGAAATTTGATGATGATAGATCTTTAGTTGATATTTGGTCTTTAGTTATTATTAAAGTTGCTCAACATGCTTTATCAATTTATAATGGTGATTGGGAATCAGTTTCTCAAGAACGTTTATTATTATCAAAATTCCATTCAAATCGTTATTTAACTGAAACTTTTTATAAACGTTTAACAAAATCATCAGATTTAGGTTCAAAAGAAAAAGAAACTTTGAAAACTTTGTTCAAATTATATACTTATTATTTTATTGATAAATTTGCTGGTACATTTTTACAATTTGATATTTTAGATGCTTCAAGATTAACTCATATTCAAGCTGAAACTAAAAAATTATTTAATGAGTTAAGACCAAATTTAATTGGTTTAACTGATGCTTTTAAATATCCAGATGAAATTATTAATTCTTCATTAGGTAATTTCAATGGTGATTTCTATAACAATTATTTCCAAGATGTTGTTCAAAATTATGGTAAAGGTGATAAAGCACCTTATATTGATGTTTTAACTGATGTTTTGAAAAGACCATCATTAGATGAATTAAGTTCATTTTCAAAGACTAAAAAAACTTTAGAAAAATTAGGTGATGATATTTAAAGATATACGTTAGCTAATATCTTTTCATTACATTAATATGAACTGATGAATGAAAAAACTCTAGTGATTTGTTATGAATATCATGAAATGTTTGCAAAACTGTTTATACTTATACATATATGATTATTTTCTGCTATTAAATAAGATTCTTTGTTAATGTAATTCATCTAATCTAAAAAAGATAATTGGTAAGCACACTCTGTGGATCCTTACGTATGGCTCAAATCTAATCGATAACGTTATCGACGGTTATCCAACTCCGCTATTGTCGAGAGTTTAAAAAGTCCGAACATAACTACGTATAAAAAGTTAAAAACTCAGTTTTTAAGTTTTACATTCAAGTTCAGCCAGATCATTTGATCATATATTCAATTAACCAAGATCAATCAATTGAAATGTCTAAACCATCTTATCCACATAATCCAAATCCAACTCCAGCATATTTACCAACAAAAGGTTCAATCTTAGATATTAATAAAGATTTTTATGATTCAATTTCAAATACAAAATCTCGTAAATTAACTTATAATGAGATTGTACCAATTAGATCAGGTAAAGCATGGAAAGTTAAAGCAGGTTCAATAGTTCGTATAACAACACCAGAAGGTCCACAAGTTTGTGATTTTAATGTTTGGAATGCTGATAATTTTAGAGAAAGATTATGGGCTTCAAGAACAAGACAATTACAAAAAGCTCATGTTGGGAAATATGATAGATTATGGTCAAATTTACCTTATTTAAGACCTTTATTAACTATAACTGGTGATTCTATTAGAGATCGTTTAAAAATTGATAAAATTCATGATTTATTAGGTACAAGATGTGATCCATATGTTGATACTATGTTAAGTGGTGAAGATAATGATTATCATTGTCATTCTAATTTATATCGTTCCATTATACCATTTGGTGGCCAAGAATATGATGTTCATGATGTTTTAAATATTTTCCAAGTTACTGGATTAGATAAAGATGGTAAATATTTTATGGAAACTTGTCCTGCAGAAAAAGGTGATTATTTTGAATTCTTTGCTGAAGTGGATTTACTTTGTGCTATTAGTACTTGTCCTGGTGGTGATTTAAGTGCTTGGGATTGGGGTGAAGGTGATGAAGAAACTAAAGTTGATATGGTTGATACTTGTAGACCTTTAGGTATTGAAGTTTATGAAATTACTGATGATTCTATTTTAAAGGATTGGAAATCTCCTGAATATAAAAGATATCAAGGTAATCATGGGTTCCAATTCCCAAAATTCCAACGTTCATAAGCAATTATTTTAATCATTTGTGTATATATATCTTTAATAAAATAGAATAATATTATTAAATCAGCATTTTAAATTCCCGATTGGGAAGTCTAGGAAACGCGCTAAAATTTGTATGATGTGTCCCGGCTTCAAAATGAAAACACTAGAAATCTCGAAAAATATAAACAATAAATGCAAAGATCAAATGTATATCTTAAATTATACCTTCGAAATTTAAAGATCACAAAGTCTTACGCTCGTTACAAACAAATTACCTTCATTTCAAATGAACGATGAATTGGAATATATAGTATCCAGTTATGCTTCGCTAAAGTTGAACAGTCATCCATTAAAAGATGTTAGTGTTAATTCACCAGCAAAATTAAAACCAATATCACCTCATAAACGTTCTACAATTGTTACAAATAATCCTCAAGAGATCAGAAAAATTTGTTTCAGCTCGATAGATCTGGTACTAAGGAATTTAAAATATGTGAAATCTATTGGTTCTTCCTTTTTGAAATTAGCTTCATCTGCATTTGTTCAACTTTATAAAATTGACATACTGGATAAAAATAAAGAAATATTTAAGAAACATCAAAGTTATATATTAAAGTTGATAGAACTGGAATCTGAACTTCAATCTGATTATTCACTATCATTGAATGAAATTAATATTGCCGCTTTGAAAGGTACACCAGATATTGAATCAGATACTGTTGGTACTGCACTTTTAAAATCATCACAAATATCATTAAAATTCCTTACATTACAAATCTTGTTCAAAAAATTTCAAACTAAAAACTTTGAAGATTCAAGTAATATATTAATTTTTTTCCAAAATGATGAAACTATTTTAGAGAATTTATCACAAGCTCAAAAAATATCGTTAACAAAATTGACATTATCATTTATCAAATTCTCTACAAATGATACCTTTAAGATTTGTTTAAATTTGAAATTTTTACAATATTTAAAAACATTTGAACTTCAATTTGAAAATTTTATTACAAACTCTACACTTGAGAAAGTTTCTATTGAATTATCAAAAGACATTCAAGGTATAAAAGACGTTGAAGAATTGGCTCAAATATCATCATTTTTATATTCATATTTACTTTCTGATCATAATGAAACATTTGATTCATCTGTCAAATATATCAAGTCACTAAACCCACAAAATGATTTAAATTGGAATCTTATAATACCAGATCAAAACAGATGTAATAATTTATTGAAACTGATATCACTGCCCAAAGTTAACAATGAACTGATAAACTCTGAACTTCAAGGATTAGGTAGACCAACTATAACTCTATATGATGGGTTGAGAACATACATTGAAAGTTCTTTACAAAAACCACAAACAGAAATCATTGAAATATTTATATGGTTTTTAAGTCATACTGATAAATTGGATAAACAAGTCACTAAAGTACTGGATAAATTTGTTATTGCCTCACAGAGTTTTATTCATTCTCCACAATTACTTAATACGGCGTTTTCAAAACTAATGAATATTTTTGAAAAAAATAATCAGTTCAAAAGACTACGAAATATTTCGAATCTATCTTACAATATTGGTTTAAAATTAGAATCGCATAATGACATTCAGGATTTTATGGAAAGTTGCATTAAATGTGAATTATTGCTATATACAGGGCCAAAATCACTAGATGATATTTCAACTAAACTTGAAAAAATCTTGAAATTTTCTCTAGCTAAAAATATATTGACAGATTGTCTATTATCATTGATTTGGAATGATAAATTCTTGGATAATTTGCAACCTAAAGATTTATTACATAAACTTGATACTATTGATGAACATTTTAGCAATATTTTCAGTTTCCATATACCAGCCAACAATATTATATCAAATCTTTCTGAAACAAATAAAGCATTGACATTTGTTCTTATTTCAAAATATAATAAATCTTCAAATCTGCGGAAACTTTTCCAAGAACTACAATTAAATGATCAACTTTTACAAATGTTCTGTGGGTCATATTATACAGAAATTCCTTTTGTCAAACCTCAAGCTCCACAAAGTCAACCAGTTATACATTCAAGCTCTTTAATTAAAAGCTCATACTATCTTTCACTGGAAATAAAATCTAAATCAACAACAAACATCATGAAAATTCTACATCTATATTTACATAGTTGGATACCAAAAAATAGAGAAACGCTAACGTTATTTGAACTTCAGTTTCTAGAAAATTTTGTTCAATATTTGAAGTTTATAAATTTTCATAATGCTCTTCATGAACTTTTGTTGGGGATTGATAAATACTCATCACAAGAGGTATCTGGTTTCAAAGAATGGTATTCAATGGAGAAAGTCACACATCATCTTAGTATGAAGGAAACTGGCCCTATTGATATTAGCGTCTTCAATTCCAGTCTAGACTCTCATGGATTTATGTCTGCTACTGACGTATCAATCCATCAATTGGAGCTACTAGTTCTCAAAACCAAGTTCTGTTTACTTATAGGTGAAGAAGCACAACTTTCATCTTTAGCAGAAGAAGTTCAAGAATTTTTATCTGAAAACAACACACTTATCAACTTCACAGGTAAGACATCACTTACAAAAAGACAACTTATTCGTGTTATTATATCAACTAGTAAACTTCATCTTGAAAGTGCTAAATTATTCAAATTGTTTGGTAATCATATGGAAGCTTTTATATCAGCTAAGACTTGTGCTCAAGTTTCCAAATCTGCTTTGAAAACAGAAGCTGAAAATTTTGAAATTATTAGTTCACTTTCATCTAGTTTTAGATTTTTGATAAGTACATTGATACATTTAGGATCATCAAAAGATGCTGATTATTATATGGAAGAGTTCATTAAATTTAATGAGTCTATAATAAGGTTCAAATGTTTGTTTGCTCAAAATACCTACTTTATTTGTTATTATTACTTTACAATTGGAAGATTAGATGATTTGGTCAAATCGAGACAAATAGCTGATAAAATTTTCAATACCTTGAACCTAAATGAAGAAGAACCAACTGATAATTACAAGCTTGTCTTCCATTATTATCTGGCACAAGTTTATGATGTTAATGCTGAATTCAAAATTGAGCTTAGACAACAACTGAAAAAGTTTTTCCATCATATTGAAAAAGATAGAAGACAATTATCAAATTCTTGGAAATTAAGATATGAATATCATTTCAATGCTGAATATGTTGATCTTACTATAAATAAGACAAATGATCCATATTTACATGCTATGAACTATATGATAAATGCAAAAAGACTATTCAATAGCTCAAAAAGATCATTGGAAATAGATCCAGTCTTCTCAACATTAGAAGATTCTGCTATGTCAATTCCTTCAACTATAAATGAGCACGAGAAAGTACAAGATATGTCCAATTCAAAACCAAAATCCAAGACTATGAGAAATATGAAAAAATCAATTATAGATTTACGTCATTCCAAAGACTTGATTCTTAGTCTATTTTCTGATTTACAATATTTATCAAATTATCAAATTGATGACATCCATAAAACATTTGCACTAACTCTTTTAACTCTGTCAAGTATTTCAAATAACTATAATAATGATTCATTAGATGATTTGTACAATTTAGGTGAACATCTGAAAAATAATCCATTTGTTAATGATAAGAATTTAATTGATGCTACATCAAGAGTTCCTAATCTGATTCCTAATTTTAAAATTCATAGTCCAAGTTCCCTGACACAAGCATTACTGTCTCAATCCAAAATAGATCAAACCTTACTAGAAAAGATTCCTGATAATTGGTTAGTTATAAGTGTTGATGTTTGTGCTTTTAATGGTGATCTTATTATTTCAAGATTGACTAGAGACTCTACTGTTCCTTCTGTTTTGAGGCTACCTTTAAGTAGACACTCAAGTCGTACTATTGATGAAGAATCGTTTTCATTCACTGATGCAATGAGAGATTTAAATCAAATTATTCAAGAAAGCAATGCTACAACATCAAAAGAAAGAATTGCTAGTATTAAAACTGCAGAAGATAGACAACAGTGGCATCAAGAACGCTTTGAACTAGATGAAAAATTAGCTGGATTTTTGGACAAGATTGAATATTGTTGGATTGGTGGTTTCAAAGGTATGTTTGACTGTACTAAAATTGATAAATCTAGAAGAGATCAATTCAAAGAAAAATTCCTTTCAATATTGAGTCAAAATATTCCATCCAGAAGTCAAAGAAATCCAAATACCACATTCATTGAACTTGATGATTTTATTATTGATCTATTTTTGGGTCTTGGAGATCCTTCTGAATTGATTAGCACTGAATTACTTGAAGATTTAATATACTTTGTTTTGGATATTCTTTTATTTCATGGTGAAGAGAATGCATATGATGAAATTGATATTGATAATATTTATGTTGAAGTTGAAACTCTGATAAAAGAAGATTTAATGATATATCCTAACGGGTCAAAATACACACATACTGTTTTGATAACTGGAAAAGATTCACAGTCTATACCATGGGAATCCTTACCAAGTATTCGCGGAATGTCCACTTCAAGAATGCCATCACTTAATATGTTATTAAAGTTGTTGGAGAAGAATGAACGTATGGTTATCAATAAAAGAAATGGATCATTTATATTGAATCCATCTGGTGATTTAAAGAAAACTGAAGAAAGATTTGAAGAACAAACCAAATATCTAACAAATAAATTTAATTGGAAAGGTATTAAAGGTGAACGTCCAACTGAAGCCAAATTTGAAGAATTTGTTTCTGATTCTAATTTATTTGCTTATATCGGTCATGGTGGTGGTGAACAATTTATAAAGACCACAACCTTGAAACGGATGACTTCAGCTGCTCCTACTCTATTAATGGGATGTTCATCTGCCTTGCTCAAAAATAACAACCTTTTAGAACCTCATGGTACAATTTATTCATATTTAGTTGGTGGATGTCCAATGGTTTTAGGAAATTTATGGGATGTTACAGATAAAGATATAGATAAGTTTAGTTTATCACTTTTTGAAAAATGGGGTCTTGGTACTGATAATAAGGATTCAGATATGACAATAAGTGATGCTGTTAGATTTTCAAGAGATGAGTGTAAATTAAGGTATTTAAACGGTGCTGCACCTGTTGTTTATGGTTTACCTTTAAAATTATTATAATAAAATAACGACATATAACGAATTTAGAAAAACAATTTAGAAAGTTAATAATTAATGCATGATACGTACATATCTAGAATATAATACACTGTAGAATCCGATGTGATCTATATATGTTTTAACCTTGAGTATGTTGAATAGCTTGATCTAGTTTCTATTAACACCGAGTTTTCAAGCTCCAATTCCGGATTATCCACTAGATCCGAACTACTTATACCAGTTTGTGAAATCTAAACCTCCACATAACTCAAAACCTTTGTATGATATTATTATTTAATTTCTTTAATTATACTATTAAAAAACCCCAAATAATAACATACTATGCTCAAAACATCAAAATTCCTAAAAAAAAAATTGAAAATTTATAAAATTTTTGTTTTAAAAGTAAAAATAAAATTTATGACATTAATTAAATTTTTGAAAATTAAAAATCACGGAAGAAAAATCACGAAATCTCTACAAATTATCATCTACATATATTCTAATTACAGAGAAACAACCATTTCAAGCTTTATAATAACAAAATATGAGTTTTTTTGTTAATTTATCGTCAAAAGTTGGGA